CACCGGTTAACTGACACCCCAAGGTTTAAGGAGGATAATGAGGGTGTTCAAGCATTTCATTTTCTTTTAGCTTTCTCTGTACATAAAATTCAAATTAAAATAATATTTTCAACGACAAAATCACAATTTTCTCATGTATTGATTCACCAGTATAAGATTGGGACTAAAAATTCATAGGTTCAACTTATTGGGAATACCTTCACATTGACGTCATTGATCTTAGTGGTGTTCCTTTATTTTTCTATAATTTCATCCTTTTCTTGTTCTATATTTACATTGAATTATAATTAGAAATGTCTCGATAAGATTCTAATTCAAATTTTAAAGATACATAAGATAGACATTTAATTTACAACACAAAACATTATCCTAAATAATGATTTACTTGATGGGGGTGTTTAAGTGTTTCACTTTCTTTTAGCTTTCTTTGCACTTCAAATTCAAATCAAAATAATATTTTCAACGACAAAATCATAATTTACTCATGTATTGATTCACCAGTCTAATTTGGGGACTAAAAATTCTTAGATTCGACTTATTGTGGATACATTCACATTGATGTCATCGATATTAGGGGCGTTCTTTCATTTCTTTATGATTTTATCCTTCTCATGTGTTATATTTACGTCGAATTCTAAATAGGAATGTCTTGATTAAGATTCAAATTTAAAATTTCCAAAAAGAAGTTTTAAAGATGCGTAAGACAAGTTTAATTTACGTTGCATAATCTTATACTAAATGATGATTTTCTTGATGGGTGTGTTCAAGCCTTTCAGTTTCTTTTAACTTTCTTTGTACTTGAAATTCAAATCAAAATAATATTTTCTACAACAAAATCACAATTTGCTCATGTATTGATTCAACAGTCTAAACAAAAAATTCAAAGATTTAATTTACTTAGGACACCTTCACATTGATGTCATTGATCTTAGGGTGTTCCTTCATACCTTTATGATTTTATCTTTCTCCTTTGCTATATTTACATTAAAATCTAAATAAGAATATCTTGATTAAAATTTAAATTCATAACTTCCAAAAAAGTTTAAAAGATACGTTTGAAAAGTTTTTATTTTACAACACATAACCTTATAATCAATAATGATTTACTTGATGAGGGTGTTCAAGCCTTTCACTTTCTTTTAGCTTTCTTTGTATTTGAAATTTAAATCAAAATCATTTTTTCAATATCAAAATCACAATTTACTCGTGTATTGATTCTATTTGCCACTACTTCACTAATTGAAACCATAATTGAAATTTTAAATTTCAAATATGAAAAAAACATTATTCTTTTTCATAATAAAGGTCTTAAAGCAAATTTCTACTATTAAAAATATGCACGATTATGAAACTGGAAATTTATAGAACACATAAGGGCATGACCTAAAAGCCCATAACAAAGACCAACTCGGAGAAAGAAAACCAACAATAGGAACCCACAAGCTAACCAACTGATGTCAGGAACTGACTAGAATTTTGGAAAAAAAGGTATGAATTAGCTACAGTTTATAGAAATAGTCGCCAGAAAAACAGAGATTTAGGTCGAGAAAGAGAGAGGGTTTAGGGAGAGTTTAGAGAGAGATAGAGACATGAAATTCTTAACAGAATTAAGATCTGGAATATTCGATGATCTCTACAATCTATTACATCAGATTTGTAAAGCTTCTAGATTCCTTCAGCGAAACAGATGAAATCAGCAGAATGAAATGCATGCGAAAATTAAATTCCTTTATGCTGGAACGACGTCGTCTGCCCGTTGCTTTAGCAAATTCAAAACCCACCACCTTACTCAATTTTGGCGCGTCCTGACATTCCATCCCGCTTAAAATGCAACTTGTATCAAGTTGCAAATTGCGGAAACTAGCCTTTGATGAATGAACCGTCCTCCAAAGAAGCATTTTCCACCTCCAATCCTTGCCATTTGATCAACCATTGCACCACCTCTTGGAAACCACGCAAAATGTAACGTCTTTGCAAGATCTTTTCTGGCTTGAGAGCAAATTCCTCAGCATCTTCTAAGTCAGGCAAGTCTGAAATTTGTGAAGGTAGATCTCCCACATGTTTTTTCAGCAATGACACATGGAATACAAGATGGACTTTAGACCCTTCTGGCAACTCCAATTTGTATGCAACATTTCCTACTTTTTTAAGTATCTTGTAAGGGCCAAAGTACCTGTAACTCAACTTCAAAGAGTTCCTTGGCACTATTGTTTGTTGTATATATGGTTGAAGCTTAAGATATGCATAATCACCCACCTGTAACTGCCTCTCATTCCGGTTCCTATCAGCAAAGAACTTAATTCTGTCTTGAGCTTTAATCAAACTATCTTTGAGTTTTTCAATGACCAACTGTCTTTGCTTGATCATATCATCAGCTGTTGGAATGAGCACCTGTTGATAAGCCCCCAAAGGTAATCCAGTAGGCTGATAACCATACAATGCCTGATAAGGAGCCATTTGAGCACTGGTATGGAATGATGTGTTATATCACCACTCAGCCATCATTAACCATCTAGACCAAGAATTAGGAGTTGAACTAAAAAAACACCTTAGATAACTTTTCAGACACTGATTCAGCCTTTTTGACTGACCATCAGTTTGAGGATGGTAAGCAGTGCTTAAACACAAGTTAACTCCCAACTCTTGAAACAAAGCCTTCCAGAAATGACTTGTCCAAATTTTGTCTCTATCAGTCACAATAGAATCTAGTAATCCATGTAGCCTGAACACCTCCTTGAAGAAGATTTCAGATATTTCCTTAGCAGTAAATGGATGTTTAAGAGGGATGAAATGGCCATATTTAGTAAGACTATCCACCACCACCAGAATGCAATTGAACCCTTCACTAGAAATTGGCAACTTTTCTATGAAATCCACAGCTATTCCCTTCCATGCTTGCTGTGGAATAGGCAAGGACTGCAATAAGCCTGGATAATGTACATGTTCATTCTTACATGAATGACAAACTTAACAAGTCTTGACAAATTGCTCTACATCCGTCTTCAGGTTCTTCCACCCAAACATTGATCTGATTCTTTGATAAGTAGCTCTCTGACCTGAATGGCCTCCCAGAGAAGATGAATGAAATACTGACAACAACAGCTTCCCAAATCCCCCTTGATCACCCACATACATTCTGCCATTTTCCTTAAGTATGCCTCCCACATACTGTAATTGAGGATGGTTGGACTGATCCAAAGTGGCATTCAAAATCATCTGCTGAGCTACTTCATCATTGACATAGCTCTCCGCAAATTGTTAGAGCCACATAGGTTGAACTGTAGTTATTGCATCAACTGAATCCTCCATCTGGTTCATCCTTCTAGATAATGCATCTGCTAGTACATTTTCCTTTCCTTTCTTATATCTGATTTCATAATCCAAGCCAGGTAACTTCACCATTCACTTCTAGATAATGCATCTGCTAGTACATTTTCCTTTCCTTTCTTATATCTGATTACCTTGAAGATAATGCTTTCACTTGTTGACTGCCAAGACTAATGCAAGCAATTCTTTTTCATAGGTGGAAAGTGCCTTGTTTTTGTCACAAAAGGCCTTACTGATAAAGGCAATAGGATGATTATTCTGCATCAAAACAGCTCACATTCCTTCTCCACAAGCATCTGTCTCTACAATGAATTCTTGAATAAAGTCAGGCAAAGCCAACACTGGTGTTGTAGTTAAGGCTGTTTCCAGTTCCTGGAAAGCCTCAGCAGCATGTTGATCCCACTGGAAAGCCCGTTTCTTAACAAATTGGTCAGTGGCTTACTCATAACTCCAAACCCTTTAACAAACCTTCTGTAATAACCAACTAACCCCAAAAATCCCCTTAACTGTTTAACTGTTGTAGGAATAGGCCATTCAATTATACTTTGCACCTTCCCAAGATTCATATGCACTCCCTCCTTGGATATGACATGACCCAAATATTCCATGGTAGGTTGACCTAATGAACATTTGCTCTTCTTGGCATAAAGCTGGTTATCCAACAACACTTGTAATACCACAACCAAATGATTAACATTCTCTTCCAATATAACACTGAATACCAAAATATCATCAAAGAATACAAGAACAAACTTCCCCATATAAGGTTTAAGAACCTGGTTTATCAAACTTTAAAAAGTGGCAGGCGCATTTGTCAATCCAAATGGCATCACCAGGAACTCAAAGTGTCCATGATGTGTTTGAAAAACAGTCTTGGGAATGTCTTCTCTACAAACTCTGATATGATGATATCCAGATCTCAAGTCAATTTTAGAAAACCATTGTGCTCCCCTTAACTCATCCTGTAACTCCTCAATGATTGGAATAGGATATCTATTTTAAACTGTTAATGTATTAAAGCTTCCTGTAGTCAATGCACATCCTCCATGTTCCTTCTTTCTTTTGCACCAATAAAACAGGAGAAGCATAAGGGCTGTTGCTCTCTCTGGCTGTCCCCTTCTTGATCAGTTCATCTACTTGAGCTTCAATCTCATTCTTATGTGCATGGGGTATCTGTATGGTTTAATCTTGAATGGAACTGCATCTACTTTGAGAGTAATGTGGTGATCAACCAGTCTTTTTGGTGGTGATGTGGTAGGATCTTCAAAGACTTTTTGAAACCTTACTAACACCACCACTATCTATGGGGGTATATTGGCATCCATTTCTCCTGATAAACCTACATCTTGTACTAGATTTATCATATTCAGCTGGTTAGAGCTTGATTTTTCCTCACACCACCTCATTCTTTTATCAGAAACTTCAAACTGGAACTCTTCCCTTGATCTCTTGGGATTAGCCTGCCTGGTTATGTCCACAATTTCATCTTCTGCTGCTAAAGAGTGACCTTACAGTAGATATCTGTTTCTCCCCCTAGTCAATTCAATCTGACATAAATCATAATCAAACAGAACATGGCTGAAATGAGACATCGAATCAGCTCCCAAAATGATATCCCAATTCTCCAAGTTCATCAACCTGAAGTCAAATTGAAGGTGATGTTTCTGGAATGTCTATTTGGCAGCAGGGCAGATGACATTGTTTCTGATTTTATGTCCATCAGCTACCTTTACAAAGTATGGTTTAACCACTTGTCTAGTCAATCCCAACCTCAAAGCCAACTGCTCATTGATGGAACTCCTTGCAGCTCCTGTATCAACCAAAATCCTGACCATTTCACCATTCACATAGCCAATTATAATGATCAACTTCCTTGGTTCATCCTCCTCCTTACTATCCAATGCCAAACAGTCAGTCCAACAATCCACTGCACTTAACTCAACTGCTTTTCCCAAATTTTCCAATTCATCACTGATCCATTTTACATCTTCTAAATCCACATTATCATCTACAATGATCAGATCAGGTGTTCCATTTTACAAATATGTCCTGGACCACAAGACTCATTACAATTCCAACAAAGGTTGTAAGTTTTTCTAAACATGTTTTTCCTGAGGAGACAACCCTGTAAACAACTCCTTACCATCCTTAGAAACTCCCTGAGCCGGTACCTTTCCCCCCAACATTCTATTAACAGCAGAAACAGTCAGCTTGAGTTTAGGAGCTAATGACATAGTATGCTCTTGTGACATAGCAGCCTGAAAAGCTCTTAACACTGTTTTTGGTTCCATGAACCTTACAAAAGGTTTGAATTCATCCTTAAGGCCACTCACAAAGCTTGATACAAAATAGGATCCAGTAAGATGAGGATCAACACATAACAGTTGAGATTTTAACTCTTCAAACTTGTCATAATATTCAGTTATAGTACCATGCTGATTCAACTTATTGAACTCCTCAATTGGATCCAGAGTATCCAAATCTTTGAATCTTTTAAGCAATTCTGACTCAAAGAGACCGCAAGATGCATCTGGACTAAATTTTCTAAAGCTTTGGAACCATATATCAGCTTTACCATCTAAGAAAAACTCAACTGATTCCAACTTCTCTTCATCTGAGATCTGATAATACCTAAAATACTTTTGGCATTTTCATATCCAACTTCTAGCATTTTCTCTATAAAAAATTACCAATTCAATTTTAGGTTTCGGTTTCCAATTCTTCTGATACACTTTTTCATCTACATATTCTTTCTTATCATCATCAATTTCAATTCGAGCCTTAAGCTTCGACTGATTACCAATCTTAACACTCGAAATTGAAGCAACAGCAGGAGAGTTTAGCTTTTTACCAACACAGCTAGTAGATCCACGATTATCAGGCACCTCAAGCATCAAATTCGAGAGCTTGGCATCAATCGCATCAAATTTGTCAACCTCCTTCATCAACACCGGCAGCTCCGCATACATCTTAGCAAAGCCCGCCGCCATTTGCTAATGCATCGAGACCTCAAAGTCCTTTTTCCAACTCTCATTCTGGTCAGTTGGTTCAGTAACAAGATTAGCATTCCGATTGGGCGCCATTTCTTCACAGATCCAAGGATAGAGTATCTCTGATACCAATTGTCATGAACTGACTAGAATTCTACAAAGAAAGGTATGGAAACAGTCGCCGAAAAAACAGAGATTTAGGTCGAGAAAGAGAGAGAGTTCAAGGAGAGTTTAGAGAGAGATAGAGAGAGAAAATTTTTAACAGAATTAAGATCTGGAATATTCGATGATCTCTACAATCTATTACATCAGATTATATAGCTGTAAAGCTTCTAGAATCCTTCAACTAAACAGATTAAATCAGCAGAATGAAATGCGTGCGAAAATTAAATGCCTTCATGCAGGAACGACGTCGTCCGTCCTTTGCTTTACCAAATTCAAAACCCACCCCCTTACTCAATTTTGGGGCGTCTTGACAACTGACTGGGGCTGCATCATTAAACCAGGCTCATCCACGCTTGACCTACTAAAACACGACTGTCGTTATTCGGACGTGCTACACCGATGACTAGTCGGAGCCACACACATGAATATGATGGAGCCGAGGACATTGCCAATTAACAGTGGTCTAGAACACCCTTTAAGACCAAATGTTCCAGGAAGTATTAGCATATTTTATGATTTCAGTCTTGTGTAATTTGTTGTTTAAGGCCTTGTCTCATTTTTTTCTACTCTACTTATATTATAATAATATAATAGTTTTAAGGTTTTGGTAGTCCTCCATTTTAATTATTACATATTATTTATATTACTTTTTATTATTATAACAATTTCAACTCTTTCATTTACGTTTATTTTAGTTACAACACAATATTAAAATTTTATTTTATTTTCATAATTTCTTTATCTCCTTCATTTACTTTTTGATCTTCGAATAGTCGTACACTCGACTGAATTTTCGTTAAAGTTAATAAAATATTTCACTTTCTGTAACTTTCATATGTTTTAGTATTGTTGTAAACTTAACTCTTCGGGTTTGAATCTTTTAATCTTTTAATTTAATTGTGATTATCACTTGTAACAAAAAAAAAGTAACTAAAAATTTTATAATAAGTTTTCAAAACCACACATAATACAACTTTTCACGAGCGCTTAGTTTTTGCTTTTTAGTAAAAATACGTACAATGAATGGTAAATAATTTCCGAGTAGTGTAATAAATATGAAGTGTAGACCAAACTGGCTAATGAAAAATTTGAAATAGCTCCACAAGCAAAACAAGTCCGAAAGATGATAGAGTAGAGACCAAATATGGCATTGGTGCGCTGCATATGGCGAGCCATTACCATTAGCTCCATTTCGCCATTTTGAATGAGTCCGAAAGATCATGACAGAGAGAGAAAAAAAAAATGTTGAATATTATTTATGCATTTATTTATTTATCATTTTTAACAAACCGCATTCGGAATTTAATAAGGGAGGCAAACAAAATTGTGCAGAGACAACTGGGGAACGAAAACAGGGGCCTGAGGCTGGGGGGAGCTTGGAAATGAGGCTATGGCGAAGGGCGTCCGGAGTGATGAAGGATCAAAATAGCCTCTGGATTTCCAGCTTATCCAGAAGATCCTCACTCCGGAACCCGGACATCGAATCCGCCGTCATTAAAGCCACCAGCCACGACGAATTCTCGGTGGATTACAAGAACGCCGAACGGGTTTACCGATGGATCCGGTTGTCCGACTCTCACATCAAGCCTTTGGTCTGGTGCCTTTCCTTGCGCATGGAGAAAACCCGGTCTTGGGTCGTCGCCTTAAAAGGGTTGATGCTCATGCACGGCGTTTTCACCTGCCGGGTCCCTGTTGTTCAACGAATCGGCCGGTTACCCTTCGATTTGTCCAATTTCTCCGACGGGTATGGTAAACCCGGCGAGATTTGGGCCTATAATGCCTTCATCCGGTCTTACTACGCGTTTTTGGATCAGAAATCCACCTTGCTTTTCGTCAATATGCAAGAGAAAAAGGGGTTAAATGTTCTGATTCATCAGGAATTGCAAAGGTGTTCTTTGATGCAGGATCTTTTGCTCCTGCAGAAATTACAGGGGTTGATTGACATGTTGATTCAGATTAAGCCTCTTTCCCAGGCTGCCAGCGTTTTCCTAATCGTGGAAGCCATGGAATGCATTTTGATCGAGATTTTTGATATTTATAGCCGGGTTTGTTACATGATTGCCAGGGTGTTGAAGCGGATCGATTCGGCCACGAAAATCGAAGCCGCGATGGCGGTTAGGACTCTGAAGAAGGCCATTGTTCAGGGTGATGAACTTTCTTCCTACTTTGAATTGTGTCGAGAGATTGGAGTTACGAATGCTGATGGATGTCCTCATATTGTGGAAGTCCCTGAAGAAGATATTCATGAGCTTGAGATTATGATCAATGAAATTTCTGAGAGATCAGAACTGGATTGTGATTCGTCTAAACAACAAAAGGAGGAAGCTCAACGAGCTATTGCTATTCTAAACGAACAGAATGATCAAATGGATCATCGATTGAAGACAGTGATTACTGATAACTGGGAGAAATTTGATGAAGATTCATCATCCATGGTTAATGTTCCTGCAGAAACTTTCCAGAGTTCATCATCCAAGAACAACAACCCTTTTTTGTGCTCTCCACCACCATCCCATCAGCAGCAACATCGTGGTTCATCATGTCCAGATTTTCCTGATTTAATTAGTTTATAGATTCCGTTTTCAAAAAAATTCCAGATTCTATCCATGAAATGAATGTGCCACATCGAAATCAAAAGCTGAATACATTTTTCTTTTTAGATACTATGACATTTTAGATAGTTTCACATACAGGGATATATGCATTATGATTCCTTAATTAACATTTTCATCTTGTCTTATTTCCCTAAATTTTGTTGTCAATTCTTTTGAAAAAAACATAAAAAGGAGCAGTGAAATATTATTTCGAATTTGATACTTACATATGGCAACTAGCAGTGTAGCAAGTTTGGCCTTATATCTCAGTACAGATAAACAAATATCTCAATCTGCCATCTCTCCTTATATTGCCAAGCATGGGTTCTTCAACGTTTCAGGAGGACTGATATGCAACATCTTCCGTGTTTCTCTTTGACGATGAAAGATGCGATGTTGAGTGTTGACTATAATCTCCCGTTGTCGTTATGAAGTTCGCTGCATCACTGAAGTAACTATCGGTAAGGTAATCAGGCCTTGTAGTAACTCGAGTCACCTCGAGGTCTCCAGAGAGCATTGCCAGCGCGCGGGATATTGAGGGCCTGGACGATGGAGAAGCTTGAGTGCATAATAGTGCCACATCTATTGCCCGTCTCGCTTCATTCTCGTCGAATTCAACTAAATCTGGATCCACTAGCTCAATGTCTTGCCCTCTCTCGTGCAAGTTCCAGGCCTAACAGCGCAGCAGGCATATAAAATGACAATAAAAAGATCTTCGAATGAAGCAAAGAATGAAAACAAATGAAGAACTGAGATTTTGGTCATGAATCCTGAATTGTTATGAAGTTGCTGTTCTTTAACTAAAAGATCTTTAACAGTTCTCACGGCTTGTTGTATACCAATTCCAGGAGATAGATCTTGTCTTCCTCCACACTAGAGCCAGAGACGGGCCTTCCACTCACAATCTCAAGAGCTACGATTCCAAATGCAAACACATCAGCTTTTTCAGTAAGGTGTCCTACCATGGCATATTCCGGCGCAAGATAGCCTCTACAATAACCCATTGAGTAACAACAATTTGTTAGAGGTCTAATTTAGATATGGATTATTCAGAATGCTAAAAAAAGAGTAGCAAAAACAATGAGAAAGGACATTGGGATGTATGAGCTATGTTTTCTTGATCTCACATTGTTCCAGCAACGCAGGTGCTCATATGTGTCAATCTCTCATTGTAAAGTTTGGCCAAGCCAAAGTCAGATATCTTGGGGTTGAGATCAGAGTCAAGCAGAATGTTACTGGCTTTCACATCTCTATGCACTATTCGAACCCGGGACTCTTCATGAAGGTAAGCCAGACCCCTTGCCACTCCAATGTATATGTGAAAGCGGGTAGGCCAGTCAAGGTATAGGCTACTAGTTCCTGCTCCAATGATGCAAAAAGTTCCATAAGTTTTTTATGCATTCTTTCCTTGTGAAACAAATGGCATGGTAATATTTGCTTACGTACCAAAAAGTGCTTGATCAAGACTCTTGTTCTCGAGAAACTCATAAACAAGTAACCTTTTACCTCCCTCGATGCAAAATCCATAAAGTTTCACAAGGTTACGGTGCTGAACCGCAGAAATGGTAGCAATCTCTGCCACAAACTGATTTTTTCCATGCGCAGACGCCACAGCTAGTTGTTTGACAGCAACAGCTCTACCGTCACTAAGTGTTCCCTGTTGGACCATTAAAACAAGACATAACAACAACACCACAAATACTAATTTCAATTTAGCAGAGCCCCTATAACTAAGAATTGTGGATATACAATGAACAACTTGGACATGGCCCTTCCTCTACATGGTGGGAATTGAAAACAAGCGTAAATATGAACAAGCAATTGTTAGATCCGGTAGTTGGAATGATCAGAAAAGAGCACCAGAATTTCGGCCAGAAGTAGCTGTCAATCTACCAGTTTCCTCACCCTCATGTACATTATTTCCCCTCATTTTGTTGAGCTAGAATGTTGGTCTTGACTTTTAAGCTAAAAGATTAAAGATATATGCATACCTTGAAAACAGCACCGAATCCACCCTCTCCAAGTTTATTAGCAGGGTTGAAGCCATCTGTTGCCGACATAAGTTCTGCATAACTGAAAGTATATGGTCTGGCATCCATTTCAACTAACTCTGGAAATGTAACAGAAAAGAAGGTTACATCGAATTTCAAGATCCTAGGCTGAATAAAGTTCTTGTCTGTCATTTCACTGCAAATAATCACCATCTTATTCTTTTTAGTTGAAGCTAATTAAACTTCTTGTCACTATTTACTTCTTGTCACTATTTATCATCCACTCCAGGATGTGTGAATAAAAAGGAGCTCGTCATAAGCAACAAGTGGGATGATATGGTTATCAAGCAGACAGCGTACTTTGTTTTCTTTCTTATTCAAGTAAATTTTGGAAAGCTATCTTACCTTCTTCCTCAGACATTGGCTGCCTTCTCTTTCGCCAGATGAAAAAGTATACGTAACACAAGAACAAAAAGATTGCAGTTCCAACCGGAACAACTATTCTCGCAATCAAACTAGCCCGATTATTCTTAGATGAGGGAGGAATATTAGAAACAGTAGGGACAAAATCTGTAAAATAGCCAAACTGTCATAAAATGGTAGAAAAATAAGAAGCAAACTCATATAGATTCCAATGGATTCACAATGGTACCTGGGGTAGCACTGATAGCATTAATTAAAGGCCCGAAGCAAACTTCATCACGACAAGTTCCTTTGCCAGCCCAAAACAGGTGAATTTCAAGGTAGTTTTCAGAGACTTGAACCTTGAATTTCCTTTGAACAACAGCGAAAGAATGTCCACCTGCTGCCTTTTTTATGTCGAAATCTCGCTCCACTAGATTTCCCTGATGAAATACCGACAGCGTAAGTCAAAACAAATCAAACGCATTCAAATGAAGAATGCTCAAGATATATCTACATGGGAACCAAGAGCAATACACATAGCCTTAACCTGAACATATATGTTAAAAGCACGTGTCCCGACCCTCTTCCAACCAATGTCTAGGATTTCTGATTCAGCAAACTGGAGATGCACTGTGTAGTTACCATTTTCCAGGCCCAAGCCGAAGTATCTCAGCGATCCAGCTGAAATCCGCGCAGTTTGGAACAGCTTTGAATCCAAAGTGTTGTTAAACTGATATGAAGAGGAGAGAGTATTTCTGGGAGGACCATCTGCAGGAAGAACAGCACTGCTCATTGCCCATCTTCTTGACTTTGCGACATAATAAGTTGCAGGGCCGCTAGCTTGATTGTCTGCTTCGTACAGAATTCCATCAGCAGTCCTAAGAGCTGGACCCCCACACTTAATTGAGAAGTTGTAATCTGGAATAAACAGAAAGCAAAACAGTGAAATGTTAGTTAAAAGTTCATATAACTGCATCCGGCTTCTTTAGTGACAAAACAATGCTGTTTTAGATCACACTCACAGCGTGGAGAGCCGCGATAGCGAGGGAAATTCCTTTGAAGACAGAACAATGAGGGAGGCAGTTTGCTGAAAGTAATCATAAGATGCTCCCAATAAGAAAAATGCACCAAAAACAAAAAGTTTCATATGAAAACAGGTAGGTTTCAAGGTAAAGTATGAACAAATTTCTAGAATTCACCTCTTATCAATTTCGGACGAGGTAAAGTTGTTTGCAACCAGATTACTGAAGAAAATCCAAATTGTTATTTGATATTAGTGTAATATCCACATCAAAGTCCTTCCTTCTTGAATATTGAGGCATATACTCACAGTTGTAAGTTTTGGTCGATGACCCAAGAAGGTAAGCTCCCAGATAACTCATTATATGAGAGGTCTCTGCAGCAAAATGTTGTCATGAATAAAAAGTTAAAAGTTCATCTTTCTCCAGCTGACAGAACAGGATTTTGCTTCCAAATTTGTATATTTTGTCAGTCTTAAGTAGCTCAAATTGTCCTACAATCGTATAGAATCAAGGCATCCTCAAATACCCTTCCAAGTGAACCGAAAAAACAGTTTCTAGACTTCGATCACATTGCAACAAACAGTTCAAGCATGACATTAGTGCATATAATGCACCGAGACCCAATGTGACTGACTTACAGGTTCCGGAGACTTGAACTCTTTTGTCGAGGCAGCGAGCCAACTAACTTGTTGTTCCCAAGGAATCTGCAGATAAACGAAAACGATCCCTTTGAGGAGTGGTTTTTTTGGGCACACAAGCTTCATCTTAAGAATTAGTAATAGCCTTTTACATATGTGTGAGAGCAGGTATCTTGAAAAGTGAGTCTGGTATTCTTCCACTCAAACTATTGGAGCTCAAATCCCTGAATAGGTAAAAGAAATAAATAACAAAACAGAAGTACTGGTGCCTTGTACTGAAGAAATCAACTGTACATCTAAATCATTAACTTTAAGAAGCTTATTATGTTCAGGGTAACAAATTATAATTTCTGATGATCAAGGCTAGTATGTTTTAAAATAACCTACTATGCACAGAACAACTTACAGCTGTTGTAGATCCCTGAGATCTCCAATATTGGAAGGGATAGAACCAGAAATATTGTTGTCCCGCAAATTTCTATCAACAGAGACAGATTAGAAATGGGCAATACCTCAAATGTGTATCATCAACTTCAAAGTTTCTTTCTGGATTTTTGAAGTCCTTACAAGGTGCTTAGAGATGTCATATTCATTAGAAACTCCAAGGAGAAGGTCGCATTATGCAGATCGCTTATTTTCCTGCATAGCAGTTGGAAGAGGATAATATCAATTTCCAACAAATAATGTTAGTAAAGGGGTCACTTTGAAGACAACACAAGAAAACAAATCGTGCAAACATAGAATGAGCATCGAACTCACAATTGTTTCAAGGATCTCAAATTTGAAAATGAAAACGGAATTCTGCCCTGAAAAGAGCAACCCTCCAACTTTCTGCATACATATGACCATTTCACTATTCAAAAGCTGTCCAAGAAATTAGTGGATAATTGTAAAGTACTCGAGTCATTCTTGTGAGGATTGTGGATCCTCAAGAGAATGACTGGTTTAACATAGGTAAAAAAACAACTCGCATGCTGTCTCACAGGACACTGAGTGATGACCAATTCCCAATGAAGTCAGGTATTGGGCCGGTGAGTTGAGTATTAGAGCCGTCGCTGAAACAACAAAACAGAATACATATCTTGTCACATTAATTTGATCAAAACTTGGATGAAAGGAAACCTGAAAGAATGGGAAAGAGAGTAATCTTACAATCTGTCAAGGCTTTGTAAACCTGCAAAACTTGGCGGTAGGACACCACTAATCCCAGAGCTGGAAAAATAACTGCAAAAAGTACTAACTTTTTGTGTCTGGAACAGGTGATTTAAAATACAGTTTTAAGGCTGCAACCTAAGCTCTAGTCAATCTAAACCTTAGTTCAGATCAAATACTTACAATTGTGTGAGCCTAGTTAAATGCCCAATCTCAGCAGGGAGATAGCCAGTGAAGTTGTTTGTGTCAAATGCCCTGCAAAATGTGAAACAATTTGTCCATGCTGAGCAGTGATGTGATCGAATATGTAGGTAAGAAACTAATGAAAATGGAACTTACAATGATCTCAAGTCTGTTAGCATACCAAGCTCCTTCGGAATTTCCCCTGATAATGCATTGTGGCCGAAAGCCCTGATCAAAGATTAACTTCCTCTTAGTTTTCATCACTATTAAATACTCATCAACAAACGAGCAAACAACCTAAATCACTCACAAATATTGCATACGAGTCAGCCGGGAAATGGATGAAGGTATTGAACCTGTAAAGTAATTTCGTCTCAAGTCTCTGCAGTAAATGAAGAGAAGGAAACTTCATACTATCAGAAAATGAAAAAATTAAATGCTGGAAAAAAAGAGAAAAACTCACAAGTCTTCAAGGTAAGTCAAATTCCATAGCTCATGCGGAAGTAACCCCACAAGGTCCATTTCATAAAGTCTACTGCAGATATACAGATATAAGTGAGCATCTCCAGGCTCGATGCGAACGGCATTACATATGAAGGCAGTGAGAAAAGATTGATTTGAATTATTGAACTCACAGTGCAGTAATGTGGCAAGTGTTGCCGTAATCGCAGTAACATTTAATACCCGGGTTTAAGGTCTGGAGGTTTGTGGAGCCAACAATGGCCAGCCCACTGCATAATTCACCACTGAAATTCCACTTAGTAGGTGCTGGAACACCCAATCTCTGGAACATTGAGTTCACAAGTCTTGCTGGCAAGTTCAATACATTGACATAAACAAGTTAGGAAAAAGAGTGAAGCTTGGAACCAGACAAACTAACTAGTTTGTTCATCATCATCCACATCATTCATTCATTCATTCATTTCATGGCGAATTCAAGTTGATGAAAGAAAATTAAAGCACATACCTTCAAAGGGATCGGTTTGGTTCTGTCCAACCGCCAATCTTGAAAATGAGCTAGCTAAAGCCACCACCAACAGCAAACACTGAAGAAACCCAAGTGAAAATAAATCGAGTACTGTATTCGATTTCTTCTTCTTGCTCCAATAACCAGACACTATTCTCATCATCTCCATTACTGATTCAACTTATTGCAGCACAGCTTGAACACTATCATAGTAAATAGTACCGTTTAAGGGGTACAATATGTTAGTTTGTCAAGAGACAACATATATTAAGACCATTTCAAATAAATACAGCCAGGTCTGGCTGTAGTTTAAGACGAATCATTTCCAGCGTTCATACCCTTTTCTTGAATTTTGGCTCCATCAGGGTTTATATTTATTAGTCACACCTTCCAACTAAACTTACTTTCAGTTTGTGCATTATGTAAATGTGCAACAGAAGGTTCTGTGAGTTTAGTTCGTACGCTAATGAATAGTACTAGTCAACGCATATCCATATCCCATATATAATATGTACTTTCCTTAAATAGAACTAAGTTTGTCACTTTCATAATTCCGGCAGCTGTTGAAGAACCAATACATTGTCCAAATTTGCCAGCATCACTGTCAAAATGTAACATGGACAACAGGTGAAAATTTATTCCTCCCAGCGTTTTCAAACACATTACCCGCCAACACAACACTTCGGGTGTTGTAAAGCCAACATTTTTAGTCCTGTGACGCGGGTATTAATTTCTCTAAAACTCATGATTACTTAACCTGCAAATCTCAACCCATCCTGCCCTTAACATTCAAATGCTCAGTCTCATTAATCAAAGTTATAGTTACATTCTGTTAGAATTATGGATCATAGGTTACAGAATCAAATTAAAGTAGCCAGGGTGAAACATGTTGTTGATATTGTCAGTAACTAATACTAGATGTGAAAGATCTTAGGCTGTGGGGGTGAGTCCCATTCGGTAGAATCCTCTCTAGCATAGAGACTCTTAAGGATGTGCAGGCAAATAATTTGCAGCAGGGCAGCCTTGCTTATTGATGAATATTAGTGGATATCATCTGTGATGTTGGGATATCATCTGTGATGTTGGATTATCATCGCTATCTTGCGACTACTCAGCCGAAGCTTGTTCCATCTGCAAACTTCCAGTAACTGAGGAAACCAGGCCTCGATACAGCACCAGTCACCTCACTGTCTCCCGAGAGCATCGCCACCACACGAGACATTGAAGGCCTAACTGATGGAGAAGTTTGTGTGCACAACAGGGCCACACCTATCACCTTTTTCACTTCATTCTCGTTAAATTCTGTTAAGCGCGGATCCACCAGCTCAATGTCACGCTCGTTCTCGTGTAAGTTCCAGGCCTTAAATTCATAAAACAAAATAGAGAGGTAAGGACATTAAACGATTATCATGTAAACTAGTTTCGGACATCTTATTTAGCAGTTCATATGATTTTCACCAACTTTTTGGGTAGATTACGTGCACAACTAATTGTCATTTCCAAGTGTATTCTAGGCTCAAGCTGTATCAAACTGCCATTAGTTTATATGAAGATTGGGAAAATGGACTAGTATTAGCACAAAAATGAAGGATTAATACCCGTTGTAGAAGATAAATCTTATCTTCATTTAGACTTGTAGTGCTGGTGAAGTTTGGCCTTCCACTCACAATCTCAAGAGCTACAACTCCAAATCCAAACACATCAGCCTTCTCAGTAAGGTGTCCTCGCATGGCATACTCCGGTGCAAGATACCCTCTACGCTCAAGTGAGACACAATTTATATGTTTATCATGTTGAATTAAGAATAATTAAACCAGTCCAAAAAATACCGAGAAAGGAAATTGTGAACAAAGCTAGTGGTTTGTACTTACATTGTTCCAGCAACACGGGTGCTTATATGTGTCATTTTGTCATTGTAAAGTTTGGCCAAGCCAAAGTCAGAGATCTTAGGGTTGAGATTGGAGTCAAGCAGAATGTTACCGGCCTTCACATCCCTATGCACTATCCGAACTCGGGATTCTTCGTGAAGGTAAGCCAGACCTCTAGCGACTCCAACGCATATGTCAAACCGGGTTGGCCAGTCAAGGAAACTTTTGGTTCCTGCTCCATTTGAAACAAAAAGATACTATAAAAGAAGTCCCTGTAACCAAAAAACGTAATAGCTCTTGCTTCACGTACCAAATAATGCTTGATCTAGACTCTTATTCTCAAGGTACTCGAAGACAAGCAATCTTCTGTCTCCCTCAATGCAACAACCATACAATTTCACGAGGTTACGGTGCTGCACAGCCGAAATGGTCACAATCTCTGCCACAAATTGACTCTTTCCTTGAAGGGATTCCACAGATAGTAGTTTGATAGCAGCAACTCTTCCGTCGTAAAGAGTTCCCTGTTGGATCGCCAAATTGTGAGTGATGATGTGCAGATGTGCCTCACAAATATATTAGACGTTCATATCCATAATTACTGAAATAAAAGTAGTCTGACTAGTTGATTCTACGTGATTGATTCAATCAATGCTGCTCTAATTTTTGACGATCAGAAATATAAGAAAAAGCTACAACATGACTCTATATACCTTGAAAACAGTACCGAATCCACCCTCTCCAAGTTTATTAGATGGATTGAAGCCATTTGTCGCAGCTCTAAGTTCCGCATAACTGAATGCGTATGGTCTGGCATCCATTCCCAAGATTTCTGAAATTTTAAGGAAAACAAAACAAAATTAAGAGTTCTTACTGTGCAATATTTGTGGTTGGCTATGGTGTGGTTAATCTATTGATATGTTGCAGGTAAACTTAGTCATTTAATAGGGTCCAAAAGAATTGCTTTCTTTATGTCAGTCTCTGTGGATCAAAGGGAGGCCAAAAAGCAAGAAATACTAGAAAACTGGTACTGAATTCAGATACTACAATGGATGTTTTAATTATTTACAGCATATGCTTTGCATTTGATCAAGTTACATGAAGTAATTTTCAGATATTTTTTTTTCTAACCTTCCTCTTCAACCATCTGCCATCTTTCAACTCTTTTTCTTCTCCATATGAGAAAGAACACAGCAAATGCTAACAGAAAGCTTACAGTTACGATGGGAACAACAATGCCAACAATCAAACCATGCTGATTCTTCTTTTCAGGACCTGGAGAAGCATTAGCAACAGTGGGATTGAAATCTGCCAAAACAGCCGAACTGTCACACAGATGGATATGGAACAAAGAAAACTCATAAGCTGTAACTCCTGAGGAATTCAAATCTACCTGGGGTGGCACTAATAGCAGAAACTAGAGGTCCGTATGAACCTGGGCCAGGAATACAGCAAGTTCCCTTGCCATCCCAAAAAAGATGGATTTCCAGGTAGTTTTCAGACACAATAGCGGTATATGCCCTTCTAACAGCGGTCAAAGAGCGTCCACCTGCCTCTCTTTTGATATCAAAATCTTTCTCCACTAGATGCCCCTGGAAAAATGCTGACAGTTAAAAGTCATAACAAATGAAAAGCAATTCTCAAATGAAAGGAAAACATAAGTGTTTTACCAATGAGCGGAAAAGGAAGAATGCTCAAACAACCCTAAAACTATGCCCCAACCCAAAGCTGCAGGCTTTTTATCAAGAAGTTAGAGTTTTTTAAAATTTAGGGTCCAACCAATTGTTACTGTGTTGCTGACAAACCTGGACATATATATCAAAAGCACGTCTGCCAAGACTCCTCCAATCAATGGCATCAAGGATTACTGATTCAGCGAATTGGAGATTTACTGTGTAGTTGCCGTTTTCCAGGCCCAAGCCAAAGTATCTAAGTGATCCAACTGATACCCGCGCATATTTGAACAAGTCTGGATCCGGAGTGTTTTTAGTAGGAGATGTTGAAGGGGGGGGATCTTCTGAATAAGGACCATCCACAGGAAAACCAGCATTACTAACTGCCCATCTTTTTGACTTTGTTACATAGTAAGTAGCTGGACCATTAGTTTGGTTGTCTGCTTCATATTGAATTCCATCAGAAGAAACCAGAGCTGGACCGCCACATTTGATTGAGAAATTGGAATCTGCAAGCAACAAATTAAAAACCAAAGAGCAGCATGTTAAAGTTCATATAGCTAAATTAAGATTTTTATATAAGCATTTGGCTTATCAAGTTTGTCCTAGATCACACTTACAGATTGGAGATCCACGATAGCAAGGGAAATTCCTTTGAAGACAGTACAATCCTGGGGGAAGACTACTGAAAGAGATAATAGGAGTTCAAACAAGTTCAATGGAAAAACATTGGATGGAATATTTGTTATACTTGAAGGTAAAGTATGCAATAAGTAGTTGCTATCTTAGCACTCCCACCTGCTACCTAAATCTGACAGGGTAAAGTTGTTGGCCACCAAATTACTGAACAATAACCAGGATTTGCTTAGAGTTAGTGCAATTTAGAAACATAAGTACGCCACATCATACATTGAGGCACACTTATACTCACAGCTTTAAGTTTTGGTCATTGGTCCAAGAAGGGAAGCTCCCTGATAATTCGTTATACGACAGGTCTCTGCAGTAAAAATAACCATCAATGATTTAGGAACTTCGTTGTACTGCTGATTGCTGACAGAAAGAGAGGGTTGCTTCCAAACATGTAGTTAATCGTAAACTGTTAAACTGAATTCTTGAGTCTAGACTTCACTAATTCCCACAAATTATTCAGTCGGGGAACGGTTTATTATTCAGACTAATGTGGAAACTATCATCTTAAATTAGCCCGAGGACAGTTCTAGAGCTCACTTACTAAACATGTTAAGCACCAGGAGGACAAATTGGAGTACCTATTTCCAAATAATTCTCTAGCCACTAAGACAAGAAATCCTTTGTTTCTTAAGACAAAGGACTCCAAGCCGCCTCCTCATTGTACTAGCATATCAAGCCAAAGAATGGTGTGCTTTATCTAGGAATTTACACAACACTAGGTCACTACAGGTCGGCTACTCTATAATGGCAATAACAATAGTTCACGTAATGACATTCCTATAATGCAGCGAAATATGAAGTGACTTACATATTCTGGAGATGAGAACTCTTTTGCTGAGGCAGGGAGCCAGTTAAGTTGTTGTTACCGAGAGATCTGAAAATGAACCAAACTGTTAATGTTTTGATCATATCCGGGGAGGGAGCTTAATTAATGAGAAAAAAAAAAAAAGAGAGAGATTCAGTACATATGCGTGAGATTAGCAACGTTGAAAAGAGACTCGGGTATGTGCCCACTGAAACTATTGAAACTCAAATCCCTGAAAAGTGAAAAAAAATTGATTAACAGAAAAGAGTATCAACATGACATAATTAACCAATTTACTATCGAACCTGGCTATGTTTTACTTCCTCGCCAACTCAGGTTTAGAATAGTCAATTTGCTATAGGACAACTTACAGATGTTGTAGATTCTGTAGCTCGCCTATGTAAGAAGGAATGCTACCAGAGGCATTGTTGTTTCTCAAAACTCTACCAGGAAATGAGATAGTTCAGGATGAAATTCGGAAAAAGGGGAGCAAAGAAAAAAAACTGTAATTGCATTAACTTTAACGAGTTTTTGAGCCTTTTTCCTTTAAGTTCTTACAGCGTGTTTAGTGACTTCATATTCCGAATAAACTCCAAAGAGTAGCTCCCATTTTCTTGGGTTAGGTCGCTTATCCTCCTGCATATATATTATTTGAGACGTAACATCAATTTCTAGACAACGTGAAACCAAAGCAAAGGTGGGACACACATTATAGAAGCAGGAAAACTCACAAGTCTGTTAAGGATGTCAAATTTGAAAATGAAGATGGTATGGTGCCTTGAAAAGAGTTACCCTGTAACCTCCTGCACACACACAACATCTCACTGATCAAGTATTTTGCGACATAACATTCATCAACCATTTGAAATATTTACGTCTTCTTGAACAAGTGAGGATTATGGATCATGGAGTCATATTAAGTAGCTAATTATTAGCAAACAAAAACTCTAAATTCTGCCTTACAAGACTCTGAGCAGCGACCATTTCCCTATGAAGTCGGGTATCTGACCAGTGAGTTGATTATCAGAGCCCCGTCTGCAAGAAACCAAAGATATCTTCTGGTGATTGTTATTTAAAAACAAAAAAAAAATCGTGCATGAAATGAATGGAAAATAGAAATCTTACATGGTAGAGAGATTTCGTAACCTGGCAAAACTTGGAGGTATGACACCTCTAATTCCCGCGCTATCAAAATTGCTGCACAAGGTATGAACCACTTATAACCGTTGCTCAGAAAGCTGTAGTTTAATTATAATATCCTTTTGTTGATACTGAAATTCTGGATAAAGCTCAGTGATATGCATGGCCCAAAAATGTGGAAGGATCCAGTACTTGCAGGGTGAATGGTACTTTGAAAAATTTAATGCAAACAACTTTTGACAGTTTTAGCTCAAGATCAATCAAACTGCTAGCCAGTAAGTGCATGGTCAAAGTGATTTTAGAGAAACTTACATTTCTGTGAGCCTAATTAAATTCCCAAGCTCTGATGGGAAAGAACCAGTGAAGTTGTTGATGCCAATTGACCTAAAAAATTGTCAAAAGGAGTCAGAGATCCCCACCAGATCAGAATAGCATTTCTCTGCATACTTAGGCATTGAAGAGCAAACAAACTGACGAGTCCATATCCACTGAGGATCACTGGACCGGCCCGTCAACCAATTATGGTCCAACCGACTTAATAAAGGCAGTTCCAGAACATGAAACCTAGTGGGATTCGGCATCCTTCAAGTCTCAGGCTATGTTTCGAAATCAAACATGCAACTTAACTTTTGGGAAAAACCACAAAAACTAAAACTATATTCAATCACCAATGATGTCAGGAAGTCTTACAGTACTCTCAAGTCTGTTAGCAAGCCAAGTTCCTTAGGTAGTTGACCTGATAACGAATTAAAGCTCAAGTTCCTAATTCCAAAAAAAAAAAGAACCCAATTAAGTCCAATGCATAAAACATCGATAACTTCCGAAGCATTGCATAGTTTGTAAAATGAACAACATAGACCCACAAATGCTGTAACCGAGTTAGCTGCGAAATGGCTGCAGGAAGTGGACCCCTAAAGTAATTCTTTTCCAAATTTCTGCCACCAAAAAACACAGAAGTCTGGATTACATAGGAATCATACCGGGACGAGCACTATGCATGATAAATACCAAAGATTAAATCACGATCCCAATGAAAGTAAACTCACAAAGTTTGGAGTGAAGTCAGGTTCCAGAGCTCAACTGGGAGAGATCCATTACGATCCAATTTAAAAAGCCTACTGCAAGGATGTGTTACATAGATGAGATAAGCAACAAAATTTTTTTGGTCCAAAAATGAGGATAAATTTACAGGTTAAGGCAAGAGGTCATTAAACTCACAGCCCCGTGATATGGCATAGAGTACCATTATTGTGAGAGCAATCACACTTAATACCCACATCCAAACTTTGGATATCTGTGGTGGAGTCAACAGCCGACCCGGTACATAATTCACCACTGATGTTCCATCCAGTAGGCGCCGGAACATTCAATTTCTGGAATATGGAATTCACAAGTCTTGCTGCAGGTTTAACAAACGAATGTAAAACAAATGCCTTGTATCAAATGCATGTACAACATTCAATGGCGATCTACCATCTGTCATCTAATCAATGTAGCTACTAATTGTTTCCATCCATCAATCAGCAGGAGTACCTTGAGTGGGGTCAGTGGTTCGAGTGGGGGGTTGTTTCTGATTCTGGGCAACGGCTAATCTTGAAAAAGAGCAAGTAATTACAGCCAACAACAACAACAACAACAAATGAAATTGTATCTTCTTCCAATTCGCAGAAAAAAGGTTCATCTTTTTTTTTTGTCAGTTAATTCAAACCTAAAGTTTACAGAGGACTAAACTTGCTGGTAATAAAGCAACAACAATTTAAACGTTCTTGGTTTCATATTCCAAACCTGAAATAGGTGTTCCTTAAATATGGTCCAAAAAAATGTTGACTTTTGACGACCCATGAGAAAGAAAAATGGCCAATGAAAAAGCGGTCAATAGTGGTGGGACTAGGTGGTTGAGGAAAAAATCATACTACAAGGTTTTCCATTCATATTCTTTCTAGAATTGGACAGACTCAGCCTTTAAAAAACATAGAACCATTCCGGTAGACGTGTTCCCGCTGATGAAAGGTCACATGGGAACCCTAATGCATCTTGCATTGCATCATGATTTTCGTTTGTTTCCTTGAAATAAAAGGACAAACAAATGGTGACTACCAGTATTGCCAAGGGAGATTTTTTCCTTGGCATTCTTTGTTGAATCCACTCGTCTCTGTTTGAGGAGGTTGAGTTTTGGCTGCCAGACAATTCGGCCAAGAGGCGCCATAATTGTTGTTTTACATTGGGGGGATTTCATATCCAAAACTCCACACCAATCTTTTCAATCATTGCTGCTGCATCATCCTCCCGGAAGTGTTTGTAGGTGTCTCCTGAGAACGAAACCCGAGTTGGCCTATTAAATTCTGCTTCTCCTGAAAACCCTAAACCCTTCTGAAAAATCATATATACGAAAACAAACGACGTTTTTGCCAAAAAAAAAAAAAAAAATTACAAATACTAACAGTGAATCTTTGATTTATCAAGAGCACATCCCACTAAGAAAGAATCATAGCTCCATCCTTTCTCTCATACTACAAATTAGACAAGGCGTAGAATTAGAGAGCGGACAGATGATGAGCGGAGAATCTCCCCCTCCTCCCATTTCAAATTTATCATAGCATTCCCCTGTAGCAGCATCATTGATCATTATAGCTATCATTTCAGCCTCCTGAAAAATCATTTCACTTAATTTTATGATCCAAGTAAAAACAATAACAATAGATAATGAACATGGAATACACGATATTACCAGTGGCCGTTGGTCATTCACTAGAAGGAGATGCAAATGCCTCCAACATTGGGATGAATCCGTTGTCATCATCATAGCTTTCGTCATCATACACTCCATCATAAGTATGATAGTCGCTGCGACGACAATGTTCTGAGTAATAGTAGTGAAGGTCATCATTTCCCATTTCTCGTTGTTGTTCCACAATCATCTCTACCGAGTTAAAGGCTTTAGGGGATGCATTCACAAGAAAGGTGTTCAAGCAGCAAATGTCTCCAAAGCTCGAAGGAATTTCCTCAAGTCTGGTACAATGTCCCAGGTAAAGCTTCTCGAGACAAGGAAGTGGACTGTCACTACAATCGGAGTCATTTATTCGTTTGACATTCATCTGACATAACAGCAAATACGTAAGTTTCAAGAACTCCCCATCTCTCAAATCCCAGGTATCCCCGTTGCATGCATTCTTATGTAATGTGAGAACCTGGAGATTGGGTAGCTTCCCAATTGTTGACATAACCCTCCAAGGTAGATTTAATTTCGATAGAGACAACTTCTTGAGAGTGCACGGGAAGTCTAACTGTAAACTTCGCCAATTAGGAGGGAGGGGATTCTTGCAACACACTGTGATCGACAACTTCTCCAGTTTTTCCAAAGATCCAAACTCAGATAAACTCTCGGGACCGAATTGTTTACAATAGAAGCATTTCAACTTCTTAAGCCTCTTTAGTCTTCTTAAAAACTCCACCGTCATGTGAGAATCACACATCTTTATTTGGCTAAGTTTCTCAATATTACATGCTTCTGCCGTAGAGTAGACACTATGCTCAAAATCATCAGTGTCAAGATGAAAATCTCCAACGGAAACACTATTTAAGGTTTTCATCTTCCACAATGAATCTGGTACAGTCACGTAGCCTCTTACTGAATATAGAATCAAAGTTTCCAAGTTCCACAAATTAGATATTGATGAAGGAATATCAGAAAAAGAACCACGCAATGCCAAGTATCTCAAATGAATATTGTGCAATATTACTTGAGGAAATGAAGAACCCACCAGATTCACATTCATCATATCGCACCTTGTAAGGACACTGAATCTACCAAGAAAGGAAGACAATGATGCATATTGAATTGGTCCAGGGACATAATGGGACCACAACAGAGAGCAAACCTGGGTCGGCCATAGTTCCTTTCGGGTAGAGTTAGATGATAGCTGCTGGGTGGAGGAAGCAAGATCGCAGTCACCAATGGAAAGCCAAATGTGGTGGTGAAAGTTATGAAGATTACGGTCATAAGTGCGATCTAGAACGATACTGGGGTTTACCCAATGTAAGAGATTATCTTCCACGGCAGCTTTCTGGACACACAGGTCATAAATGAGATCATGAACATGACAACTCTTTATCTTTCCCATCAATCCTCTTTCAGAGACAACCACCAGGTTCTGAGAAATAAGATCATCCAAGTACTGATAAGCCAACTCTTCCGAACTATGCATCTCACTATTCTCAATGAATCTTTGATCAATCCAAAAACGTATCAGATTTTTGGCATAAATGATTGAACCCTTTTCAAAAGCTCCAAAACAAAGAAAGCACAACTTCAAATGATGTGGCAAGTGCTTATAACTTAGCTCTATGACATGCATGCACCCTTCACTTGTAAGATGTGATTTCATATTCTTGGCCACTTCCTTCCATGTTTCCAATTCTCGTGCTATCCTTTTCAGGTAAGATGCAATCACGGCGACTGCCAAAGGCAAACCTTTGCAATAATCTGCAATTTGTAATCCTACCTCCACAAGTTCTGGAGAAAGATCATCACAGTCAGGAATCTTATCCCTCATCAAATCCCAACTTTCATCAATAGAAAAGGATCGAAGATGATGGGACAATGAACCTGGTAATCTGCATTGTGAAGCAAGAGCATCATTTCGACTGGTAAACAAAATTCGACTCCCATTTTTATCATTTGGAAATGAATCTTTCACTTTGAACCATGCATTAACATCCCAAATGTCATCTAAAACGACAAAATACCTTTTTCCCTTCAAGCTTTTCCGCAAAACCTCAACTATATCTTGGATTTGTAGATTACCATCTGCACAGTCACTGACAGCCTGTAAGATTTTGAGCAATGATTTACTTGTTTCACATCCTTTAGAGAGATAACACCACGCAATTTTGTGAAAATGATAGTGAACGGACTGATCAGCAAAAATGTCCTGGGCTAACCTTGTCTTGCCTTGGCCAGGCATTCCAGTAATGGATATGATTATGAGATCATTTGGCCCTCTTAGAATATCTAGGATTGATTCCCTTTCCTCTTTAAAGCCTATGAAAGTTCCTTCATATTGCTTTGAAGATGTTTCCCGCAGCACCAAATTGTTACTAGATGTCATCTGAGTATTGAGCTTTTTACTGCTGCATATATGAAGGTCATCTTGAATCTTTTTGACCTCACACCGCAAAAGATTTATGTCTTGTATGGTGCTTTGTAGGAACAAAATACCATACCAAACAGATGGATTTCTGATTGGGCATAGCTTCGTGACATATGTTGCATAGTGTATCACGTTAACTATTTGAGTCTGTAAATCTGTGAGTATGAAGTTCTCAGTTTGCGGCTCCAAGTCAAGCTGAAGAAATGGCCTCAACGATGCTAGCCCTTGATGCACTTCTACAATTTGATTCTTCATGGAAGGAATAAAATCCACGCCCCCATCCAGCATATTCTGCAGTGTTTCTGAGAGTGAATCAAGAAATCTGATAGCATTAGTCCTGGGAGAAGTGAATCGCGACGAAAGAGGACTAACCACAAACAACTTTCTTGCGCGATCCTTGGCTCCATCAATCCTGTCAAGTAAACTTGATAACTTGTGGTTATCAGGGTTGGAAATGACAAACGGCACTTCACTGATGATCGCGTCGATTTCAGCCAGAATCAAGGCCGTTTCTTCTGAGCCATCCTCTTTTGGTGAGTCCATGACAAAAGATAACAGGAATATCAACCCTTCCCAAAGGATTTCAATGTCATGGCTAGCATATTCCGTGGCTACATGCTCAAGAAGAAAACCAACATAACCCTCAAGCAGCCAGGGAGACCACAAGCCTTCAAATTTATGATACTCTGCAGACATAAATACATCAAGGAACAACCCTATCGTCTCTGGATGGTAAAGACTACTTTTTCGCATCAAATCAGAAAGCCTCGTTCCCATTTCAGATGCTAGACACTCATCATCAATTTCATCAACCCAATACGAGAATAGGAGACACGAGATGTGACTCGCCCAAGTTTGAATGTGATATATGAGCTCCCCTGTTCTCGTGAACTCAGGTGGCCATTTGTTAAGAGGTATTACAACAAAGTTTCGAAACAACTTGAGCTTCCCTCTTATGAAATCTATCTGTTGCTTCACAGGAATAAGTATCCCACCAGTAAAAGAGCAGAGATTTTTCAGGATCAGATCAATGAAACCCAATGTCTCAAGTCCATATTCAGGATGAGACGACAACTTGGGTTGATACTTACATTTGATGACTTGATCATGTTGTAAAAGTACATAGCAGATCTCTGTGGCTAATGACTTGTGTTCCTCCATCATCATCCATAAACTATAGCTCAATGGCTTCTCCGGGATAACATCTGTGGCTGGAGCTTCAAATTTCATTCTGAACTCCTCTGCCGTCCCTCTAAATTGTTGTACCATTAAAGTTAAACCCAACATCCAATCAGGTTCTACAAGTTCTTGGGGAAAACCAAACCCCCAAAACAACATTTTGAAGAGATTTAATCCTTGAGAGATATGCCTGATGAACCTCTCCAAATCAGTGGGTGGGGAATAATTACCAAAGCCCGAGTCCAAGATATCAAGTGCGGGATCAACACAAGTTTGATATTGCTTCAACTTCCGATCCATGTTAAGGAAAAAGAAACCAAGAACAAGCAAGCTCGCCTTAACTACAACCAAAAAAAAAAAAATCTATAATAAATTAGACCACTTGATTAATAAATTTACTTACTAATATTCCCCAAATTGAGCATTTTTTCCCACTTTACTTTGATTTTTTTTATTACTAATATATATGTGGAAATGTATTTTACAAAATTTCTCTACGTACTTTTCCGAGTTCTGATTATAAGTCATTTTGATTTATCTTAACTTTTACTTATTATAATTTTTTTTATTATAAAAAAAATCTTAAAAATACATGTTCATATTCATAATTCATTGCGTTGAAATAACTATTAAGAACTAGTATCTTGAAAGTTTTTTTCTCAATTGAAAAAATATAACAAATCAAAATACCTATAACAAGGACCGGAAGGAGTAGTAGACAATTATTTTGCATAGAAAAAAAATAGAGGTGGGCAAATCAACAATTAATCATTTCAGTAAAAATAAATCATTTAAACGAACTAAACTGGTAATAAAACTAGATTAATTTACTAAGACAGATACTATAACTTATTATAAGAATTTTCAGTGACCCCGTGGTTTACCTTACAAAATTACGGGTTCATTGGATTCCCCTAACTTAAATTAGTAACAAAACCATGCATACCTTGTTATTAATTCAATTGATGGGATGCAGCACTTTGACCTCTTTTTTATCGGTCTTCTTCTTCCAAGTGAAACTCCACCTTATAGTACTTTCCTTCAAATTCCTATGACTTTTCGCCTTCCTGTTTTATGTAAATGTAGAGAGATTAACTAGAAAGAAGTTCTTACTAAACACTATGAGTTATCGGGGGAGAAAAGTGGAAAACCAGTGGTGGGGGGAGAGCTGAGTGAGTTGAGTTGAAGTTTTGGAAAAATGGTAAGAGGTAGTATTAAAAGTTGTGACATAATATATAACTAGTTAAATGAACAAATTTGCTTTCTGGGATTGATAAAGATGAAGAATAAACAAACCACAAAGTGACAATGTTAACAGGCGGAAGCGCTTCTTCTTTTTCTTTCTTTTTTTTTTTTCCCGAAATAACCGGCGGCTGCTTTGTTTGATTGGTTTTTTCTCTTAGGTTGTTTTATTAATATATTAATCTCAACATATCTTCTTTTAACATTTTTAATTCTTGATTTTTTCATTGAAAAAATAAAAGCACACAAAACAAAAAAGGACCAGTGGATTGTAATTAATATCTCGGTAATTATTTATAACTTTTTTTATATAAAAAATATACTACTCTTTCCATTTCAATTTGCAGGTCGTTTTAACTTTGAAGAAATTTTTTAAAATATAGGTCGTTTTATAATTTCTAGGCAAATTAATGATTATCTAAATATACCCTCAATAAATAATGTCAATATATTTTATTTAGTTTTGTCAAATTTCAATGTAAATAATAAAAAGTAAAACATATATTTAACACATAAATTAATTGTTAGATGATTGTCTCTTTTGTTTATATTTTGAAATGGATGGAGTAATTATTTTGACCCAAAAATTTGAAGGTGAGAAAGAAGACAAGAAAGGGAAAGAAACGTCTTGAAAGGTGAAAAAGTAGTGGAGGGTCAGGAGGTGGTGGGTGCCAAGTGCGAACTACTTCTTAAAAAATTACTACTTAATTACTCGTTCCGTTTTTTTTTTATAGGTGGTTTTAGGAATCATGAAATTTTTTTAAATATATGTTATTTTTACATATTGAATCATATTTAATTTATTTTTTATCATTATTATCTTTATATTAGAAATAAAACAGTAATTATAATGAATTTTTATTAATTTATTTATAAAAACAATAAATAAGATATATTTATATTTTAATTATATTAATTAATGTTTTATTGGTATTGATAAATTTTTTAGAAAGAGATATAAAAAAAATGGAGGTAGTAACTTTTTTATACTACGAAGGAATGTAAGAGTACTGTTAGTATGTCATTTTAACATTTACTGGATTTTTTCTAAAAAATATTCGTCATTTTCATTAATCAATGCACATTTTGACAATTTTTTACGAATATTATCATAAATTTTTATTATTATATGATAAGTTGTATGAATAATAAATAAGAATGATTTGTATTTGAAATACATTAATTAATATTTCTTTCATTTAATGAGTTCTCTAAAAAGATATTTCTTTCGTTTAATGAGTTCTCTAAAAAGACATTAAGAAAAAAAAAGAATTAAGAGAGTAATGATGCATGGTTGAGACATTTATTATACTATGGACCTGGACCATTCTGGTAATTCACGCGCCGAAAATTGACGCAAAAAAGGGAGTAATCTTTTCTTCTGTTTAAACCTAAACCAAATCAAACTAAAACTAAATTGACGTATCAAATCTCATCCTTTCTGAAATTTAAATGGAGAGATTATACACAGTTCAAAATCTTTGTTACTCGTGTAATGTCAAAACCCTATCTTTTATGTCCGCCAATAATCAATCTAAACATAGCCGACAATCCCGATATTGACACTCCCAAAAATTCGATACGAGACCATCGTCAGACATGGATGCCCCGGAGGCCATTGCCGTTGTCCGTCATCGCCACCGCCGTCGTTATCCGCGACCACCACCGCCGCTGTCCGCCCCCTTCACCTCCACTTCGCGCCATAGCAGCCTAAAATTTCTAACATAGAAGGTTAGCATTTAATTTTTTCTTATTGAATTATAGGAGTATGTACGTATTGATTGTTTTTTCCAAATGAATTGTATGCTCTGGTTTATGATTTTTTTTCTCTTTTCTTTGTTCGCAAATCCATTACTGATTTGAGTCATTGGCATGCGCATTATGACAAGCAACCTGTACTTTAGTGTGGGTGTTAAATGGTTGTTGATCTGCAGATTTACCCTCTGAATGCTAGATGTCTAGAAAGATTTAAAATCAAGAAAAATAATTTTATTTTATTTGAATTTCTATCCAATAACTTTTAAAATTTTCACTAAAACCACATTTTAAATTATATCTTCAATTCAAAACAATAAATAAGCCAAAAACTTAAATAAACCATTTTTTATTCGGATTTTCACCCCACAATTTTTTTGTATTTTTTTTAAAAAAGTTTGAATTTTTAATTAATTATTATAGCGCGGTAAAATTTTAGAAATAACTCAAGATTTATTGTAACTGTCAAAGTCAATTATCTTGGTTTTGCTTTTTTTTTTTAATTTAAATTTTAAATTATTTACTGTGACTCAGTAAATTTTTAAAGTTATAGTGAGTTGAGGTTAAAAGTGCAACATAATTACCGTTTACTTTAGTAAAGAAAAAAAATAACTTTAAAAATAATTTAAATTTTAAAATTTTAAAATAATATTTTGAATTAATAAATAATAGTTTAAAAATTAAATAATAAATGGAAGATTTTTATAATATTTTTAATGTGAATTTTTAATAGTTTAAATGTGAATTTTTATAATATTTTTAATGATTTAAATTTTATTGGAAGATTACATTATATGAAAAGATGAAAATATCCCTGATTTCGGCATGTCAACTGCCAATCAACATCGAGTTGGACAGAAAAGTGGTTGAAACAGTGAAATGGAACCAAAAGAGTGTGAAAACATATTGTTTGGGACTACGATATTAAAATGTTAATGTTAGGAATGTAATTTCAAGTAAGTCCAAATGTAAGGGACTATTTGGACATTTTAGTTTTCTATTTGTCGTTTTCTTTTTGGTTGGGTTAAACAGTTGCTAACTTTTGTTTTAAATTTTTTTAAAAGAAAATGTTTTCACATGCATGTTTTTAAATACGCCCAATGAAGTTCTTTACAAAACACTGAAATTTTGCAGAAAACTGAAAATCCAGTAGGAATGAGATCAGCTGAGTGAGATGAGTTGAAGTTTTGGGGAATGATCAGATGTAGTGTAAGTGCATGTATAGGCTATATAAGACTTGTTGTGAATCAATAATGTATTGGTTGTATTCAAGTTAAAAAGAACAAATATGCTTCCTGGAATTTCGGAAAATTTTAAGATAAAAGGAATAAATAAAATGGCAAAGTGACAATACTAAGAAGTAGGGCGGCTGTTTCCATTCATCTAATCCTTACTTTAAAGTTTCTTCCACGCTAATGTCACATTCACCCCTTCTTAATAAATTAATTACCTTTAAATGTAACCGTTACCATGACATTTATGTCCGAAGTATATATTGTTGGATTGGAGGTAATAATAACATTAGAAAAATCGACTAGTGCTTTTTTATGTCTTCCACATTCAACTACGTATATTAAACTATGTTACAATAGATGAAAGTTGGTGCGTTATCATTGTCTAATTCTATCCTTCTATATCCAATCCTCGTAATCACTTTATGACTTACATAGATGTTATTATGGATATCATTAGGGAAAAGAAACTGGTAACCTTTTTTCTTCCGATCATTCTGTAAACATTTCAATGGAAAATTGAATTCAGTAGTTTCTTGGGGTTTTTTTTTATATTAATTATATTAATATATTAATTGTAATTATATACAAATCGTGGGAATTATATTAATTCATAGAAATCGTGGGAAGGAAAAGAAACCAATAGCTTCTTGGGTTTTTTTTTTTTTTTCTGAACATTCTGTAAAGAGATTTCTTTAGAAAAATCGAAGTCGGCAAAAATTAAAGCAGAAATCAAGAAATGGGACACCATTTCGCTAAAATCCGACGTGACATCATTGGAACACGACCCCATCTCGCTACATATATACTACTCCGTTTCTCATCAGGCACCTCCCACTACACTGCCAAGCATTGGTTGTTCAACAGTTCTGGAGGAACAGTTTGCACTTGTCGTGTCGCTTATCGACAATGAATCATCCTGACGACTAAAATCTCTGGTTGTTGTCGTCATGAAGGTCGCTGCATCACCGAACTTGAAATCAGTAAGATAATCAGGCCTTGTAGTAACGCGAGTCACATCGATGTCTCCAGAGAGCATTGCCAGCACGCGAGAAATTGAAGGCCTCGATGACGGAGAGGCTTGTGTGCATAACAGCGCCACATCTATCGCCCGTCTCACTTCATTCTCATTGAATTCAGCTAAATTTGGATCCACTAGCTCAATGTCTTGCCCTCTCTCATGCAAGTTCCAGGCCTAAAATTGCAGCAGACATGTAAAACTCAAGCAAAGAACCAAATTTAACAGCATGGAAACAACTGAGTGCACATAATAAGTAAAAGTCAGTCCTAGCTTTCTGTCTCCTCTTTCCTTTTCTTTTTTTTCCCCCCATCTCCCACCTACTGAACTAGTGGGATTATGTTGCCGTTCTTTTTAACAAAGATTTTTTTAATAGACCTCACGGCTTATGCATGCACAGTCCTGGCTCAGGTAGATCGATAGTTGCACATGGTTATGAACAAATGGAGTTATACGTTTACTACAGTTTAGTGGCATTACCAATTCGAGGAGATAAATCTTGTCTTCCTCCAAACTTGAACTGGAGATTGGCCTTCCACTCACAATCTCAAGAGTTACGATTCCAAATGCAAACACATCAGCTTTTTCACTAAGGTGTCCCCGCATGGCATATTCCGGAGCAAGATAGCCTCTGCAGTCCAGTGAGTAACAACAAATTGTTAGTTTTCCCATTCAAATGTGAATTAATCAAAACGCTGAAATTGTAGCAAAAAGACTGAGAAAGGGCATTGTGATGTCTGAGCTTATGGTTTGTGATCTCACATTGTTCCAGCAACATGGGTGCTTATATGTGTCATTTTGTCATCGTAAAGTTTGGCCAACCCAAAGTCAGAAATCTTGGGGTTGAGATCAGAGTCAAGCAGAATGTTACTGGCTTTCACATCTCTATGCACTATTCGAACTCTGGACTCTTCGTGAAGGTAAGCCAGACCCCTTGCAACTCCCAGGCATATGTAAAAGCGGGTAGGCCAGTCGAGGTGTAGACTACTAGTTCCTGCTCCAATCAAGCAAAATGCTCCATAAGTTCTTCATGCGTTCTTTCCTTGTGAAACAAATGGCACGGTAATGTTTGCTTACATACCAAATAGTGCTTGATCAAGACTCTTGTTCTCGAGAAACTCATAAACAAGTAACTTTTTACCTCCCTCAATACAACAACCATGAAGTTTTACAAGGTTACGGTGCTGAACTGCAGAAATGGTAGCAATCTCAGCCACGAACTGATTTTTCCCATGGTCAGACGCCACAGATAGTTGTTTGACAGCTACAACTCTACCGTCACTAAGTGTTCCCTGTTGAATCATCGAGTACCGCATAAGAAATCATAGATAGGGTTCCAGAGTAGTAAATTGAACTGGAAAAACATCCAGAAACATCATTCTAAATCATTTTGTTTTAAAATTAAACAGCAAAGCCCTTATAGTTGAGTTTTGCAAAGATATAGGGCCCGCCCTTTGCATGTTGACCCTTGAGCCCGTATGGACAAGTGAGGAATTTACAGATCCAGTTCCAGTCATAATATTAAATGGTCAGAAAAGGACACCAAATTTTGGGTAGAAGCCGCAGTCCATCTATTAGTTTCCTCACTCTCGTGTACACCATTTTCCCTCATTTTGTTGAGCTATAATGTTGGAGTGGCCTTTACTTCAAAGTCAATTAGTAATTACCTTGAAAACAGAACCGAATCCACCTTCTCCAAGTTTATTAGAAGGGTTGAAGTCGTCTGTTGCAGCTCTAAGTTCTGCATAACTGAATGTGTATGGTCTTGTATCCATTCCAAATAACTCTGGCAATTTAACAGAAAAGCAGATTATGTTGGCTTTCAGGATTCCAAGCAAAATATAGTGTTTGATAGTCTTCTTCTTAGTTAAGGGAATGGAACTTTGTAACCATGTATCATCCGGTCTAGGATGTGTGAGTAAAATTTGGTGCATAAGCAAGAAGTTGGATAATATGATTATCATGCAGACGGCATTAGAATTATTTATGTAACCTCTTACTCAAGCAAATTGTAATGCTCATGTATGTTAAGGTTGCTTCTTTTCTTACCTTGTTCCTCAGACTCCTGCTGCCTTTTCTTTCTCCAGATGAAGAAGTATACACAACACACAAACAAAAAGCTTGCAACAACAAGTGGAACAACAATCCCGGCAATCAAACCAGCCCGATTCCTCTTAGATGAGGGAGGAATATTAGACACCGTAGGAATAAAATCTGTAAATATCCCGTCACAAATAAGTTGAAGAAGAAGGAAGAAAACCAATAGACTCCAACAGATTCACAATTGTACCTGGGGTGGCGCTGATAGCATTTACTAAAGGCCCGTAGGAACCTGGAGCAGGAACACAACAAGTTCCCTTCCCAGCCCAAAACAGATGAATTTCAAGGTAGTTTTCAGAGACATTAACCTTGAATTCCCTTTGAACAGCTGTAAAAGAACGTCCACCTGCTGCCTTTTTTATGTCGAAATTTTGCTCCACTAGATTTCCCTGAACGAAATGACAATATCTCAAGTCAAAACAAAATCAACCACATTTTAGAATAGTTATATGCCAACCTAGAGTTGTACACACGGTATCATTCAGAAAGTGCTAAACAAGAATTTGGAGTTTGACTCAAGGCCCAATTTAGTACAGTTAAGCACAAACCTGGGCATATATATCAAAAACACGTGTCCCGATACTCCTCCAACTAACATTGTCAAGGATTTCTGGTTCAGCAAACTGGAGATGTACTGTGTAGTTACCATTTTCCAGGCCCAAGCCGAAGTATCTCAATGAACCAGCAGAAATCCGCGCGGATTGGAAAAGCTCCGAATCCAAAGTATTGTTAAACCGAGATGGAGAGGAGAACATATATCTGGGGTTAGGCCCATCGGCAGGAAGACCAGCATTGCTCATTGCCCATCTTCTCGAATTTGTGACGGAATAAGTTGCCGGGCCGCTAGCTAAATTGTCTGCTTCGTACAGAATTCCATCTGCAGTCCTTAGAGCTGGACCGCCACACCTGATCGAGAAGTTGTAATCTGCAATAAACAGAAATCAAGAGAGTGGAATGGTTGTTAAAGTTCATACACAGCGTCAAGCTTCTTTAGTGACAAATCAAACTTGTTTTAGATCTCACTCACAGAGTGGAGAGCCACGATAGCAAGGGAAATTCCTTTGAAGACAGTACAATCCTGAAGGCAATTTGCTGAAAGTGACAATAAGATGCTCCAAAGTTAGAAACATACATCAATAACAAAATTTCATATGAAACAGTTACATGAAAAGGAAAGTATGATCAAGTTGCTTGCATTCACCTCCTACCAACATCTGATGAGGTAAAGTTGTTTGCCACCAGATTACTGAACAAAATCCGAAATTCAATTCATATCAGTGCAATATCCAGATTAAATGACATCCTCATATTATATTGAGGCCATACTCACAGTTGCAAGTTTTTGTCTTCAGCCCAAGCAGGCAACCTCCCAGATAATTCATTGTATGACAGATCTCTGCAGCAAAATGTTGCCGTGAATAAACGTTAAGGTCATCTCTGTCCAGCTGACAGAACAGAATGTTGCATCCAAATATGAATTTTATCAGTCTTAAGTTGTAAAATGGTCCTTTAACAAAATGGTCCCAAAACACCATGCAAAATGAACCCAAAAGTCAGTTTCTTGACCTAAATCACATTCCAACACGCAAATAAAAATGAATTGCATCACAGAAATTGGATCGTTCTATTTACTAAAGATCAGCAGCTGATTCAATTACAGCAATAGACTCAATGAGACTTACATATTCTGAAGACGAGAACTCTTTTGTTGAGGTAGAGAGCCAGTTAACTTGTTATTCCCAAGGAATCTGAGATGAACAAAAATGATACTTTTGAGAGTTTTTTTGGGTAGAGAAGCTTCAAATTAAGAATTAAAGATAGTTTCTTACAAATGTGTGAGGGAATTAATCTTGAAAAGTGAGTCTGGTATGCTTCCGCTCAAACTATTGGAGCTCAAATCCCTGCAATGGTAAAAGAAACATATAACAAAACAGCATTGCTAGTAATATTGCACGAAATCAAGCATAAGTTTCACGAAAAGTTGTATCTAGAGACTAAGTTTTAGAATAACCAAGCACAATACAACTCACAGCTGTTGTAGATTCTGGAGCTCTCCAATATTGGAAGGGATAGAACCAGAAATATTGTTGTCCCGCAAATTTCTACCAACACAGAAGTTAGTGATGGGAAAAAACCTCAGATGTACGTACATACATAAATTTTAAAGTTCTTTCCCCATTATTTGAGCACTTACAAGATGCCTATAGATGTCATGTTCATTATAAACTCCAAGGATAAGGTTGCATTGGACAGATCACTTATTCTCCTGAATATAGCGGTTGAAAGATGATAATGTCAGTTCCAGCGAAGGTTTAAAAAGGGGTTGCTTCGAAGACAACAAAAGAAAAAGAAACATGAAACTAAGAAATGAGCATTGAACTCACAGATCTGTTAAGGATCTCAAATTCGAAAAAGATAATGGAATTCTGCCCTGAAAAGAGTTCCCCTGTAACCTTCTGCATGCATATGACAATTTCACAAGTCAAAAACTGTCCAAGAATATGTGGAAGGTTTTAAATAATTTGTGCCACTCTTGTGAGGATTGTGGAACCTCAAGAGAATGACTGGTTTAATATAGGTAAAAAACAACTCGTATGCTGCCTCACAGGACACTGAGTGATGACCAATTCCCAATGAAGTCAGGTATTGGACCAGTGAGTTGAGTATTGGAGCCCCACCTAAAACAAAACAAAACCCGAAAAACACATCTTGTCACATTGATTTGATCAAAATTGGATGGAAAAAAATTGAAAGAACGGGAAGAGACATACACTGTGGTGAGGCTCTGTAATGCTGCAAAACTAGGTGGTAGGACACCACTAATCCCAGAGCTAGCAAAATAACTGCAATGGGTACAAACTTCTTAAATGCACCCAAGAAATACAAAATCATGTCTGGAACAGGTGAGCTAATGCAATTTTAAAGCTGCAACCTAATCTCTAGTCAATCAGACCTCAGTTCAGACCAGTACTTACAATTGTGTGAGCCTCGTTAAATTCCCAATCTCAGTAGGGAGAGGGCCAGTGAAGTTGTTTATGTCAAATGCCCTGCAAAATGTAAAACAAAATTTGTCCCTGCTGAGCAGTCATGTGATTGAATATGTAGGTAAGAAACTAATGAAAGTGCAACTTACAATGATCTCAAGTCTGTTAGCATCCCAAGTTCCTTTGGAATTTCCCCTGATAATGCATTGTAGCCAAAACTCCTGATCAGAGATTAGTTTCTTCTAAGTTTAGAACACCATTAAATACTCATCAATAAACGTGCAAACAACCGAAATCACTCACAAAAATTGCATACGAGTCAGCCGGGAAATGGATGAAGGTATTGGACCTGTAAAGTAATTTCGTCTCAAGTCTCTGCAGTAAACGAAGAGAAGGAAACTTAATGCATCAGAATTCAAAAGAACAATTACAAACTATCAGAAAATGGAAAAATTAAATGCTGGAAAAAAAATAAAAACTCACAAGTCATCAAGGTAAGTCAAATTCCAGAGTTCATGCGGAAGTAATCCCACAAGGTCCATTTCATAAAGTCTACTGCAGATATACAGATATAAATGAGCATCTCGAGGCTTGATGCGAACGGCATTACATATGAAGGGAGTAAGGAAAGGTTGATTGAATAATTGAACTCACAGTGCAGTAATGTGGCAAGTGTTGCCATTATCGTAAGAGCAATCACATTTAATGCCCGGGTTTAAGTTCTGGAGGTCTGTGGAGTCAACGGCTAGACCACTGCATAATTCACCACTGAAATTCCACTGAGTAGGTGCTCGAACACCCAATCTCTGGAACATTGAGTTCACAAGTCTTGCTGGCAAGTTCAATACATTGACTTAAGCTAGTTAGGAAACATCAGCAGTTCGGAGTATTACTTTCAGCTGTGAAGGAGCAACACTAAATCTCAATAGCAAAAAGAGTGAAGCTTGGAACTAGACAAACTAACAATAATTTTTCATCACCATCATTCATTTAATGTCACCAAAAGCCTACTTTCTGGTAGTTAAAGTTGGTTAAGGGAAATCAAAGGACGTACCATCAAAGGGGTCAGTTGTTGGGTTGGTTTGATTCTGGGCAACCGCCAATCTTGAAAATGAGCAAGCTAAAGCCACCAGCAACAAAAACTCAGAAAACCCAAGTGAATACAAATCAACTGTATCTGTCTTCCTCTTCCTCCTCCAATAACCAGAAACCATTCTCGTCATCATCGTCTTCTTCTTCGTCACTGAATATAGTTACAGCAGTACAGATTGATCAGTATTATTCACTGCCGTTCAAGAGTGTCAAGAAAGAAGTAGACCCATCAAGAAATATTCGAATAAAATCAATCAACCTAGCTGTAATTTAAGACAAATCACTTTCAGGGTTCATACCCTTTTCTTGAATTTTAGTATTCTTCAACCTGGTAGGGTCCCCAAAGAAAGGTTTTTTTTTGTACAGAAATTAATAGAACTAGTACAATTCAAAGAATACCCATATCCTAAAGGTACTTGCTTTAAATAGAAGAGAAAGTCAGTCCCATCATATTACCATGGTTACATATTTCTACCATAACTGCGGCGGCTAACACAGCATTCTATATTGATACTCATCATCAACCCAATTCATTCTATTCAAGGAATATCATTATCACATCTTCAAAATTTCAAACGCAGACGGAATTAAACCCTCTAGAATTAATTAAGCCTAAATGGGCTCTAAAAGTTGTGTCAATTAGTACGTCTTTTCAGACTTTCAAACACTTTTCTAAAAATATAACTGACCTGCCTCGTTGAAAAAATAAAAAACCGATTTTTCCCTGACTTTACAGGTGGAAGAGCACCAAGTTGCCATGCCATTGTAGATCAAGTGGAGCCAAATTATCAAAGTTGTCATTGTTTTAGGACCAATATTCTACCAATTTGCCTGCATCACCATCAAAATGTGTCATGATCAACAGATCAAGGTCACCCCACCCCACCCCACGTTTTTAAACATATTACCCGCCAAAACAATAGGCTTTGGTTTGGTAAAGCTCACATTTTTAGTGATATATACTCACTCAATCCCATTTTTAATAGTCTATTTTGTTAAACTAAAACCGTATACGACATAGTGAACTGTAACTGTTAAAATGGAACGAAAGGAATGTATGTATGGTTCTTCATATATCTATCAGCTAATCTCAAATACTCACTCCCATTAACAATAATAATGGGCAGTTGTGTTTGAATTATGGTTCATAGGCTACGGACTCATCAGTATTGCCAAAGTGAAAACTTGTTCATAAACTAATACCGAAAAGGATTATAAATCCACTAATTTCTTCTGACCTGTGTAAACTACATGCAAAATCTTCACAGGAAAGTGGCAGCAAAATGGAGTATGAAACATTGTGAGATCTTTCCCTCAATATACAAACAGTAAACATATATTTATACAGTTGCAAAATCTCTCCCCAATTATACACAACTACGTTCGCACATGCAACGCACAGCCCATTTCTCATCTATCGTCTCCTAAAATCGCCTCAAATACTAACTCAGGAAGCATCCCTTGGCCAATAATTTCCATTAGCGGCCTTTCTAATCGATGAATAATAGTGAATATATACCATCTACTAATGATGTAAGTATCTACTCAATCAAACTTGTTGTTTCTGTAAATTTCCAGTTAGTCAGATAACCAGGCTTTGAAACTGCCCCAGTCACCTCTATGTCTCCAGAGAGCATTGCCACGACGCGAGACATTGCAGGCCTCAATGATGGCGAGGTTTGTGTGCACAACAGGGCCACACCAATCACCCTTTTCACTTCATTCTCATTGAATTCAGTCAATCGTGGGTCCACCAGCTCAAGGTCACGTTCATTCTCATGTAAGTTCCAAGCCTTCAAATAAATTAATAAAAAACAAAACAAAACATAGAGGTAAGAACATAAAACAACAATCGTTTAAACCAGCAGGATCATGCTTTAGCAGTTCTTTCTCGGGGACGTTTTAAGATAGGTTTTAGTTCATAAGATTTTCACTAACTTTTCAGGAAATGACGTACACAGTGCTGCTAACTGATTCATGTTCGTTGCTGTATTCTAGGCTCTACCCGTAGTTTATGTGAAGATTGAACATTCTACAAGTTTTGTGGACAATGGAGATGAGTATAATTGAAGTACAAAAGGAAAGGAATAGTACCCATTCTAGAAGGTAAATCTTATCGTCTTCCAGACTTGTGTTGGAGTTTGGCCTTCCACTCACAATCTCAAGAGCTACAACTCCAAATCCAAACACATCAGCCTTCTCTGTGAGATGTCCTCGCATGGCATATTCTGGTGCAAGATAGCCTCTACATTCCAGTGAATAATGTTTTATCAGTAATTATGAATTGTAATAATTATTATAACCACAGCAAAAAAAGATTGAGGAAGGAAATTGTGAACATCCAAGCTAGTGGTGTGTACTTACATTGTTCCAGCAACACGAGTGCTTACATGTGTCATTTTGTCATCGTAAAGTTTGGCCAAGCCAAAGTCAGAAATCTTGGGGTTGAGATCTGAATCAAGCAGAATGTTACTGGCCTTCACATCCCTATGCACTATTCGAACCCGAGATTCTTCATGAAGGTAAGCCAGACCTCTTGCTACTCCAAGGCATACATCAAACCGGGTCGACCACTCAAGGGGTAAACTTTTGGTTCCTGCTCCATTTGAAACAAAATGTTTTATACGTTCTTCATGCTTGCAGTTCTTGTAACCAAGAAAAACTTCATAAAAATAAAGGAGCAAGAGGCATGAATGCTCTTTCTTCACTTACGAAATAACGCTTGATCGAGACTCCTGTTCTCAAGATACTCATACACAAGCAATCTTCTGTCTCCCTCAATGCAACAACCGTACAATTTCACAAGATTACGGTGCTGCACAGCCGAAATGGTTGCAATCTCTGCTACAAACTGACTCTTTCCTTGATGGGATGCTACAGATAGTAATTTGACAGCAACAACTCTTCCGTCGTAAAGGGTTCCCTGATGGATCACCAAATTATGAGTGATGATACGAGAAATCAGCCTAATAAAATATATGTAGGCATTCATATTCGTAATGGACAAGTTAATACTAAAAGATTGATTCAACCAATTCTGCTATAACGATTGAAGGTCAGAAATATAAGATAAAACTGCAACATGGCATCTTAACAATTGACTACGAATAAATGACCAAAATTGTAAGATACAAGAACCCAAACATTTGAATAACCAGAAAATTTGTAGGAGATGTTAAGCAGTAGTTGCATGATCTCTTGGCTATCTCACTCTCCCTGTCCACTATTGTCCCATTACTTTCTGACTAAATCTTGGAAACAGTTTTCGTTCCTTGAAATTTGAAATTCTCTCACCTATTCTGAGTATTAGGAATATGTACCTTAAAAACAGTACCAAATCCACCCTCTCCAAGCTTGTTAGCAGGATTGAAGTCATTTGTCCCTGCTCTAAGTTCTGCATAACTGAATGTGTATGGTCTGGCATCCATCCCCGAGAATTCTGAAAATTAATAGAAAACTTAAGCATGAGGCTTATTTCAAACAAAATAAGCTTGTGTGTTTTGTGTATTATTCGTGGTTGTTTATGGCACTGTTCAACTAAAGATATGTTGCGGTACTCTTAAGCATTTAATGTATATAAAAAGTTGCTGGAGATGTGTTTCTTTATGTCAGTCTGGGTGACTGGAAGGAATGTGTAAAGGAAAGAAATTTCAGAAAACAGGTACTTATCGAATTCCAGATACTACAAAGGATGATACAGTTATTTACAGCAGATGCTTTAACATTCAAGCACTTCATCTTGTAACTTGAAGTATTTTTCAGATAGTTTCTTTTCTTACCTTCTTCTTCAAACATTTGCCGCCTTTTTCTTCTCCAGATTAAAAAGTACACAGCAAATGCGGATAGAAAGCTTATGATAATGATGGGAACAACAATTCCAACAACCAAACCACTTCGATTCTTCTTTCCAGAACCGGGAGAAGCATTAGCAACGGTGGGATTGAAATCTGCCAAAATAGACCAACTGTCACAACTCACAAAGATGAAGAAAGAACAAAGATAACTTGTATACTGTAACTCTTAATGAATTCGCGTCTACCTGGGGTGGCACTAATAGCAGAAACTAGAGGTCCGTATGAACCTGGCCCAGGAATACAGCAAGTTCCCTTGCCAGCCCAAAAAAGATGGATTTCCAGGTAGTTTTTGGACACAATAGCGGTATATGTCCTTCGAACAGCGGTCAAAGAGCGTCCACCTGCCTCTCTTTTGATGTCAAAATCTTTCTCCACAAGATTTCCCTGATAAAAAGCTGACAGTTAAAGTAAGAACAAATGAAACACAATTCTCAAATGAAAGGAAACACAAACAGTTTACCAACCATTCACAGCAAACGGAACAATACTATGCGGCAACCGGAAGCTGTACACGTTTTATAAAGAAATCAGAGTTTCTTAGATTCAAGGTCAAACTATGTGATCACAAACCTGGATATATATATCAAAAGCACGTCTACCAAGACTCCTCCAACTAACAGTATCAAGGATTTCTGATTCAGCGAATTGGAGATTTACTGTGTAGTTACCATTTTCCAGGCCCAAGCCAAAGTATCTCAGTGATCCAACTGATACCCGCGCATATTGGAATATCTCAGGATCCAGAGTGTTTCTGAATGAAGATGATGAAACAAATGTATATTTTGGGAATGGCCCATCAGCAGGAAAACCAACATTACTAACTGCCCATTTTCTTGAACTCATGACATAGTAAGTGGCTGGACCATTGATCTGGTTGTCGGCTTCATATTGAATACCATCAGAAGAAGTCAGAGCTGGACCGCCACATTTGATTGCGAAATTGGAGTCTGCAAGAAACAAAACAACAGAGTGGCACGTTAAAGTTCATATACTCGGATTAAGCTTTTTTATATTTGCATTCATGAAATCAAGTTTGTCCGAGATCACACGTACGGATTGGAGATCCACGATTGCAAGGGAAATTTCTTTGAAGACAGTACAATCCTGATGGAAGACTACTGAAAATGGTAAAAAGATGCTCATATCAAAAAAAAAAAAAAAAGTTACAAAAAACTCGGATGAAACATGTAATACTAGAAGATAAAAATATTGCTGTCTATCTACCTCTCTCACCTGCTATTTGAATCTGACAGGGTGAAGTTGTTTGCCACCAAATTACTGAAGAATAACCACAATCCACTAAATATTAGCGTAATCAAGTAAATCTAGAGTACACCACATAACTAATTGAGCACATATATACTCACAGCTGTAATTTTTGGTCATTGACCCAAGAAGGGAAGCTCCCAGATAATTCATTGTACGAGAGGTCTCTGCAGTAAAAGTAACCGGTAATGAGTTAAGTCTTTGTAGTCCTGACAGGAAGAGAAGTTTGCTTTCAAACACCTACTTAGGCTTCACCAACATTTGGTGAAGAGATCAATAATTCGTACTAAATATTTGATCGATAAACAGTTTATTATTCCAAGAAATTGTTTCAAATTCATTATTCTTACGTATAGGTAAAATGTTTGGAGCCATCGATCCAAATAAACCCGAGGACAGCTCGAGTCAAATTAGTGGGAAACATCCTACTCAAAAGACCATGTAAAGCAGCCACGGAAAGAAGGATGGAGTAACTCTTTCCTAATAAACTCTAGTCACAAAAACAAGAAATCCCAGCATCTAAATTTTACTAGCATGACACGCCAAAGAATGATGTGCTTCATCTAGGAATTTACAATAAATTATATAACTGCAGGTCAGCTACGCAAGAAGAGTTAGCGCAATAAAACACACAATGGCATTTTTATGACACAAGAAAATGTGAAGCGACTTACATATTCTGGAGATTTGAATTCTTTTGCTGAGGCAGGGAGTCAGTTAATTTGTTGTTACCAAGAAATCTGAAAATGAACAAGATGTTAACTCTTAGAATCATTTCTGGAAGAGAAGCCCAATTAACTATTGGAAAGAATGAGAGGTTTAATACATATGTGTAAGATTTGTAGTGTTGAAAAGTGAGTCTGGTATGCCTCCACTGAAACTATTGAAGCTCAAATCCCTGTAAAGTAAAAAATTTAATTAACAGAAAAGAGAAAATGTTATATAATCAACCGATTCGATACGGGACCCGATATGTTATACTTTCGGAAGGAACTCAAGTTTTAGAATAGCCAATTTGGTACAGGACAACTTACAGGCGCTGTAGATTCTGGAGCTCGCCTATGTAGGAAGGGATAGGACCAGAAATATTATTGTTCCTCAAAACTCTGCCAGGAAAAGAGATGTTCAGGATGCAAATCTAGAAAAGAGAAAAACCTTTATTTGCATAAACTTTATCAAGTTTTTGAGCCTGTTTTTTCTAAATCCTTACAATGTGTTTAGAGACTTCATATTCCGGATAAACTCCAAAGAGTGGCTCGCATTCTCATTGGTTAGATCGCTTATCCTCCTGCAAATAATATGTAAGAGATGACATCAATTGCCAGACAAAGTAAAAGCAAAGGTGGACGAATATTGAAGAAGCAGAAAAACTCACAAGTCTGTTAAGGATGTCAAATTTGAAAATGAAGATGGTATGGTGCCTTGGAAAGAGTTACCCTGTAACCTCCTGCTCATACATGACAATCGCATAGATCAAGAGCTTTGCAGCATAAGATCAATGATTAAAAATTTTTATGTCGTTCTAGCACAAATGAGAATTGCTGATTCTGGAAGGAAGCATTATTAGCCAAATAGAAAACAAAGATTAAGTCCCATCTTACAAGACATTGAGCTGTAACCAATTCCCTATGAAGTCGGGTATTTGACCAGTGAGTTGAGTATCAGAACCCCACCTGAAGAAACCAAAAGATGTCTCCTGAAGTGATTTTGACATCAAACAGGTGGTGCAAAAAAAAGGAAAGGAAAAGAGAAATTTTACATGATCGAGAGGTTTTGTAACCCTGCAAAACTTGGAGGTAGGACACCACTAATCCCCGAGCTATCAAAATAACTGTACAAGGTATGAACATGTCATAACCCTCACTAGGAAAAAAATTGTAGCTCAATTCTAGAATTTTTCATGTGGGGTGAATACAATACGTAGAAGTAGGGCAAGCATATGCTGAAATTTTGAATAAGGCCAGAGATATGCATGGCCAAAAAATGTGGAAGGACATGTTACATGCAGCGCAGAACAGAACTTTGAAACATTATTTCAAACGAATTTTTGCTGTTTTAGTTCAAGATCAAACTGCTAGCAACCAAGTCAATGTCAAAACTGATTTTACAGAAACTTACATTTGCGTGAGCCTAGTTAAATTCCCGAGCTCAGATGGGAAAGACCCAGTGAAGTTGTTGATGCCAATTGACCTACAAAATGTCAAGCAATTCAACCACGCCACATGAGAAGTGATTCCATATTTAGGTAGCACTACTATGCAAACTAATGAATTGTAGAAGCAAAGAAAAAACAACTGATAAGAAAAGCAGGCTGCTGGATTTCTCAAGCCACAGTCTATGTTCTCAAATTAAACATATGCAACTTCAACATAGAGCTACGAGTATATTTTATCACCCAACTTGCTTAGAATAAAATGATATGAGGATGTCTTACAGTACTCTCAAGTCCGTTAGCAACCCTAGTTCCTTAGGTAGTTGGCCCGATAATGCATTAAAGCGCAAGCTCCTAATTACATCACAAATCACAATTAAGTCCAATAAATAAAGCATTGATGACTTCCACAACATTACATAGTATCTGTACACGAATTTTATAAGGGAAAAAAAAGTAGACACACAAATTCTGTAACCGAGTAAGCCGGGCAATGGCTGCAGGAATTGGACCTGTAAAGTAATTCTGTCCCAAGTCTCTGCCAAAAAAAACAAAAAACAAAAGAAACACAGAAGTTTCCATTACATAAGAATCAAACTAGGATGAGCAGTTAGAATGATACATTGTGAAGAAAAAATTAGGATCCCGTTGAAAATATACTCACAAATCTGTGAGGTAAGTCAAATTCCAGAGCTCATCTGGAAGGCCTCCCAGCAGGTCCATTGCAAAAAGCCTACTGCAAGGATTTGGTACATAGATGAAATGAGCAACAAAATTTGGGTCCAAAATGAAGATAAATTTACAGATCAAGGCAGGGATTCATTAAACTCACAGCCCCGTGATATGGCACAGGGCACCATTTTTATCAGAGCAGTTACACTTAATGCCCGGATTTGAACTTTGGAGATCTGTGGAGTCAACAGCCGACCCGGTACATAATTCGCCACTGATATTCCATCCAGTAGGCGCCCGAACATTCAGTTTCTGGAAGATGGAATTCACAAGTCTTGCTGCAAGTTAACAATGAATGTTCATCATTTTTATTTGTGAATCTTTGTACATAAACTACAAATGAACATCTACCATTTGTTATCTCATAAAAGCTAATATTAGTCCTAAGATGCACTCGCCCTTACACTGCAATAGAATGCTAAAACCTCGTGCTGGTGTGCATACACAAAAAGAAACACAAAACCCAGTACATATTTTCACATAAACATCATGATCATATACTAACATAAACTAGAAATGAACTCCTATATCATCTATTTTCCAATAAACGAAGCTGAAAGAGGTCAGCAAGCACATGAGGCGTTTCAGCTGCAATAATCCATTAAATGCAATCAAGAAACTAAACCTCTAGCGCAAATGAAAGAAACACAAAGACTGAACTTTGGAATTAGATAATCTAACTAATTAACCTTCCATCATCATTCATGGTGAGACAATAATAGCAGAAAGCAGGGAAACTTATAAGCTACTATGGGTACCTTCAGAGGGATCAGTGGTTGACGCCGGTTGATTCTGATTCTGAGCAACTGCTAAACTTGAAGAGGAGCTAATTACAGCCCAAAACAGCAGGAAATGAAGTTGTGTCTTCTTCCAATTCCCAGAAAGAAAACTCATCTTTTCCATCGTAATTCAACTTAAAAATTTGCAGAATTACAGACCCTTCACTTGTTGCTGAAAAAGCAGTGTCATTTAAGAGCTCCAGTTTCCGAAATCCAAACTTCAATTCAGTTCGTAACAAAAGAAGACAACCCTTCCACGAAAAAAAAAAAAAAAAAAGAGGTGCCCAATACGACGAATCAGTCAATAGTGGTGGGAGTGGGACTGGGCAGTTGAGGAAAAATTATACAAAGCTTCATTCGGATTCTTTCTTGAATTGGACAAATTTCTTTAATAATAAAAATGAAACCAGGTCCCAGTTCTTATACTAGTACTATATTTATATTAACATAGGTATGCATGTATGTGTAAAAGTCTGGTCAACAGCTGCAAAGTTGAGGAGGATTCACATGGGAACCTCTATTGCTTCTAACATCATGATTTTCGTTCTTTCGTTGAAAAAAAAATGACAAATGATGATGACCATTGACCTATGTGTATTATTTACTTTCATTCTTTGCTGAATTTGTTTAACCTGCTGATATGATTAATCTGGATGCAAAGTCTTTATAATCAATCAGCTCATCCTAATATTAATTATTGGGTATTAGTACAATTGTAAGTAACAATCCGAAACCGACTAAAGTTTGGTTTTTTTAACTCTGTTTTGATACAGTTTACAACAATTGGCAATTGTTATGTGTTTATCCTAATTGAGAAAGTAGGGTTCTTTTTTACTTGTCAACGGAGCCTGGGAGTTCCGGGCCAGAAAATTTACCGGCGAAGAAGTTTGAGAACAACAACCCATATCGATTTGTTGGATCCCTCGTCTGAAACCGGCGAAGAGGAGAGTAGTAGGATGGAAATCGACCCTTTAGGATATCAATGGCCGGATCCTCCTTCACCGCCTCCGGCACACGCCCGGAAGCCGGATGTCAGATACGTCGACGATTGAAATATCCCGGCGTATTCGCGAAGGAGGAGAGGGGTACAAAGACGGTTGCTTTCATCTTCAGCGGCGGCCTAATTGTAGCCGCCGATCATTCATCAAAATCGTCCGTTCCCAATATCTTCAAACTGAATTCCCACATGTTTGCCACTTCTTCTGGAAAAAGCCTAACTCTGGTCGAAGAATTGTTGAGGAAGTGGCCAATCAATGGAGGAGGAATGTCTGTAACGGAGACATCAAAGTGGGTCCACGACAACCTCTCTGTTAGTCAAATTTTTGGTCGCCGGGATTCTGATCGGAGGTTATAATGAAAGGGGTATTCCGAAACTGTATCACATCAACTGTAAAGGGGATTAAGAGGATGTTAGGAATAAACGGAATTGTTCAGGGAACCCATTACGATTCCAAATATGTTCCACTGGATCTGGGGCAATGTCGGCTCGTGTTCATGCTGAACTCCGGATGAGATTTGATATGACTCTAACCGAAGCTGCAGAGATTGCGAAATCCGCCATCTGCAGTGCTGCAAGTAAAGCTGCTGAAGGGGGTGATTTGGTGAGTGTTTATCACGTTGGGAGACTGGGGTGGAGGAAGCTCATCTCTGATTACCAGATTGGAGAATGGCAAAAGCAGAACAAAGACATCCTTTTGCAACAACCAATTACCGTCTCAATTTATCCGCCATGGGACTGAATATATATATATATATATATATAGGAGGAGGAGGAGGAATGGCAAGAGAGCATCTGCCACAGCTCCTTTGATGATAATTTTTTACTTAACAAATTACAAACTACAATGTGGATTTATTTTGTAGTTTTTGATTGTTGATTGAATAATATGCCAAGTTTTGGAGACTGATTTATATATAGTTCAATCTGGTGCTAGTTATAGGTTGACACTTAACTATTATCCAGCATTCCAGCTCGGAATTTGACATTTTTTATGACAAAAAGGAAGAAGGGGAAGAATCAAAACAAGAAATCTATAAAACTGAAAAAGAATGTCTTTTAAAAAGAATGAAAAAGAGCCTATGAATAATGATGATGGTCATAACTCATAATTATAAGGGCGAAATTATTACAAATAAAATGTCTTTTACTATTAAAAAAAAAAAGAAAAAAGAAGAAGAAGTAAAGACACCAAAAAAGAAAAAAAAAATCTAGATTGGGCTTCACTGTCATAAAGGCTAACCAATATGAAACAGATCCATCGAGATTGGGCTCCATAATTGGGCGATTGGGTCAACAAAGATCCATATGACATCTTTTTAATCCGTTTTCGAGTGTGACGTGATTCCGTCTCACACAACACTTCGGCTGTGTGTTTCGAGATTTGTGTGGTTGGTTTGGGGTCGTTGAGGGTGTTGAGACCACCTCTCTTCATTGATAAAAAGATCACAAATTCAAAGGCCGAAACATTTAAAAATTTGAGGAGACATTAAATTTGGTTTTGATTATTTTGCATAGGATTGCGGGCATTGTGCGTGTTTTTTAGTCAGTGTCAAAACTCAGGTGACGTACTGCAATAAACCAAAAGTTAAATAAAAGAGAGAAAAAAAGACCCGCTGGTTCATTCTATTTTCTATATATTCCGGCAGCTTTGTATGCCGGCGGCAGTAGTGGCTCGCCGGTGTTGAATTACCAGTAAGTGAAAGGATGAGTACGCTAAGACCGTCGACTTCGGAGCTGGATTTGGATCGCCCCAATATAGAGGATTACCTCCCTTCTGGATCCATCCCAGAGCCCCACGGCAAACTCCGCCTGTAAATAACTCCCTCCTTATATCACTTCGTTTTGTATTGTTCTTATTCCTGTTGGTTCTGGTTGCTGCATGGATGAAATTCAATCATCCCGTTAATCTATTTTGTTTTTTTTTTTTTGTAATTCAGACGTGATTTGCTGGATATTTCCCCTACCCTCACTGAGGCAGCTGGCGCCATTGTTGATGTAATAATCTCTGCTCCTTTTCTATTTTACTACTTTGCTTTATTTTTGGTTTTCTTTTTATTCTTCTTAGGTTTTAGTTTTGCTTGTGTGCTGTACTGATTTGACTGTCAATCACTGATTAGGTTGTGGATTTTCGGAGAGAAACATTTCTGAAGCCTGTATCTCTTTTTTTGGGTATAATCTGTTGACACTGTAGCTTGTGCTGAGAAATATACATATGTAAAACGGGCCTTTTGAAGCCTGTATCTCTTTTTCGGAGTAATGAATTTGACTGTGCTGCAAATCGGGCGAAGGATGTATAAAAATAAATGTTATTAGCCGTCTGCATATGAACTAACTTCATACTTGGTTATAGGTTTGATTTTTCTGAGCTTTTAGTGAAAAGCTGGTATTTCCTTCCTCTATTGTTAGGATTAGTTCAGTATACACTTTAGCTTAACTTAGAATAGGTACTAGATTTTCAGATTGTTTAGAGCTCAATTCTTCTGATATTTATGACAGGACTCCTTCACACGATGTTTCAAGTCCATTCCTCCGGAACCATGGAACTGGAATATTTATCTTTTTCCTTTGTGGTGCATGGGTGTGCTGGTCAGATACCTTATCCTCTTCCCTCTCAGGTAGTTTCTTTTAGATGTTTTTAGCTTTTCAGGAATTTCCTTCTCGAACTACGCAAAAACTATTGAAGTTGAGGACTTGTACTTGTTCTATTGGCTTTATATGGGGTCCTTAAACCAGGTTACAAAATGCCTGTGAAGTGAATTTCTTTTGGTTGTTCACTGCTGCTTCATGTATATGCAGGGTTATTGTATTGACTTTGGGATGGCTAATATTCCTCTCCTGCTATATTCCTGTGCATGTACTATTGAAAGGCAATGACAAATTGAGGAAAAAATTGGAGGTACAATGCCTAGGACGAGCTTTTTTCTCATCCACTTCCCTTAGTAAGTTATTGGTATATTAAATGTATTTTCCTAATATGATATTTTTATTTTATCCTTTAGAGGGTTCTGGTGGAGTTGATTTGCAGTTTCTTTGTTGCATCATGGACCGGGGTTGTCAAGTATCATGGCCCACGGCCAAGCATCCGGCCTAAGCAAGTAAGTTGGGTTATTTTGGTCCCGTGGTTCATATGTAGTATTATAATATCATATTTATTCTGTTAATCCATATTTAGATTCCGCTGTTTATTGGAACTTGCAATAAAGATCTCTTAAATGGTTTGTTGGGCAGGTGTTCGTGGCAAACCACACTTCAATGATTGATTTCATCATTCTAGAACAGATGACTGCATTTGCTGTAATTATGCAGAAGCATCCCGGGTGGGTTGGTAAGTTTTGTTAATTACTTTTCTTAACTTGAAGTTCCTTACTAGAGGTTTTCAAATTTGCTTTGCCTCTACGTTTGTTTCTGTTTGAGCAATATGGCTGTAAGATTACTTGACTAGTTGAAATATACTATTGTCCTAAGTTTCAATTTTGGTGTGAATAGGCTTCAAATTTATTTTGTTCTTACTTTTCACATGATGAAATCTCATGTTTTAGAACTGATTTGGCTATGAATTTGTTTCTGTTTTTGAGTAATATGGCCGTAAGGTCACTTGATATGCCACTCGTGTCGTAAGTTCAATTTTGGTGTGAATAGACCTTCAAGTTTATTTTGTTTCCTAAGTTCAATTTTGGTGTGAATAGACCTTCAAGCTTATTTTGTTCCTACTTACACCGAAAATGAAACCTTGTGATCTAGAACTGATTTGGCTACTGTGTTATCATGAGCAGGATTATTGCAAAGTACTATCCTAGAAAGTGTTGGATGTATCTGGTTCAATCGGTCAGAGGCTAAGGACCGTGAAATTGTAGCCAGAAAGTAAGTTCTAGCGAAGAAAGGTTTATTACTTCATCCATTTTTGTTAGGTCCGCTATTTTGACTTTTATTATTATGTTGTCTACCAGGCTTAGGGAACATGTTGAAGGTGCCGATAATAACCCTCTTCTTATTTTTCCTGAAGGAACATGTGTAAACAACCATTACACTGTTATGTTCAAAAAGGTAAATGCATTCTGTCTCTAAACAGTAAAGTTGCGTTCTTTTTACCTGGTCTTATGCTCTTCTGATACATTTGGTTCTGTATGACAACTTGGTGAAGTTATAGTTCATGGATTTTTGTCATCAAAAGCTTGCTGCTGCTTTTTCTTTTTTGTTTTGGGTCCTTGTTAGTTAAATTATGAACAGTTATAGTCATCCTTATACCACTCCTTTGTGATCTCCAGGGTGCTTTTGAACTTGGAGCCACTGTTTGCCCAGTTGCAATCAAGTACAACAAGATCTTTGTCGACGCCTTCTGGAATAGTCGAAAGTGAGACCATTATAGGTTTTATGTTTATTATATGCCTTCCTGCATATCCTTTTTTCAATTGGCATCGCTTGAGAATTTCATATGATAAGGATAGTATGATGGCAACATATGATCCATATACCCGGGGCTTTTTTCAACATGTTGTAAAGGCTTCTTGATGTTGTTGTATCCCTTTGGAGTCCATACAGTCTGTTCATTCTGCAGTCTGTCATTTAACTGGGTTCCATTTTACTACGTGCAGACAATCATTCACAATGCATCTGTTGCAACTAATGACATCGTGGGCTGTTGTTTGTGATGTCTGGTACCTGGAGCCTCAAAATCTGAGGCCTGGAGAAACACCGATTGAATTTGCTGAGAGGTAAATGGTTGCTTCGAGTTTCATTGTTGATGCAAACAAACCATTCTGCTGATTTAGTGGGTTACTGCAAATCCAGAGACAATTTGATTCTGTCCTCTCAACAAGTACTGGTTCCTTCCTAATATACTGTTTCCCTTTTGCAGGGTGAGGGACATTATTTCTGTACGAGCCGGTCTTAAAAAGGTTCCATGGGATGGATATTTGAAATATTCACGTCCTAGTCCTAAACATAGAGAACGGAAGTAAGTCACAGAGAGCTTATTCTTTTTCAACTGTGCCGTGTTTGAAACTCCCTCGAGAATTTTGTCCAAAATGTGTGATATGAAATATCTCATGATAAATTTTTCAGATAACCAAAACAAGTCCTTTCCTTTAGAGGCTGTTGAAACCGTGATTGGCCACTGATTCTTCAATTTGCCTTTTCTAGTCCCTTTTTTGTCAAGTCCATGTTGGCTCTTCATCTGAACTCATCACTTGTATTGTTTGTTTCGTATATGTAGGCAACAGGGCTTTGCCGAATCAATGCTGCGTCGTCTTGAGGAGAGATAGAGAAATAAATATGGTGAAAGATGGATACCAGCGTTTGTTCATTTTTGTTTGTGTCTCTGCTTTGAGGTGGTTGAGACTTGAACGTTTTGTTCCAAAAGCACAATCAGTAGTGAGAAATTTAAATATTTTTTAAACTGTTATTTTTATTTTCATATTAATCTTTAACTATTACAGTCGATGTGCAATTAATTGTTGATGATTGTGGTTTTGTTCAACACAAATGAGAATAATCTAACCAAAACAGCGTCTGAAAAAGAATTGTTGATGATTGTGGTTTTGTTCAACACAAATGAGAATAATCTAACCAAAACAGCGTCTGAAAAAGGGACCGATTGCAAGTGTTACTCTAGACACATTGATAAAGACTTCATTTAGCAACTAGACTTTTTAAAGTCATACATTTGACAGACATTAAGAGTAGACATAAAAATCTAATGATTAAACCCGGAGATAGCATAATTACAAGTCACACGAGGGGCATTCTGCAAACTGCACTTGAATAAATGGAATCAACAGTTTCAGGAGGCAAAATACAGCGTTAAACTTCAAAGAAGTGGAACAATTTGTGTGAAACCTGATCAACATTGGATCTTCAGTGTATAACGGAAAATATAGATCATAAAGTAGTAAGCTGGTGTAAGACTACTATCAATCAACTTCAAGTCCAAAACGGTCTAACTTCAAGTTCATTCATGATCTTGAACTAGATACAAACAGAAATAAGTCGGCAAAAATTTAACTGCAAATTTCACGTACATCAGCAATCATCGGCAATGGCTGTTACATGATTTCTTTGTAGCAGGAAAGTATAGCTTAATGTAGCCAGTTACATGCAAATTACAACAATCAAATAAACAATTTGAGAACATAACTTCAACAGTTTCCAGGAAACCATGCTTTATTCAATACATGAAATCAAAAGGATTCAATGAAAACCGCATCAGGATTTTAAGGCTTCCCCGACTTTAACAAGATCCTCTAATGCCTTTGAGATCTGAGCCTCGGACATGCCTTCCAATCTTATGCCCCGCTCAACTCCCATATCTAAGCATACAACAAAATATCCATAAATAATGGTAAAGCAGAACTTGTGTATGCTAACAGACTACAAGCACAAAAACTGCAAATACACGCAAAAATATGCATCAATGGAACCCCCGTGGCCATGATTAGAATCAGAAAGTTTTGTCAGCTTCTCCAACATTTTCCTATCATTTCACTCAAAGCAACTTTAAGTCTATAACAATACTATGTGGTTGGCTATATAGATCAAATGCCTTCATCTGTAAAAACTTATGAAGAATAAGTCATTTTTATTAGTTCATTTCTTGTGGCTTTAGGTCTTCCACTGAAAACAAAGAAGCAGATGAACACACAAAGTGACAACTCTAAAATCTCATACTCATTCAATTTGGCCATCACAAATCCAGAATCTTGATAGCTCCCACATTAATGGACACAAATGCAATGAAATTTAGCTAAATAACTCACCACAATAAAGCAATTACAAGTAACCTAACAGCATTCAGTTCAAACATATCGCATCCATTAATCCTGAATAAACCTAATTAGGCCTAATTTGGTGCACAATGAGATTCCAGCACATAAATTAATCAAAACCCAAAAAAAAAAAAAAAAAGGAATTACCATATCTAGCCCAAAGCTGAGGCTCGGCATTACTGGCCTCCCGGATCAAAATTGGAAGCTTGGGGTTATGTTTCTTGAGATCCTTGTAATTGTTCTCGATGAATGCTCTGTCATTTTAAAAACACTTATAACGATTATTAGAACAAGCAAATAATTCTTCGCGCAAAAGAGGGCAAAAGAAGAAGAAAAAGAATGGACCTTGTGGAAGAACTGGCTGGTGATGATGGAGAGAAGAGGATCCGAAGCTCTTTCAGTTGCTTAGACAGATTACTCCTCCACGCCATTCTTTGATTGCTTCTTCTCCTCTCACGACTGGCCGGATTTCTGCTATTTGCTACAATGAATGACGTCGAAGACGGTGACGGCGTTGTTTCTTGTTTTAAGCGGAATAAAATTGCACTTTTGGTCCTCAAGTTTGTAGTGTCAATAATTTTAATGCCTAAAGTTTGAGCATTAATTAGTAATAATTGACTCAGACTCAAATTTGCTCAGCGATTTTTCACCTAAACACTCAGAAAAAAAAAAAAAGAGGAAACTCCCGCCGCCAAAGTCCTCATCCCGCCTCACCTCGTCGTCGGTATGCTCTCTTGAAATCCCTGATTTGATTTTTTTTTTTTTGGGTCTTACAATTCTTACTAATCGGTAATATCGACCCCCGGTTTTTATTGGTTTGATATGTTTGGGGCGTGTTTTTTCGGGGTGGTCAGACCTGAATCTTTATCGATATTAACGGCGGCGGCTGCTCCGGCTAGCCACCGTGCGGACTACTATATTCAATGATGAAATGATTGACAACAATTCTTTTTAGTTTTTTAACTGAAATTAAATATGCAATAACGCGGATAAACTTGAATGCGATGGAAATGGCCGGCGGAGTTTTTAACATTTACGTGGTTTAAAGAACAGATTTTTTGGATGTTGTCAGATATCTGGATCATGTTGATTAATTTGTATTGACTTTCATTCTAGTGATATGGTGGACTGGTGGTTGGTTTTCTTTGGGAACAGAACTTTAAGTTCTTCTTGGATTGTACTTCTATTTTTATGTTGCTTAATTTGTATCGTTCAATCAATTTATAGTGACCTTTTTTAGATGTCTTGAAACCATACTTGGTGAAAGAAAAATGTCAACCAATAGATATAGTAAACCAAACTCATTGTAATATCAGTTCGACAAAAGAAATAAATAAATGAGTCGTGAACCAACAACTCTAAGAGAGTTTTGCGCCCTATACTGATAGGACTGTGATGTGGGAGTCTGTCTGTTATTAAAGATTAAGGGTATGAGTGAAAAAATGTTTGAGATAGCTTTGTTTTAGGTCTTATCCAGAAATTCATAGTGTTGTACACTTTGGAATGCAGAGAACAAGTATAGGACTACTTGGATATTACCACATTGATTTCAACTCCCTCATCTTACTGATGGCCTCCATGACTTAGAACTCATATGGCAAGAAGGGCTGGTCTGGAACTATTTGTGAGCAGTAAGGGCAATCCCTTTTTTCTCTCTATTGTAACATTTCATTGTGCATTTAGTTGGGTAGTTTCTGTTTTGGAGGTCAAAATCTGTTTTCCGTTTTCATTATTGATTTTGTTGATATATTTCTAGGATTATCGTTTTACACCACGACTGAGGATCTTAAGAAACTATTCACACCATTTGGTCGGATAACCCAAGGTGATTTGTGGTGCTTGCTGTTATTTTTCATTGAAGGAATCAGGTTTTCTGAAATGCCCCTTTTAAAAGGCATTAGTAAATTACTGAGGTTTACATAGGCCTGATGCATTTTTCGTTATGTTGACCATGCAGCTAGGCTCATCCTAGACCCACGCACCCAAAGACCTAAAGGGTTTGGATTTGTGAGGTTTGAATCTGAAATTGAGGCCCAAAATGCTGTAAAGGCCATAAATGGAAGGGTATGTTTTCTATGTGGGTGTCTAAACTCAAACATGTATATTTGATTTTAGTATTTTGTTGTTTCTGTGGTTTGTCACACTTTTCTATTGATCTTTATTGCATTTGGAATGAATCTCTTTTCCTCCAATTTTGATGTGATTTTGCTTGGTCAAAGTCAAAATGTGATTATCCTTATTCCTTATTATCATTAACTTTAGTTCTATGATTTTTTGGCCCCTCCGTTGAATGAGAGTGAAAATTCTTGTCTTTTTCTGCAGATAGTGGACGGGAGACTGATCTTTGTGGAAGTTGCAAACACAAAAGGATCTAAAGAAGATACTCCCTCAAGTTAAGTTGATTCAAGTTGTACGTCTAGGGCTTCGCATAGTCGGCATAAGCTCCAAATTTCTAGTTTCAATGGGAGAACTTTTGACTATTTCTCAAACATCCTTATTTCTGCCACCTAAAGGTCAGCTCCAATATCCCAAGCAAGTACGAAACCACAATGCTCATTATCAAGCATTATCTCTACAGTTTTCCCCCCTGAAGTTCTCGTCAACCAGTTCAATATTATCATCACCAGCACTGTCGGCAAAGAAAAAGCAGTGTCCGGGGAGGATTAGAGCCAGTTTCATCCCGGAGTCAGGAATGTCCATGTCTCAAAAATTGACCTTAGGCTATGCTGTATTGGTTGGAGCAGGTGGACTGATGGGCTCTCTGAAAAGTGGCAGCCAGATGTCATTACTTTCTGGTGGAATGTCAGCCTCAATCTTGTTTTATATCTACACAATCCTTCCCACGAATCCTGTTCTGGCCTCATCCCTTGGTCTTGCCCTGGCCGTTGCTCTTACAGCAGTGATGGGTTCTCGCTTTAAGAAGACGGGCAAGATTTTTCCTGCTGGTTTGGTGTGCTTAATATCCTTTGTCATGAGCTGTGGCTATTTGCATGGAGTTCTACATAGTCTTCATTAATGTGGAGTTTGCAATGTCATCACCTGGTTAATTCAGTCGTGAAGGAGGATATGACCATGTTTCGTTTGAGAACTAATGCTTCGAAGTATTTCACTTTTCCAGCATTTTAGATGCAGCACTTTTGGTTTTCAAGAATAAAGATACAGACCTATGTCTAATCTTGTGCAAGCAGATGTAAAAGATTTCACTGAATCAAATTAAGTCGCACATGCAGATGTAAAAGATTTCACTGAATCAAATTAAGTCGCTCGCTAATCTCGTTCTGGTAAGTAGATTTTTATTCTTTTTATTTTTTTTGTGACCAGGATTATATTGCCAAAATACAGCAATCACCATTAGGAATTTGGTGAATTTAAAAAAGGAAGGTAGACAATTCGAGAACCCAGTAGGGTATCAGGGATTGAACGCAGTTGCTAGACATTTGGAATCTGGTTGTCGCCAAGTGTTTCATGACTTGTAAGGTAAGAGGATCGTTGAGGGATAGATTCTGAAATAATGGTTTAAATTCATGCACTTTAAAGTTGAAACTGTTCATCAATGGCTCAATGTCTCAAACTTTGAGCAAGCAAACTCCCGCGTTGTGATTCAATGTAGTTGCAACAAGCCAACAACTTCCATGCAGAAACCCAGAAGCATTGAATTGAGCAAAAGCTGAAAACCATAGTGCATTGGGAAGTGACATGTTATATGAGGTTTGTAAACGAAGAATTCAGAGGTGGTGATAAAGGAAAATTATACAATTACATTTTGGGTTCAAAATTGGAGGATGCACTGCTAAAACCCCAACATGAACAGTTTAACTAAATCATGCACAAAACACTTGCAACACGGCCATGATATGATCAATCAAATTGATAACTAACACATGCCTCACCAACCAACTGATATGCAAATCATATCATTGATGCATTGTCCAGAACATATTTAAATCTTAGAACTTCATAAACCAAAAGCAATTCACTTTGAAGGGATACAAAATAATTTAGAGCAGGATCGTTGGACAAATGATGAACAGAGCACTATGAATCAAGAAGCAGGAAACAAGATGTTTCATTAATTTAAAATTCAGTAGGCAAAGACTAATCAAGAAGATTACATTCATTCATGCACCCTTTTATACCCCTATTCATCTTCTTCCCTACAAATCCATCACAAACTCCTAAATCAACAACAATTACATACACCTGGCCAAGAACCCAAACCCAAAACAGAACCACTAGCTAGTCATCAGAATTTTAAGCTGCCTTCTTTGGGGACTTGGCAGCTTTGGCTGGTGACTTGGTAGCCTTTGGAGACTTGGTTGGTTCCTTGGTAGCCTTATCAGTCTTCTTTGGCAACAAGACAGGGTTGATGTTGGGTAAAACTCCGCCGTGGGCGATGGTTACTCCGGCCAACAGCTTCCCAAGCTCCTCGTCGTTCCTGATGGCCAACAACACATGCCTTGGAATGATTCTGTTCTTCTTGTTGTCACGGGCTGCATTTCCGGCCAACTCCAACACCTGCAAAAAATCAGCCCCCAGAACAAAACGGTTATTCAGTAAAATTCATTGCAGATCTATATACAGCTTAATTCAACACAAATTAGGCATCAATTGCATTACCAAGACCAAATTGAACTTAATTAACAACAAAACCCTAACTTAATAGCAACGGAGAAAACTAAACCAGAGCACAGATCTGAGTATACTTACTTCAGCAGCTAAGTATTCAAGGACAGCGGCCATGTAAACCGGAGCACCAGTTCCGACACGCTCGGAGTAGCGACCTTTCTTTAGGTACCGGCCGATTCTTCCGACGGGGAACTGCAAACCGGCCTTAGTTGAACGGGAAACTGGCTTCTTCTTTGGGCCACCTCCTTTCCTACCTCCGGCACCCTTCTTCACTTTTCCGCCGGTATCCATGGTGATTGAAAAAAGATAATTTTAAACTCTTGGAAATGATGGGGCAAAGAAAAAGATCAAACAAAATAGAAGGAGATAATTGTCAAAACAGATCGATCGAGATGAAAAGAGTTGAGTTTGGGCGATGTTGGATGAAGATGACGATGGATTAAATAGTAGTGTGTTTGTCATCTTAGTTCCTCGTGTGAGTTGGTTTGAGCCGTTGGATTTTCAGTTTTATCGACGGTTGAGGATAGTTTGATGTCGATCCGTGTGCTTTTGAATGGACCAATCAGAAGCGAGTGGGAATCTTGACAGGTGCTCGTTCTCCCGCCCGTTATTTTCATTCAGCCTTTTCAAATTCTCACTTTTTTGGTTTACCGTCTTTTGAAAATGCATTATGTATAATTTACCGATACATTAAAGAAAATGTATTTTGTTAAACTGTTGCGAATGAGTTGTACCGAAAAAGAATCATGGAATGGTATTATACTTTTTATTGATAGGTTTTTTATTTTCTTTTTTACCTTTGAATCATGCATCTTTATTCGTCATCATAATTTTTTTAATTTCCGTCGTTTTTTCAATTTCCATTGCATGAGTTAAAAATAATAATAATTTAAATGTTTAAGAATACAATTTTTTTAGTCGCCTAGTTAGTCGATCTATTAACCAGCAGTGACTAGTAACTATAAGCTATACTAAAAAAGCCAAAAACACTACAAGTCTACAACCAGTTGTTCTTCTAGATTTACATTTACTCTTGACCATCTCAACAGTAAATTATTGAGATTTATCTTTGAAGATTAAAAGAAAAATATTTATACATGAAAAGACGAATAAAAAAACATTGGAACATAATTCATATTGGTTGAGAAAGAACAAATGGTGAAAAAATAGTTGAATAGTATCACGAGAAAAGGGGTGATAAATGAAAAATACAAAACAATAATTGAAATAATTGAATAAAATAGTAAAATAACAAAAACACAATTCATTGAGGATCAATTTAAATTATGTGAGAAATATTAAATAGAGAAAAATATAGTCAAATGTCATTATTTAATGAGGAAAAAAAAAAAAGAGAAGATACATCTACCATTAAGTTCTAAATAGGAAGTTTCTGAAAAATAAGATATACAAATGGGTAAAAAAAAATATAATAAGTTAGGAATCATTTTTAAATAACTTGAAAAGGAATGAATGGTGAAAAAAAAAAACAGTTGAATGGTGTCATTAACATGATTAGATTCTCTGTGAACATCAAAAGTGATAATGAATGGTGTACACAGTAACAGAAAACAACAAAATTATATCAAACTATTGAATTGTAACATAGAGTGTAATAGAAAAGTGACACATATGATCCCGTGTCATCACTAAGGGAAAATAATAGGTCATGTTTAGGCAAAACACATAATATAAGTACAAAATACAAAAAAAAATTTAATAATAAATAAATAAATGAGCATATAAAATAACTAAAATACAATACGATGAGAATCACTTTAAGTTATGTGAGAAAGACTAAATGGAGAAAAATACAGTTGAGTGATATTATTAAGAGAGAAAAAAATTTGATACATATACCACTAAATTCAAAATTTTAAATCTCTAAAAATGGATGAAACTAAAGCAAAACGGAATATTGATTAAGGTGTACAAAATATTGAAAATAAATAAATATACGAGAAAACAGTTTAATTATAGTAATTTTAAAATGTATGTTACCATCAGTAAATCTTTAATTTTATTATTTTTTCATGTTTCTTATACATATGAGTTATTGTGATTAATCATTTGTCATAAAAAAAAAAAAAAAAAAAACCAATTTTGAAATTATATAAGGGGAGGAGGGAGCAAAAGCTTGATTATAACAATAGCACATTTAAAAACAAAAATTGTGGTAGACCAACCTAACATAAAGCTTATAAGCAGAAATTCACTTCAAATCATCAAAATATTTTACCCACGTGATGTTTATAAAGCTTTATTGGCTAATAAATCAGTTACAGTAGTGCATTCTTTGTACTTGTCCTTATTTTATTTACTAAATTACCATGGAATAGTTAGCTGATTTACAGGAAATGGACATGGTGTTGATCAGAATCATATTCATCTTATTATGTTTGATTTTTACATGTATTTTTTTATATGTACCAAATATTTTTTATTTGAAGTTAAAGTAATCTGAAGGCTTTGTTTGGTTTGTTTTAATGATGTTTTTTTCAAAATAATTTCATAATAACTTCTCATCTTATTATAACTTTTTACACTTTCAATATATTTTTTTCTTATTTCATATTTTTATTTGAATATGGTTGTCCCGTCCAACTGACGGATTTAACATCTAGTAATTTATAAAAAAGAAATAAGGAGGAATGATGTAGATTAAACCACATGTATTGAATTCTATACTTTTTGCTTGGAGTTTATAAATTTAAGGTCAAGAGAATAGTATAGATTTAATTCACATCATTTTTTCTAAATTTTCTTTGCGTATATCACTATTCTTATTTTCTTGGAGTAATCGGGTAATGCTACACTAGTTGCCAGCCATTGGCAAAAGCAATGCAAAGCCCAAGCTGTTTACACTTTCCAATTCAAAATATAACTTCTTTTGGGGAAAAGAAAAAAATTGAGAAATGAATTATTTGTTGCAGTTCTAAGTTTCATCGAGTATATTTTTTTAAGATATTTTAATTTGTCATAATTTTATTAAATATATATTTTTTATTAAAAAAAAATCTTAAAAATAAATTTTCACATTCATTGTGTTCTCCTAATTATTGAATTTTTTTTAATTTTTTTATTTAATTAGAAAACATACAAGATGGCATTTTAAAAAAATCAAAATGCCCTATGGGTATAATAAAGATCTGCGGGAGTATCTCATTGGAAGAATTATAATGTTTCACTATTCAACCCCATTTTATCATAAGTAGCTCCAAGGACCAAGGACCTCACAATATAGCATGAATAGAAAAAATGAATTAAAGAAAGTGAAAAAAAAAATACTCTATATATTCTATAAAAAATAATTTACTTTTGTTAATTATGCTGTTTTTATGGGTGGGAGCGCCATTACATTCTTTTTCCGGGCTGTAGCCGGTGATTCATGAATCATGAATGTCATTAAGAAATTTAAGATATTTTAGAGTCCTCTAGTAATTAATAAATAATTTTAATTGGAAGATATTTGTTCACCTATCTCTTTCTCGCTCCCACGATTTATTCTTCAGTCATGGTTAATTGCAAAAGGCTACTTCAAATTTGGTCATTTAAACTGTGGAACCATATGCGATAGTAATTATCTTTATTCAACATGATTAAGGTTCGTAATAAAAGAGCTACACTTTGATGACACAAATGTTCTTTTATTTTTATTTTTTTAAAACATGCAATAGTAAGCAAATCCATCTACAATTTCTATTACTTATCAATTCAGCTTATCAATTTTCGATTACTTGATCATTTGAAGAATGATGATTTACAAACGCGTTGAAATTTTAAGAAAATAATGAGTGAATGGCTTGAAAAAGTGGATTATTTAAGGTGCATATGGTGTTATAGGATGTGTCTTTTCAAAAAATAATATTGTGCCAACAAAAATAATCGTCATACACATTCAAAATTGATACCTGTAGTTACAAGAAAATACAACTAAATAGTTTATGGCTGAAGAAATGATAAACTATGATCACGACATAATTGTGGAGAAAATTACTATTACATATACATCAACAAATCATCATTGTGATCATTAAGTACAAACAACAAGAAATTAATCGCTCTAACTGCAATAGTTCAACATTTAAGGGAGCGATAATGATGGAGAAGAAAATCCGAGGGGAAAAGTGCAATTTATATTGGGCACTAGTATTTCAGAAGTCAGAAACTCGGAAGGTCGCAACAAATTATCGACACGCCAAAAATAGAAAGAGAAAAAACAGCTCCAAATTATCTCCCTCGATCTTCTCCGCTCTCGCAGCAAAGCTTCAATCATGGTTAGTGTCTTCTTGTACTCATTTTCTTTGTTATGAAAAAGTAGTAAATTTCATTCATTGGTCGATGCTATTTTGCTGCTTGTCATCAGGGAGAAACCCTATTGTTCTGTAGTGGATCTAACTTTTCTCTAATCGTTAGAACGGCGACCCTGTAACTCAGTTTGATTTAGGCTTTAGTTTATGCGTAATCCTGTATCTTTGCTATTTTTACTGATGGATATTTTTGTTTATTTATTTATTTGCTGAGAACTCGATGTCTAACATTTCTATTGTTCTGGGCTTCTTAGCAATGATTTTGTGGAAACTTATTTACGATATTGCTGATAGTTGACCCTTTTTTTGTTGGACCTAATATGGAGTTACTTCTACATTGCAAATTTTGGGTCTTCGTGTGGAATATGATCAGAAATTAGGCGAGGTTAAGGTGTCCCACATTGTATTGCATTGTATGGTTGATTGGAATTATCATTTTTGTTCTCGAAGGATATCCCAGGTCCTATGCTTATTAGCTTCCAGATTTATGGGGTGGGGGCCTAATGTTTGTAGAATTACCTATAAGAGACATTTTTTTTTCACCACCCAAACTGGTGAGACCTCACTTTGGATTCAATGACAACAGCTAGTCGCCCTGCAATGTGCTTCCCTTTGTATAATTCTGTTAAAGCTGGCAAGAGATCCTGTGTATTGACTGTTACACCAGTGTTTTTGACATAATTGTGAAGTTAACTTTGTTTCCTTCTGTGTATCTGAGAATGTGCAAGCATATTTGTTCAGAAAACACATACTGTATTTCACACGAAGGTGTTTGGCCTTGAATATGAGAAAGTTTTTTTTTTGCTTCTTTACTTATATTATTGATTGGCAGGATGTGGATTGCCAGGGTCATTATACTTTTCAGTAATGTAGGTCTGCTCTTGTTTCTTCAACTTCGTTATATCTTCTGCAACTACTTTTTACTGCTTTATCAAAGTTGTTTAAACTTTTTTCTTGATTAGTTACTGTATGGTTTATCATGCTGTTTTTTTTCTAGCTTCCTATGGTTTTTTTTAGTTGTGGAGTTCCCTGGCTGGTGTTTATGTTGTGTCCTTTTAGTCCATTTTAAGAGTTTGAAACCGTCACCAGATTTAAGATGGCCTTCACCATTACTCCTTTGATTTGTCTGACCTTATTGGTTACTATGTGTAGGCTAATGCGGCGTCAGGTATGGCTGTGCACGATGATTGCAAATTGAAGTTCTTGGAACTGAAGGCAAAAAGGACTCATCGGTTTATAGTGTTCAAGATTGAAGAGAAGCAAAAGCAAGTAATTGTGGAAAAGGTCGGTGAGCCTAGTGAAAGCTATGAGGACTTCGCTGCTAATCTTCCTGCTGATGAGTGTAGATACGCTGTGTATGACTTTGACTTTGTGACCGCAGAAAATTGCCAAAAAAGCAGAATTTTCTTCATCGCGTGGTATTTAACATATCCCACTTGTTATTTTAGCAACGGTAACCCCACATGTTTTGTTTCCATCCTCACTAAGTTTTCCTACTTCTTTCTGGTGATCTGTTTTGTGTATAAGGTCACCTGATACTGCAAAAGTGCGGAGCAAGATGATCTATGCAAGCTCCAAGGACCGTTTCAAGAGGGAATTGGACGGTATTCAGGTGGAGCTTCAGGCAACTGATCCAACTGAGATGGGTCTTGATGTTTTCAGGAGCCGTGCCAATTGAAGCATAGCAGAAAGCATCTCTAATATCGCATTGGATTCTGATATATTGCTTTGCTTAGAGGAAATGTTAATAGTTTGTGGGAAAGTGGTTGTACCTTTTTCTAAGATCTAATATTTTGCTCCCTTATTCAGATTCAACTTGATAGAATTGACCCTTCCTGTGGATTTCTTTCATCTGGTCCGGCATTTCTTGGTTGTTTACACATTTGATTAACTCAGTTTCATGGTGCCAGAGAGTCGCGTAGTAAATTCTTATGTTCGTGGTGGTTTTACCATTTTGGATCTTCAGAGAATGGCTACAACAACTGTCACAAGGGAACTTTTTCATTGTTGAAACACCAAAAGCAATGAAGAGAGGATTTTATTACTGACGCTTTAAAGAATTCCTGAGATAATAAATATGACAACATTTCTACACAATCTAGGTGATGAATGCAAAATCTTATACTTCGCTCCAATCAATCAAAGAATCTACTTAACCAGATCAGTCTTATTTGGCAGTCAGCTCAGGGAAAACTGAACGTGGAGAAGGTTGTTTTTCATTGTTAATTGTCCATTTCTACTCCATCATCCAAAAAACCTGAGACCTCTGACAAAGGAGGCTTCACCTAGATAGGCACAGGTCAGAACTGCTCGTGAAGTCTGCAATTTTACAATCTACATCCACTCATCACGTGACCGGACTGAACTTCTGAATCAAGCTCATTGCCTGTTGCTGCTCAAAACCTTTACTTCTCATCTCCTCAAGCAATTCAAACGCTTTTGACATTTTGCCAGCATTACAGCAGCCATATATGAAAATGTTGTAAGCAACTCGGTCAGGTTTTACACCCCTATTCAGCATAGCTTCCCATATGCTCAAAGCTCCCTGGAAATCTCCGTTCCTGCAATACTCACCCATAATCGTGGAATAGGTTATGCAATCCGGGGAAATACCATTAGCAACCATTTCAGCTATTAAGTCATCTGCCACTTGGACTTGACCGTGTTTGCATAAACCTCTTATCAGTATGTTATAAGTCACAGTATTGGCGAGACTTCCTTTAAGCATAGCACTATGCAGTTCTGAAGCTTTTTCCAAGCATCCTTCTCTTATGAGCTGATCAAGGAAACAACCATAGGTCATCTGATTAGGGATCAAACCATTAATTAGCATTTCTCTGCAAAGACTCTCAGCCCGGTCAATGTATCCTGCCTTGCACAAAGCATTGATCATGACCGTGTACGTCACAATGTTGGGAATGCAGTTTTCATCATGTACCATTATGCCCCAATATCCCAATGCAGCTTTCAAATTCCCTGCTTTTCCGTAGGCATCAATCATACTTGTGTAGATCACATTGTCAGGGTTCAATCCTTGATCATGCATCTGTTTCAAAACACTTAATAATGTATCAAAATCAAGTTGTTTTAACGTTCCACAAATGAGTACTGCATAGCAAACGAGGTCCATTTGTATCCCGCCATTTTCCCCTGTGACTTGACAAGCTTTCAGCGCATCCTTCAACCTTCCTTCCTTGTAGTAACCATAAAGAAGTGCAGAAAAGCACATCTCATTCAGCTTGCAATGCTTCTGATGAATTTCATCGAAGAACTCCCTGGCTTCATTGGTCCTACCTGTCGAACATAGGCCAGCTATCAGAGGCCTATACGTGTATGTATCAGGCACAAGGCCCTTCTTAACCATATCCTCAAACAACTCAAAAGCTTTTGTAGTATTACCAACTCTGCAATACCCTTCAATCATTACATTATAAGTAACTTCATTCCGAGCAACATTCAATTCTGCCATTCTATTAAACAACTCCGTAGCTTCAGCAATCTTTTTTGCACGACAGAAGCCAGAAATAAGTGCTGTAAAGATATACGTATTTGGTGAAACCCCTTTTCCAGTCATTTCGTGGTAAAGCCTAAGGGCCTCGTGAATATCTCCTTCCACGCAATAACCATCGATCAGTGGCGTGTAAGTCACAACGGTTGGACTCAATCCTTTACGAACCATTTGATCATAAAAACTCTTTGCATCACATAATTTCCCAAACTTGCAATGTCCATTAATTAAAGAATTGTACGAATATACAGATACTTCTACCCCGGAATCTACCATTTTCCTGAATACCCTATATGCTAAATCTAATTTCCCACATTTGCAAAGGGAGTCGATGATTATATTAAAAGTTACATCATTCTGAAGCAATCCCTTTTCCTCCATTCTTGTGAAAAGAGACTCTGCTGCATCTAATTTTCCATCCTTACATAAAGAATTTATCAAAGCATTATACACATACAAGTTAGGCAACACGCCGACCCTCCCAGCCTGATTCACTAAATCATAAGCCTTCTGAGTAGCACCACTCCTTCTCAATCCATCAACAACCCCCGAAACAGCAGCCACACTTGGAACAAAACCCAACTCAATCATCTGACTCATCAACTCCTTAGCACCACAAAAATCCTGCATTCTACAGAAACCCAAAATCATAGTACAAAATGTAACACAGTCTGCTTGCAACCCTTTAGAACTCAATGAATTCTTCACTTCCAATGCTCGAGTGACCCTCCCTCCTTTGCACAGTCCATTAATCAATACATTATACAGAACCACATTCAGCTCCTCCCCATTTTGTTCAACCAAGCTCACCATTTCCTCAGCTCTATCGAAATTTCTCAACTCACACAAACTCCTAACTACTGCAGTATACATATACACATCAGGCCTAACCCCTACACATAAAGCAACATCATCAAACACCTCGAGAACCATTTCAAATCGCCTGAACCGAATCAACCCGTTCAAAACAGCATTGACAGTCCTCACTTCGGGAATTATATTATACTCCTTCATAAGCTTCAAAAATACTACAGAATCTAAAACCCTTCTACTCTGAACACAACCTTGAACAAACAAATCAAAACCAGAGGTCGAATTGAGATGAAAATCTAATCTTTCATAACAATCAAACAAATTCTCAAAAATGCACTTGGGACCCAAGTCTCTACTAGTCAAAAGGGTCTGTACAAGGGAAGATGCAGGCCAGAAGAAATTTGAATTGACTAGAGAATGAATTAGGATACAAAATGACGTCGTGGAATGGTCGAAGTTCTTGTGGAGGCCCAGAAAATTGAAGAACCGGAGAGCTAACCTGGGATCGTGCAAATTGTGAATGAGGACTCTTTCGACGTGGTGGGGTCGGAGATGGGCTGCAATGGATGGATTGTTCAAGGCGATTTTCCAGCTTGCCTTACCTCGGACGATGCCATTTAAGATGGAAATGAAATTTTCGTCATCATCAATGGATTTTCTGGGCTTTGAGGAGAAAGGACGGACGAGGCAGAGGCGACGTCGTTTCATTTCCCGAGGAGAATCGGATGGTTCTTTCTTCTTCCTCGTCTTCCTCTGCGTTTGGGAAATGGGGAGTGGCCACCGGCCAGTAATGACTGACTCCTGCTGAATGTGAGTGACTGACTCTCGATGAAAAAATTGCAGCTAGATGAGAACCGAACGGCCCAAAATCTTGGTAGTATTTGAGCCCATATTTTAGTTTGGAGCAAAATTACAACCCATATCTTTAGCCCAAATCTTGGTAGTATCGATAAATGCACTGTTGAGTGTTGACTGTTAGGGATCGACCTTGATAATGCGAAAATTGACACACATCATCAGTCCAGTTTGTTGCCTCATCTCCCTCGTCTTTAATATTTTTAAGTGATGCTTTGTCCCACAATCGAGATGGATTATGTAAACTATTCCAACAGGACTGAAGCACTACAAATGCTCCATCAACATCTTTTCTTGCTTCTTTTTGCACCTTTTTGAAGAGTTTTCTCTTATCATCAACCGGAGTCGTGAACCTTTTCGAAAATATTTCTCATTTATGATATATACCATCATCTATATAATAACATTTGTTATATTGAGTACAATTTACAGTAAATTGAATATTATGAACATACCCGTGTAACACATCGTTAAACTGAGGAGATTGGTTGAGCACATTGACGTCGTTAGGTCCTGCAATTCCAAAAAAATACATGCCATATCTATAAATCTGCAGGTACGACTGTTTCAAACACTAGTGTAGGAGAAAATTGATAACCTGAAGTAAAACGACCTCTCCATCAAACCAGACAATTTTTTCCTCCAATGCATGCAGTGAATGCTACCAAGCATACCTGGAAATCCATGCTGTTTATCGTGCATTTGAAGTAAACGTTGAACGTCACTGTCATTAGGCCTTCTCAAATATTGTGACTGAAAAGTTTCAATCACGTTACAACAAAAGTATTATAAACACTCCAGTGCAATACTTTCCGCCCATCCTTAAATATTCGTCAACACGATCGGCTGGTAATCCATATGTTAGTTGACAAAGAGCTACTGTAGATTTTTGAATGGGGGGAAATCTCATTTTACCCGATGCATCATGCCTTTGTTGAAAGTATTCAGAGTGGTTTTGGAGTGATTGTACGATGCAGATAAATAATTCTTTCTTAATGCGGAACCTTATGTGGAAAGTAGCTGAAAAGAATATTGGATTGTCGAAAAAATAATCATTAAATAGCATTTGTTCTCCAATTTCACGCTCTCGATCGATATGCCTTCGTCTTCGCGAAGAACTTATACCTCTTCGTTGCTCAATCAACTCATCCAACCTCCTTAAATCCTCTAGACCCATATTATCGAATATTTGTTCCCGCATATAATCATTCATTTGATCGTCAAAAAGAGAAGGATCAAAATTAAGAAGAGAATTTTGAGATATGGTTTTGTGTGAAAAGTTGTTTAAAAAAATATGAATACCAGAGAGTTGGAAAGGGTTGAACAATATCACTAGTTTCATTCCATATTTATAAAGTGTTCTTGCAATAAGATCAAAAGAACGATTTGACTACACTATATGTGTATGGAGAAGATAAAGAGAGACTATGATACGTATGGACAAATGAAAAAAGAAGGACGTGACTACATTATCAATATATTTTGGACATGATAAAAAAAGAGATGTGACTACACTATAGTACACATGGACAAATGAAAAAAAAAAGACGTGACTATGCTATGATACGTATAGACGAGATAAAGAGAGAGACATGACTACACTATGGTACGTATGGACTAGATAAAAAAAGAGATACGACTACACTATATTACGTATGGACAAATGGAAAAAGAAAGACGTGACTTCACTTTCAACGTATTTATTCATTTAAAGTATTTAATACTAACTTTTTTTTAGTTTTTTTCTAGCGAGTTCAAATTGTTTCGATTTTATTTTTTATTTTTTAACTTTTTTCATGCAATCAATTAGAAGTTAGTACAATAATAATTATACGATGCATAAACACGATAATATTTCATATTTAAAACACAAAAATATGATGTAATAAAATTCAAATATAGTGACACAACTCTTACATTTTAGTTTAAATAAAAACAAAGACTCACAATGAAAATGACTAAATCAATAATAAACTAACAAGACTATCTATAATTAGACAATATTTTTTTCACATAAAAGTTCATGTATTGCTCATTGTTCCTTCGTCAAAATTTCATATTCTCTGGTAACTGCATGCTTCATATACGCCTGATTGTAATATTCTTGTTGGTCTAATTTTTTGGCTTCCAAATCCATCCTATTTTGTTGAAGTTCAACAAGTTCAACAAATTTCATCAGCCCGTGCCTTACACTTTCATTTTGACTTCTGCTTTCCTTGCTTTGTTGTTTTTTTTGCCTATTGGACGAACCTCCTCTGGGACCTTATTGATTTCATCATTTCGATCGGCATTTGATGACGAAGTGTATGATTCAGATGCATTGATTCTTGTTCTCTTTGACGACTATTCGACGATCGAAACAACTGCCCATTTTAGATCATCTTTTATAATTTTTCACGCATGCTCATGCACAAAATATTTTTTCTTAATTTCATAATATACCTCATTAGTTGTATCCTTTATTAAGTCATCGCTCCACCAACTACAGTGTACTTTGAAAACCAAAACCAATGAGACTTTAACTTACCTTATTCTTTTTGTGGTAAAGATCCTTGATTTTTTATTTTTAGTTTTGTTTTTTTGGTTAACAAGATCTTTGATTTTTGTTGTAGTAGGCATCAATCTTCTTCAAAAAATCCTTCACATATTGGTAGTTTCCTATAACACTACAGTTAGAAATTGTGAGCCATGCACGAGCTAGATAGGGCTGCTCATTAATCGGATAGACCTGACGAACTGCCAGACCCGAAACTAATTCGGCCAAAACGGGTCGGCTAATAGGTTTAATCGGAGAAATTTTGACTCCACCCAATTAACCGATTAGCTTATGCGGTTCGGAGTCGGTTTTCATAAATGTTTTTCTGGGATACCCGATTAACCTGATTAGTTAATTTTTATTTTTTAATTCCACATATTATACATAGGGTTTAGGGTTTTATTTTTTTTCCCCACTTCTTCTTTCTTCTTTCTTGTTTCTTCCGTCGCCCAACACCTTCTTCCACCCAACACCATCTGCAGTAACACGTCAACACCTCCCACCGCGACATAGCTCCGCCTCCCTCTCACTTCCCGCTTCCCAAATCCACCAATCCAACCATTTCTCCTCCAAAAAAGGTATTTCCTACGTAGATCTAATCAACTTTTCCAATCCAAATCAAAACTTTAATTTCTTATGAAAAAAATATCTCCAAATCAATGTCCCGGGGGAAGAACTCCGTGGTGGAGATTTTGCAGCGGTAGAGAAGCTCGACATCAGGGGGGGTGAGTTTGAGGATGGTGACCCGCCGGGAGAGGCAGAGGCAGTGGGCGAAGACCGGGTGGACCAACAAGTTGGGAGTACGGAACTTGGAATAGCCACATTTGTGGGTAAAGAGGTCGATGGAAGCTTGATTGTCATTTGCAGTCCTGTAATTTTTGTTGTTAGTAGATTTGTCATTTGTGAGATTTTTTTATTTGTTGACATTGTTGTGGACTTGTGGATTATGGTGTGGAGTTGAACTTTGATCTTTGAAGTTTGAATGAGAAATTATAAGTGTTTTACTGATTATTTTAGGATTCAGTTCAAATTTTGGTTTTGTCAAACAGAACTGATTTTGTTGGATACTTGGATTCGATTTTGCAAAAGAGATCGAGGAGGGATTCTTCTTCTTCTGACCGGATTCACAAGGCATTAGTTTCGATTTAATCGTCCCCCAACCGAAAACCCGATTGCCAGTGGCCCCACCATCGTCACCCACTTGTCAGATTAACCGCTGCTAACCCTCACCGCCCCCACCCATTTGTCAGATTAACCCGCTTGAAATATTTGCTACGCTTGACATTTTTATACACACTCTAACAACCCATTTAATTTTTTACAACACATATATTATCCTATTGTTGTGAATGCTCTTAGTAAGATTTGAATCTCCATGTAACTTCTCACGAGTGGTTACAAATGTTGCAATGTTAAAATAAAAATTTAAAAATATATTTTCTTGTTTTTCTTATAAAATACCTTAAATGTTTTATTTTCACTTGAAAAAACATGTTAAGAAAAATTTATAATAAATCAAAATGTTTTAAATAAGGAATGAAGGTAGTACTATATATACTCGTCCAGTGTCAAAATTATTGTTCAGTTTGAAATTTTACTTTTAGTACAATTTGAACTAGAAATGAAAATTAAAAATGGATAATAATGGGACGGAGGGAGTATTTCTTTCGATGGTAGATATAAAAATTTTCAATCAATATGGTTTTGTACTTTCGTTATGTGAAAATCTTTGAATTGTGATAAGACAATTTAGATTATTTTTTTGCGAATTGGAGATAAATAAAAGTAGCTTTGTAGATTTAAACTATCAAGAGGGCTCTTTCTAATTTTTCAAAAATGAATTCGCTCCACTGGAATTATTTTTGCACCCCCGCAATTTAGATCTTTGCCATTCATGCTTTCGTTGAATAATTTCGGCGGTAAATAGTAAATACTAAATTAGGAATTGAAAATTTCAAAAGATTTTTCTAAATTTAAAAAAATGAATGCTCTCCCCTCAAAATTATTCCTGGCCCGCACTTTCTTCCACTTTTCAGCAACTCACGAAAGCAACACCACGTCATCGATCCGTCTAGTAAGTACTTATCCAATAAATAACCGGCACGTTGATTATCCATCTCAGTCTCTTTCTCAACCTACCAGAACCGTCCACTGCCCCTTTGAAACAGTAATCAATAGACGGTTTTTAGATATGCCAACTCATCTATCCGTATTGATAATATTCAGCCAATCAGCGTTTACCTCTTTGTTCTATAAAAAGGAATCTCTCTGCTTTCTCAAATCACAAAGCAATTTGCTGATCTTCAAATTTCCCACACACGCACACAGCTTCTAGCCTTTTTTTCGACAGTTTTAATCAAATCCTTCTTCGTTATCAATGGCGCCCAAGCCAGAGAAGAAGCCAGCAGAAGAGAAGAAGGCCGCCGCTGCGGAGAAAGCCCCCGCCGAGAAGAAGCCAAAGGCCGGGAAGAAGCTCCCCAAGGACGCCGGTGCTGCTTCTGGGGACAAGAAGAAGAAGAGGATCAAGAAGAGCACGGAGACGTACAAGATCTACATCTTCAAGGTCCTGAAGCAAGTCCACCCTGACATTGGTATCTCCGGCAAGGCCATGGGCATCATGAACAGCTTCATCAACGACATCTTCGAGAAGCTGGCTCAGGAAGCTTCCAGACTGGCGAGGTACAACAAGAAGCCCACCATCACTTCCAGGGAGATCCAGACTGCTGTGAGGCTTGTGCTTCCCGGTGAATTGGCCAAGCATGCTGTTTCAGAGGGTACCAAGGCTGTCACCAAGTTTACTAGCACTTAATTGGTTAGGGGTTGGTTTGGGATTAGGGTTTTTTATGTCCGATGGGTAATCTTAGGGATAGTCTTGCGGTTTATTAGTGTTTGTTTCTTATTTTGGCGGTTAATTTTGTCATCAGAATTGCTGTGAAGGAGAAGGTTGTAAGTAAAACTGCTGGTTCTTTTGCGAAGTAATGGAAATCTGAATTAGTACTTTTCTAATTTCTGGTTTATAAGTTTATTCTTTAATGTTGTGATTTTTTTCTGGTGACCCCCTTTGGAATTCTTGGAATTGCTCTTTGCCTGGATTGCTCAGCGTTTCTGTGACTGTTAATTGTAATGTCAGGAATTTTGTTTTTGTTATTTGGTAAATTTATTTTAATCTGGGCACTTAAATTTCTGCTACTGGTTTGTTGATATCCTAATCGAAACACTTCTGGAAATTTGTGGCTCCAACAGCTGCTCTGGCTATGTTTTAGCCTTGGTTTCCTGTGGTTACACATTGATTGAGTTATATGGTGTGGAATGTGGATGTTTGTGCCTTCGATTTGATTAATTAATGTTAAATGATCTCTCAGCTGGTGATCGAGATTCCTGACTTGTTTATGCTTCTGCAATAAGACTTAAAAATTTGATAAAAACTGAATACGTTATCAGAAGAAAATGCTTAATCCGCCAGGGATAGAGGATTTGGGACCGAAATCATCCTTCATGTCCCAGGTTCACTGCTGCAAGACTTCTTGGTCAATTTTAGTTTATGGTAATTTATTTCTTAACGTGGGAGAATTAAACAAGAACTTGAGAGTAAGAGGAGGAACTTGAACTCTTCTGTGACTGTGTTTCCTCTTTTTGCCCGTCCTTGTTGTATTCTATTCTTATAAGTTAGAACCTCAAATTTCGATAAGAGCTGATTGAGCAGGATTTCGTTTTATTTTTGTATGATACAAAGAACTTTACTCGCACATTCATTTTGCTTGAAGCATACGGGCTTTTATCTTTAGCAAGCTTCCGTTTTGTTGTGACCTCGCTCGTGAGTCTTTACGCAAGAATTAAGTGTATCAGAGTTTTGAATATGACATGGATCAGCACGCAGCTTGAGGATGCTTACTGTTACAAAGGCTAAGTTGTTGTCTTGTTGTTACTTGGAGCAACTTAAATGGCCGCAACTTCTCTGTTTGTTGAGCCATTGATTTGCTAATCTATACAATAGTCTCCTCCTAAGTAAACCTCAGGTTATGTCTTGCTTATGGTTCAGGTTGGTTTTTGGTTAAAAAAGCAATGACCATTTGGTGAGTCGGAACTAGATTGGCTGGAGAGAAGGGTTATTTTTGGCATTGATCTCCGGTGGACATCATCTTGAGAAAGTAGCAATAAGTGTCATCTCACTGTGTCTGCATTAGTCAATCACTCCAAAGTCCAAAGTATTAGGGCTTTGACCTTGTCCAGCCGCTAAGAGAACAGCCAGCGATACCCCTTGATCCAGAACTCAGGGGCATTTACAACCTTTTCCAAGCTAATTTGGAAGTTACCTTTGCGCATACAGTGAAAGACAACAGCTCTGGGCAGATGTAGATAGGGGGCTATATTTTTGGGAGAATTATTAAAAAGGGCACATGAAAGATAAATATTATTCTCTAGGGCATCACCATTTTTATGATCACAGTATGAATGTTAAAATAGTTTTAATATTACAAATGACTAATTTATCCTATTTGCAACCAGAAACAAACTCACAACAACTATTTTATTTCATTTTCTTCCCCTAAAGTAGCCTCCTCAATCAGTTCTTCAAGCTACGATTCTAGCAATTTTTATTCATTTGCCGAAATTGTTGTAGGATTATGAAGGGCCTGCTGGATTTTCTATGTCACTACACAAAATTGATAATATTAGCAAAAAAAAAAAAATTGCCTTCACTTGAACTAACTTATAAGTAGCAGTGATTTCAGGTACCTTTTTTTTAAAAAAAAATAAAAATAAAAAAATAGTCGAGCAATAAAAATCTTGTTACAAACATGCTAGAAGTTTTAAAGTTCTTGCAGTTACAAATTCCTGTTAAAAGTTATGACTTTTATCATGTTTTCTCATTTTTAAAACTCAAGAGTTAAGATAACTAAAATTAATTTGAAAAGGAAAAAAAAAAAAGACCACTCTTATTGAATGGTTTTCTTGAAGGTACAAATATAGACCCACATGTGATTACACCTCAAAATTAATTGGTGATGAGGGGAGTAGCACATGTGCCATATATGTTGAGTTCAATTGTTTCCTTCTATCCATATGGGACAAAGGAACATGAGACATATTTGTTCAACAGGTTTAATTCATTAAACTAGGCTAAAACTGTAAATTGAGAGATGAAAGAGAACGGGATCATCGCCGCGAAACCGTTTGCTGTTTTTGCTTCTTTTTCTTCTTTGTTGAGACATGTCGATTACTGGGAAAAAAGAAAAAAAGGATTAAATTAATGTTTGGTGAGACGAAGGCTAAAATGGTCTTCTAAGTTATTAGAAAATTTTAGTTGTATCTATCCAATTTACTAAGATTATAAAAATTAATGATGCCCTTATCAATAATACTGATCTTTCGAACGCCTTTTTTTAAAATTTTCCCTATATTTTTTTAAATCTTCCCCCAAGCTTTCTCTCATTACTCTTAGAGCAGGATTCTAAAGACTCAGTTTGTATATATACAATCTTAGCCATCGGGCAAAGTTATTCACCCAAAAAAAGTATTAGTGTTTTTTTGAGATTTTGATCTTCATTGGATCGATGAAGCGCATACTAAGATTGTGTTTGGATTGAAGCAGAAAGAGCAAGCATTTAGAGCATCTCCAACGCGTCCGCTAAACTGGGCGGACGCGTTGGATTTGGCGGAACGGGCGCTCCAACGCGCTCCGTTCCGCTCCGCCAAAGTGTTCCGCCCTCCTTCAAATCTGGCGGAGCACTGTTCACCCGCTTTGAAGCGGGTGACCCTTTTTTTTTCCCCCCTAAAATTTGGGCCAAATCTAGGGTTTTTCTTTGGGCTTCCTTTTCATTTGGGCCATTTGAAGCATTTAGGACTTTTTATTTGGGTCATTTTGGCCCTAGTTATATATTAATTAGTTTAATTATTATAATTTGATTATATATTTGCTTTTAATTAATGTTAATTAGTAGAATTAAAATCAAATAAATATAATTTATCATTTTAATGAGAGAATTTATGTCTTAATAGCAAATATATGTATGTGTAATTGTACGTTTTAATAGGAAACATTAATAATCATAATTATCATTTTAATGAATGAATTTAAGTCTTAATAGTAAACATATATATGTAACATGAACTAAGAAACCATTGTCGATTTATTGTAAAATCATAAGATACATATTATCATTAATAAAATCACATAAAAATAAACTACAAACAATCAAAACAAATATATTGTTTTGATTATTTATAAATTTAAATTATACAATACGAAAAAATAAAATACATCATTTAAACTCACAAAACCAAACACCAAAAACACAATAACGATAAATTCGGTTGATAAAGTCAACCATTCATAAATCATTTAAAATTCTTTATGGATTCAGAATAATCTTCATTTACACATATGCTCATCTTCTTATGGACTAAATGACATTTTTTCTTTGATTAAAAAAGACTACGTTTGAATGTTTTGTGCAAGAAGTATAGGTAATGTGATGCATATTTATAGAATTTTGGAAAAAAAAGTTATCAAAATCGTAACCGTTATTCTAGATTTCATTATAATATTGGCCGTTGAATTGATTTTTATATTATCTTTCTTATCTTCTTCTTATCTAATTTACAACTATTGGATTTCTAGAATGTGTAGATATATTATAACATGGATTAAAAATACATAATCTATATTACATAAAGGAAACTCTACAAACAATCAAAACATACACGTTATTTCGACGACAAACTTAAAATTACATAATAGAAATTAAAAGAAATACATCATTGAAACTCACAAATAAAAACACTACGACAATAAAAACAACAATTAGGAAACTAAGCATTAATACAAACGGCAAGTAGACGGTTTCACAAATTAATTATCATCACTATCATAATAATCATTCAAATTGCCTTCACTATGTCCGATATCATTGAGAAATCCAAATTGTCCATTGTTTGATGGTGTTCCAAACTGTCCCGTGTTAGACAATGATTGTCCTTGAGATTGTTGTTCTTATAAATCCCTTACTTGTATAATTTCGAGCTGCTTTCTTTCCCAATATCGAGAACTGATACATTTGGAATAGAGTTCAAGTCCATCATCAGCACTTTGTCCTCTTGTTGTTTTTTTTTTGTACTCCAAATTTTGTTTTTGTATTTCAAGTTGTTGGTTTTGACGTTCATCTTGTGCCTTCATAAAATCAAGCATAGCATCAGTTTTTGTATTGAAAGTACTAAACATCTTACTCAAATGGTCTTCTGTTTTCTTCTTCAGTTTGACTTTCTTCACTCCCATCGAGCGTCGAGACGATGGTGCACTTTCACTCCCAGTATCGTAGCTTTGTTCAGGATTAAGAGATGACAACATTGAAGACTCGGGTGTTGGTTGTTTGGGATTAGAATTTTGGGATTCCGACTAGTCGTTGATTGTAGTACACTCCCGAGAACCATATTTTGGTTGGGGGACATTAAATTTGCCAAAATTTTGTAGCAAATAAACACATGGCCAAACTTGAACCCGATTTTAAATTTTGTTGTCTGAATAAATAGCTCTTTGGTTTGTTTCATCTACAAAAGAAAAACGAAATAAGACTGACATACATAAGATTATTTCAATAATAGTACATTACGATTAAAATGAAATTGAAAACTAGAAAAAAATAAAAATTATAAACTCACCCGATCTCCGAGTTGTGTCCCACTAGGGTTGCGATTCTCGATCTGTTGTAAACATCCATTAAACTTCTTACAAATAACTTCAATTATACGAACGCGAGATTCGCATGATCTAAAACTTCTTTCTTCCATGTCAATGTTCTTGTTCTCGTTATATGCGGAACTTACTCTCTCTCATAATGTTTATGCTTACTGCTTGTTTGATTCAATTGAATTTTTTGAAATATGGATGTAACATTTCACTAGAAGTTCATCTTCTAACCTAGTATGGTTAACCCCCTTTTTAGAAGCCATTTTTGTTGTTGAGAGTGTTTGAAGGTATAGATTAGAAGAAAAAGTGGATGCGAATTGGAATGAAGTACTCGGATTATTTGATAAACAAAAGTGTGTATATTGACCTATGACAAAACAAATGCATCGGATTCCTTTTCTTGGACTGAAAACATTGGATTCCATATGCTACCGACATTTTATTGTCGGACCATCATTATTCATTATTCATCAACATGGATCATTATTAATCAACTTGGACCATTTAATAAAAAAAAAGCATAGGACCAATAGCTACCGTCAATTAAAAGAAAACATTGTTCCTTATTGTACCGACAATAAAATGTGATGGATTGAATAGTCACCATCAAGTCACAAGAAACATTGGATTCTTTTTTTGACCGAAAAAATACTCAATCTATTACTACTATTATTAGTCATGCCAAGCCAAAAAAAATGCGTATGATTCTTTTTTTGACTGAAAACTCTTAATGCATTTGTTATCAACGGGGACTATGAAGTTAAAAAAGTAGTGGATTCATTATTTGACAACACATTAATCATCAACTTGGACCATTTAATAAAAGGTATAGGATTTCTTATACTGACAATTCTCCACTGTCAATTCAAAATAAATGAACCGGATTCTTTCTTTTATTTGAACCAATAGTCACCATCAAGTCAAAAAATAACATTGTTTCCTTATTATACCGACAATACATGTGATTCCTTTTGGGACCGACAATACAAAATGCTTTGTACTAAACTTGGACCATGAAGCCAAAAAAAAAGAAACATAGGATTCTTTTTTATTTGAAAAGAAATCAATAAATTAGAATTATTAGTCATACCGTTAGGTCAATACTTTAGAATCAATTCCTCTATTTGTCTATATAAACAACAACCAACATGTCATACAATGCAAGCATCTTCTATTCATATCTTCTATTCCCGTAGTTTTCCCAATAATCATTGAAATGAGTTATCTTCTACCATTTGATCACGATTCAAACGAGGAGAATTCAGATTTATAATTTCTTCCATTTGAAAATGATTTTCATCTATCAATTGCTCATTTCATAAATAGTACTCCCTCCGTCCCATAATTATTGTCCACTTTGCCCAAAAAATTTTGTCCCAAAATTATTGTCCAATTTGACTTTTTATGGATCAAGTTACACATTTGTCCTTAGTAAATAACATTATCCATAAAATCTTAGTGGTTAAACATTACTTATATAGGGGTATATCCCGGTTATTTAAGGTAAAATATAGTTAAGTTTGACCAAAAATAAAATCTTTCATTTTAGTAAAATTGGACAATAATTATGGGACGGAGGGAGTACTAAGGTATGCTGGGATGTGACAATTATTATTAAAATAATCTGAAAAAAACCATCCAAAAAATCAAACAGACAGAGCCTAAAAGTCTAGGAAATCAATCATAGAGTTGCATTTTTGGACAAAATGGAATTATAGTTTATCATGTTTTGTTGTAGAGTGATGGGAATGATTATTTGATTTAACAAAGCAGGAAAAAAGAGGGATACTTTGATCCACAAAAAATTAAAATATGGCGTCGCCCGGACTTGAACCGGAGACCTTCAGTGTGTTAGACTGACGTGATAACCAACTACACCACGACACCAAGTTGTCGGTTCTCCTAACTAAACTTATTTGTATGCTGTAAAATAGGATCCGGATCCGGATCCAGATTAGGGCGAGTGGGTATTTTCAATTAATTTTCCCAGCGGTATTTTGGACAATTTGAGCCTTCGGTGTCGTCCCTCCTTTTTTTCCTGTTCTCCTCCCTTCTCTTCCCCGGCGGCCGAACCCTAGCTCCATCTTTCTCTTCCTTCGTCACTTTAGGGTTACCGAAGATGTCAGGAGCCCCGCTGGACATGACTCTTGATGATCTCATCAAGCAGAATAAGAAGCCTGGCGGTGGTGGAGGCCGTGGTGGTCGTGGCCGCGGCGCCGGCGGTCCTGGTCCCGCCCGCCGTCCCAACAACCGTGCTTTTAATCGAACTGCTCCGTATTCCGCTCCTAAGGTTAGATCCGTTCTATTTTTGTATGATTCTTCTGAGAGATCTTAAAGCTGATTTTGGGTGCTCGATGTAGTAATTTACCTCTTCTTTTTTCCGTTAATATAACAATAGAGATTCTAATCTATACGAAATATAACCGTTTATTTAGGCTCCGGAGTCTACCTGGCAGCACGACATGTTTTCGTCGGATCAGGCCATGGCTTACGCCGGTCAGTTCGGTGGTGTCGCTCGGGCATCTGCAATAGAGACTGGAACGAAGCTTTACATCTCCAATCTGGATTATGGTGTTTCTAATGAGGATATTAAGGTAAATCCTTGTGCAGTCGATACTTAAGTCCCCTTTTCAGGTTTTATATCTTTTGGGGGTTACTTAGCGTTTGTTTGTGTGTTTTCACTGGAAATTTGTGCTTGTAATTGCCTTATTATGTTCTGCTTGGCTGCTGGCAAATGACTTTTTTGTTTTAAGGAAAAAACTTTTTTGAATTTGAATTTCATGAGGGTATACTTGTATGCTTATTTAACAATAAATTTGATGTCATATGCATAACTCAAGATATAAAACTTTGAGGCAAAATGTTTTCCCCTCTCTGGGAGGAGAGCATCCCTAGTTGGTAAAAGGATCTCTGTTGTTCTTTATTGCTGGAGACATTTTTGAGGATAGGTTTAGAGAAGAGCATGATTTTCCGGATTGTACAATATGCTGTTAAATTCTTGCGTTCCCATTGTTATTTCATTTTTCTATTTGAGTTCTGGTGGTCTCTCATTGACCTTGGCAAACGATCTGTTATCTGATAAATCTATTGTGTGTGTGCAGGAACTCTTTGCAGAGATTGGTGACCTGAAACGTTCTTCTATACATTATGACCGGAGCGGAAGATCAAAGGTATTTTATTGAGTTTGGTGTTGTGTGCTTATCCGGGGACACTTGTTGTGGTGCTTTGGTTTAGAGTCCTATTTTGTATAGGGAACTGCAGAAATCGTCTACTCTAGGCGACAAGATGCACTGGCTGCTGTCAAAAAATACAATAATGTCCAGCTTGACGGGAAGCCAATGAAAATAGAGATTGTTGGAACAAATATTGAGACACCTGCTGCTGCACCTCAGTTTGGCGCTGGACCCTTTGGAATCTCAAATGGAGTTCCTAGAAGGTAATTTCTTTGTTGTGTGGAGCTTTCTTGACCCATATTTAGTATATGTGTCTTGGAAATACAAGTGACTCAGACAATTATGTGTCAAATTCTGGCTTCTTTTTGTGCATTGATGACTTCTTTTATTTATTTATTATGAATTCCTGGCTCCCTTGAATTTTCTTGTAGTCCTATTGAAGATTGACTTTGTTTTGTTGTAGACGTGAAAAAACCCTTTCTAAAAACAATGGTTTTTGGAAGATGAAGTTTCTTGGTCTGTGAGATTATGTTTTTGGAACAACTATTATGCAATCATGATATAATTTTCGACGAGAAAGAAGAAATTCTTTTCTTTTCTTTTTTTATTTAGTTAACAAGGTTTTATTTGAATCTAACCTCTTTGTGAATGAGGAGCTAAAACGGAGATGTCTGGATTTTGGGCTTGCAAATTGGATTTTTTGGTCTGTCTTGTTATCTCAGGTGGCACTTGTTACCTAAAGCAGTAATCTTTTACATAGGGTGCCTTGATCTCTTCCTGGTTCAAATAATTTGTCCACTTTTTTTACTTCTCCATGAGTTGCTTTCTAACTTTCAATAACTCCTCTGGAAATGAAATTGGCTCTGCCTTTAAGTTGCATAGGTTTTTGTTTCTGTTTCTCTAACCTGTTGGCTGTTTGACAGTGTACCTGGAAGGGGTGGGTCTTTTGCAAGGCCTCGAGGCGGTGGGGGACGTGGTCGTGGATTTGGTAGAGGCCGTGGACGGGGAAGAGGACAACAACAACAACGTGGTGAGAAAGTATCAGCAGAAGCTCTCGATGCTGACTTAGAGAATTATCACAAAGAAGCAATGCAAGAAAATTGATTGAAGGACCTGCCATAGTTTGTTGCTGCCATACGCACGATCCTGGTGTGGCATCTGTGTATTAATAGCCTCTTTCTAGAGTGACAGTGAAGTTACTTGTAGCGAGTTAGAACCCTCGTTGTTGGAGCTTTGGCTTTCCTATTGGTGTTTGCTTTTTTCTTTTTTTTATAAGATACTTGGGTTGGTGATGTACTGTAATGAATCATTTATTTCACACCTACTTAAACTGATCAGTATTTCGAGAAGTGGGGAATCAGTTGACAATGTTTCACTTCAAGACAAGGCTTTGCCTGGAAAAATGGAGAACTCCAGCATTCTGAGGTCCTCTCTTTTGAATTGCTTGGACCGCTGTTGGAACTATGCATTCTCGTTAGCAACTTTGAGGTAGTTTCCTAAATTTTTTAGTTGTCTAATTACTCTTAAATACTTTTTGAGATCTCTCTGGTCGAGCATCACACTGTATTTCATAGTTAATTAGATGATATCTCTCAAGTATTAATTGCCCGTTATGTAGCTTTGATTTTTTCTGAAGAAAGTAGATTGATGTTGATTTCTTCCTGATTTGAACTTCTTGGATGAGAGAGAGAAAGTTGAAAGTGTGCACACAGCTATTTCTTTTCATGGTTTCTATCCTAGTGATTTCCTTCCTGGCTAGTTGAGTCGTATAGTATGCCGTGACTTTAAATGGTTTTGGTGTCCATGCAAATTTCTGAGTGTTGTTGGTGGCCTGAGCAGTGTATTTAATACAAACTATTTCTAAATGTACAGTGTTTGCATTTCTCTTTGCATTCGAGCTTACAGTCTAATGATGGAGATCAAATCCTTCTTCGTGACAACCTCTATTCTTTGTTAAGCTGGTCATCAGTTCAATTTTTTTGCTGTGGATTGCTACCAGAGCACTTTACTGTTTTCAAGTAGGCATCATGTTCTTTCTTATTGATGAATGACAACCATGAAGTTCCATTTGGCAATCAAAGTGACTCTTTGCCTTGATGGAGATGATCAAGAGTAAATGTAAGACACTGTTTCAGTAATGTGATGTCTCTGGGAAGAATGGCGTGGTTAATTAATTGCTTTAGAGAGCCTGCAGGAGTTTGGTATAGCTGAATGTGATGCTTTTAGATTTGTAGGTGTGAGGATGATGTGCTTAATCCATTGCATTAGAGGCATTGCTAAAGTGTTTGTTCAATATCATTGACTGGTCCTGCTCTTTGCCAAGCATGAATTTGGTATATTTTGGTATGTTCAGCATGGTTGAGTGAAAAGCAGCTGGGAGATTAACATTAGCCTTGATGGTTCTCTATACAGGTGCCCTGGTTCATCCCTTGCATATACGAGGGGCAGTTGTGATGTTACATGAATATCTCCTGCATCTTCCTGAAGTTTTGTTGATCTTGCTTATTTCCTTTCCTTGTAAGTTGTTGAAGGCCTATCGTAAACAGTTAATTGCTTGCCTACTTTGTCTCATTTAGTATCAAATTACTTTCATTGCTTTGGTTTGATCTCATAATTAGAAAATTTTACTACTTGAGCAGCACAATAACCATTAGTTTTGTAACATCTTAACAAACTGGCAAATGACATCAAATGCAAATCTCTTGCTAGGTACTGTGTCGGGGTTTTGTTGAATCTGCTAATATTAATTAGCCACTGAGGTTCTGTTGTTTACCGCTGTAAAGCATTAGAACGAGACAAATTCCAATTGCAAATAGACACATTCGATTATCCGTCTAGGTCTGCGCATTGTTTCTAATCCGATAATGCAAGTCCTTGATTGATATCGGTACAACACTCAACGTGAATTTGAATTTGCCAGTAGCGTCCATTTTTTCTTTTTTAAAGCTACAAATCAAGTAATATCAGATTGGTGTTAATACAAACCCAATCAAGATAGACACTTGCAGTGACTGTAACAATTACAGATTATGGACAGTACGCAGGCCTACAAGACAGGTATGGTCTAGAAATGGCATTTCCCCTCTCCCCCAAAGGTCATAGTAGAACAGCTGGTATTACATTTTACATATAACTTACCAAGTGGTAAAGCCGCATATCAGGGCTCCCACGCAATATACTTCATCCGAACACAACAGCCGAAGAAATTTGAGATACACCTCTACGCCTGATTTGGTTTTTTTAATTTATCCCAGCCGCGGAAGATTAACAGCAAGAGCGAATAGAATATAGTTTTTATGCATGAAACAACAAAGTTCCAACATGACGAAGGCCAATACCAAGGATACAACAAGCGGAAAAAGAGGCTAATGAGATGTCGAGGATACCGGCCAACCTGAAACAAGGCACCATTTACAAGGTGAGATTACAACTACAAAAGTGCAAGCATGTCAACTTTGATTACCATTTCATGTAGCCTTCCCATGAATACTAAACATCAGAATACAAGTATAACGACAAAGGGCATGCAGTGGAATGCAGGGGGCAGGAAACTGAAAAGAATAGAGATCCTACTCAGGAAATTCATCATTGTCACAAAGCAAACAATAACAAAAATTTAATACTCCCTCCATTCCAAAATAAGTGTCATCCTACACTTTGCACATAGTTTAAGAAACTCTTAAATAGGGTAATAAAATTACTTGAATATCCTCAACCAACCCCATTATAAAATTGTCCACCAATAGCATCAACTCTTTTGAGGGTAATTTTGGAAAATTTTGAAAAAAAGTGCATTGAAATGTGAAAACGACACTTATTTTGGAATTTCTTCATTTTGCTAAAACGTCACTTATTTTGGAATGGAGGGAGTACAATTTAGTTTGTATGCATTCTCATTTTTTCAACAATGATGAAAACATTTCAAAACTTCTTCAAAGCTAAAATCATAGTCAACCTTTTCCATGATCATCAAGTAGTACTTGCAACTATTGATTTTAAATATCTAAATCAGGACGAATGCATCGACATAATGAAACTGACTACCGTAGAAAAAGAAACACCTATACTCACTCTATTGCGACGAGTCCAGTTACAGCATCTCTCTTCATATGTTAATATGACAAAAAAAATACTTACTGGAAAAAGCATGTCTAATGCATCCCATGCTGCATGACGAACAGCTCTAGTTGGATAAGTAGGGCCACCAGGTGATGTGAAGCTATACAAGCATGTCTTCAACCTTGTAGTCGTCGTCATTCTTAATTCTAAGCCTACATAAGATAATGAATTCTAAAATCAGTATAAATCCAAAAGTGAACCAAATTTGACCAGCTGTGATGTCGTTAGTACCCCGGAGAACCTTAATTTGGGAAAGATAATGCAGCAACACCGGTTCCACCTTCAATTTTAGGAGCTGATCCAAGAAACGTTGTCACCGAGCATTAGAAATTTTGTTCAATGGAAATTTCTACTCGCCAAAGGAAGGAAAAGAACTACAAGTTACATGATCAGCGATTTCAGTAACAAATATGTCAGCCGGTCCTCCAATTAGAAATGCATTTGGAACATCCGGAAATTGCTTCAAGAAGCTATGCAGTTTATCAGCTGCAAAAAAAACTGTCACATACAGTATTTAAAAAGGAATAAAACCTTCAAATTCTAATTTGGATAACAGGGATAAACACCTGAATTGTAAAAAAGCAGGAATCTCGAGAGCAAAAGAAAGAGATCGCGTTGAGCCTGAAAAGAGGGAGGAACGCACAAACAAGTGAGAAGAAAGGAGAAAACTTGAGATTCATTCGATCAAAAGTAAAGAAGCTTTTATCTAATTCAATAATCAAGCAGAATACATAAGGCAAGAGAAAAACACCTGCTCTGGTATCTTTTTCAACCTCTCAGGAGAAAGAGCAACTTCGTCAAGAAGATACTGCAACAACATAATCTGATCAGAATACAATATGACATGTTCAAAATATATACGAATTTATACTGCAAAGGTGAATACCACAAAGATACTTTGGAAGCGCCTCGTATTTGATTGGATGTCAAGCCTGCAAGTAATTAGCTTCTCCTATCAGGCGACTTCTATGTCTTCTTTCTAAACAAGTACATAATCAAGCACACTTGAGTTGCAAAAATGAAAACAGAGCAAACATCGACGTCTAACCGATGAAACAATTATGCACAGAGCGAAGGTGCATTTAAAATTTTATTCTCACCCACCAGTAATAAAAATTCCTGACAGCAGAACCAAGCAATTAGAAACAGCTGTTTGACAAACTGGGTAAATTATCACTGACGCTTACTGTTTCAAAGCAGGTTGTCAGGCTAACAATCTTAAGGACAAAACCCCAAAAGTTCTAGAATTTCTGAATCAAATGTTATAAAACAATCACAAGCTGATGTCATTATTAAAGATCTCGTGCTTGGATGTCTACCACAATTTGAAGGCCACAGAAAAGGAAAGATACAGTGAGTGGCTGAGTGCACATAATCAGAGGGAGAATTAAAAAATTACCAAAGACTCTTCAGCTATTTCGCATTTCTATCCATCTTGACCCAGATTAAAAACCTTAGTCGGAAATTTCTTGTACTGAGTAGGTGGCTAAGAATAAAAGCTGGCCAAAAATGAAAAGGAGCAATGCTGCTCGAAGTAACTAATGAACATAAAAACCATCCAAACAGTGAAAGACCTTAAGATGGAAAGCACTGGCAGAAATAACTGACAACAAAACAATTTATTATTACTATTATTATTATTTTTTGACAAGGTACCTGTAAACACCCCCCCCCCCCACCCCCGCGCTTCCCCCAAATTTTTAAAAAAAAACAACAAGAAAGAAAATATAGTATATATCAGCTGATAGTGCCACCCAAGATTCATTTAAAAATACATATATAGAAAAGAAAAATTCATGAAGGCAGGTGTAAGGGAAAACGGCTCATTAACTTGTCCATCCACTCTTGCAGTCAACCAATGTTCTATTTTTATAACAGAAACTCCAGAATATGATATACATCAACCGAAGTCAATGAACTGGAATTTCAAAACTTCTATGCAAAAGCATGCTAATGTTTCTTTAACTATCAAAACTCCAGCTTTTATCCAGTAAATGTGTGTAACGTTTTTAATAAAGCATGCCAACCTTTCAAAAAATAAAAAGAAAGAAGCAAAAGTAAAGGGGTGCCTTTACGCCAACAGCAGGAGGAGTCGCTCCTCTCCTCACTTAAACTAACCAATACATAAGAAGATGGGGATGACCATTCAAATTCATACCAGAAGACATTTGTTGCACCCTGGACAAGAGCATATGAGTACCGGAGGAGAACTTCAGTGTTGTCAAGCTGAACTTCAAAGAGCTGCCGGATAAAACAGAACTTCAAAGTTAAATACTGACATCAGAATGTATTGTAGTTACTGGCAAAATTTATTGATAGATCAACTTTAGACTTCAAAACAAATGTCGGTAAAGCCAAGAAAGTCCTTTGAGAATGCACGAAACACTGTAGGGCTTCAGAAGGAAGTAATGGATCAAGAAAGAAATGATGATCAACATCAACATAACCAGAATACTCCCAACCAAGTTAGAATGATGATCAACGATATAAATATAGTCACTGATTTAAAATCAACAAGAGCTTACATACCCACTTGTGGAATAAAAGAGTAAATATGTTTGAGGCAAATGACTGGCTCCAGAGTTGAACAACTAAATCCAGGATTGGTTTTCCATTATCTGGTACCCAAACAAAGTGGTCCGCCAGTAGATTATAGAAGCATATGGAGCCTTCGATAAACTCTTCTTCTTCAGAACTAATATCTTCCTTCCTGAGAATGATATCTGATTCATTTCCAAATAATGAAAAATTAAAATTTATGAAGCCAAGAAAGTTATAACACATAGAGATAAGAACTTAAAAATTGGGAACTTAAAAAAAAATATTTCACCAATTTATCAAAGGAGAACTTATTTAAGTCAATAAAGTAGAAATAGAGCATCCAAAGTTTCAGCACTTCACAGAAGAATTATTCAACATCTGAAATAGGAATGATGAATGGAAAAATAAGCCCCCATCAAAATACTTCGATTTCATCTTCTGCCAAACGATCAATCACAAAGCATTACACCACAAAGCATTAAAATTGGTTGAACAGGACATATCTGCGATTATCATACCATCTTCGGCAATAACGAGACATTGTCAATCTACTGAGTACAAGAGATCTGATATAACAGATACGCAAGCTGAGAACTGTATTATAATCTAAAGCAGTCATCCACACTGATTTAAGAGACTTGATTTATTTGAAATGAAATGAAACTTCGTATACAAACAATTACTATATGTACAAGGCATAACACAAACGAGTGAGCAATTTGTAGCAAATTTTTTTATTCTTTTCAATCTCCACCGACTATACGTATTCATCTCATCCATCAGAACTACCTTTTCTTCTATGTTTATTTTCGAAACGAAATTTCTGAAACGAAAAAAAATAAACACCGTTGAATAGGCATATGCTAACAAGTTTAAATAGGTAATGGAAAAACCTCGAGCTCGATCATCCACTTCCAGAGCTATGTCGGTGAACAGCTGCTGCAATAAATTCCGCCTCTGCGATGGCGAATCTAATGCCTGTTGGGAAACAGTATATAATTTCAATAAACATTAAAACTCCAGAATCGAAACCACTACGCCTTTTAGAAGTAATTACAGAAAGTAAAAAAGCACAAAAGAAAAGAAAGAAGAAAGCCTGGCGCACATACTCGTTGAAGCTTCTTTTCAATTTCTTGAGTGAGAGCTGTGAGATAGGCAGAGCTCCGAGACGCTAAAACCGGCGGCATTCTCATCGGAGGAGTTTTTCTCCGGCAGGAATGATCATTGAAACAGTCAAAAGAAGGAAGAGGACCTAAAACAGAAAGAAAATTTTCCTGCCTTTCATACACTAACGTCGATTTACAGGGGAACGATGTCGGTTTCAATTTGATTTGGAATTGAATAAAAAGAACTTCAACTTAATTGCATTCAGGAAGGAAGCCGAGTGTAGAAGATGCGTAAGGAGTTGGATTGAATCTCCTCCAGTCCGACAACATTTAAGGCTTTGTTTGGCTAGTATCTAAAACTGCTTACGCTTTTAATTTAGGTACTATTTTTATTATAAAAAAAATAAAGTTTCGATATTTCTCTTCGAGGGAAATTTTTACTTTAATGGATACCCAATTAAAATTTAAAATTTTAAATAAATTTAAATGATAAAATCCCAAATTAATTATACTTCATGAATGAGTATATATAAATTTGAACACAATAAACAAGTGAAATAACGCAAACGAGGTCTTATCGAGGCATACGGATGTTTAAAACCAATAATGATTTGCAAAGGCGTGGCGGACACGCGAGGGGAGTTTGCGACGTGGGCTACCTTCTCATAATCCACGTTTATATATTTACTATTGGATGGATGACTTTTTGGATAATGGAGAAGGAAGTATTCAATGGGCCCTTTCAATATTACAGCTCACTACTTTTTTTTTGTTGGGGCTATATAATGGATGACTTTTTGGTCACTTTTGTTTTCATTTTCAACTTAATGTAAAAAATGTTTCAAACGAAAAACATAATATAAGATGAAAAAATTGTTTGGATAATATTTTAACAAAAAGTTGTTTGGATAGTGGTTAGGAAAAAGTTTTTTGCAATATGTATTGAAATGTCAAGTACAAAAAATATTACTAAATAATAAAAAAGTGTCAATTTTAATCACTGTAAAAAAAGAATTCCAAAAAATGTTCACTAAACGACAAAAAAGTGTCGATTTTGATCACTATAAAATGATCACTAAAATCAAGAATAGGTTCTAAAATTAATATTTTACAAGGATTTCACTAGGCATTCTTTGACTGGATTTTGAGAAACCAAACAATCACCCAAGAATATGGGCATTGAGATTGCTAGGAATGATTCAAGGATGTATCTTAGCCAGCACAAATACATCCAGAACCTTTTAGCTGATACTCACATGCTTAATGCCCAGCCAGCCTCTACACCCTTTCCTAGTGACTTGAAGTTCACAAAGAAGGATGCTTCACCGCTACTTGAAGACTCTTCTTCCTACAGAAGGTTAGTTGGCAGGCTGCTGTATCTGAACTTTACTCGACCGGACTTAACTCATATTGTCCAACAGTTATCACAGTTTGTGCACAATCCCCGACACTCTCATTGGAACGCAGCTCATCACCTTCTGAGATATCTTGTTGGTACTCAGACTCAAGGTTTGTTTTATTCCTGAAACCTCTCTCCAGCTTTCTGCTTACGCCGACGCAGATTGGGGCTGTTGTGATTTCACTAGGCATTCTTTGACTGGATTTTGCATATTCTTGGGTGACTGTTTGATTTCTTCAAAGACCAAGAAACATCCTACCATCTCTTGCTCTTCAGCCGAGACAGAGTATAGAGCCATGGTATATACAGTCAGGGAACTACAGTGGTTGAGCTATTTACTCAGAGATTTTAGTATTGCTGTGACTTCATCCATTCCTTTTTGGTATGATAGTAAAGTGCCCTTTATATTGCACCCAACCTGGTGTTCCACAAGCGTATCAAACACATCGAAATCGAGTGCCATATGGTATGTGACTATTATACTTCCAGGTTCATTGATCTTCACCACATACGTTCTTCCAACCAATTAGCCGACTTGTTCACCAAGGTCCTTCCCTCTTCTACGTTTCATTACTTGTTGTCCAAGATGAGCTTATGGCTTTCTTCCCTGATCATCTTAAGGGAGGGGTGTGTTGAAGGAAGACTCAGTTGATCATATTCCAGATCCAAGAGTCGACAAAGATGTGCAGTCATTATAGTTTGATTAGTATCATTTCTTTGTAGACGTCTTTATGTAATTAGTAGAAATCGTAGGGACTAATTTGTAAATATTGGTAAGTTGGTCAAGGTCGGAATGTTGAGAACTATAAATAAGTTTTAGGACACATATTTCTGCAATTAATTTTTCTAGTTTTCTCCGTCTGATCTGTTCTTCACCAGAAATCATCATAAGTTCCGCTCAAATCCGGTGAGGCCTTGCCCAGTTCATTTGCTTCTTTGCGTCTGATGATTGTTAGAAATTCCATTCCCAAAAAAAAAAAAACAGAAAAGAGATTCCATTTAAAAATAAGATTGTTAGAAATTCCTCAAAATATTCCAGTAGTACTCATTCTCCTTTACAAAACGGTTATCTTGCTTGTTGCAATATACCCTCTCCATCCCAAATGATTATCCAGTTTATATTTTAAGTTTGGTACTGTTTAAACTAGAAATAAAAATCTAAATTGGACAATCATTTTGAAACGCGGAAGCAAAACAAATAAAACAATCATTTAGAGGAGGAGGAGTAATAATCAATGACCATTACTTGATAATTACATTAACACAGCAAAACAACACCCAGAGTACATGTAAAAGAAGAGGCATTCCTTCTGGGAAAAACATGTTGCAGAAAATGGGGAGGAATAAGATCTAGATGAACGCAACTCAGAGAATAAAAAAGCTAACATCACAAGAGTATCACACTGTACAAATAATTTACTGCTACCTCTGGGAACGGAACTAATGGAAAAGCAAAACCCTTGCCGGGTTAATACACGAAAAAAGCAACAATAAGCTCACCAGCCCATCAAAGTTCTTCTAACTTTGTCCACAATTTGATTTCTAACAACCATATTTGATAACTGAAATCTGCAGTTTTCATCTAAAAGAAATCTGTAAACCTCCCATTCGCGATCAACAGTTGAATGCCTTCCAATTTCAGCCTATACAGAAAGCAATGGTAGGATGTCGTTAATTCCCATCAAGGGATCTGAACTTTTATGCAGCAAATTACTATGCAGTTTTAACCTATGTTGATTATTTGAATTAAATCGTATAGAACATTTCTCAAATCCGAGCGATCACAATAACGAGAGATGGTTCAACTTGCTGGATTGTGATCTTACCGAGAAAATGCATATCCCGAGAGTCTTGAGTGCATATGTGACATCATAAAATACACGCGGTCTACCCTTTCCTGATAACTCGACAGGATTGGCAACCAAAAGCTCAGTGTCAGGTCCACGATTGGTGATGATTACACGCAACGGATGAAGCATTTCCACCTTCAAGCGCGAGCACAGAGAATCTTGCTTTTCTGGATCCACAATTTTCTTCCCGTCCTTCTGCCGAACAAACAGGTCCAACTCCCGATGACCATTAGTTACAGGTGAGAATCGGCCATAAGCTATCTACAAAAGGGAAAACTTAAGCCATCAAAACCACGAAATGCAACTGAAATCAGGTATAATAATAATCCTGAAATCACTTGAACTAGTTGCAACGAGGAAGATTGGCAAAAAAAAAACAAACTTCGCGAAATTGATAACATCAACTGATCAACATAGAACCTAGTTCAGGAGTTTTTGAAGAAGTGATAACAAAAATTCAGTTGAGAAAGAATGTTGAAAACAACAATATGCCAAATAATTAGCTGAAAATACACACATATTCACACCATGTACTACATAAGTTATTGTATCAGCTAAGACTTATATGGGTACGAGATTAAGTCTTGAGTGGAAAATTAACGACTATATAAGCTCAAAGATTTCGAGTATGTACTTATTTTCCAAGAACAACAAAGTTAATACCAGGATGAGTAAAACTCTTAAAAATAGCCAGACAAAAATATAAGAAGTCTCAATGATTGATGCCCAATATAAGAAGCAAACTCTAAAGGTAAGATAGCGAAGCAGTAACCAAAACCTGTATCCCAAAATCTTTCAAGGTCCTCAGTATATCATAAAGAAAACCCTTGTGATCGACACAGTTAATCTGAAGTAACGTATGAGCCGGACTTAAGGAATTATCTACGTTCACACTAGACTTCTTCAACTTTGTCACATCTGCACTGAGAGCCTGTGTCCGAATCTCTTTGTCCGATAATTCGCATCTAAACAACTCTTCAGCCACAGCAGGAGAAATTGAAGACCTGCTCTGAAGGTTATCATACTGGGAGCCGGCTAACTGAAGCTCACAACAAACACAGGATTCACCTAAAATTGCCTGCAGCTGTTTACACGTCTCCTGCTGTCTCTCTTTTGTGTGTAAGAGATCCCTGGAAGAATTAAATAGTTTAAAAACCATGAATGTACTAACTATAAATTGGAATTTGTCAACAGGATATAATCGTGAATTGTTCCATTATCCATAGCAAACAGTAGTGCACTAAATCAATTACCCTAAGCTCCTAACAAATGAGTTTCAACATAGACATTGACTTCGAAACAAAAGATTGGCAACCCTTTTTGCTAATTTGAGGAATAATGCAGGTTTCAAACTCTCACATTCATAATTTTCATACCAAAAAAAAAAAAAGAAGAAAAAAGAAATACAGAAAAGGAGAAAGAACATACAAGTTATCTGTGATGAAGAAAAGATCCAAAACACGACCATCTGGGGTGGTTGTCACTTTGACCCTTTGAATTGTAAGCTCGAGTTCACAAAGAACTTGGTTGACATCTAAGGATATGTTATCCAACAACAGCATGAAAATCCAAACATTTAAAACCATAATAAATATAATTAAAAAGTACTAAAAAGTAATAAATACTCACTAACCATGCAATAAGCCTTTTCGATCCAGGCTGCAGAATTTAAGAAGATAAGTTGGAGATATCGTGGTTCGTGGAGATGGCTGATCCAAGAAGAAGGAAACAGAGCAAGATGGGCAGACGGATAAGAGTCGCTCTTTCAGATTAGCCCACCTCACACTCGGCTGCCTCGAATCAGGACTTACCCACAATACTACATAGCACCAAATCCCATCTGTAGATATGTCTGTCTCCCAAAAAAAAAAAAAAGCAGGACCAGAAAAAGTGCGCAAATTAAACTTCAGTCATATTGGAGTTTGCATAGAGAACGATAAAGGAATGAAGGGAATGGCTTAACTAACCTCCTTTGCAGATATAAAGACCAAAATCGAGGATGATGCGGCAAATGTCGCAGCCGAGGCCGGTCTTATCTGGGCAATTCACCGTGATTACGTACGGCTCGCCGGGACCCTTTCCTTTTTGAATCAAAACAGCCTCGTCGCTGGGCAAACCCATGTCGTCGGTTCGGGAATTCTCAACCCGCCAGTCCCTCCAGGGAACCGGAGCTCTTTCCCCGGGCGGAGATTCCGAATCAAGTGAAGAATCAGGATGAGTGAAACGAATCCTGAAAAGCAGTGACCTGACCTCACTAGGAGAAGAAGTGGTGGTGGGTACTATTGTGTTTGTCGTTTGTTCGGTTTTTTTTTTTTTTTTTGGTTTGGTTTTGATCAGGGTCAACAACAGATAATAGTTTGGGAAAGTTTTGGTTATTTCAAGTGGCTTATATAAAATGGCGCACCCACTAGCTGCTTGTCCAGGTGTTAATTATTATTGTTCATCACAAGTTTTTGATCAAGGCTAAAAAGAAAGGTTTTTTTTTATTTTCCAAACTTTTCAGGAACGAAAATGACATACTGCCAGACAAAAGATCTTAAAAAAAGGTATCAAATGTTGAAGAGAAGAAGGGGAAAGAGCAAAGCCTGCATTTTAATGGACAGATGATTGTACAAATGGAGAGGTGACAAAAGTCACTATTCTACTCCAGGTAGTTCTAGATTTTTCACAATAATTGTAGCCTATTTTTATATAGTAACTTTTAGTTAAGGTGGCTGATCCAAGTACAACAATACCATAGACGCTCGATTGCCTCTTTTTACATAGTCAATCCAAGTTATTATGGAATTCAGCAAACATGGTGAAAAAACCACGTGATGCGAGATCTGTAACGTGTAGTTTACTGTTCACTGTTCTTTATGTTCGGCAGTGTCACGGCAGTATAAATGGGAAGGCCTACCTACCATAACTGCAAACAAATGGGAAATATGATGCGCCAAAACGTGGACAAAACAGTATACTAATAAGAGTATATGGTTCAGTGCCATACCATGACAGATCAGAAACCACGCGAGAAAAATGGCGTTAATCTTTGCTTCCATCCTAAGATAAAAATCTACCTACTTCGCCTCTGTTCATCGACACAAACGTTCAACCTTGCTTGATAACACAAACAAGAGGTCAAGCCGATGAAGCATCTAATTGAGCCTAAGTAGAAAAGCAAGAATGTGGAAACCAACAATGAAGCTTATTCATCCATTTGATCCTTGAACCAGATCGGGAGTCAGGACCTAAACAGCATTCCAATTCACCAATTCCGCACTCAAAATATAATAATAATTCAGCTCATAACCAATGAAAAGTAGTAGCAAGCTTGATTTACTTAGGATTACTGATAAGGACGCATTTAAAAGGTCCACCACAAGAAGGATGTTAAACGGAAAGATTACAGTTTACATATGAATGGTCAACAGAAAAGGTCCATTCATTGATTGAAATTGCTTTAACATACTCCCTCCGTCCTATAATTATTGTCCAGTTTCGGTTTTCGTTTTTAGTTCAAATTGTACTTGAAGTGAAATCTCAAACTTGACAATAATTTTGAGACATAGGAAGTATATCTTACAGATCAAGAAGCTCTAACATTCATCCATCAACCAAGTAACATTGACCAACAGAATTCAATTGACGCAAGGATTGTAAAAGAACACACTAAAGATTAACAAGTACCACTAATTGAAATAAGAATGTAGAATGAACAAATGCAGGCTTTTCACATATACAATTCCGAGTCATTATACAATCTTGACCTCAGTAAGAATAATTTTGGCTACATAAATCAAATTACAGCTCTATCTTACAAAGAACTTAACCAGATACCAGTAAATGTCTTCTTAATCCATGTCACTGAGAGTGGAATGCTATTCTACTGAGCAATTGTGCACACTGAAGGAACAAGAACACTTTCAAAAGAAAACCCAGAACGCTGTTAGATTCCATATCCAAAACCAGAGCAAAATCCTATACATCCTGTTTCACAGAAAATATAAATAGGAGCAAAGAATTAAAGCAAAGGTGCAAATAATTAAAGGAATCAATACGAACATAGGCAAAGAATTAAAGCAGGGAACAACGAAAAGTAAAAGCACAAATATGGGAACTCGGAAGCAAATGCAATTCATTGAATCCAAATGATAACGGAAGTGAAGAGTTGGTATAGACAATACAGAAGGAGTGAATCCAAATCCTAATTGAAAAGACGAAATCCCTAAATTTAAATTCAGTACGCTAATCCCATTCTCCCCAAATCACAAAGGATTTACAAATTAATTCCCCAATCAGCCAAACCCTTATGACTTTAATCACCCACATCCCAAATCCTAACCCTAATTCCAAAATCAAACAAACTAACCGCCGAACCCGTAAAGGGTACGACCTTGCCTCTTCAACGCATAGACCACATCCATGGCAGTGACGGTCTTGCGGCGGGCGTGCTCAGTGTAAGTCACAGCATCACGGATGACATTCTCCAAGAAGATCTTGAGGACGCCACGGGTTTCCTCGTAGATGAGACCGCTGATACGCTTCACACCACCTCTGCGAGCCAGACGCCTAATCGCCGGCTTCGTGATGCCCTGGATGTTATCCCTCAGAACTTTACGGTGACGCTTGGCACCGCCCTTTCCCAAACCCTTGCCTCCCTTTCCACGTCCAGACATTTTCGACAAAGAATTACTAAAACTGAATTTGAACAAGAATGTGTATTGCAAATGCTCTGCTAATTTTCTGGGTTGTGTTTCTGAATTGGGAATTGGAGAGGATATATATAATGTAGGGAGACTGTGGATGATAAGATATCGACCGTTGGATTAGAAATGCTTATCTACGGCTGTTATTGGTGATCCGCAACGAAAAGTTGTAGATGTCCATGAGACGTCGATAAGGAGTATATCGGACGGTTATACTGCGCGATTGAGGAGTGGATGCGGATCGTGGTTTTTTAGTAGTACCTTTAGTTGCGTGTGGGTCCTCCTTTTGTACCTTGGGAGTTGGGAACTGTTATATTTTTAAATTTTAAAATTTAAAGCTCGATTTCAGAATTTTCCTAATTCTTTAGTAGGGCGGGAAATAATTTGCAATCCAATTTTTTTTTTGGTCTTCGTCGGTGAAGGCCTGCTACTAACCCTTTTCAACATTGTAGACTTGTAGTTCGATTCTCTAATCCTTTGTGTATGTATATGTGTATAATCTCTGCCATTTGCTTGGAACAATGGCACACACTCCAGCAATAATAAGTTTTTAATCCCTCTATAATACAGAATGAAAAAAGATACCGATATAGTAAGATTCATTTGAGAAGAACTTGTAATGATATAATCCGTGCATAAAGTTTTCTCGCATATAAACAAGTACTTCTTTCTGAATTATATCTTGAAACAAAAAGTAATATGTAAACATTTTTATTTAGGAATTCTGAATTGAATCTTCTTTGTAAATTATTCCCGATGAAGTCTATAATTTTTTCGATATACATTTTTACGGCACAAATTTTAAAGTGTCAGGGCGAGATAACATGTTTTACATTTAATAGAGGTGAAATTACAGTTTTTTAAGTGTTTTTATATTTAAAAAAAATGTAAAAAGATACCACAGGTGTAAAAAGATATATTGAAATGAGACTATCTGTTAATATTTAATTCTGAAAGAACCCACTAAAAAACTAATCAAACAAAGTTCTCATGTAACAATATATCCGATATTAATGATATTTGAAAATGGAGCAAATAAATGTGTTTGTATATATATGGGTTGCTATTTGTTACTTCCTAAATTCCAGGCAGCGCCCCTTTTGGACGAAATTATCCCTGTCATAAAATGAAAACACTTTTTGTTTGTTCCTCCTCTTCAAATTTTCCCAAACTCTAATACAAAAAAAAAATAATAATAATAATTTCTTCAATTCGGTGATTGTAACAATGAAGAATCGAAACCATTGGACAATTAAATAAGTTTTTTCAATTTGTTTAAAAAAAAATTCAATTTATGAAAAAGAAAAAAAAAATGGAGGTAGTAAGTCCGCCGCCCCCCAAAAAAAAAATTATTTTATATTATTTACATTAAACCCTAAACCTTTTTTTTCAAAAAAAAATTAATTTATATTATTTACATTAAATTATTTACTCCCTCGGTCCTAGAAAAGTAGTCAAGTTTGAAAATATACAACTTTTTTAATTTGGTCAATACACCAAATGTACAACTAATTTTATGCCCCTAACTTTCACTAATGCCCTTCTAGTTATTTCTATAAAAGTTAACTGCATATGTATTTATTTTACAACTTAAATTTCATCAAAATTTTTATCTCAAAAAATATCGACAGGGATCTTGATGGAATGATCTCGTTACGGTAGATTAATTTGATATATAACACGTTTTTTAATTATTTATATATTAAAAGATATAATCATTTGAAAAAATGAGAGAAAACTAAAAAAAAATGAAAATCAAAAGAAGTGAACCTTGTATTCCTTACCACTACTCCTTTCGATATTTAAGTCATTTCAATTCAATTAATTTTGACTTTTGTGAAACTGAACTTTTTTTTTTTGACAAATTCTTTTATTAAACTTGACTATTTTTGTGAGACGGAGGGAGTATTTTTTATTTATTGTTATTTTTTAATAAATTTTTTATTTGTGTTTACTAGTTAATGTGATATCAATTTATCAGGCATTTATTTTTATTTATTGTTATTTAAAAAAACTAAAAATATAAATTAAAAATTTAACCAATCGAACGTGGCATCGAGATCTGGCCGTTAAGCCATGGGTAAAGCATCATTTTCAGACGCCAAAACGAATGATTTTACGCAGGACATATACACCCCACCAGCAGTTGAAGCGTCTAACGTTTACACTGCAGATTCAGGAGAGGTGTCTGTTTTAGACGCTCACACCGCTGTCGGGGTGCAATATCCGAACGCTTGCCCGGTCCGAAATTCTTTTTTTCCCTAGTTTCTTTGTTGAATAAATTTCAAATAATTTTTTTTTAAAAGTCAAAAAGATTACTTTATTTGCCCATAAATCTTTGTCTCCACCATTAACCATTTGATCCTTCATTGTTGCATCTCCGAATTCAATAATTATTTTTATTTTTTGTTTGGAGTTTGAGAAAATTTGGAAAGGTGAAAGAAAGTAGTTTGTGGGTTTCAAATTATAACAGGGGTAAATCTGTCCAAAGGGGATGTTGCGTAGGATTTAGGGGGGGTGCCAAATAGCATAACCATGTATGTATTTTGTCAAACTTCGATTTAAAAAAGATATTAAAGAAACATTTAGAGGAAAATATCAATTAATAGCCTGAAATTTTGTGAGTTATTCTTTTAAATGAAAGTAAGTGCATCACATTAGAAAATTCTCATATGCTTGCACGGAGTGTAGTTGCAGTTTGTAGTATTAGTTTTTCATTTTGTATGGATCCCAGATGGATTTCAAATTCATTACATTCTTTAGTTAATAGTCAGTTGTTTGATGAATGTAAGAAGTCTCATGGATGAAAAGTCATCAATGGAGACAATATGGATGTTTCTACCTCCGGTAAGTCAATAAAAATCTAACCTTATATGTTCCTTTAAACTTTGAAAGCGATAATACATAATCGGGACAGTAAACTTCTGTAAAGACAATATATTATTAAGCTTTCAACAACTATAAAGCAAGAAGAGCATCAATATTCTTGATAAAGGTTTCTTATTCATCTGCAGCTGTTTAGAAGTGTTTTGGAAAAGTTAAGAGTTCCTAAAAAAAATAAAAAATTCAATAGTTCTTATGGAAAACAACAAATAGTGCATTGCCTATCCTGATGACATTGAAGATAAGAGGTATTGACGTCTCCACCATATGCCGCATGTGTAGTAAAGGGGAAGAAAACGTTCAACCTGTTTTACTAAGTTGTGAGTGCTCTAAATGGGTATGAAGATTATTGCATTTAGGCTTGAAATTGATCAAGGATCAAGAGTTGATTTCTCGTACTAGTATACCGATGGATTATTATTTGCATAGGATCATGAGATTCTCCAATAATCTTTTTTTCATTCTTTGGTCCTTTTGGATTACAATGAATGAAAATATATGGGAAAATAAGTTAAAGACTCCCGTAGATATTTGCAATAGTGTTCGACAAGAGTTTAAGGATTTAAGTGTTGTGGTTAAGTTTCATCGATAACCTAGAATAGGGGACATTAATGGTCACCAACATGGTTCGCATATAGATCATATTCAAATTGATTATTACATTCGCGTTGATGGAGCATTTATGGAAGAGGCGAAAAAAGCAGCTGTAACTTGAGAAATACTCTCTCCGGTCCATAATATAATGCATTTTGATTTCTCCTAGGTTTCACAAAATATGCATTTTTAATTGAGAAAAAAAACCTTAAAAATATATTTTTAAACATTCGTTATGTTCTCTTGAATGTTATGAAATATTGTTTAGATTTTTTTATCGATTAAAAATGTGTACTAGGTAAAACCTAAGATAAAACCAAAATGCCTTATATTAAGGACCGGAGGAAGTATATTCCATGAACGGTTCGTCTATAGCATGTGGGTAAAAAAGCCTTTATTTGCAGGGTCTCCCCTTCAAGCCGAATATGTTGCCTGCTTACTTAGATTGTAAGCGGTAATCTTGCAAGGATTGACAAGGTGTATTCTTCAAACAGTTTTGTAATGGTAGTAACTTCAGAGTCTAAATATATATCCTCACTTTCCCATTCAAGTTTCGGAAGAAGATATATATATATATATATATATATTTAAATATTTTGGGTAAAAAAACAGGTTAAAGTGTTGAGATTCTAGTTTATTACAGTACATTGGTACGAAATACTAATAATATCATGTTGTAATCAAGGTTTAACATAATCCGGTAGTTCTTCCAACCACAAAAAAAAAAAGGAATTTTATGTATTAAAAGGTTTAGCACAATTTTTATCGGAGGATATTTTAAATGTTATTAAAAGGAATTTTATGTGTTGTAAGTTTGAAAAAGCAAACAGAACTATTGTAGAAAATGTACATAGGTTTGCTAAAGTCATCGTACGAAATATTTTGATGTAATTTGTTTTAGAGCAATCACAACGGAGGGTTTAGTGTCAAACACTGCACTCACATTTTACAATTTCACAAATGTGAAGAGATGAGAGGCGCTGAACGGAATACTACAGGCAAACTGTAATTTTTGGACCACTTTTATGACATGTGGCCCCTTATCAATAGTGGTCCACTTCATAAGTTTAAAACATAAAAAGTAAAAAGAATGAAAAAAAGGAGGCCGGAACCCAAAAGAATCGTACAACCATCGTGGAAAAAAATCAAGGTGGAGATAGCGTAGAAAAATCTGATATGGTTGTATTCCTTGCTCTTACTTGTTTTTATGAATATGGGGTTAAAGAAATAATCCCTCCGGTTCTTATTATAAGAAATTTTGATTTCGTTATAAATTTTACTTAGGATGTCTTTATAATTGAAAAATAAAACTTAAAAATATATTTTTACATTCATTGTGTTCTCTTAATTATTATGAAATATTTTTTAGGTTCTTATTTCGATTAAAAAGATAACCTAGGTGAAGTTTAAGATAAAAGTAAAATATTATAAGGAGGGAGTAGTTTTTGTTTTGTATCAATATATACGATTGGCAAATACCGGATGACAATATTGGGCTGGGCCTAAAAATAACCCGGAAAAATCAACATGCTTCTGGCCCAGATAAACAAAAAACAATGAAACCCGTATAAGTTAATCCATCAAGTAGGGTTTTAAGGTTTTGCTTTGCCCAGGCCGTCAGACATATTTCTCAGCACAGCAGCAGCCGAGGAAAGGGATTTTCACCGGCGGTTTCGGCTTAATCTGCCGTAAGTTTCTGTTTCAGGCTTCCATTTTCGTCCCTTAATCTCCCATTTATTCGCTACAGATGCTGCTTATAAGCCTCGGTTATTTGGTCAATTATTCGATGCATTTATGATTGGATTCTGATCGTTCTTTTTATGTTCGTATCTGAAGGTGAATTTAACTTTTAGGGCATCGTTACATTTTCGTTTTTTTTTTTTGAAATTACGACTGGTGGTCGAGGATGTAGTCAGTAGACATTTTAATCTGTAGTTTGTTCTTTTATTCTTTGTAAGTGGAGTTCTACTTCAAGCGAAGATGGAATTTTCCTTTGAGATCATGCACATTTCTAGTTCAATAATAGGAAATATTGTAGTATGATTTTTAGCTGAACCCACTTTTTATAAATGTAAGAGCTCAAAATCGCACCATGTAATTCTTTGTTTAAGAAGGGAAATATTAGCCTTGTCTATTGTGCTGGTGGCTGTATTACGCTTTATGTGGTTAATTTTTATACATGTACTGCAGTGAATCTGAACATTTGATTACCTGGTTTAACCTGTTTGTAAAGCTGTATTGTTTGGGTTTCACTAGGAGAGTTGCTGAGACATTTTTGTTTGGTGCATGTGTTCTCTAGCAGCTTGCATTTGTTAGAATGGTGAGAGTTTCTGTCTTGAATGATGCTCTCAAAAGCATGTACAATGCTGAAAAGAGAGGAAAGCGACAAGTGATGATCAGGCCATCTTCAAAAGTCATCATCAAGTTCCTCTTGGTCATGCAGAAGCATGGTTTGTTCTCTTTCTGAATTTTCATATTGCTTCAGTCTTATCTAGTACTAGGCTCTCAAATGAACTTCATGCTTATGTACGTCGTTTGTTGGATGCCATAGGATACATTGGTGAATTTGAGTATGTTGATGACCACAGATCCGGAAAGATTGTGGTTGAATTGAATGGTAGGCTCAACAAATGTGGAGTCATTAGTCCTCGTTTTGATGTTGCTGTCAAGGACATTGAGTCTTGGACTGCCAGATTGCTCCCATCTAGACAGGTTTAACACTCGAACTTCTCCTTAATTGTTTGACCCTGAGAATTACCTACTTACATTTTCTTTTTCCCTCATGTGAATCAACCTAACTCCTGTTCACAATTTTTATGTATGAACTTCCAGTTTGGCTACATTGTGTTGACAACCTCGGCTGGAATTATGGATCATGAAGAAGCTCGAAGGAAAAATGCTGGTGGTAAAGTACTTGGCTTCTTCTACTAGATAAAGAGATCCTTTTTGCCCAGCTGCGTTTGGGGATCAGTTCTCGGACTTTAGGATTACATTTCAGCTGCTGGTAGGAAGTTTTGCGGGCTTTGTTGTGCAGAATACTATCTATATGTTATTCTTGTACTGGTTTACAGCTTAACATTTCCAGATTGCCTTCTACTTCTAAGTTTTGTTACTGTGTTAACGTGGATGATGGTGATCAATTGATAATCAACTAAATATGTAGACAATATTTTGTAGTTTATTCACTGCTTCGTTATGCCTAATCTGTACCCATTAACCATTTCCTCGATGTGCGCATTTTAGAATAATAGATCTAAATTTATTACCTAATATGTATTTTTGATTGACAAAAAAATTTTAAAAATATATTTTCACATTTCTCGTAATCTTTCGATTGTTATGAAATATTTTAAAGGTTTTTTTTGTCTATTTTTGATTGACAAAAAAATTTTAAAAATATATTTTCACATTCTTCGTATTCTTTTGATTATTACGAAATATTTTAAAGGTTTTTTTGTCAATAAAAAATACGTAGCAGGTGAAACTAAGGAAAAGACAAAATACCTTATATAATAAGTCAAAATATAATTGTTGTCCAGTTTGAATTTTCATTTCTAATTCAAATTGTGCTAAGAGTGAAATATCAAATTGGACAATAATTTTGAGACATATTATATTTTTATTTTATGAACCTCTACTCAAGCATATATAGCGATTACTCCTTTTGGGTCAAGCCATTGTTGGTTCACTGATTGCTTTTTCCAGCTCTCAATGAAAGAACAACGAGTTTCTTTCGAAAAAAATATCTCATTGTTTCTCAAAATTCTGAACATGGCGAAAACCAGTTTTTCAATTCCAGCGATAACTCTTCTTATCCATCACAACTTGGCGTAAATTCTAGTAAATCTGATATTCAAGTTGTCTTAACTATCTCCTAATCCTTACATAAAAAAAAACTCTTTCACAAAAAAAAAAAAGTATAGATATATGATAAAGTTTCATTTCACGAATCATTATCTTTTTCAATATCTGAAAATAAAATCGATAACTGAGGTTGGCAAACACCGGATGATAATATTCGGATGGGCCAAAAAAATAACATGGAAAAAATCAAATTGCTTCCGGCCCAGATAAATAAAAAGCAGTGAATTGAATCCGGGTAATTACATTGGATTGGGCCTAAAAATAACCCCGCAAAAATCAACTTGCTTCGAAGCCAGATAAATAAAAAGCAGTGAGCTCCGTATCAGTTAATCCATCAAGTAGGGTTTCTAAGGTTTTGCTTTGCTAACTAGAAAGAGAAGGCCGTCAGACTTATTTCTCAGCACAGCAGCAGCAGAGCAAAGGGATCTTCACCGGCGGTTTGGGCTTAATCTGCCGTAAGATTCTGTCTCAGGCTTGCATTTCCGTTCCTTAATCCTCTACTTATTTGCTACCGATGTTGCTTATGAGCTTTGGTTGTTTATAAGATGTAGCGAAACTTTTCATTTGGTTATTTGTTCCATTATTCAATATTTCTATGATTGGAATCGGATCGTTCTTTTCATGTCCGTATCTGAAGGTGGAATCAATTTTTAGGGCATCGTTACATTTTCGTTTTTTTTTTTGGGGGCTTGTTGTTGAAATTACGACTGGTCGTCGAGGTAAATGTAATTAGTAGACATTTGAATCTGCTTAGGTAGTTCCTTTATAACTAATGGAGTACTACTTCGGGCGAAGATGGAATTTTCCTCGAGATCATGCACATTTCAATAATGGGAATGATTGTAATATAAACTCTAGAAGAACCCATATGGGAAAAAGAACTCAGTTGTTGCTATCTGATAATTCGAGTCTAGCTTTTTCATTGTTGTGGGTTGATCTTTGTCAATGTCTGTATGGTGTTTGCCGTGGTCAAAATTGCAGCCTGTACTTTTTTGTTTAAGAGTGGGAACTATTAGCCTTGCCTATTGTGCTGGTAGCTGTATTATTATGCTTAAATGTGGTTAAATTTTTTACATTTAATGCTGTGAACCTGAATATTTGATTACCTGATGTAACCTGTTTGTAAAGCTGTATTGTTTGGGTATAATTAGGAGAGTTACTGAAACCTTTCTCTTTGGTGTATATTTTCTTTTGCAGCTTGCATTTGTAACAATGGTGAGAGTTTCTGTCTTGAATGATGCTCTCAAAAGCATGTACAACGCAGAAAAGAGAGGAAAGAGACAAGTGATGATCAGGCCTTCTTCAAAGGTCATCATCAAGTTCCTCTTGGTCATGCAGAAGCATGGTTTGTTTTCTTTCTGACTTTTCATCTTGCTTCAGTCTTATTTAGTAGGCTCTTAAATGCAATTCGTGTTTATGTATGGCGTTTGTTGGTTGCCTTAGGGTACATTGGCGAATTTGAGTATGTTGATGACCACAGATCTGGAAAGATTGTGGTGGAATTGAACGGTAGGCTCAACAAATGTGGAGTCATTAGCCCACGTTTTGATGTTGCTGTCAAGGACATCGAGTCTTGGACTGCCAGATTGCTCCCATCTAGACAGGTATTACTTGAACTTCTTCCCAATTTGTTTGACCATCAGATGAGACTTATCGTCCTTTTAACCAAAGTTTGCAATGTGTCTGGAAGCTTCAGAGCTAGTGAGAGTGTGAAGGACATTTTCTTTTCTCCTCAAGTGAATCAACCTAACTTCTGTTCACAATTTTTATGGTTTGTATGAACTTGCAGTTTGGCTACATTGTGTTGACAACCTCGGCTGGAATTATGGATCATGAAGAAGCTAGAAGGAAAAATGCTGGTGGTAAAGTACTTGGCTTCTTCTACTAGATAAAGAGATCCATTTTGCCCACTTTTTGGGATATCAGTACTCGGACTTTAGAATTACATTTCAGCTGCTGATAGGAAGTTTTGCGGCTTTGTTGTGAAGAATAGTAGCTATATGTTTTTCTTGTACTGGTTTACTGCTTCACATTTCCAGATTGTCAATTACTTCTAAGTTTTGTTGCTGTGTTAACTTTGATGATGGTGATGAATTGATAATCAACTAAATATGTAGACAATATTTTAGTAGTTCATTCAAACTTGCTCTGTTTTCACCCGGGGGAGTGCTTTGCTTTGGTATGCCTAATTCTGTACCCATTAGCCATTTTCTTGAAGTGCAAATTTTAGAATTATATATCTAAATTGGTTATAAATATAACGAAATGATGTTTTAAGTCATGATTCGAAAACATTAAATCAAAGTATCTGTAAAGTATAAACGAGCGATTGTGCCACAGATCAACTATTTATAAAAGCTGAATTCTAGCTACTTTGATAAGATCGAAAGGGCCAAAGAGATGCCAACTGCCGCCTCAACCGGGGGCATCTCCGGTGTCTGCCTCTTCCTTCGGGAGAAGAATCATGCCGTGATTGATGAGCATCAGTAACACTGCAATTGTCTTGTGGTACTGATAACCCGTTTCGGCACACTGGACAAGAGTTGTGAAGCCTCAACCAAGGTACAATACAATCAGAATGGTAACAATGTTTGCAAGGCAGTTCCCGAGCTTCATCACCAACCTCAAATTTCTCTTTACAAACTGCGCATTCCGGATCAATATCCAAATGAGAGGGCGTTAATCTAACAGTTGGTATAGTATCAATGATTGAATCAGGCAGAGGTGGAGGTCCAGGACGATCATTTTGAGTAAGCTGCTCTATCAGTTCAGGAAGTCCAGGACCCGTGAAGTAATCCCTTGGATCCACGCCATTTGCGATCAAACCTTCTTCACCGCCCGGTGTTAAGGTTCTTCGAGATGGGATTGGCCCGGAAGGTCTAAAGCTAATCCATGATCGTGGACGGGCTAAAATCCCACTTTCAGGTCCCCAGTCGTCAGTCTCATCTTCCAGCCATATCCCGGCTCGCCTTCTCGGCCATAGCCTGCCGCGTAGTCCTCTTTCGGCTGGATCTCGATGAAGCATTCTTCCACCATATTGTCCACGATTTTGCTGATGCGGAAGGGGCAGCATTTCATCCCAAAATATACTTTCTCTGGGACGGTGCAGTCGGATTGAAGGATCAAACATTAAAGACAACGCTTCGAGCAATCGTGCCTCAGGGGAAGGATCGTAAGCTGTGAAATCATGAATGTTTCTAGGCTGTGCTCCTGAGTCGATTTCACTGAGAAACTGACCAAAACATCGAGGGCAGACAATCTCTGATGGATTACCAGAGGCAATCCGAACCATTCGATGACATTGATAGCACCAATACAGTGGGTAGTTTCGGCTATGATTGCTAATCCTTTCTCCAGAAAAGCTCATTGATATATTGATTCACACTTATAATTTACAGAGTAAGAGAAGTAGAAAATAAAGTTGAAGGAATACAATGTGTATATATGAATGAGCTTAATTTTTTTTTTTGTGTGGCTATAATAGCATTCTTGAAAGGTTTACAATTTTATGCAGAAAATGGATATTTATAAGGTTGTGTTACAAGAAGAGAGTGGAAGGAAAAGAATGGCTTTCTGGGATTGTTGCAAGTAATCCTTGCTTTCAGTAGTACTCTAATCTAATCTATCCATCTGGTTATAGAATCAAGTTTGAGTTGCCTTCTCTTCACCTCCCTGTGTTTCTTCTGTACAAAGTAAAAGTTTCAACAAAATTGGGGAAATGCCTCCTTTTGCAATTTTATCATTTCTTTATCAATAATTCCAAAACTTTAGTGAAATTATTACTCCTATGTTCCAAAATGAATTCTAAAAGAAAATATTATTACTCCTTCCGTGAACAATCCAAATAATTATTTTGAAAATGAGAAAACATCATTTTTAAAAATATGATTACTCTGTTAAAGTGACCATTGACAAAACACCACCTTCGCATTACAGCCACTAAAAGAAAAATATTTACGGTGGTATGCTTTATACGAAAGCAAAAATAAGAATTTATACGAGGGAAATTCATAGTAACCAAAAATTATGAATACTATTATCGGTTCCATACTCCCATATGGAGTATAATTTATACTAACTTCTTATTAAACATAGTACAAGTCTGAAAATTTAATGTAAACGTCATCTTGGAACATAGAGTGATTGACAATTTGAACTATTTTTGTGAGACTAAGGGAGTACATGTTAATTTTTATGCATATATTATCTTTTGTACTCCCTCCGTCTCATAATTATTGTCCAGTTTGGGTTTTCATTTTTCAGTTTAAACTGATCAATAATTTTGGGACAGAGGGGTAATATACTAACTACTATTAATAGATGTGGAGACATGAATTTAGAAGGAAGAATTAACGAATTTAGGTCCTGAGCAAAGAAAAAAAAAATTTCCAAACGGATTTAGGTCCTGAATGCAAATATTTTACTAGGGAATAAACAGTATGTTACGGCGTCGCTTCGGACGGAGTAGCTCTCAATTACTAGGGTGTAGTGGGAGTAGACAAGGTAAAACTTAAAAGAGCTGCTGCCGAGAAGGAAAGAGTGCGAGAGAAAATGAGGCAGTTCGATCCATGGCCGGTTTTCTTCAGGAGAGAATGGAGGCGTAATTGGCCCTTCCTCGTTGGTTTCGCCGTCACCGGCACCATCATCACTAAGTTCTCCCTCGGCCTCACCGGTAAATTTCTTTTTTCTTTCTGTATATTGTTGCCCTAATTATACAATTTTAGCATTCAAGGGGGAAAATAAAGGAAATCTTGACCTTCATTTCCATATGTCATGCAGAGGAGGATGCGAAAAACTCTCCCTTCGCCCAGCGTCATCGAAACTAGTAAGGCGCCCTCTTTCCCTTTTGTAATTTTCTCTTCCCATTCATTTGTTGAAATCCAAGATTCCTCTTTTAATTTATATATTTCTACGTAATTTAAGGTTGAATGATGTGTTTATAGCTATTCGGGCTGCTGCAAATTATTTCCCCCCTTCATTCGTGCTTTCGATGAGTTTTTTGTACTTCGTAGCTTCGTGGTTTAGCTGGTGAACTAAATGTTGTTCATTTGAAGTTGATTGCACCCGTTTATTTGATTTTTAATTAGGTGCATTTGGATTGGTTATACTACGATAATGTAGGGGTGATTTTCCATGAGTGATTCGTGGTTTCGACATTCATATCACAGTTTTAACAAATAATTGCTGTTACTCTTGATAAGATTATTATGTGTCCTTTTTCAAGAAAATGAAAGTGTATCTGTACTTTTCTTGGTACTGGACACTTGCCCAGTGTTCTTATTTGGCATCTTCTTTTGTGGCTTGATCATGTATTATTGAATTGGAGATGATGCTTTGTGTCCTTGTTTGTTTCTTTTATCGGGTTGTGGAATTGTTGCGGTTAGATGGTTTTAGTGTCTCATACCTGGGACTTGCTGAGCATGCTGTTTTGGTTAGATAATATGAACCGGAGAATTGGTGATTGTAGCTCTCTGGATCATTTGGTGGTAGGCAATCTTGGGAAGCCATCATCAAAATGACTTCCTCTGAATTCAGGTCCTAGGTGTTGTAAAAAAAACTGCATAAGACGCTTTTCTTTCTCTGCAATGCTATCTGTTGATATGATACATATTGTTAATCATCGGATGCATCGGTTTAACTTTTGATATGTTTGCTAGGATATCTCGCATTTCAGTTATATCTGAAGTTTTTATGCCTCTTGTTCGTGTCCTAGTGGTTGTGATTTGATCTTGTTTTGTGTTTTGTAGGTGACATCATTGTGATCATTTGCAACCCTTCCTAATTGCGTTGCTGAGTGGTTTAATCTACAATAGTATCTGCTTTTTACATTTTTCCCTCTCCTGGAATGTAATAGCATAAGACAATCTTTTTGTTTCTTGTTGGAACTAAAGAACAAGTTGATGTACTTGTGATACCTGGGGAACTTTTTCTCGTGATAAAATAAAAGATTACTTTCTTCATGGTTACAGCTTGAATGTTTTCATTTCAATTTCTGCACATCCAGTTTTCGTTGTTCATTGGAATTTTTTTCCATTTCTCATCCTATCAGGATAGTCTCTATTATGGGTTGTGCCTTCTGACCAAGGTTCCACCATAAGTTTGTGAGATGCTTACAAGCAGCTCAATTCCATGAGATTTCAAACATCACAAGAGTTCTGTATCAACTCGCACGGTAGATATTGACTTGGTTGTGTTATATTCAGAATTCTGTCACTATCATTTGTAAAAAGCAACTCTTTTAGGAAACGGTACGCATGTCGTTGAATAAATCTACGACTTTACATGAAGATAAAAAACCATAATCTTCAAAACTTCAATATCAAATTTGAGTTTAGTTGACATATCGAGGGACAATCATCCCAAAATCAAGTATAAACCCACCAAATCTATATGAAGATAGAAACAGAACGAGGTGGTAAAAGCTCATAAACAACGGTAATGCCCAATAGGCATTAAAAAATGCGGCAATTATTTGGACAAATTGAGGTAAAACAAAGAACTAAAACCACACGCTTGAGTAAAGTGATCAACCGTGTAAATTTCATATATCCTGTGTAGTGGTATTTATTATCCTTCAGATCATTTCTTCTTAGCGACACCAAGCCTCAACCTAAAATCTTCCTCCATGAGGGGAAGGCCATCGCGCAGCCGGATTTTTGGCTCCCATCCCAGTAGTTCTTTTGCCTTTGTGATGTCAGGTTTTCTTTGGCGTGGATCATCGGGTGTGTTCTCCACCTTTTTTATTTCCACATTTGGATTGATAAGCTGCAACAATATAGAAGATGCTTTGAAAATCTACACCAAAAGGTATGCTAATAACAAAGAGAAAGGCAAGGAATTCAACAGAAAGGAGGTTGTCTGTAGGTAGGTAGATGAATGGGAATGAATAGAGATACTTTCTCATCATTTCAGAATGGGAGGTTACAAACACTAATGGATGATCAGCACAGATATTTATGCAACATCATATATTGGCTAAAATATTCAAAACTCACCTCTTTCACAGTCTCTGCTAATTCAAGCATGGTAAATTCACCTGCAGGAGAACATTTTCACATATAAATGGCAGTGAAATAGCTTAATATGTAAAACTACAAACAACAGTATTCATAATAATCACCTGGATTCCCAATGTTGATTGGTCCTGTATGTTCTCCTTCCATGAGTCGAATAAGGCCATCAACCTTAAATTTTTCCAAAGAAAAATGAGGAACATTTAACATCAGGAGAACCTATATAATCATAAATATCTTTTTTAAAACTAATAAAACAATTCATGAGTACCATATCAGAAACATAGCAGAAACTACGGGTCTGAGTTCCAGGAAGCTGGACTGTCAAAGGTTCATCTCTGCAAGAAATATACGAGCAAAAGATTTATGACCAGATTAAACAAGAATACTTAATAGGAAATGAGAAACAGAAAAGCATGGTCTGAAGGACTAAAAAGTATTAACATCTTCTCGAGGTTATGAAATGTGATTCTTTCCAGCCTATTTTGACAAGGCTTACCGAAGTGCTTGGGCAATAAAATTGCTTACAACACGCCCATCATCAATGTTCATGCGAGGCCCATATGTGTTGAATATCCTAGCAATGCGTATTTCTGTGAAAAAGAAAAAGATAGGTATCTTGATTAAAAAGAAACATGACACTTAAGATGATAATTGCATAAACAAGAAGAAAATAATCACCTATCCCATGCTGGCGGTGATAATCAAACATCAAAGTTTCAGCAACTCGCTTTCCTTCATCATAGCAACTCCTAACTCCTGTATACTGATTGTGTCATTAACAACTCCAAGAATAAACTTTTAAGCTAGTAGGGTGTACAAAATTTTAAATGGACATACCAAATGTAAACCGATTGGGTTAACTCTACTCCAAGAATAAACTTTTAGCTGAAAGGTTGACAAAAATTTAAATGGACTTACCGATTGGATTAACATTCCCCCAGTAGCTTTCAGGTTGTGGATGAACAAGAGGATCACCATACACCTCTGAAGTTGATGTCAGCAAAATCCTGTCAATCAAAACAAACAGATGAAGAGGAAATTAGAAAGATGAAGAGCGTAAACTGTTGTAGATGATTGAAGTCTCCTCACCGTGCTCCGACTCGCTTGGCAAGCCCAAGCATGTTAAGAGTACCAATAACATTTGTCTTTATTGTCTGCAAAAAATCCAATTCAACCAATTAGCCATGCGCATTTCCCAATGGCAAAGGTTATTGATGATGAATGAGGGAATTTGGTGTTTTAAAGTATGCACTTCAACTCAATTTCTTAAAAATAAGTGCCAAATCAACAACTGATTTTGCTTTCTAGTACGAGAAACGATATGAACAGCTTGTTTTAATTTACAATCATATTAACTGCAGAATGCAAACGACACACCTTGACAGGATTGTATTTGTAAAATATTGGAGATGCAGGGCAAGCAAGATGATATATCTGATCAACCTCAACCAACAATGGCTCTGTGACATCTGCAGTATGCAGAACAGAATTTTCACACAAAAGAATAAAGTTCAACACGAAAAATGCAGTATAGGTAATAAAGCAGTAACCTAGATAGCTACGGTCCTCATAATTACAATAAAAGTCAATAGTTCACTGGCATATGATCTTTCAATAGATGCCAGAAGTTTTGTGAATACCACTTGACGTGTTAATGCACATAAAATGACAGAATGGCAGAAGTTACCATGACGAATGAGCTCAAATCTTGGGTGACCAATCCACTTCTTCAAATTATCTTTTGAACCGGTGAAGAAATTATCAGCAACGATAACCTGTGGCCAATTGCAGATAAGATCACACTTTTTCAGATTACTGACATCGGAAGAGAAGACAAGGATTTAGCAGACTCATTTTCTTGGAAAAAAAATCGGAATTTCCTTAATACTGATCCTTAACACCACATCGAATGTAAAATGATTGTTAATGGATAATAAGATTGATGATACTGGAGTTCAACATGGTTTAGACTTACCTCATTCTTTTCATTTTCCATCAACTTGTCAACCAAGTGAGAACCTATGAATCCAGCACCTCCAGTGACCAAAATTCTCATGTTTGGCTTGCAGAGAATAGAGAATGGGGATTTAATGAATGGCACATAGGCAGAAATAAAAAAAAAAATTAAAAAAAAAAGGAAAGAGAGAAAGAAAGTACTACAAAGCTTTCATACTGCTGCAACAAGTAACTGAGATGAGTACACAACAATCAGATTACACCTAAAACAAGGACTACTATCTTCATTCTATCAGCTCGTCAGACATTATAACAAACACCAATTGTTCATTCTGCAACTAGACAGACTAAATCATGTGATCCAGAGAAAAAATAAGTCATTCAACTATCAAGGTCTATGAATGACTTTTTGATTGCAAATTCTCATATTCTGGTAGTACCCAAATCAAGACTCATAAAACCATGAAGCATCCCACATTTGTATGGAGAAATTGAAGCCTGAAAGTTCATTTCGCACACATTCAAACTGGAAACTCCAAAGGCAGAAACACCAGGTAACAGTACAGGCAGATTCATGACAAAATCTTAAGTGAATGCATAAGATTTCAACTTTACCTGAAAAAACTTTGAGAATCTCAATGGGGATGGAGTTGGGGGAGGCTTCTTGGTTACTTGGTGGTCTCCATTTGCAGCAGCAGAATTGTTCGCCATTGCCCAAATCACTTAACAATCTATTCATCAATAGCATTACAGAATCAACAAATTTTGTAAAACATCATGATTCATGAGGAATGAACTTCCCATTGCATGCAGCAAAAAGAAAAAAAAAAATCAAAACAAACTGAAGCAAAACAAACAAAGAAACGATCTTTATTCAAAATATCCTAATTGACCAACTGGAGTTACAAAATAAAGAGCATGGCCTTCTCACAAATTCTAAATTAATAAGACGAAAACCTGCAAACCCCTGCTGACCTAATGAGTCGATTCGGAAGAGAATTCTAGAACTTTGTTTAATCTTCTTTTTGCTCCACAAACGTCACACAATCAGAACTACATACATATATATAGGGTAATATGTACAAACAAATATACATCAAAAACAAACAAACCAATAAGAAAAAAAAATGGTTTCTTTTTCCACCAAACGATGCTGACTGAAAAAGCAAGCGGATTAAGAAATATTCCAAAAGGGCAAAAGACAGTGAGAATGCTTAAGAAATACGAAACTCAAAAGAATGATGATGATGTTGATGAAGAAGTTTCACGTCTCATCATCATCATCATCATCGTCGTCGTCGTAATCGGAAATTCATAATCATTATTATTCATCAACAACAATCCAAAATGCTCTAACAGAAAGAAGCAAAGGTGATGACTACTTACAGCCCAACTCACCAAACATGTCTGGCACTACTAACTCAATATGGCCTTTTTTTTTCTTCAGATCTCAACTAAAGCCAATAAAAATTCAATAAAAAACAAAATCCCAGTTCAAGAATTACCTTTTTCCAAGAAGGTTGAGAAGGATACTGTGTGTTTGAGTGGGTTGTGCGTGTTAATTTATAGAGTCCGGGGGGGAATGGAATGCGGTAATAGCGGGAGGTGTATATGAGAGAGTATATATGGGCTTTCAGGAAGTCTTGAATGCTTTCTTTCGACTTGGAGTCTTCTTTTATTTTTACTTTTTTCTTTGTTTTTTATTTAATTTGGTAAGGAATTAATTTGACCATCGAGATTCGAGAGTGACCAATAGGCTAAGTGACCTTAATTTTTGGGGTAATTAAGATTTGGCAGCCAACCCCACCTACATTAATTGTCTGCCTAATCTCATAGAGCATATATTAAGCGTGGGAAAATAATAATATTACCGATAATCTTTGGAACCTTATTGGATTTGAAGTTTATTTTCCCTTTGATTGTTAATTTTGTAGAATATCGGGGGCAATGAATAAATTGACATATATAGAGAAGAATCGTTTTATGGAATTTTGGAGTGATTTGTTCTGTAGTTTAAATTAGTGAGGTCCTGTCAATTTTTGGCACGTAGAGGTGGAACTCTCTACTGGTGTGGATGGCTAGTAGGGAAATGGACATGCAAACTTGTCTACAGTAGTTTGGCAACAAAGGTGAAAAACAAACCCGTCAAGGAAAATTTACAGGATTGGGAAAGAAATTAAAAAAAAAAAATTGAATATATTTTGTGGTTATTATAGTAAAAAACTTATGAAATATATGGAAAATTCTCAATCACTCCTTGTTGCTCTATGTGCTCCCGAATAAAAATCTTGATCTTTAAATAACAACATAACTAAATAATGTACTGTTATGAACTTATGTATGTACATAACAGTTACTCCCTCCGTCCCATAATTATTGTCCAGTTTGGTTTTTCATTTCTAGTTTAAATTGTACTAAAAGTGAAATTTCAAACTTGACAATAATTTTGGGATAGAGGGAGTATTTTGATAGGACGATCATAATAGGCAATTAAAATTGTTATTGCATGTTAATATCACCAGTAAATTAATCCCAACCATGTAAAACTTCTTTAGCATGCAGAAAATGACGCTCAAGATAACATTTTGTCATATTTCTCATGGCACGTGCTTTGTGATTGATTTTTCCGGCTTTTTGGTTGTGAGATTAAAGACTTCGATACACCCATGTTTGGTATTTGATTTGCTTACTTGACCATCCATTAATGGCATTTCTAAACTTTTAAAAAAGTACTCCTGATCACATTTTAAACATTTATATCACCGTTTTAAATCTACTAATATAAAGGCGTATATTTGTTGGAGGACTTAAAAGAAAAATAATAAAATATGAGAGATGTAATTCAAACTTTTAATTCATGATATAACGTCATTAGACAGATGTGATAATAATACCATTATATTGTAAAAGATCATAAAATTAAATTATCAAAGAATGATCTCATACAACAAAATATGATACTAATGTTATATGAATTAATTATTCACATACTAACAATGTTGAGTTATTTTTATAGAAAACTTTTGATGTTTCAATTATTTTTTCAAATCATCAAATTTGATGAGGACGATGAATGCACAATGTAATTTTTTTGTTTTTCCTTCGGGCGGGGGTAAATTGATGAATGTCACAAAAATTTGCCATTATTTGGGCTCAAAGCACTTGCAGTTTTGGATCCTGATTGACGGCCCAAATTCTTGCTGATGAACTCTCCGGCTTGCAAAAGTTTTCCAAAATCAACGCCCGTTTTTATTCCGAGCCCGTGAAGCATGTAAACAACATCCTCCGTTGCCACGTTTCCTGAAGACCCTTTAGCGTATGGACACCCTCCCAGTCCAGCAATTGAGGAATCCACAGTACTTATTCCCATCTGCCAAAGTCACATCACAGATGAGATGACAAATGTTAACTTTGTAGCCCCAGCCCATTATTTAGCTTCTTTTGTTTCGACGGTTCTAAGGAACTGACATTTTATTTTTCTTTCACAACTTTTGACCAAATGTACGATTGACTTTATTCTTCTTTCACAACTTTTTGACCGTTGACTTCTCTTGTCAACTTGATAACAGGAATGTTATTAGGTTTTTACAAATCATTGAAAAAGTCCATGAAATAAACCCTTACTTGGAGAGAGACCAATATATTAGGAAGAGACTGGCCATAAGTGTCATGGAAGTGGACAGCAAGCTTCTCAACCGGAACCACTGCCATTACAGCTCCAAGCATCGGAACAACCGAACCTATCACAAACATCATGGTCACAAAGTTTAGAAGGGTTTCAAGGTACAACTACAATGCATGATTGATTCTCCTGTTTACATTTTCATTTTTTGCTAAAAAGGAAAAATAAAATAAAATAAAATTTCCAAAACGTAGTTAATTACGAGTGCATTATGGAAGCATCGATTGCATTGAAAAGATAAACGACCCACCCGGAGTACCAACTCCTATGGTGTCCCCAAGTGAGATTTCAGAGCATCCCATCTGATGAAGTTCTTTTGCAACATATGCCACTTTTGAAGGGGCAATGGCTCCTTCGTAAGGGCACCCAATCACACAAGATACGTACCTGTCAATTAAATTTGCCGATTTTAATTTTTAATTTCTTCCAAAACCGAAAGAAAATGATTCTCTTACTTGCTTAATTGGTCCCTTTTATAAATAAAAACACCGATGTCACTTTAATTTGTGTGTGCTTTTTTTTTTTTTTTTTGGTAACACTTTTGATTCGTTTATATATAAAAAATGGGAAATAAATTGGAAGACAGAGAAAGATATACCCTCGAACTCGAATAGAATGTTTTATAGCAGCGTTAGCGACAAGTCGATAACGAATGAGACTCTCCTCAATGCTGCAATTGATGTTGGACTTTGAAAAGGTCTCCGAAGCTGATGCAAATATAGCTACTTCTTTAGCCCCTGCTGCAATTGCTGCTTCTAACCCCTCAAATATGCAAATAATGAAAACATAACAAAAATAAGTAATTAGACACGTACTTTGGTTTACGTTATATAGGTAGCACATAATATATAATTAGTTAATTTTGGTTTACTTGATATAAAAAATAGCCAAACTTTGTGAAAATTGAAAGTATGAGGGCTATGGATTCAGCTTTGTTTGTTTCAATTTTTAGATGGTTTTTTAAAATTATTATATTATTAACTGTCTCATCCCAGCATACCTTTTTACATTTTCGATACAATTTTTTACATTTTCAATACAAAAAACACCTAAAAACACATACTAAAAAAACGAAACAAACATATCCTAAGATAGCGTGATTTAACTGATCCCTCATAAGATAGTCTAATTTTAAATAGTCATCTCCTATTTAGTAGTATTTTATTATTTCTTTCATATTAATGTGTCAGGAGTACTAGAGATACTCACTTTCAAGTTAGGTGTCAAAACCGGTAACCTGCAGGCACCCTGCAAGTTCTTAACTTCTTGCATCACATCAGCTGCATCTGCCAACTATTTTTGGAGAAAGTACATAAATGCGTAATTCCATCGAAATCCAAATTAGTATGGTTTACAGTAAACATAATTATCTATTTCGATGTTTACAAATTAATTTGTAAGATGGACCAAATTATATTATATTATATATACGCAAGTCATGAATTAAAAAAAAAAATTGATGAAGAATTATTAATACTTGCCTGAGGAACCCATTTGGGGGAAACGAAACTTGTGGCTTCAACGACAGGCAATCCAGAATCAACCAATTTACGAATCAGTTCAACTTTCAATGGTGTCGGGACAATGTTGCTCTCGTTTTGCAGGCCATCCCTGGGTCCAACTTCCACTATCTTCACATATTCTGGCATATTTCCGAGCAACTGATGATTATAAAAACGAAACAAAAGTAACACACATTAACTTAATTCGAATGAGCTTCAATTAATTAAATCCTATAATCATTTCATAATCAATATCGCAAACCTTATAAGTCGACGAGTTCCCGCCGGCAGGGAAGTTGCTGACTTGTTGTTGATCATGATCATTCGAATAACGGGATGAGTCGCTTCTTGATATAGTTCCATTTTGCAGGAATGTTTGATGATTTCTGTCCAGAGTTCTTATTGTCGTCGAGGAACTTGGGCTTTGTCTGGTCAACATGGTGGATGTTTCTGTTCTCTATATTATGAATGAATTTAATTACTCAAAAAGCAAGAAATGTGCTTATAGAGCAGAAATGGTAAAACAGTAATGATTTGTGGGGGGTTGGAATTTTGGATTTTGATGAAATGCTAGATGTGGTTTAGCACTGCATGACTGCTTGTATATATAGCTAGTAAGAATACTACTTCAAGTCAATGGTCACTCCAAACTGGTAAACTGGTTTTTTTTTTCAACTTGCCCTCTTGCCATTTACTTGACTTAATTATATATAACAACAAACATAAAAGGGAAAAATGAATGGGAAAAAACCTTTTACTTGGTTGAGGAACGCGTTATTGACTCATTATTATAGAAGCTGCCGTCCATACTAAATACTTCCTCTATCCCATAACTATTGTCCAGTTTAGGTTTTCATTTCTAGTTCAAATTATACTAAAAGTGAAATCTCAAATTGGACAATAATTTTGGGACAGAAGGAGTATTTTTCAGTATTTTATTTTTTTCTTTATTGCCCTAAAAATAAGGGTTGACATCCCGTGCATTTGAAAATACCTTGTCGTTCAAGGTTTTGAAAAAGTTTTTAGTTATTGTACTTTTGGTGTCCTGTAATATTTTCAATCTATTGTGCATGAAATATATTACAATTTTTAAAAAGTGGATAGAAGAAATATTGACTCCATAATTATGCCTTGATAGCTTCACTTAGTAGTCAAATATTGTAGTTGTACTTTTTAGCAATTTTTCCTGAAATTATTGATGGTTGATTTCGATCATGCACTCAACGGATCGAGATAGATGCATGTAATTATCTCCCCCCCTCTCCAAACACTTTTTTTTTTTTTTTTTTTGCTTTCATTTTGTTTTCTTAGTAAAAGAATATGTTCATTTAGAAATTGTTTAACTGCAATTGACATATGGTATACGATAACTTTGATCAAATAATAAATACAACAAACTGATGGACTATTACACTCTCGGTTCTATTTATCCAAAAGTATGCCCAACGAAGAAGAGTTGAGTATTGCAGTTTGATATTAACAATGGCGGAGGCAGGATAAAAAATCAGTAGGGACACATTGATTTACTTATGTATGTTGAAAAATCATGGAAATAATCTTTTAAAAACATTATTAAGAAAATCTAATAAATGTTAACAATCGACCAAAGGAGATAAAGTATATTTTGATATAAATATAGTGGGTTTTTGTTTTTTTTCTCCTCATCAACATCATAAAAATATGTTTTCTCTTAATATATGCAAGGGTTATGAGACAACAAAATTAATAGGTTGTTATGCGGTTATTTTCCTTTCTCCTTTTTGCTTTGATCCTCGAGTCTAAGTTCCTCTTCTACGTAAAAAATTACAAGCAATCCCTTTTTGTTATAGCGAATTACTATTATTTTCCTAATCTCGGAAAAATAATTTATTTTATTTTATTATTTTAATTCAATAAAATGAATTGTTGATAGGTCTTGAAGTTTCATATTATTTATAAGTATTTGTATAGTATTTTGGATTAGATTGTGCACTTATATTATGTATTTTGATGTTTTTGGTTCCTAGGAGTCCTTAGAGATAAGATAGAGCAAAATGTTTCATAAACACACATTTTTGGAGCATTTTGACAAGGAAGCACAAGAAGGAGCAATGACATCACATTCTCGTGTGGGCACACGAATCTCAGTCCAAAATTGAGCTATAGAGAAGAAATTCCAGCATTGAAGCTGCATTCCCGTTTGGCCAAACCGAAACAGGGACTAAAATGAAAAATTGAAAAAGTTTTGGGGTCAAAATGTAATTTTGCCAAATTTAAGGGACCAATATGCAAATCTCGGAAAAGTTAATTTGCTGCTGCGGATTTCTGAGAAGGCTGCTGCGGCTGACCTATATTCTGTATATAAATAGACTTTTCTTTTCATTTTTGAAAGAGTAGTAGGTAGTAGAATAAAAATAGACGTAGTTTTCCACTTTTAAGGAGCTTTCAAAGGCACTTTCTTCATTTTTGGAGTCTTCCGAGTTCATAGACATCAATCGGTAATATTGTTCAATGAATTTTTCTTGTGATTCAGTTTTCATGATGAGTAGCTAAATTCATTCATCTGGTTGAAGCGTATTGAAGTCTTGGTTTAAATAGTTGTGAGATTTAAATGTTGTTTCTCTCTGAATTTCTTGTGAGTAATTGCTTGTTCTATGGCATGATTGATATGATTATTGTGGATTCATGAATAGTTGGTAGCATTCGGTGCTTCTTAATAATCTAAAACCAATAAAACAACAAGGTTTGTTGTTTAAATAGGGTATAATATAATTTAATTACTTGATAAGTAATTATTTATGTTATAAGAACAAGTAATCCGGTTTAATAGAAAACAAGGTTTGTTTTATAGGAATTGGGATTGGGTCTATGTGTTTAATGTAGTAGTTTTCTAAATCTTTGGAGGTTCCAAGATTAGTTTTCGACTAGTATATGATTAATGAAGATTTCTTAATCATTGAACTAAATGAAAGATTGAATTGTTTGGAGGTTCCAACAATGAAAACTAATCTACTCATAAGTTAATGATAATATCATTGCATCTATGATCAACTGTTCAAATCAAGGTGGATATACAAACCCTTCAGCTAGATATTTTCTCATTATTTGTTTGAATCATTTTAGCAATTGTTTGCAATTTGTATTGTTTGCAATTTATTTCAACAACTCAAAACCCCCCTTTTGGTTACTTGATTTAAAAGAGAGAAATTCACCATTCCCTGAGGAGACAACCTTACTTTCCTGTACTACATTAGTTTGGAAATAGGTTAAATTGTTTGTTGGCTTGACACCCTACCAATTGTGTTTATGGAATACAATGAATACTTCGGTAGAAATTAGAGTGATCATGACTAGCTATGATTTGTAGAACTAATTTTTCTCACTCTGCCCTCTTTTTTTTTTTTTTCTTCAACAACAATAAAACTTAAAAAATCTCTCCATCTCTCTCTATGGATCTCTCTCTCTTTCCAACCATTTTCAACCATCAATTACGATAGGTACTTTGTAACTTACATGACAAAACCTTGATCTATAATTGTAACAACCACAATGATTTTTTAATTTCGAATATTGATAAGAAATACTCTCTTCGTCCTATAATTATTGTCCAGTTTGGGCTTTTATTTTTAGTTTAAATTGTACTAAAAATGAAATCTCAAACTGCACAATAATTTTAAGATTGAGGGAGTACTCGTTTTAAAGTTGATGACTTCCTCAATTTCTTACTGCTGTTTTTCTTGTTCTTTTTTTTTTTTTTCCTTCTAAAAGAAAATGAAATCAACCTTTAGTAATGGTCGTTGATCAACGGTTGTTCTGAATACCGCTTGACGTATTTCAATAATTGACACTTCCATCCATTGTCGTATTTGAAGTGGTAAGTGACAAATTTTTGTATGAAGTATGTGCGAATTCATATTCTGGTAATTATAAAATAGATAGATTCACGATGGCTCTGGTATTAATTATTAGATTTTTTTTTCTTTTTTGACTTTCTATTAATTGCCTTCCGGCTTCCGTTCCACGACGGAATCAGACCATAATAAAAGTCAGAAGTTTACAAACAACCCCACCTCTTCCCCCTTCTAATTTCACTTTATTTTATTTTTATTTTCCGTTTCGCATAAAAGACTCCATAATTTTGATTGACAAGCAATAAGGTCTTTACCATGCCTTACAAGGATATCAACCCGATGTTGAAAATGCATTTATTATGAAATTATTGACATTTCATCAACAGGGAAAATTAATATTTCGTGTGTTTTAAAAAAAGTTAGTTTATTTTTTGAGTTCAACTAAGTGATTTTTTTTAAATAAGACAGAGAGACAAAAAAAAATTGTAAAAATATTTTAATTAAGTCTATTTCGGTCAAATTAATTTTGGAGATCATGGAGTACTACTTATTATTATTACCTATATTATAATTGCAGAATAACTTTAAAGTTTGGTAGTCCTCCACTTTAATTACCACATAATCCATATCATTTAAATAAATTTTTATTATTTTAACTATTTCACCTCTTTCATTTATCTCTACTTTAATTACCACGACACATTTAAATTTAATTTTACCATCACAACCCCATTATCTCTTTCATTACATTGTTTGATCTTGTGACAACCGTTACACCCAGTTTTGTTTCCCGTCAAACTCTATCTTCCCTACTCTCATCTTTAATATCCTTCCATTATTAATTTTCTGTTTTATTTTTTATTTTTAAGATTAACCAAAATTTATTATTTATTATTAATTCAAACGGCCAAATAACTAATTCTAATCACTCCAAACTTTTTAATGTTTTTTTTACATTTCTTCTCTTCTTGGAATTTAATGTTTTTGTTTTGTGAGAATGTAAAGACAGGTTGCATAAGATAAGAAATATATAATTCTCAATTGCAAAAGTTTTGTCACTTCTCTTTTGCTTGAATTTTTTTTCTTCAAAGCATTTGCCCTAACCCTCCTTAATGTCTCTCTCTATCACAAGTTCTTTGAGGTAACTACCTAAATTGTTATTTTCTTTTCATTTTATTTTTATTTTCATCTTTGATATATCATGTATTAGTTGTTGTTTTTTCTTTTTTTGATTAGAATACTATGTGTCACTTTTGTTGAAATTCAGAAATTATCATTTTCGTTGATCTATATAGTTATGCATATAGTAAACTTTCTAAGTTAAAATTTATTGTTGATATATTTTGAATACAATATAACAATAAAAAAGTAACTTGTAATTTTTTATTATTTAAATTTCACTTTTAAAATGTCATTATGTTTTTCGTACGCGCGAAGCGCGTCCAATCCATCTAGTTGTAATATAATACGTAGATAATAGGTAAAACGACTATACACATTTAACAATCCTTTAAAGAATATGAACTCAAAATAACAGAAGAATCTCTATTATTAACGATAATTAACTTTCACGATACATTTAATTAGCTAGAAAAAGATTACATTCTCATCTAAATTCAGAGACAACCAAACATGCCCTAAAGGTACTTAACAGTAAGCAAACTCTAAACAAGAAAGAGTAATAGCAAGCAAATGAAGCTGTGTTGCCACATCACGATGAAAAATAAAATAAAATACAGTAATTAACTAACATGTGGTATTATGTGTGCTATCAGGGGGGTATGAGAGCAAGTCGTGAATATATATTACACTTAAGTCACGTTTTTATAATTAGTATGGATGATAATGATTCAAATTATTGAAATATTGTTGATGACCTACAAACTTAACGTGTCGTTGCGCCTTAAACAGTAAAACATCATCATCATTTTGTATAATATAGCTGGCTAATAATCTTTTATAACGTGAGTTGTATCTAGTCTGATTGATGTCTTGATGACCGCATGCATGATGCATACATGTTTGATGTAGATTGTAATTTGTAAATACTGTCTGTTAATAGATTATTACATACGCAATAATCAGCCATAACATGCATGTTTTCCTCGCTTTCTTTCAACTATGTTTTCACAAATTTCCGCTTGGAATATATGCAATAATTAGCCCGAACATTTTTCCCTTGCTCTCTTTCAACTATGATTTCACAAATTTCCCTTTAGGAATGTGGTATACTTTGTACTATGCAGCAAATTTGTGGTACTGTGAACTCTCGGCCGTTAAAGATAATATAAATAAGTTAAAACGGATTCACTAGACACACAATTGTGGCTGTAGTTTAGTGGTAAGAATTCCACGTTGTGGCCGTGGGGACCTGGGCTCGAATCCCAGCAGCCACATGACATTTTACTTTTTGCTTGCCACGTAGCTTTCCAGGGCCGCGCTATTTGTAGTTTCTGGCTCCGTACTTGTGATGTTAGTATTTTTTTTCGTGGGTAGTGTTAGCGTTAGCTAATGTTGGACCAGTTCCCAGTTTGCTACAACAGTAAGGCCTCCTTATTTGTGTTAGCCAAGGCCCGCCCTTTTGGAGATATCCTACTGAATCTGGGCCCATAAACTCTGAGTAATAATTATTACTAGTTCCATTTTTTAATAAATTAACCAATGCATTAGTTTGCTTAGGTTGATTGTTCCCAAGCATATTACAGTATCATCAGATACAAAAGTTACAATTTGATTTATACAAAATATTTTGATTAGTTATTCTTATTCTACAGGTCAGATGTTTGTAGAGCACTGATCTTGCTTGAAATGTCATGCAGATCCACATGGCTAGATGGATTTTCCCATTGCAAAAGTTCTACCATTCCCTTCTCAATCTCTTTGGTTTCCCTTATTAGGCCATCCATGCAGAAGCCCAAAGTACTCAAACTCAACAAAATTTGGCTCTTCATCTCATCTTTCTCATCAGATTTGATATCATCAAGTAGTTGCTGGCAATGTTGAAGAAATGAGGCAAGTTTTTTCTCCATCATCTCCTGATCCTTGGGACCTGAAAATGTGATCTTGGATTTGCCTAATTCAAGATCAGTAGCAATGCTTTTCTTTTCAATTTCATTGTCTAATGCCTGGAGTGATTTGATCAAACTGACCTCCTCACAACACATGATTGAAGAGCAAATGGTGTTCTTGAAAACATTGAGATCAAGATTTAGCCTATTCACATTTTCCTTCCACAAATTACTGTCCATCTTCCCACCTTTTTCTTCCTGTTGGAATGACTCAATTGCACTAGTGGTAAATACCATGAACTCCACCATCTTTGATAATGACCTCAAAAGCTTACCATAGCAAGCACTATGAAAAGGCAAGAACCAGAAATTGGGCTCCACCTCAGCTTCTCCAATGAATTTCCCCAATTCATTCACTTGGACTTTCAGAATCTTTAAACTTTCATCCAAGTTGGCTTTGCTGGCATTGAGACTAATCCCACCAACGCATTCCTTAATCACTTGAAGATTCTTGGAAAGCTCAGTTTTAGCCTGGGAAGCAGCCCTTGTGGGCTGCAAGATCATTTCCACAGCAATTGAACAAGATAACCCAATAAAAGTCTCTGTTATCCTTGCAATGGCAAATTCACTAGGAGGGCCAAAGTTTTTCCTTCCCAAGATTAAAATTGCACCAATAACAGCTGAGATTCCGCCGGCCTGGCCGTACATCCGGCTGCGCCGCAAAAAGCTACAAAAGATGAACCATGGAAGGAGTGATAGTAACCTGATGAGGACATATTTTTGGAACATGAACCAACCAAATACACCAAAAACTGTCCCCAAAACAGTGCCTTGAGCTTTAACATTGGCAACTTTGAATGTTGCCTCTCTTGAAGCTGCAAGGCTAATGGCAACTGGCAGTCCTGCCCAATATGCATTTTCCTTGCTGTAAATTGCACCAAGGAAAACAGCAAGGCCTAATGAAAGTGAACTTTTGAAAGCTGGCATAAGCCTCTTGTTCTTCAAATAACTGGCAAAATTTTTCCATGCACTTTTGAGAAAAGACTGATCACCATCATCTTCTTCTTTTTGTGGACCTGTTTTGCTTGGATTACTGATCAATGGTTGAGTACTAATGGCTGCAGCAGCCATGGATTTTTTCTGTAGGAGTTTCAAACAAAACAGGAAAAAAAATGAAGGCAAATCTTTTTTGTCCAATGGAATGGTTTGATCAGGAAGTGCTGGCAGATGATGTTGGTGATCAACTACGTTTTCTGGGATAGTGATTGCTGAAACTAAGTGCATGCTTTTGATTTGACGTGCAATGTGGTTCTCAGTTCTTGTTATTTCATCTTTGAGCTTCTGATCTGAGTTTAGTATCCCAACTGGAAACTGTTCATTATTGGATGACACAGCAATTTCCATCCCTCTTAAAGGTGTCTCAAGATGGTGCAATTTCTCAGCTGGATTTGTGATATAAGGCTTGAAGAAATTGATTGGAATTCTTTCCCATGCCATACTTTCCTGTAGAAGATTAATACAAAAATAGTTAGATACACAAGTTATTGAGAAATGGTAAATCAGTGAGTTACTTATGCATAACACGAAAATATGCTAAGTATGACTATATGTAGTGTATATTGCTCCCTCCATTCCACAAAAATAGTCCACATTGAGTTTTAAATTTTGTACTATTTTTAGTACAAATTTGAAAACTCAATGTGTATTTTTTTTTTAGGATGGAGGTAGTACGATTTAAAAAGGTGAGGGTATATTTGAGTAGTTCTTACTTGCTTGGATTTAACGGTTTTGAGTAATTTGGTTCCCATGTTGGCCATGGACTTGGCTTGTGATATCAATGCATTTGCACTTTTTTTATCTTCAGCAGAGAATGCCTTCACAAACACCTTGAGCCTCTCGGAAGCATTCTTAGTGAAAAGCTTGAAATTCTTTTTTACCTGTTTTACCAAAAGAATAATAAAAACAAAAAAAAAATACGTCAAAAAATTTAGTCGTAAGAAAAATAAAAATGTACTTGGAGTACGGTACCATATAATAATTGTTGACATAACATTATCACAGGACAAAACAGAGAGCAGCATTCTCCACAATCTAACACTATATGTGGCCTTGAATTAGAGGTAATTCTCGAAATGCGGTTCCATGTAATTTTGACACCTCAGGCGACAAACACAGTTTCTTTCCACTAAATGACGTCAATAATGATTGAAAAAATGAATTACTGTGTTGAAATGTTGCACGAAATGACGTGATATATAAAATAAAAATATAATATAACCGGTTATTGTTTTTTTTAAAAAAAATAAAACGTAATTAATGATTTTTATACGTTTCTTTCGTATATATCTCTGTATAATTTTTTTTCTTGAACCATTTTACTGATGGAAAAAATTATCTTCTATCCCATTTTCTTTTTCTTAAGAAAATCTTCACTCAAGCTAAGAAGCTATAGATTTTCCAAGGAATATCCATTTCTAATAAGAGATATAAATACACCGCAAAGAAAGAAAGCGTAACGAAATTAAGTTGTAGTTACTCGACATGATGTACTGGAAGTACGGCACCAAATTTTTGACTTCACACAGGAGACAAAACAGTAGTCTCCATGATCTCAAAGTACTATAGGCTAATAGCCATGAATTTTAGAGAGTAACAACAAACCAGCTAGACATGATTTCATTCATTTTAAAGTCAAATCCAAAATCATCATCATCAATAGACATTCTGTTGCCTTCGCAAAATTAGTACTACCTCCATCCTATAATTATTATCCAGTTTGGTTTTTTATTTTTCGTTCAAATTATACTACAAGTGAAATCTCAAACTGGACAATAATTTTGGGACAAAAGGAGTAGTATTTGTTTTATTGCCTTATAAGTTTTTTTTTTCTTTTGGGTTGAATTTTACGACTTTGAAAATGCAAAACTTTATACTAACTCTTAATTGAAAGTATGTGAAACGGAAGATTTGAGTATTTACCTCGGAGGTTGCTAAGCTAGGGTAAGGAAGCAAGAGGGCTAAAACACAAGCCGCGACCCCAACAAAAGTGCTGGCCAACACATGAACCGGGTGCATTATCGGGTCCGCTTTTGGCCCGTTTATGAATGCCAAAACGTACACCAAAACAATCTGCCCCAGCGCAATCCTTTTGGCTATCAAGTGGCTGTTCTCCTGCACCACCACCACGAACGCGCTCGCAGCCACCGCGATGGCCGTGATGCTCGCCGTCAGCTGAGCCGGCCCGATCAGCCAAAGGGTCAAAATGGCCGGACATATCCCGAAGAGCGAAGCATGCAACGCATGCCAGCATCCTCGGAACGTGTCGCCCAAGGTGGCGTCGGTTATGATTAGGATCACCGTGACGTAAGAAAATGCCGGCAGTGTGACTTGGTTCTTCAATGAGGTGGGCCCGAACAAGGTGGCGCAGCCGACAATTATGCAAGCCACCGCCGTCCGGAATGCTGACGCCATGCATGATTTCCAAGCCGCCCGTGCATGTTGATCACAATATTGGTCACTTATGATAGCCATAGTTTTTTCTTTTTAACCTTACGAGAAAAGAATCCGATTATGTATTAAGTAACTCTGGAAATCGTCCAGCACAGATTAGAATACAACTAGAGATTTAGGTCGCGAACATGAGTAAGACCAACTAATTATGCTTAACTAATTAGTTAGTAAGTATATTAGTATTGAAGAATTTGCTTTGTACTCTCTTTTACCCTCTCGAATTCCAAGCCAAAAATTTTTGGCGAAAACTGGAAGCAGTTGAAAGAGAGAAGTATTGGAGTGTAAAGGGTGTGTTCTGGAATGTGTGGAGAAGCTGTTGTTTTATAGGGAGGGAAAATCAAAATGGATTGCTTGGTGTGCTGTGGGGTGGGGCCACCTTAAGGTGGATTCTACATAATATGGGAGATTTTTCTATTATTATAGTTGTTAATGAGACATGACTTAGAGTGATGATGAGGCAACATTAGGATTTAGGAGCTGATGATTACTTAAAGATGGGATTTGGAAGTACTAATTAAATAAAGTTTTATCGATGATAATATTATTAATCTCCATGCCATGATTTAAATGAGGAACCTTAATTTCTTAGCTAGCTGGGCAGTACGTACTATATAGTATGCTACAATTAAACAATGCGATTTAGTTGTAAAAATGTTGCGACGTGTTATGCAGATTGAAAATCTATTGATATCTGAAAATGAACCCTTAATTTAGTCAAAATTCAACGAATATTAATATGAAAATTATGTCATTGTAAATCGTCAAGGGAGATTATTTACTGCATGCCCTCATGCGTTAATAATATATTTTTCCTAATGTACCACAGTACCAGTATAATTTCATGGATATTCGCTAGTGAAACGGACTGATGAGTTAATTAATCTTTTATTGTAACTGTTCTCTTAATGACTCTATTTTGTAGTTATGTACACTTAACTACTGGGGTTACTTTCTCGTGTTTTTTACTTCTTTCATTGTTTTCATCTTCCCGATCATGCATGAAGGATATCTATATATGTCTTTCAATTATTTAACCATTTGATAAACTGTCTCCCATAGTCATAAATAAGAATCTTATTTGCAGGACGAAGAAAAATAAATAACTCTTTCCAAGTATATATCTCTATCCAAAGGTTTTTTTTTTCTTTTTTTTTTTCTGATAACGAGGTGCAATTTAGTGGTAAGACGCTTCACCTGTTGACCAATAGATTACGGATTCAAGTTACGCCGGGAATAAGTAGGGAACCACTATTGATCCCCAAACTTATTTGTCAAATGAAACCAATATAACAACACCACTCTTTTAAGGAAGTGAATAAAGAGTACTTATCCTTAAATAGCTAATGATTCATTTTTATTTTTTTTAACACTAAAGTACCAAAAAATACATATACACTATAAACATGCAATTAATAACATGATGTGCATATCCAATGGCCAAACACTTGCCGGAAAATTGGAAATTGACAATATTGATAAGCGTATCATACTAAGTAGTATATATTTGCACGTGTCCAACAAAACAATTTTAGCCACCAAATATATATATAGGGTTGGTGAAGTCTCACTTTCAAGGGGGAAGAATTCAGCAGCGTCTAGTTTGAACAAACAGCGAAATGATTAAACATTGTGTCGTACAACATATCTATACTTTAATTAACGAAACATTATAGTCAAAATTCAGGCCATATATAATTGACATGATAACTTAATTAAGAAATACAACGACAGCACTGAATTAATATATAGTACTAACATTGCACGTTAACGTTAATTTTCAGTACTTAAGTTATAATTATTCGGCCCCCCAACATTTCTTACATAGTAAAGATTATGATTAATGTTTGTCTGACACATAAATTTTTTAGTTATTGCCCCCATGTTCTTGTAGTAATTATACTTTAAGGTTATATATAGAAAATTTATATAAATCATACTTTAAGCCAATAAAGCGGGGTTGTTCCGAACACTTCGACGTTGAATTCATATTACACCTCTGACCGTTGAATTCAGAGAGAAAATAAATTATAGCAGGCTTTTATATGCGAATATTCTACATTTCGCAATATCGGAGAAAAGCACATCGAATATGTATTTCAAATTTTCGATCAATTGTCTTTTTGAACCCTAAACTGTACATAAAAAATAAATTGTTACTGGAGCCTCCTTGTTTGAGTCTATTTCGGCGGGTTTTGCGATGGCTAGCGAGCTAGCTCGATCATGCAAATTGCAAAACACGTACTACTACTGTTATTATTATTATTATTTTTTGTTTTTGAAAAAAGAAATTTGTTAATTTTAAAGTCCAAACTTCTTTTTTTTCCCCTTGAACCAAAAGTAAAATGTAATGCTATTTTAATTACGGAGACAGCACAGAAAGATGGTTAAAGGAATGAACACAAGTTGAGTTCCGACATGGATTTCCACAAAATGCAAAATTGCAAACTTAAGTTTGTTAGGTTCTTAATTATAGTTTTAGAGACTTTTTTTTTTTTTTTAAGGGAGTTGCTGAGATTGTGATCCTTTGATGTGAACAAAGGGTCAAATTTGGTTTCTCTTGAGACGAGGAAAATTGTAAATTTAAATGGATCGATCGTGTTCCCCATTACTACTATATTGCTCGAAGTTCGTTAAAGCATGTCTCTTCCCCCGTATATTAATCTTTTCATTGACGCATTTTTTTTTTCTGTATTTAATCTGAAAAAAATCAACGAAGAAAGAAGAAGCTTCTGGCTTTAAGGTTTCCACATTCAAGTGTTAAATGAAGCTTCCTTCGTCTGATTTGCTTGTGGGCAAGTTGTTAGTACGTATTTGTTTAGTCTAATTTTATACGCGTGAAATAATTTTAACGACATGTTCACATACGTAGTAAGTGAGCTATATATTTTTATTTTCCTAGCATGTCAGGAAACAAGCCTTTCATGAATTCAAATGTCTCACATTTGTAAAAACAATATTTGGGTCATTTGTTACGACGATAACAATTTTCCTTTCGGACAAAATTGCATATTGAGTTAAAAAAAAATCATTTGAAAATTTGTAATCCCAAACATCTTTATCTACATGCATATATTATATATTTATAATCGTTATAAACTTTTCAAATGAACTGACATCTCTAAGAGAGAATCTCATTTGATAAGGTGTAATTTTGAAGAAAAATAATTTTCACAATTATCTCACGGTTGATTTACACATATGAGCAAATACGCTTTGAAAATAGTGTCATATCGGGAAAAAAAAGATTTTCTTTTTTTTGCAATAAGAAGTTAAGAACCGTACACATAAATGATCGCCAGAAAGCCAGGTCTATTTTGGATGTTGGTGGAGCCTGCACCTGAAAGAGGGAGGAATATACAAACTATACATTTCGCCATCGACCCTATTTTTTTTCCTTGTCTTCCTTTTTTCTTTTTATTCTTTCTTTTGTTTTTAATTTTTTTTTTTCTCTTTTTTTTGACGGAGGGAATATGTACCCACTTTTCAAGTGTCCTTAGTAGCTGATGTCAATAAATCAATTGTGGAAAGGATGGATTTTTTTTCTCGTTAAAAACAGTGACACGAAGCCATTTGAGGACTTTTAAGTGGGATATTGTGTAATCAATCAATTGCCTTTGTTTTGTACACCACAAAATAGATTGCAAGCGGCACTATTTAGTATATTGTTTGGGCAAAAAGTAGCATTGTAGCCTTATATTACCACGTCACATTGCACCCTCCATTGTAATTGTGCGGCATTTCACCTTTTACTTAGCCCCCAAAGTTGTGTGCATGAATTGACCATTTACAACATTAATTAAAGAATTAAAACTATAAATATTTGTTACTTATGATAAAAAATGATTAAAAAAATCATATATATAACAAACAATTTGAGGTGTATATATACATGGGACCCCGCTTCTTGCTTTTGGGATTTTAGACATCAGCAAATTCGGTTCCAAGTGAATAGCTCTAGCAATGGTGGATTTTTTTTCTTAATTCCCCTATAGCTTTTTTATAAGGAAAATAATGAAAAAAAAAAAAGAAAAAGAGGATGGAAGTTGTTAGGTCGTGCAAAAGAGAAATGTGCAAATGTGTTAGGATGGAAGTTTTTGATAAGCAAATGTGCATATTGATTCTTTATAAGTAGGTAGGTGCATGCATTGAAAAAAAAAAGTAAAGGTTGAATATTTCAATTTTAATCTTCCATTGTTCCAAAAAAAAAAAAATCACATTAAGTTTTCAAATTTGTAATAAAACTATTATAAATTTTAAAATTCAATGTTTTTTTTTGAGATAGAGATAACAATAAATTTAAATTGCACATTTTCATATGCCTTTACACTTCATTCATTAGATCTATATTTCATGATCAACAGCCAGATGCTTTTACAGGAAAACTTGATATACATAAGTTATAGCTTTAAACATTTAACTCACTGAGTAAAACAAGCTATTTTGTCTATCTTATATAATTAATTTACTAGTATATTTTGGTTTGAAAAAAGAAAACAGTGAATTAAATTTCTCAATATGATAACGAGACTCTTATTATGAGATAAAATAGAGGAAAATAAACAATTTATTTTGACATAATTTAATCCGTAAAGAGTGTACTACATAATATCAAAATTAGCTAGAGTCTCTATTTCATCATAGTGCACGAAAAATCGCAAATCGTTTTAGCTATTAATCTTTTTCAAAAAAATAAAAAAATAAATGAATATGGGAAAAAGAAGTTAGGTCATGCAGAAGAGGAAAGGAACGATGAAATAATGTGAAAGATCACCAAGGAAGGAAAGTGGACCGGGGCCGGCCACATAAACGGACGTCAGCTGGCTTTAAGTTTTGGGTTTGGGTGATGACAGTAGCAGAGAGCACTAGCCTTTACTACTTCGTAAGCTGAAAGGTCATTCCCCCGTCCAAACGCTTTCAAAAACTTCCCCACCATTTCGTTACCCAAAAAGGAAACATCTTTTTTGTGGAGGGCCAACTCTAATTTTTGGTTTAAAAAAAAAATAAAAATTACACTACCAGAAATGTCATTTACAATGCAAATAATTACCTTTTGATGGTGCTTAGATCATATACATAGTAGCTCTTATAGTCAGTAAAAGTTAGAACCTCTGTACTTGGAACTAATTGAGTAGGGGTTAGGTGAATTGAAGGCATTTCAAGTGAATTCAGTAAAGTAAATTTATTGTAGGGTTCTGGAACAGATTAAGATGAGTTTTAGAACTCTGATCCCAATTGGGTATGTTATTGGATGGTAGGGGAAACATCGATGTTTTTTTGTACTCAAAGTCGTTTACACTCTAATTACATATTTTTATTTTTAGGCTCCTCGTCGAGTCGGAATAAAATAAATAATTTTAATTTTTTTGTTTGATAAAATAATTATATTCTTGTTTTATACATGAGTAATGCTACCTTCGTTGGGAGTAACTAATACAGTTTTAGTACAAATTTAAAGATTCGATATGGACTATTTTTCTGGGGTAAAGAGAATAATATAAAAGGAATGAGTAATTCTTGTTGAAAGTGGGTGTAGTTAGGAAAAAACTGTTACTTTATTTTATGGAGAGACGCTAACGCTACTAACTTTCTTTTATTCTTTGAAAAGTCTAAAAATTAGGAAACGAATTTATTAGCTGCATGTAAGAAAATCTTTTGGCTATAAGCAATAGCCGATTTAATCATTTATTCTCCTCCAATTTGAAGATGTGCATTTTTGCCTTTTAACTTTTCGCAACCCTTTCTTTTCTTTTTGGAAAAGAGCATGAAGGAGGAAGAAGCAAAGAAAGTACGAAACCGATCTCTAATCCACTTGAAAAATGTTACCTTTTGAACTTTGTACGGTTTCACCAAGGAAGCTCAACTGGGGGCATTCCTCCAATTCGTTCTTTAACAACCAATTGGAAGTGGATGACAATTGATTAGGAAGATAAGATTCATTCTATGCCGATTAAGACTAACCAATGAATGATATTTCTTCCAAGGTGAAAAGTCATTCTTCTCTATATTGTAAAGTAATTTATTCAATACAGAGCATCATGGACAATTAAAATGGGATAAAAGGAGTATTTGAAATAAAACTAGTGATTTCCAGAAGAAAGAAAGTGGGGTAAGGAAGTAAAATAAAGACTTTGAATTTGATTCAAATCAACTGGCAAGCAATACTCTTTCGGCAATAAAGCCAAAAAATATATACGGAAAAAGGTGACGCAATGTGGAATATCTTCTTTAAGGTTTGGATGACAAAAAAAGTATTATTTGAAAATTGTGCACTTCAACAAAGCGTAGTAATGAAGATGACATGTTTTGACAATTTCCAAGATGGTTTAGAAGAAGAAAAGCAAGCAATCTCATTGCAAATAGCACATGTTTTAGAGCTATTAACAAAATTAGATTGGTAGCAGGGTTTCAGTGGGTACAAAAATTTGGTCATTTGGATCAATAAAGAGAAAATGTGACATATTTAGGTTCTTATTATAAGCAAAGATGATGATAAGAGGATAACTGATTGCCATTTTTATTTTGGACTGAAGTCTGAAGATAGGTGGACATTGAACTGAAAATCCAGGACAAAACCAAATCCTGGAACCACTCGGTAACTTAAGCTATGGGTTGTTTTGTCTGGACATGTCCACGTGCATATAAACAAGAAAGTGCAGACCATGAAAGGAAAAGGCACAAGTGCATAACGAATAATTTAGTCATGACATAAGTTTTAAGGATAGGATTTTCATAGGGGTTTGCATCTAAAATCCTCGTGGATTAACACTACAAAACAGACATTTCTTGACCTAAACAGCATAAATTAACCCAATCACTTTGTGAAGCACAATCTTCAGCTTATCTCGGATTTGATTTAATATCCTCACACGTACAAAACTTATCATGAGGAGCTCAGTAATTACACTCCTGGACAGCTATTGAATTTATGAATGCGAACACGCTACTATACAGAGTCATAAGTACTTCATTTCGACAGATTAACCACAACGATATGATCTTACTTGATGTTTAAAATGGTGTGCTATCCGGATCATGTATTCCAGCAAGTAAAACTATCAACACCCAGAAAATTAAAACTCCTACGACAGCTTTTCTCAATACATGTTCACTGCTACTCCACGTATAAGAGTCATAGATAGCATCAAGTTCTGGCAGAACATCTTCACGAGCTATATTTTCAATTGAAGCGGTGAAATCTGTTTCCCTGATTGAAAATTCCTCGAAAATGCTTTTTTCTTCCCCTGAACATATCGTGCATGTGCACAACCCACCAAGACATGATGGGAGTTCCTTGATTAACTCTGAGAGAGTGGCTTTATACCTATCCCCGAGAATCTTCAGCTTTGACCTCGTTCCTGGATTAAGGAACTGAGGAAGAGTGGTATGGAGGTCATTTACTGAGATCACTATCAAAAAGAAGAAAGACGTGCAACAGAAAATTGCTGAAAGAGAAGCTTACCTGGATAAAAGTTTGTGCAATGACTCGGGCAACTGGAGGAAGTCGTATAACATACACACAACCAAGACGCTTCGGGAAGTGTTCTTGAAGAATATTAGAACAAGTTAAAGATATTTTCATTGGGAATTTCAGAGGTGACAACCCTTCACAGTCCACCAAGACAGTAATTCGAGAATGTTCATGGTCCGTTAGATTAAGGACTCCATACTCTACCTGTGAAACTGCAATCACAGCCATTTTTCAGTTGATCAGTGCTCTAAAGTAGTAATTGTACTTGAAAAGGATATCATACAAACATCTTTGGTGATCTGGCATAACAGCAGATGTTCATAATTCACTAACATATGAATAGTAAGGCTATCTGTCTAGTTTGAATCCCCATTAAGGAATCATACTGCATATGCTCATAATTCACTACAAAAGCGAAATACGATAGAGCCACCAAAAATGGGAAACTCGCCTAAAGGGCGGACAAAATTCTCTGAAAACTTGAGATCTTATTGAGCATACATGTTTATTCAGTAATCATAAGACCAGGACCTAGGTTGAACAAATAACTGCATACTTCACGTTCAAAAATCGCAAGAATAAGAAGAAAGCTCTGAAGCATTATCCAGCAGACACAGTGCAGCTAGACATCTTAGCTTACTCAAGCCCTACACTAAATCAGATAACAAGTCCTAATAAGAATATAAAAGACAAGAAAGAACTAAATCAACTTAAAAAATCTTAGAAATATGCCAATACACGATCAACCATGTCACGCATCAGCATTCCTTTATACCCAGATAAGCCAAATAATGAAATCTGAAAGGGGGAATCAAAGAGATCTTACACTAACGAGTGGAAAAACATACCAATTGCTTGAGCAAACTGAGGTCTGTCAGCCAATGGGACAGTCATGCAAGCCAATCCAAGGCGGACAACAAGGCAGAGTCTACCCTTTGCATCAAATCCATGCCAAAAGACCATATTTGACCACACTTCAAGTTCTTGTAAGGAAAGAATTCTGTAAGTCTCCCTCCAAGATATTGTCTTCTTCACCAATGATATACAGGCTGAAAGATTGCCATTTACAGTAGCATAGAATCTTTCAAGCTCATCGTCATCAATTCTGAAAAAAAAAGTTTAAAAAAAAAAAAGTTATCTCATGCTTCACTGCAAGAAGAAAAAGGAACAATACCAGACTAGGTTACAAACGACTAGCCAAATATTTTACTATCTGCTTGGAGATCATTACAGGGTTAGAATACTGATGCATGAACAGTAGCTAGAAAAAAGAAATAGGCATCTACATTATCTAAATATTTGTTATTGAAACACACACGATCAAGCCAAATAAATTCTGCATTAAAAGCAAGTGGACTTCTTCATCAATTGTAAACCTCGCGAATTCATGTTGTTTCAGAATAATTCTTACATTAGTGAAATTTAACATGAGAAACAGAACACTGTGAGTGTGAGTAGTTTCACTATCAGACATACCTCGCAGGCAAGGTTATTCCCTCACGCTGAAGTTCTTCATAGAGCTGAAGCAACCAAGTTTTAGAAGATGAAATTTGAGGTTCTTTATTACCAGTACTGAAAAACATGGATAACCAAACATGAAGTTAGCCTGAAAAAGATAGGGTCAGTACAAATAACAAAAAGCATCACGGAGACATCCAATTATGAACTGCAAATGAGACTGAAACATGGGACCAAAAGGTTAGCGACTCATCGACCAAATGAACCTTTTTTTTTTCTCAGGGTAACGAGGGCAGTACCCGGAAATAAATAAACCCTTGAATAAGCATAACGAACAACAAAAGAACAGTATGTTATACAGGAAGGAATTAGCAGATGAAAACATCAATCATATAAGTCTGAAACTGGCTCCACAGATGAAAACTAAGTAAATCAAAGTTCCATCACCCCGTGTTTCAGGTAAGAAATAGGTCTATGCGTAATAATTTAAGACCAAGTTTAAGTCATACTCCTACAGTCACTTACGTCAAAGATAGTGCAATTCACAGTTTACCTTATTTCAGGAGCAGATAGCAACGAAGATTCATCTAAATGGGAATCTAATGCAGCTGATTCACTGGCCTGAGGAGGATCTTCAGCATCTGAAAGGCTACGTTTGCCTTCCGAACAATCAGATATAGCATTTGCAATGGATATGACAAGTAATGGTCGCGACAACATCTACAAAAGGGATATGCAACAAATATAATATCAATGGCAACGCAAACTAATATTCTTAAGGTGAGTTCTCCTGGCACTTCCACAACACCGAGGAAAATGGTTTACTTATAAGGGCAAGTGTGAGATCATAAGCAGGAGGAATAAGAATCAACCTGCATGCCTTTGACCAAAGCTTGAAATGGGTTCCATCTCTGAATCCATTTAAAGGGTGGATAGCAGAAAACCTGCAGAGCCTGGAGAGTCGACCAAACCAGCGGACATTTGGCCTTGGATAACCTCCTTACAATTTCCAACACAGCAACTTCAAGTAAAAATGATGTAACAGGGCCAGCAGCCACCCGTTTACCCAATTTCCCAGGATTTATCCAACGAAGATGGGAATGCAGTTTCCTCAAAGATTGATGTTCAAATGATTTTTGGCCTGAAGCAATCAAACGCCCTCTTGATTTCTTAACACTAATACTACTATCTGATCCTAAAAAGGTTGTGCTTGGGCCAGAAACAGAAGCTGAGTCACCCATTGAGCCAATTTGTGGGACACCAACCGTGTGTCAAAGCTAACTTGTTAATCCATTCATCTTATAATGCGGGAGCTACAAGAAAACCAACAAAATATACATGTGATTTAAGTAAATCCCCAGTGTTGAAATAACTCCCAGGAACCAAATTACGAAGAGAAAGCCAGCTATACAGAACAAAACAGTGACAATAAACACAGTGAAATTCAAAATGAATTCTAAAATTTGAAAAGTGAAATGTACATGGCAGCAATCATGCTAATTACCCAGAAAGTAATTAGCTGTGTAATTGCTTCCATTGGTCACTGTTAAAGCTTACTTTAATTTACCACTGAAAATGCCATTTCTCTTCGGACAGAAGTTTCCAATCTAAGCTGCTAATTGGTAATAAAATTTCCAGCATTTGTCCTAATTCACAAAATTTATTGATCTTCTATCCATAATCCACCTTCTGTTCTATAACAATGATTAATCACAAACAAAACTCACACTACGTACAAAGTGATGTCCCGTGTGGAGAGTTCAAGCAGACAACATTTCGTAAGAAAATGAAACAAAAAAAATAAGAACTTTACAATCCCTTTTCAGCTTCTGCAGCTAAGAGAGCTATATTAATCAAATTGGCCCTGATTATTGTCAAATTTAAACCAAATTTGATGCAGCATGAAACTTGACAGTTCGAAACAAAGAGTTATATGTTTAAATTAGGAGATCAGCATCACGATTGTGGCAAGAGGCAACAATAAACATTTGTGGTAAAAATCAATGAATGTACGGAATAGAGCCCCAAAAAAAGAACTGTACCTCGAAAAATTGAGAGAAGAACAAAAGGGAAGCGTCTGGGATTCTGAAGTAATATTCCACCGTAAGCCATACTGTGATTGTGAAACCCTGAGTTGAGGTGTCGTGTCGGGTTGCGTCATTTTGTCGTTTTGGAAGGTTTTTTTGTTGAAGTTGTGGAAAGAGGGAGGAATGATGCAGTGGGGTGAGCCTTATTTTGGACTATCGTGGGGCGTCGACTTTGTTTCGTAATTATCTAAATCAGCCTTGAAGTTTGGTAAAACTCAAAAACAGGCAAAGGAAATGGGAAAACAAGGAAAGGAAAATTAATTAGTTAAATTGAAAGCAGTTCGACCATTTACGGCTTAACAGTTTGAAATTAGAGACAAGTGAAGATGCAAGTACAGATTTAGACAATGTGGATGTAAGTTCACTATAATACTACTTCCGTCCCAAAAAAATAGTCCATATTGAGTTTTCAAATTTGTACTAAAAATAGTAAAAAACTAAAAACTCAAAGTGAACTATTTTTTGAGGACGGATAGTCATTCATTTTTATTTTTTTTGGTAAGTTGAGGGATTATTTCAAATGCGTTGCATTTTATCAAGATTGATTTTTCCTAATTTAATTTTATGTTAGTTTTAGATCTCCCTGCCTTGTATCAAAAAAAAAGAAAAAAAGAACCGACTTTTGTTCAAATATGAGTCAAGAGACATACGTAACATAAGGTTTTAAAAGATTCTAATCATAATTTGTCTAACTTCAAGGACAGAGTTGCAATTTATGCTCCCTTTCTAACAAGTAGTTGTTACTTTCAGGAGCTGTTGCCAATGAGTATATAATCCACACAGGAGCGTGTTAGCATGTAGAATAGTTAATTTTGTCACGCTCGTAATAAATAGGGAATTGTAATTGATCTCTTTTAAAATAAAATGACCAGCAAAGATATACATGCACTGAAAATGTGATTTAGCTGCTGCTGTCTTCGTCCTCACTGGTCACTGGTGTTCCGGTTGACTTCTGAATTTGGGCCTTTGTGTTAAAAGATATAAATGTGATGGATTTTATGGCACAGCCCAAATGCCGGACATTGGAAAGAAGTAGAAACACATTGCATCAGTTTCTCCACTTGGCCCATTTCTAAAACATACAGCAAACAGAACTCGAACGTGCTGGATCGGCGTCTGCGGCGGCAGCAGCGAAGGCAAACAAACCGCGCCACCTGGCAAGTCGGAAACAGCTCAGAGATCCAAATAACAACGTCCACGTGTCATGACTGCTTCTGTGAATTGCCAAACCAGATGAAGAGAGACGCTCCCACGTGTAAATAACCCTGAATCACCTCCAGGACCAAACACTAATAAAAACCTATATCTCAAATTTCATCACTCTTAGTTATTCATCAACACAAGCACAAAAGCAGATCAATTTACTGATCATCGAAACCACCTTAATTTCATCCAAATAGAAACTCAGGAATTATAGATCAAATGGCATCGAATTCAAACCTTAGACCAGCATTTGCTTACACGGTGGTGTACGTTAAAGACGTTGCCAAATCGGTTGCGTTTTACGCCAAGGCTTTCGGCTCCAACGTACGTCGCTTGGATGAATCTCACAGGTACACGAGTTTTTTTTTTTTTTTGTAATATCTGAATTTGGATAGCCATACAGATGATTTACAGATAAGACACTTTCAGTGAACAAAATTAAATCTGGTTTCTTTGTATGAAATTTGGACTCTGTTTTGTGAATTCCTGATAGATGGGGGGAGCTGGAAAGTGGGCAGACCACGATAGCATTTACGCCAATCCACCAGCACGAGACGGATGATCTGACCGGACAGGTGAAAATCCCGAGTTCCGGCTACGAGAGGCAGCCGGTGGAGGTTTGCTTTGATTATTCTGACGTTGATGCTGCCTACAAGGTATATGAATGTATGATTGACTTAACATCCGCAGGCATGATTCTTTTACTAATTAACATCATATTAGGCACCCTTCTTCTTGTTTTTGGTTGCTTTTTGGAGTTTCAATCTGTTAAATTAAGCAATTGAATGGAGCATATTTGTGATGTGAATTACAGAGAGCTCTGGAAAATGGGGCAGTGGGGGTGAGTGAGCCGGAGGAGAAAGAGTGGGGACAGAAAGTTGGGTACGTCAGGGATATTGATGGCATTGTGGTGAGGATCGGAAGCCATGTTAATCCCTCTAAATCCCACCAGTCTTAGATCTTTCCCAGCAAAGATCCGAAAATGTAAAATGATGTTATCAGTTATCACTAGCTAAATAAGTTGATGCATCTGTCTAACCTATGCATTTCGTGTTTAATAAAAATATATAATCTGGGGCATCATCACGTTATATTTCATGTTTAATGATATACTAATATCTTTCCCCAGATTGATTTTTGGGTCAAGGGTTCCAATTCCATTATGTTCTGTCACAGTATAAACCGGATTCGCAAACATCACCAAATCACAAACTCCCGTTAAAGGGGAATTTTTTTATTAAAAATTTTTTTTTTATTCAATTGGACCCGGAACCGAAGAAGAAAAGACGTCTCGTTTAAACGGCAAGAATTAATCGGTATCGGAATTGACAAAGCTCCAATCATCGTCGTCTTCGTCTGATGAGTCGTAGTGGGAGTCTCGGGGATGGGTGTAATCGTAGAAAAGGCCAGAGCTAGCAGCACCCGCCAAAGGCCCCAACCAGTAGATCCACTGGTTCCTCCAGTTGCCATCCACTAGTGGCACTACAAAAGCCCTGGCCGGGTTCATCGATCTTCCCTTCAAAGGCCCTCCCACAAAGATGCTAGCTCCGACCATGACGGCAATGAGAAATGGTTAAGAATATGCGTTAAGCATGAAGTACGGGTCATCTTCGTCGTCGTCGTCTTCATCACTAACATATCTGTTCCATTTGGCGGCGTAGCGTATATAATAAGGTAAACCAGGCCAAACGTAAGAAGTACTTCGATCAATAGCGCGTCGTTCAGGTTTCCCACCCCATTTCCCACTGGTGCCACCGATAACCCGACCTGATTGTATAAGGTGCAACATGTGAACCAAAAAGATGGGTACAGAGCCCTTCGTTTCAGAAAACCAGTCCAAATTGAATTTTAAGATTGATTTGTTCTAAAATATATATTATTTCGAAATTCAATATGGATTACTTTTTTCTGAGACGGAGGGAGTAAACTGAAAATCCAATCGGTTATAGTACATGCACATACATTAGATGTGATAATGGCGAGTAGGAAGGACCCTACGATGGCCCCAAAGAGCTGACCGGCCCAATAGCAAACCGCCCAGGGAAAGGAGAAGCTCCGGCCGACGAGAGCGGCTAAGGTGACCGCTGGATTGACGTGGACAACCTGGGCACCGGGGATGACGTCCCTGTAACTGGCCTCAATAACCCAATACAAGGCGAAAGAATGTGCCAGCGCAACTACAAAAGTGCCGGAGAGAGAGTTGAGTCAAACCAACCCTCATGTGTCCCGTGGTATCCACGTCCATAACGCGTTATAATCAGGGCTCCCCCACATTTCGAGAGCAAGGAGGGAGCATTATTAATTCGCCCACAAAAACAAAGATCAGAGTGGACAGAAATCAGACAAAAAAGCTTTGCCCCACATGGACAAGGAGGAGTACGGATCACCAGCCTTTTCATAGTGACCTTGATCCTTATCAGATTCAGCGCCGGGAGCAGGTTGTTCGGTGGTGGTCATCGTCAGATTGAACAGGAACAATTCGATATGGACTGCATGCATGGATATATTAAGATGAACAGTGTGACACATTGTTTATGTATATTATCAATCAATTATTTGTAAAGAGCTTCAATTTAGCCTAGCAAATCAAAATACTCATCAATTACTCCATCTGTCCTAAAACTATTATGATATTGTCCAGTTTAAAATTTCACTTTTAGTACAATTTGAACTAAAAATAAAAACTCAAATTGAACAATAATTATGGGACGGAAGGAGTACTAAATTAAAAATGAAAATCAAAACTGAAAAATAATTTTAGAATATATGGAGTATTTGTATAGAGCTTCAATTTAGCCAAGACCCCGAATGCAAACATTCACGATTTACCCCTTCCCACACAAATATATTAGTTGATCTCTGGTGACGATTTAGTTATTATCATTCAAACCAAAACCACTACAAACAATTTAGTATCGAAGAGCCCCTACCCAAAAATTAAATAAAAAATTATCTTCAATTTCGTCCCATCCAATTAGGCAATTAGTCCCCGTTATAAATTATATATAATTTGTTACTAAAAACAATCTAATTTATTACTTACAAGGTGAACTATTATTATGTGATGGAAGGAGTTAAAAAAAAAAAAAAAAGGCCCTTAAAATACCCCAACTCGAAAATCCATACCAAAAGAGAAAGGGAAAAAAGAAACGCAAAAGCTAGGTAATCAAATGAAGATCAACGAAACTGTCACAAATTGAGCAAGCAAAGCAAAATCCAGTAAACCCCCCCACCCCTCAAAAAAAAAAAAACGGTGTGATAGATGATTTAAACAAAACTGAAGAGAAAACGTATAAACGATCTGCATTGAACAAAAACTAGGGGAAACCAAGACAAAAAATGCAACATTTAAATAAACCTCAAATCAATTTGAACTCACGAAATCAATGACTAAGCATTAAACTAACTACCTATACTCCAACAAGAATACAATCTTTCGAAACAAAACTTACCCTCGTTGCCAATTTGGGGTTTCTTAATAGGTCCCAACGAATTTTGTTCTCTATCTTTTTGGGATAGGTAAACGTTAAAATATGGAGAGAGATTTGAACGAAAAATTAAGCTTATAAATGTAGTTCAGAGTTCTCCACTTCTTTTTCTTTTGTAGTAGTATTCCAGAGACTGAGTTGCAGTAGAATTTGTATTTGCACTGAATTTTTTAAGAGTTCGATTCCTTGCTTGGAAAACCCCCAAAAAAAAGCACTAGTACGGAATTATAGAGTCATAAATTCGATCTAAATAAATTGCTATTGGCTCGAACAGGTATCCAGTCATCAAAAAAGTTGATATTTTTTAGGTCATATTTCAAGATATAAAAAAATCTCATTGGTCCTCGCACGTATGCACGTACGCAGCAAACCTTAATCCATCCAACACATATTACCCTAAAGATTCTTTTGTGATAAAGGTGCATATATATTTGTCCTAAATAAAAGGTTTTTTTTTTTTTTTTCGGATGGCCTGGTGATTTATAGTCATTTTGTTATCAAAGAACAGAAATAACATGTTGCCCAAAAGAACGGAAAAAAAGATATTACAAACTGTAGCGTTCATACTCAAAACAATGAGCCCAACAATGAATTTGGTCTGGAAGGAATGTAGTGTGGCAAACGATGGTTTTAAACGTGACACACAGAGATTCCTCATCATACTCACGACATACATTATTATTATTGTTCTGTTCCCCCTAAAGTTGCAAACATTCATCTCTCTTTGTTCTTACATGGAATTTCGAGCTCTGTGCTCTGCGTATTGACAAAAATATTGGTAATTTCGATATGTACGATATATCCATGTGACCCTAAAATCATGTACCAGGACCATCTGGACCATCTCCCCCAATGTGCATCTCACTGCTTACTCCTGCATGCACTTGATATTCTCATTTCTCACCTCACCTCACCTTACCTTCTTGTGCTTCCCCCCGGGCTCCGTGTGTTACTATTTTCTTACATTTTTTCTTCTTACTAGTACTAGTGTCTTTCTCTCGTTCTTAAAATTTATCTTCTTGGCACTAATATTCTTTTCCATTCTTCCAAGTCGCAAAAGTATATAACTGCATTTTCTGATTATATAACATCTCAGAACAAATAGGTAATTTTTTTTTTCCGGTGCCAAAATATTTTTCTGACCAATACCTAATTCTAAGGTAGGATGCTTGAATTTCTCCATAACTTCCAAAAGGAACAATTAGATAGAAGTAGTAACGTTTATTTCTGGGCGTCTTGCCCTTACAGAAAGGATCACACTGATCTCATCAGATTGATCGATTAGCCACATGATACATCATAGATAAACAAAACACAGACACTAATCACGACTGATTTCCTACAATTGTTCTTCCTTTTTTTTTTTTTTGGTTAAATGCTTCTTCTCTAACATTAACAATAACAGTACGACAAGACAAGCATTAGCGATCCGGTCAACAAACAAGACCAGTCAAATGCCAGCTCCCAAGCACGATTTCCCATTCAAAAAAGAGCTTCCCCTTTTTCACGGATGACAGAAAATGACCTTGAGCTCCCTAGGAGAAGAGCACTCATGCACCAGGGAAGGGGTATCGTGGGCAAACGTAAAAGTCGCAGGGCAAGCATCCTTGAAGTACTTGGAATATTTCGTGGGTCTGCAAGTCTCCGTGCTGTTGTAGTGATTCCTGCAACAAAACTCGTCCGTATTAAAGGCCTCGCAGGCGCTCTTACAGCCCACAACTTTGTTCCCCGGCCCAATAAGCCTGAGCTTGGCCGGACAGTTGGGGAGTAAGTCGGCTTTGCAGCCCACAACGGGACAGATCCCTTTCCCTTCGTGTGGGGTCACCGTCATGGGGATGTTGAAGCCGTCGACTAAGCTGACGCCGTAGGAGGAGAAGTCGGCGTGGCCGTGGTGGAGGTCGAACTGGGCCAGGCTGGCCGGAGGGACGCCGCCGAGGCCGCCGCAGTGGGGACGGTGGGCGCAGTCGCCGGTGGCGCAGATGAGCTGGTCGCCGGAGTTGGTGCAGTCGGTACGGCCCCAGATACGGCCGGCCCAGTGGGTGTCGGGAGCGATGAAGGAGTGGTGGGTGTTGGTGTGGAGGGCGAAGCCGCCGTTCTCGAGGACGGGGAAACCGCCGTTGGGCTGGATGGCGGCCCAGACGGTGTAAGGGCAGTGATTGACTACGGTGAGGTTCAGGGTTGCTTTTGAAAGGACGAAGAGAGATAAGAGGAAAGAGAGTGAGAGGACGGCGGAGGAAGGAGGAGTTGCCATGGCTGGCTGTAGCGAGGAATAATTAAGTAGGAAGTAGGAAATGCTGGCGGGATGAAATGGAAGAGGAAGGTTGGGGGGTGTATATATAGGCCTGAATTGGGCTTCTGTTATTTGGGTCGTAATAAGATGCTCAAGTTTTCATGCAAATTATTGTCAATGAAATCTATCTATTTCTATCTATATGTATTACTAGTGATGTCTGGTCGCGCAATGCGCGACCCTGGCCCAGTCTATCTGTAGATCTTAGAAATATTTATATTTGAAAAAAAAAAGTTTATATTTGGAGCGATATATTTTAGAAATGTTTTATAAGTGTGATCATAGAAATATTTGTATTTCGCAAAAAAAAAAAAATTATATTTTGCCATGTATGTTTTAGAAATGTTTTATAAGTGTTACTTATTAAATATAAATAGCTTAATCGAATATATGTGTTGAAGTAAATGTTAGATAAAATATAAAAGTATCCTAATAAATTTAAATATTAGTAAGATGATTTATTGATGTTCTCCATTGGTCGTGCCAAATCAATACTTAGTTTTGGAGATTTTTAATAGCTTTGTAATAAGCTTCATCCGAAGGGTATACGCTTAAAACAAAATTGACACTTTGTAACAAAAAACCTAATTGATCAATTCAATTTAAAAAACCACTCTAGTTGAATGAAACATAAAGAAAAAATTAAAAAAAAAAGCGTGTCACGTAAAGTGCAAAGAGAGATTTAGTAATTTAGTTATGGTTAGATAAAAGGACAATTTAGTATTTTCTACATGCCACGTGGCAATCATATGAGTTGTTTGAAAGGGAGGTTTTTGTTTCTAATATAGTAGGATATTCTAAGAGAGAAACCAAGAGACAAGAAACAATATTTATTCTTAGAATGCCACATCAACAATCCTAAATGTAATTTTCTTATAAATCTTTAAAATAAAATTTAGTGCAATGTGTAAAAGTCCTCCAAATTTGAATTGTTTTAATTATCTTATTCTTTAAAAGATTAGTAAAATTCAATAAGGTCATGCTTTAAGTTTACAAAAAAACAGGAAGCCAAATAATTTCTTTGGGGTTGGTAGCCATAAATTTCCTCCTTCTTCTTTTTGTTTTTTTTACAAGTAATATATGAATTTTGTCTTCTTTTTTCTTTTCGGAATTTCTAAGCTTAACTAAAATTATGAAAATTATACTTATATTTTATTGTTGACTAAAAAAGTTTATCCAGTAACAATAATGAATTTAAAGGTGCCACATTGGTATTAAGTACTAACATTTGGTTTGTTTTGGTAGGTTCATACCTTAATGTATTGAATTCTTAGATCAACTTTATCAAGTGAACTATTTGACCAACTATATACATAGACATCAAACCTATTTCTATATCATTTTTATTCGATTTCAATAAGTAATATAGTTAGAAAAATAAAATCATAATAAAATAATAAAAATAAATCATTAAAAAATTATTATTTAATCCCGTGCATCACACGGGTATAACATCTACTTGCTTACAAAGTGAAACAGTCAGCTTTGAGAAACCACGTGTAACTCATGTTTTAGCAAATTTTCGTTAGGTAGTGTGCATTATTCCCTCCTGTTCTTATTATTTTTAAGATTTTTTTATCAAATAAAAATACATATTAAATAAAATCTAAAATAAATCAAAATGTCATATCGAAGAGAGTATTATATGAAGTATATCTTATATATTTTCTAGTATAGTAGAACTTCTATAAATAAATTGTGTTTTGACCACTAAAATTTATTATGTTAGAAAAAAATTATTAAAAAATCGATAAATTAATAAATTAATTAAATAATTTATATGAGAAAAAAGATCGATCACTAGTAGATTGCATAATTTGTAGTTGGCTTTACATCCGATTTAATCAATTATTAAAATTTTTGTGAATACTAAATTTTCATATATAATTCATATCATCTTGAAGGACTGGAAAACAAGTATAAATAGTTCATATTGTACTAAATATTTTAGTTAGTATTATTATTTTTTATTTGAGGGTATTTATTAATTTATGGTATTGTCGAGACTTATAGAGATATAGGAGATTTTCTAAAACATCATTATCTTATCATTTTAACGATTTTCTTCACTTTTTATATGAGTCCTAAGTTGGGCTCGGAAAAAATTATTAATTGTTAGAAGTTATTAATTTATGTAAAGTATTAATTTATCGACCTTCTACTGTAATAATGAAAAAAGAATTTAACATTTTGCTCTATGCACTATGCTATATGGGGAGTAAAATTTTGTTGTTGGCCGGATTATTATTTTTTTATATATAATAATTGTAGGGTGTTCAACGTCGGTAACAGTGACTAATCCCACTTACTAACTTATAGGCATCTCAATAAGTAGGATAACTAGTCAAAGTATTTAAGGTTGATCCATGCTTATGATAAGATTCGAATGGCTGAACTACTGGTGTTTATGTGCCTTTCACGTGCTTGACCAGACAGAATCTATGGGATTGTTCAGACTTCAGAGACGAGTGGGATTTTATTTTTTTCTTTCCCGGATAATAGTGGGATGTTTTTGGCCATAATAAATTTGTCATCTCAAAAACTAAAAAGAAAAAAAGAAGAGAGAAGAAATTGATCGTAGTCGTCTCAGCTTTCAAGAAGATGAGGGCCATGGGGGAAGGAAATGGTAAAGAGAAAAAAAAAAAAAAAGAGAAAGAAAGAGATTTACAGCAATAATATTGTCTGATTGCCTGGCAAGGACAAAAACTGGTTAGGATGAGAGCTGAACACGCTAGGATCAGTGTCTCAGATTATGGGCAAAACGCGTATAAAAATATTGTTTTACTTTGTGCCAATCCAGTGATAATCTTTTCACATCCAAAGTAACTTTTTTTTTTTTTTTTGTAGTATAAATTGTTAATTATGTTATCTTCCGAGTTACATTAATCAATGTTGGTAGAGAATTGAAAAAAAGGAGGAAGAGAAAAACACAATGAACTGATAATTCAGTAGTGAGCTGGTAAGTAATTAACACGAGTGTGTGAAACAAAGCTGCTTGTCCTTTTTTCTGGATAAAGTGTAGGCAATATAGTGCAAGGGAAAAAAACGCCACGTTCGACAAGTATGAGAAGGATGGAAAAAAGAAAAAAACAATGGAAAGCAGATGGAACTGAGAAAGCCTGAAAAGCAAATTAAAGCAGAGACCATACACAAAAATGGTAGTAAAGCATTTCTACTGGGAGGAGCGTTTGTTCCGAGAAAGATGAGGATACCAAGATGCAAAATCAGTGTGATTATAAACGGAATATAAAGATGTGATCACGATGTCTACATTTATATGCATCGATGAAACATCACCTTACAACCTTTGCACTTTTCTTTTCTCTTCACAAAATCTATACCAAGTTTATAGATTAATGGCACTATCCAGATTATTAGCTTGTTCATGGGTGTAGTATTATAACCTATTGTACGAAGTTACAGGTTTTAATTATCCTGATTTTACATTAAAACAGATCTTTTATTCAGTTTCTCATTGCCATTTCGAGAATACTTTTGTGCTTTTCTTTTTGGTTACTACTAGTATTAACATACTCCCTCTATTCACAAATCAATGTCTCGTTGTAAGAAAAACCAAATATTCTAAAATAGATGTGGTTTTCACAAATCGTGACATCTTTTGTCAAATTTTTTCCATACTATCCTTACATTGGAAACTATAATAACATATAATGTAGAATTGTATTAGAACTAAATATTATTTGGACTACAATTGTATTAAAATTAAATAAAGGTATTATAGTAGTATTTTAATAAGATAATTATTGTCTCCTTAAATTATGTGAAATCTCATGTAAATAAAGAATTGTTAAAGCCTAGGACAAAAACCATAAAAAAAAATAAAAAATACTGCGGATCGACAACTTTGATGACCGATAAACCGACCTAATTGGACGGGATGTATGTTCTTGAAAACACCATTGTTGCCGCATCTCCAAGTTGTCGGAGTCCGTTTGTCAGGATACACATTTTATATTCCTTTCTATAATTGTATGATAAAATTAAAATATAAAACTGGACAATAATTTTGGAACAAATCCATGAATTCTTTTTTCACTTATTTCAAATGTGAAATTTGGGCCATTAGTCGATCCAATTAATCTATAGTGTTAAAAAATGTCAAGTTGATAAAGACTTAGGTCTAGCCCAGTACAAAATAGAATAAGCCCACAATGTAGCCGAAACAGTTTCTATGACTCATTTCAGCCAATTGGCTCCCTCCAACCTCTCTGCAAATGGGATCATCTTCTTCGTTTAACAGTAACATTCCTTGGACCTCAGTTCCCTCCGTAGCCAATAACTGCTTCAGAAAAAGCATTCAAAAACCTTTCTCTATACCTTCTACCCTTCCAAAACTCTTCTTCTTCAACAGGTTTGCTGCTACTAATTCAGCGGCTTCTCAGGACAATGAAGTCATTACTCACGAAGAATCCCAAATTCCCACTAATTACTCTGGACTCAAACTTGAAGAAACTGTTGATGGAAAGACCAAAAAGCTGAGGCTGGATCAATGGGTTTCTTCTCGCATTTTTGATGGCGGTGTTAGCAGAGCCAGAGTTCAGTACAGCATTCGTTCTGGTCTTGTTTCTGTCAATGGCAGAGTCATTACTAAGGTGATTAGCTTGATCTGGCCCCATGCCCGTTAAGTGCTTGTTGAAATTCTCGTAAGAGAAAAATCTGGGCAACCTTTTTTTCTAGTTTGTCGGTTGTTTATTTTTAATTTCCTTGGTTTGATTTTCTTTTTATAGGTTTCTCATATGGTGAGATGCGGAGATAAGGTTAATTGTAAAATAGCAGAGTTGCAGCCATTGAGGGCTGAACCAGAAGATATACCATTGGATATAGTTTATGAAGATGAACACGTATTAGTAGTCAACAAGCCTGCTGATATGGTAGTTCATCCAGCTCCTGGAAATGCTTCCGGAACTCTAGTAAATGGCATTCTGTATCATTGCAGTCTTCCCACCATGGTATCTCTACCGCAACCATCACCTGAAGAGGATGTACTTTCTGAAGAGGACGACGACGAGGAGGTCATAGCCTATCCATCCGAGGCATCTGTTCGTCCTGGAATTGTGCATCGGTTGGACAAAGGTACTAGTGGATTACTGGTTGTTGCAAAAGATGCGCATTCTCACGCTCATTTGGCTGAACAATTCAAGAATCGCACCATCAAGAGAGTGTACGTTAGCCTTACCTGCGGAGTTCCCTCACCTGATTCTGGACGTGTCGAAATCCCAATTGGCCGCGATTTGAACAATCGCATTCGTATGGCTGCCTTCCCACCCAGTGCAAGCGGAAAAGGGAAGACCCGTTACGCTGCTAGTAAGTATAAAACGATTGAAATACTTGCGAATGGCGGTTCTGCATTAGTCGAATGGAGGCTAGAAACAGGGCGCACCCATCAGATTAGGGTTCATGCAAAGTACCTCGGCGTCCCTCTGCTGGGAGATGAACTTTATGGGGGAACTAAGGGCATGGCTACTTCTTCGATTCTGCCTAGGGTTCCAACCAGTTTTCATGGCAGCCTTCAACGATTGATTTCGTCTGTACTGGAAAGGCCTTGCCTCCATGCTTTTTCTCTGGGATTTATTCACCCATACACTCTGGAGAACATGCATTTCTCTAGATTGCCTCCTCCAGATTTTGCTGAAATTTTGAACCAGTTGCGCGAGATTAGCACCATCAAGGTTACTTAGAATTAGAGGAGGGCCTTCAAGTATTCCATAGATAGTTCGATCTGTCAATTTTTCAGCAATGTGCACATATCTTTCGGTTAAACTAAAATTAACGTTTACGTAAGAAGTTAAGAACTCCCATGCTAACTTTGTAAATTCTAGTTTCATTCCATTAACAAGTTTTAATGTCTACTATTTTTGGCTTACATCGTATTAGGATTAGCACAGTTCTAACCAAATGATAACAAATCTTTGATGATCCCGAAAAGTAATGGAAAAGGCGGTAAGTAAGTCAATGTAGTGTGACAAAACTCGAACACAATTATCCGTCCCAATAGCCACATCAATGACCATCCATCATGTTACTTTTGCTAGTGCTACTGATTTCATAATGATCCGGTGAATAATCATTACCACCACCCACCGAATTTCTTCACCAGAGGATACCAGCTCAATGAGGGAGGACAATGTTAATGGAAGAACTACCGAATCATCTACCGCCAAGAAACTTCAAATTGGAGGTGGTGATAACAAAGAAGTTGAATCTTAGAAACACTATATACTGTTTTCCCAGAACAAAAAATATAGTTCATGTAACTGAACTGTATGGCAGAAGACAAGCATTGGAGTCATTGTTGTACTCGATAGATATTCACATATAGGCCTGTACTGTTTTATGTAGTCAACTCCATATTATTTTTGCAAAATTTAAGCAAATGCCAATCTCCTCATATATATTCCTTTTGCATCATGTGTGCGGTATTCTCAAAATGACGTCATTTGTGCTTTTGTAAAACTCCATCTTGTATCAAACAAATGCGTCACCATTGAAGCGTAGCACACCAGCCAGAAGCAATCCTAAATGTAACTGGTACAGAGAAGTAAGTACTCTATCTGCAATCAGCATGGGAAGATTAAGGTCCAAGGCATCATGATTGATGCACTGAAAAGTAAATAAAGGGTGGATGGCAATATGCGAGTTCATGATGGAGGTAATAATGATGGGTGGAACCAAATCAATTCACAATGACGAGAGGCTGATCACATCAGATCAGATTCCCTGATTTTATCACTTATTTTGTGGGAGGAGGTTGAAGATGATAATGGAGGGAGCATAGGATCCCAAAAAGTACCTTTAGCAAAACATTCCATGTTTTCAAGTTCCTAATGATTGCCAAAACCTAAAACAGAACTTTAAAAGTACCCCCTCATGTCCATCAAATTCCTTCAAAAACCACTCCGCCATTTCAACAAACTTGTGACGACTATGAGAAGGGTGCGAGACATTCTCCATCACCTTTTCATCCTATGGCTTCTTCTGCTTGGTGCCTTTCAAATATCCTTTGCTTTCCCTTCCAAGATTGAAGATGCAAAATCAGGTACACATTATGAACTGTTTCTTCTTTTCCTTGCTACATTGTTGATCAAGGCACTGTTCTACAATGGGACGCTGATGTGCTTGCTAAATACCTAAAAGTCATCTGACTGGTTTTGAATGTTCTTCCTCAGTTGAAGTCAACATTGGCTATGCAGAATACAGGTCACGAACTACAACAGGGCACATTACAAGTCACTTAGTACGTAAATTCATCACCTGCTTGCACTCTAGAAACACAACATTACGAATCACCACTGATCATTGTTCTCAAACTACATAATTGCAGGTTAGCGAGAGGAAAACACGTAAAGCACCTTCCGGACCGAACCCTACAGGAAATCATCGTCCACCAACAAGATTATGAAGCAATTATGGTCCTTAGGACAGAATATTTGTTTTCAGTTGCAGAAGTGTTAAGATACATCTCTCGCAACCTAGACAAATGACAATCTTAGGACTTATTGGTTTTGTACAAAATGTGTCTGTATTGGAGAATCAAATCAAGTTAGCTTCCAAAGAGAAGTGAGCATCTAGCATGTCTCAAATCTGATCCCGAGAAAGATAACCATTGTAACTTTACCAACCATACAGTAAAAACCTAAGTTTTAGGCACTAAATGTCATTACATATCACAAACAAAAAGAAACTGGTGATAAATGGTCATGGAAAAAAACAAATTCACTTCTATCGCTAATGAAGAAAGAATGGGTAATAAAGGGTCCAATAAGATGTAAATGCATACAAATCTCGTCTACATGTCCTCTCGCTGTAAAAATGATGTTGCAAGCCTTAAAACATGGAAAAGAAATGTTTACTTTGCTAGCTAAACTACAATTACTTCTTCAATCTGTTAATCAATATTACAGAAAAATCATAGTGCTAGATATGACATTAGTATGTGGTCTATTGAACTAGCTGTTGACCAGCTGCTAACTAACTGGTTTGGTTCAGCTAGACAATTTTTTTCCAGAAAAAATGACCTGCGTGAAAATTGGTCGCTATACACCAAGGTACAGTTGTTCAGATATACAAAAGATTATCATAGCTCACAACTACAAAAATAGATTACAATACCAGGTATTCACACTGTCCGCTTCCGCTTTGATCGCTTACTCCTCCTTGGTCCAGTATAATTAGGGATGGATTTATCACCACTAGAAGCAATAGCCTCCTCCAAAACCTCATCATCCTGTTGTGGATGTTGGATCAATCAAATATGAATACGCAAAAGAAAGACTTTTATTTGGAGAAGTGCAGAAAAATTCAAATTATGTAAAATAAATGCGCTATAGTTCCCCATTTGCATGATTTTCCATGGACTAAGGTAAGTATCAAGAGATTATAAATAACAGCCAGCAACTTCTCAGATGGAAAATTAAAGTTTAGTATAGCAGTTTTTTGATTGCTAAATGGCTAGAAATCACATTATGTGTCAAGAGGAATAAATTTTTCCACCAAGCTAGTTGATTACAACTACGAATCGAATGATTGATGTTTCTAAGAAGCGGGGTCCTGTTAGCCACTGAGTTTAGTCTAAACTATCAATTTGTAACACATGATAAATTGCAAAGCAGAACTATTTGAGTTAAGACTCCACTTCGATGCACGCAGGTTTGAGCCATCATGTAATCGCATTTCTCAGAATTATAAAAAACAATTCCTAGGTTTTCTTTTAGTTTCTTTCCAGTCCCTGTTGTCCTAAAAACAGTTTGTACAAGACAAAATTTTACTAGTGCATGATGCTATCAGGCTTTGTAATATATATATATAAAGGGGTTCACACTTAATACAGTAGCTTTAATGCTTCATTGAGCATCAAAGAAGTAATGTCACATGTTTTTGGGGATACAGAGCAACAATGTCCTCAAATGGATGCCAGCCATCAAAGCAGTGAACCAGTTAACCCGTCCCAGCAGAACCAAAAAGCAATGGTAATTCATCTTAACATATGCAGAGAGTCAAGTAATATTCTATTCATCACGTTAAATACTAGATGTAGAAGGTCTACCTTTGACGTGGACTCTTCATCTGACTCGCCTTCAGAATCAGACACTGTTGCGGATGTCTCAACATCAATTGCAGTAGCCTTGCTTAATTTCTTCTTCTTTTCCTCTTCTTTCAGTTGCCTAAATCTATTAATTTTCCAAAACTTACTTGTCAGTCACAAAGAAAAGTACTGAAGAAGAACAAACACAATTAAAATGAAAGCTTGGTCTATAGCAAACGAACCTTTCACCACTTCGATCTGTTGCCTGTGAAGGAGATCTTTTTGCTCGTCCAGCGGTAATGATGCCATTAGCGTTGTCATTAACAACAGGCTTGGCACCACCTAATTTACGTAACCATACTTGCTGTGCTGTGCTCAGCACATTATTGATGAACCTAATAAATCGACATCACAGTTGGTATAAGCTAATAACGCCAAAATTGGAGTTTGACTGACTATGAAATCAACATTTTAACTCTCAGAATGAAGCTTAAAATGTGTATACTGACGCTCTGAAAATGTGCAATATTTACCAGAAATTTCAGATGGTTCCAGAAACTACTTCTTACAGTGGAAAATAAAACATTTTGGGTGTATTAATCATCTCCCAGATTCTATCAAGGATAAATCAAAAGAAGTTTATGTGTAGGTAAAGACTACTGATCATTCTTTTATCAGTGTGCAGTTAACACAAAGATAGGATAAAGGGAAAAAGAACCAAGTTCATGACCTATCTTTATAGGAACTGATCTGGATTCTCTTACCAGTATATTGTCAACCCTGACGGGACAGACAAGGAGAAGTAACCAATCATGAGAGGAAGGAACTTGAAAACAAGAAGAGTGTTCTTTTGGTTCGGATCATCTGTCTGCAATAAATTTTAAAGAAAGAGAAAAAATTAGACAGGAACAATGGATATACAAGAAACCTGGGAAAAGTTGAACTTTTATTCATACCTGAGGTGGCTTCATTATCTCCATTGAAACATATTGAGAGACAATCAAGAGAACCGGCAGAACGAGATATGCTGCAGTGTCTTGCCAACCGAGTGGAGGATGTCCATCCTGCAATCAGGTAAGACCATTAGGATGCCCATGGTAACTTGAACAAACAAATGCATTGAATATTAGTGAACAGAGAGCTGAAAGGACCATATCATCATAGGAGGAACAAATCTGTTTATGAACAAAGGATACATTTTCAGTGCATAAAAGTAAATTTTAAGTACCACAAATGGAAAGAGCCAAGAAATTCCTGATCCACTTTGTCGAGCAGCGATTGTGGTTGGCCCTCCCAAAGAAGGAATCCAGAAGAAACCCTCAGTCAAAAGTCCCTATGTATAACAATGAGTCAAAACACTACTTTAATCAGTATCTTTCTGTAAATAATGTTCCCAAAATATGACTCGGGAAAAAAGTCCTCTGACCATAACTTTTCAAGCATACCTCATTGGCTACATTTGAAAGAGCTTGATATAAACCTATCCAGACTGGAATCGTGGCAAGGGTTGGCAGACATCCTGTCAACCATTCAAAACATTAAGAATATTATTCCCATAGGTTCAAAAGTACAGATAACAAAAACCAGTAGAAGTATCACTAATGAGACAGCAAACTCTCATAAAATTTCAGTTGGGAAAGGGTAACCATTTGCCATCTTATAGCACAAATAAATACCTGCGAGAGGATTAACTCCTGCCTGTCTGTATAAACGTGCAGTCTCGAGCTGTATTCTTTCCTAAGACAAGATAACATAGAGTTGTTATTTGTGCCAGGCCTTTGCCAGAAGGCAGTTAAAAGTAATGCGAGTTGCATAATGCCTAGTGCACCTCTGTATCAAGAACGCGGTAAGTTCAATTGTTGGGTCAAATAGAAAACGAGCATAATAAGAAATCATTTAGATGATTATAGAGATATTACTTCATCACCACTATTAAAGCTGTTTTTTTCCCCCGCACCCTCACACAGAAGGGTTCTTTCTGGCACCCGGACAGTGCCCTTAATCAGTATAATGGTCCAAAATTGAAAGTCCTTTTTAAAGTCCTGGCATGCTGGACATTATGAATGCTAGTTTAGTCGAACCTTTACAGTTGTTACTTAAATCTATGTATGCCGCTGGGTGGTTTCATGGCTTTGGAACGATTTCCATCATGAAAATAACAAATAATTTCGAGCATCAAGCATTTCGGAATGCTAAAACGACAACGGCATCAAACATTTACCTGGTTCCCCGCATATCGTTCTTGTATAGCTTTGATCTTTGGTTGGAGGTTTTGCATTGCCAATGTTGATTCAACCTTTTCACAACATTATTATCTCTTATGTTAGAAGAATGAAAAGGAAACCAATACCAGTATGATCACAAACATAGACACAAATCATTTATCACAAGACTTTCCCAAATCATCATTTCTTTCTTTCGGTTCAATAAACTCAATCAACTAACCGAGAGCTAAAACAAGGGGATTCTTTAATCTCCACAACTGTATCAAGTTACTCTCACCTGCTGTTTGGTCAGAGGGAACGTGGCGAGTTTCACAATCACAGTAAGCAATATAATGGCAAACCCATAGGAATATGGCACATGTACAGCTGTTAGGCCCTCCTTTAGTATCTGAAAAAAGTAGAAAAAACCTTTCACATGAAAGAAATTTCTGTGGTTTCATATAACTAAAATTCAGATACAGAACAAACCTACTGCACCAAAAATCAAAAACCAAACGCCTTAGTTGCAAATTGTGTAATGAACAAAGCAAATTATCTTCTTTCAATCTATGTCACGATTGATCTACTAAATCCTAAATCAGATGAGCACATAACCACGATTCATGCGGTTGTTCCTTCTCATGCAGTCCAAATGATATAGTTAATCCTAGATATTTGACAAAATAAAAAAAAAAACATGAGTAAACCCAAATTCACACGCCCATCAACAGTGAGCCAAAACATTCAGGGATGAAATAAGAACCTTTAGCACAAATTCCATTCCATCAGAAATGAACCCAAACCAGCCTCCGCTTTTCTGAACGGTAGTAGTGGCCGAGTCAGCAGCAGCCGGGTCAGCAGCCACTGCAGCATCAGCTAAAGTGTAAAGCAAGCTCTCAGCTCTACTTAGAATCGCTCCAAAATCAACGGAGCCGCCCTGAAAATGAGGAGGGAGTTCTTGTAAACTGAATTTAACTCTAGTACTGACGAATCTATTGGGTTTGGGGAGAAAGACATGGCGGTGACACAGTGAAGGAAGTGGGGTCCCTCCAATGAAAGATGAAGCTGGTGGGGATGAAATAAGAGCCTTGGCCATATTTCTGGCTAAGGATGGGAAAATTTTTTAAGGAATTGAATCAAATATGGATATCGAATTAGAGTTGTATCTTTTCTTCTTCCTCCTGAGAATTTGGAGGAGAAGATGGTGTTTGGAATTATGGAGCTTTTAGAGTGCTGCCATGAATGGCCCAAGTTGAGGAGGAAGCTTGGGATGATGATGAGAGGTTCGCAGTGGAGATGAAGTGGATATTTTATTTTTGTTTATTTCATTTTTTTTATACATATGTTTTATCCCGTTTTGTTTCTTTCTTATTTTTTCCTTTGCCATTTTCGGGTTGCAATTTTGCAAATATTTCTTGAAGAATCAAACTTTACAAAAATCAACCCAGATGAATATATATATTGATACATGTCACCTTGCTAGTTTCAATTGTCGTCTTAAAACTATTTGTTCAATGTTTACAAGTAAGGATTAGTCTTTTCGTGTCGAAAATGTTGGTTCACTTTCTAGGCTCTCTTTGGTTCGTTTTATCATTGGTTTTTTTAGAATTTTTTAATTAATAAATGTCACATCCCATCATACCTTTTTACATTCCCATTGCATCTTTTTACATTTCTAATATACATTTTTACATTCCCTATGCAAAAAAACACACTAAAAAAATGATCCAAAAATAACCTTAGTTTTACAAACCAGTAATAGTTCCTCATTTGGTTCATGGTATAGTACTTGATGGGAACTTTTAATCACACTATATTTCTTTTTCCCACAATTTTTTTTTCTTAATAATATGTCCAATAATAGTTCACTTCATACTAAATTATTGACGTGATTATAGTTCATCCTATTGAATGTTTATGACCAAGGATTAATAAGGAGAAATTTGAATGAGCAAATGAAAGTAGTCTTTGAAAACTTTTAAATAAACTCCTAACTTTATCGATTTGGATTTCTCTCCAAATTCACACATTTTAAATGAGTGATTTTGCATAGTTAGAGGCGAATCTAACCATCCAAAACATTCTCCGAACTGTGTTACTATCAAATTCTCGGAACTCAGAAGCAATAGAAAATTTATAATATTCTAGGATATTTTGAACGATTTTAGAGTATCCTATACATAATTAGAGTAATTTAGAGAGTACCGAATACTTTAAAATATTCTAAAAAATATCATGGCGATCAGATCACATTATCTCAGTATTATTTTAATTTTCTAATTTTAACATTTTTCAAAAATTGGTTTCGTATTTTCTAATAATGATTTTAATACTTCATTCACTTTAAAATATTATAACAATTAATTTTGTAGATTATATAGTCCTAATTAAAACATTGTGGAAATTAAACTGAGACTGAAGAAATAATACGCATTTGTGAAAATGAAAAAGAAAAATGCCGTTGGAGACTACGTGTAACATAATCTACCAATGGCCTCCATGGAAAGTCAAATGAGCAGAGCTATTTGCAACGGACCGCCCAAAGAAAGCCCACGAGTTTTAACACGCAAAACTTACACCAAATTTTAAGAAACGCCCAGAATTTTCTCGAATAACCTAATAGGCTAATACCCATAAAATACTAACAATTAGGAAACACGCGGGAAATAAACGGAAACCCAATCCAACGGCCAGGAACTCCCCGCGCTGAACCTTCTGGAAAATACAGAAATGCTTCTTTTCCCTTCTCCTCTGTACTATATATTCCCAAACTCCATCTTCCCCCAAACAACAGTCAATTCTTTGCAACAAGCGTATCTCCAAAGTTTTCTGATTTTCTACTTTTCCGATTTTGAGTTGTTTTTCTTTTGGTTTTTGTTGGGAGAGGTTTCGATCGTATTGATTTGATTGAGGATAATTAATGGCTGGAGGAAAAAGCGAAGGTCCGGCGATCGGAATTGATTTGGGGACCACGTATTCATGTGTTGGGGTTTGGCAACATGACAGGGTTGAGATCATTGCCAATGATCAGGGCAACAGGACGACTCCGTCTTATGTTGCTTTCACTGATACTGAGCGTCTCATTGGTGATGCTGCCAAGAACCAGGTTGCTATGAATCCAACCAACACTGTTTTCGGTATGTTCTTTAATCCCTGCTTCGTTTACTTACATGAGCCTGATTTCCAACTTTTTTTTTTCGAACGAATTTTGCTACTTTTGGATAGTGAGGATTTGTTTCTATGATTGTTTAATTAGCCCTTGGTTAGATGATCTTTGAGAGTTAATTGGGTAATAATAATTTGTTCCTATGCTTTGTTGGATTTCCTGCTTTTCTTTGGATTTTTTTTCTGTTACTTGTGCTGGAACACGGTGGAATCTGTTCGAAGCTTCTCGAACTGCGCCATCAGTATGTTTCTGTTTTCAGTCTGATTTGGTTTTTGAAAATTGTGATGGCGAGAGTCTGATTTTCCTGTTTGTGGGGTGTGATCAAGCGGTTTGAGAAATTCTATTGAAAATCTAAAGTTTAAACTGGACAGATAGTGAAAACTTGAGTTTTAATCTTGGATGTTAGGTGTTTCTTTGGAGTTAATCGGATCATATTGTTAAAAGTTCTATGTTTCTAACATGGTTTTTGTTTTCTGGTGAATTGCAGATGCTAAGCGTTTGATTGGAAGGAGATTCAGTGACCCATCCGTGCAGGCTGACATGAAGCTATGGCCCTTCAAGGTCATAGCTGGCCCTGGAGACAAACCAATGATCGTAGTCACCCACAAAGGCGAGGAAAAGCAGTTCGCTGCTGAGGAAATCTCATCAATGGTTCTCATAAAGATGAGGGAAATTGCGGAAGCCTATCTGGGGACAACAGTCAAGGACGCAGTGGTTACTGTCCCTGCTTACTTTAATGATTCGCAGCGCCAGGCGACCAAGGATGCTGGTGTAATTGCTGGCCTGAATGTGATGAGGATCATCAATGAGCCAACGGCCGCTGCCATTGCTTACGGGCTAGATAAGAAAGCCAGCAGCGCTGGAGAGAAGAATGTTTTGATTTTTGATTTGGGTGGTGGAACTTTTGATGTTTCACTTCTGACAATTGAGGAAGGAATCTTCGAAGTCAAGGCCACAGCTGGGGATACTCACTTGGGAGGAGAAGATTTTGATAACAGGATGGTGAATCATTTCGTGCAGGAGTTTAAGAGGAAGCACAAGAAGGATATTAGCGGGAATCCAAGAGCTTTGAGGAGATTGAGAACTGCTTGTGAAAGGGCAAAGAGGACACTGTCTTCAACGGCTCAAACTACAATTGAGATCGATTCCTTGTTTGAAGGAATTGATTTCTACACCACAATCACTCGGGCTAGGTTTGAAGAACTCAACATGGATTTGTTCAGAAAGTGTATGGATCCAGTTGAAAAGTGTTTGAGGGATGCAAAGATGGATAAGAGCAGTGTGCACGATGTTGTACTTGTTGGAGGCTCAACGAGGATTCCTAAAGTTCAGCAATTGTTGCAGGACTTCTTCAATGGCAAGGAGCTGTGCAAAAGTATCAACCCTGATGAAGCTGTTGCCTATGGGGCTGCTGTACAGGCTGCAATTTTGGGTGGTGAAAAGAACGAGAAAGTGCAGGACATACTGCTGTTGGACGTTACTCCCTTGTCCCTTGGTTTGGAAACAGCTGGTGGAGTCATGACTGTTTTAATTCCCAGGAACACAACGATACCCACCAAGAAAGAGCAAGTTTTCTCTACCTACTCAGATAACCAACCTGGAGTCTTGATCCAGGTCTATGAAGGTGAGAGAGCCAGGACTAAAGACAACAACTTGCTAGGGAAGTTCGAATTGAGTGGAATCCCACCTGCACCTCGTGGTGTCCCTCAGATCAACGTCTGTTTTGACATTGATGCCAATGGAATCCTCAATGTATCTGCTGAGGATAAAACCACAGGTCAAAAGAACAAGATCACAATCACCAATGACAAGGGCAGGCTATCAAAGGAAGAGATCGAGAGGATGGTGCAAGAGGCAGAGAAATACAGATCAGAGGACGAAGAGCACAAGAAGAAGGTGGATGCCAAGAATGCCTTGGAGAATTATGCTTACAACATGAGGAACACAATCAAAGATGAGAAAATTAGTGCTAAACTTGCACCTGCTGATAAAAAGAAGATTGAGGATGCTGTGGAAGAGGCTATCAAGTGGCTTGATGGTAATCAGCTTGCTGAGGCTGATGAATTCGAGGACAGGATGAAGGAGTTGGAATCCCTGTGTAATCCCATCATAGCTAAGATGTATCAGGGTGGTGCCGATGGTGGCATGGGCGGAGCTATGGATGAAGATGGTCCAACTCCTGGTGCTGGACCTAAGATTGAGGAGGTTGATTAGATCAGGAAATTGATGTAGATGGATTCTGTTTTTTTGTATGATGCCGTGTTCTTTTTCTTCTTCAAGATTCTTGTAATTTGGAGAAATTTGCTCTAAGTAGTTGTCATAATTGAAAATATTTTTCTTCTGATACTCGCATTGGCTCTTCGAATTGGACGCTTTCTTTTTACTGCCTTTTAGTTTAGAAGGGTTCTAGCTAGGGGGTAGCTAAAACCACGATGAATTTCACAAAAATCATTATTTAACTGTCAACAGTCAGAAATCTCAAAATCCAAATCTATTTATTGGTAACATATTAAATTCTTCTACACACTTGACAACTGCATATTTCAATATAATCATAGAGATAGAAGTAGAGAAACTTCATCATGTCCAATATCATTAAACTAGAAAGAGAACCACATCACTGATAAAATCTCCATTCCACAATTAAGCAAATACACTTGAGTGTGGCGAAATTTAAATGCCCAATTTTAACTGAAAATGTATATAAATTCTGTACAGAATATGCCAATTACTCGGCCAAAAATTCAACACTAGTTCTATTTTAGCTAGACGAAGCTAAGTTGCTTTCCTTATAAACAAACTTTTAGGTTGAAACAGTCAAAATTATGTATATCCAGTCCCGCTTCAAACTAAATACTGCTGAAAAGTATGCAGCTCCTACAAACCTGACAGATAAGATATGGGAAACATTGGAGTTAGTATCATTTTTAGTCTTCAAAAAATGTGCTATTGATTCTGCTTTTAGTCATAACAAGATGCTTCAACCAAGTAGATGTTAACATCTGGAAAACTAAGTACCTTACGAATTCAGTTGAGCGTACAATACCATCCAGTAGCTGTAACTAGAGGTTAACCCCAAGCCATGGAAGAAGCATAATTCACCACCAATTTACCATCAAAACCAAAATTCTGCATTATTGGAATTCCAGCAACAAATTATGCTACAAGTCAACAGTATTAACTGTATTCAAACGCGAGGGCTATAACTAAATCTGCACCTAAATAGCCAATAATTCAGGCCAAATTCAGGATGCTCACAAAGTCCCAAATAGCACAAAATAACGCAGAAAATTCCAGTAGTCCTTCACTTGACATTCTCAAAAGTGCGAAGAAGAAAAAAAATTGTCACAAGAGACCAATGTTTACAGCAATGTTTGAAAGGATGAACAAAGGCAGGAATGAAGAAAGCAAAACAAATAAGTATACACACTAACCTTGTAAAGGTCAATAACCAACTCATCCGCATTAGGTGAGAAGGCACTGTTAACATACACAAACTGAGGCAAGAAAATAGAATTAGTATTAGTACTGTGAGTGACTATGTTCTCACGACAAGCACAGATTGAGTCCAATAAAAACCAGAAGAGAAACACGATACCAGTGTCTCCCTACGAAGCTGGCGGCGCAAGAAATCAATCACTTTCACAAATTTGTCAGAACCATCAATCTGCAAATGAGGTGGGCAAAATTACATCAAACTTTTTTCCCATGAAAATCGAGATTCCAGGTTATCAATTAAAAGGCAAACATTTATTCTTCTACATTTTCATACAATGTAAAAATTAAAATTCTTCTGAACTGCAAGGAATTGTGAAAATATTCATCAAGAACTTCATTCATAACCAATTCAATCTTACTATGAATTGCAGACCAAACTTCTACTTCAATAACTTTTAGATCATCTAGTACTCATGAAATGTTCTCTAACACTGCTAAATAATTAGCACTAGCCAAACACTTGAATACATAAAAGTCATCTCTCAACTTTGCAAGATAGAACTGTGGAATTACAAAACCAGCACGACACGCAGATAAAACAAAACTTTGGATCATAGATCAGAAGACAATTATAGAAAACTGAGAACCAGTAACTACATATATTGCTGCCAATGATAATGCTCATTTTATCATCAAATAACAGTCATTAAAATGAATAGCAAGGAAAATGCTGGGTGGCAATCATTCCAAGTGTGCGAGTAGTGGCAGTAGCACATAACGTGGAAATGAAAAATCCTGGGACCAAAAGTTCACACTCCCTAGACTTATGTAACTAATATGAACAAGGTAGAGACATTGGAAGAACTGGAATCAAAGAAACAAACCTCAGAATATTGATCAACTTTTAATTCACCGCCTATCCTATAATGTTTCTAGTTTGTGGGTTTAGGCTTCTCTGCAAAACCGTGTTTAAGGAAGAAGCATTCAGGATACGTGAACTAAATTTTTTCTTCAAACAGCAGCCAAACCAAACAACAACCTCAAATTACTAGCATAGGTTACAAAGATTCTCCTCGAGCAAAGAATAAGGGAAAAGTCCAATATTTGATTTAAGGAAGTAATTTAAAGGCTAAATATAAGCTACAGATAAACAATGATTATAATTGGAGCCAAGTCTTAAAATACAAGAGCACATAAACAAGGCATAACAAAAACACTCTAATAAGACCATTTTAGTCCTAGTCAATTTATCATCCACGAAGCATTTCTTTCATTATTAGAATCTTGATCCAATACCTCCCATTCGGCAGTTCAAGCAATATGAAACAACTCCTCCAATAACGTTTTACCATTTACTATCTTTCTATGTTTACACTTTACACCTATGCATATCAGAGTGTCTAAACATTAACTACAGGTTGAAGAATAAACACATTCAAAAGTTCAATTGTTGATATTAAGTGATAATGCAGATCGGAGATTTTCTTCAATTTTAATTTCGAGATTTGATAAACGAAAACAAGGTTTATAGCATCAGCATGCTTGCCCAAAACACACAATGAAAACAAAAATAAAGGAGGACCTTGAATTTGGACAGCTTGAGGATCGGTGCGTCTCCAGTTGCCCTAAGATAAATCACAACTGCATACCATGAAAATCAACAAGAAAGAACGAAAAATTAGAGAATAAGAAATGGCAAAATCAATCACGGGCATCAATGTATTCTAAAAAAAGACAGCGAAATCGAAAGCGCAAACTTCACCTTTAGGAACTTCCGAAGCCATAGAATTAAGAAGAAACACAGAAACACAAACTTGAGTCAGGATCGGAGGAGGACTGGAGGGAACGTCGTGGAAGAGGAAGTAGAAAAAGAGTAGAGGAATCCGGTCACCAATCGACTAAAGTCGTCCCGACTTCTGTTTTGTTTCTAAAGTCGACGATTAATACCGACGACTTCTGTTTTTGTTTATCTTTTATTACTCCTACTATTATTTTTTTTTCCCCCAATATCTCTTCGTTTTTTACGTTTTTCAAGACGTGAACCAAAACACGATTTTAGTCTTGTTTTTTTTTTAAAAAAATAAAAATTATTACGAGTATTTTTTTCCCCGTCGACGAGACGACTTCTATGTTGTTTTTTGATACCTGTGTTTCTTTTTCTTTTTCTTTTTTTTTTGTTTTCTTTTTTAGAATTTGGGTAATATAAGAACCGTTTATAATCAGTAGCAAAAATTCTATTTATTTTTTTTTTCTGCATTATCTTTGTGTTAGTATTTTCTTTTCTTTCTGTTAATTGAGCAATAAGAATCGATAACAATACATTAATTCAAGAAAGCACTCTTATTTACAATTTATTTACGAATGCATTTTAATCTTTATCTATAATGTTAAAACTTTGAGCAAATAAAAATCTTCAAATTAAAGCACAAACTAAATATAACAATATAGCTTGTTCAATTGTAATTTGATAGAAACATATAACAGTGTATTAGAGATAATAACTTATATTGAAGCGCACTCAGGACATTATCTAATTTCGAATGACATGAATTATTTTGATTGATATTTTTTTTTTTTTAAAAAAGTTCTAAATGTAATATTCCTTAATACTTTCAAGTTTCAAGACGGCCCCTAACTAATGTATATTTCGGATGTAATTTTCATCTCTATTGTTCTTGAAACATCCTTAAATTTTTTTATTTTTTTCCATTTGTTTCAAATTAATCATATTAATCAATTCATGCAATATCCTCCCCCAATGTTTCATGGTTGCTAATCTTTCCCAAACATTTGCTAACACTCTTTCCGATATTAGGTAAAGGCCGAAATCTCAATAGTAATGATCGTAATTAAGAGAGTGAAAATTGTCATTTAATGTGAATGCAGTAAGCACCAGATATAAATAGTGAGTTATTTGGTACTGTTGTTACTATAATGGAGCAAGGAGAATTGGTTACTAACTTGCTGCAGATCTTAGGACTAAGGTTGTTAGTTACAAATTTATCTGTTACACTCACCAACCAGAAAATTCTTGTTTTGTGATCAGAACCTCGTCTTCGGCAAATACAGCGTTCAAATCTCGGTGGCTGCAAAGTGCAAAACCGAAGAAACTGAGAATAAAATGTTCAAATTAGGTAGCAGCAAACCAGAGAGTCAAACACAAATGTGATTCTGCAAAAGAAATTTGAATTCTTCCATCATTTGCAAACAGAACATTTAGATGCTAAGACGAGAATGGACAATATAGAAAAAGGCCTCCTTCCTGTCTTTTGATTCAACCGTTTGCATTTACTATTATACTCCTTTTCTTTAAGTCCATATAAAAAAAAAAAAATTCTGATAACCATTTATAATGTTAAGTACATGCTGATTCCAGAAAATTTGTAAGTAAAGAGAAAACTAAAAAACAACAGTGAGGTTCAAGAATTCTGATCACTGAACCTATGCAGACTACGCCTATTCCAACATCCCAAAGGACAAACCCAATAATAACAATTGGTTTCAAGCAAAGTTAAAACTAGCTATCTTTTCAGTTGAGCAGGAAGCTTCCTTGCTTTCTTTCCATACAGATTTCAGACATGGAAAAGGGAAGCTTTCCCTGGTAGCCCTCATTATTGTGTATATAACCATCACGAGAGACCAAATTCATTGGGGGGACGAAGACAAACTGGAACCTCGTGTTCTTCCGGGCCAGACCGATGTTTCGGCACTTTAATCTCAAGGACAGTTCCACTTTTGTCGAAATATGCTTCCAGCTTAGCATCATCAGGGATTCGGGTCGGAAGTGGTATTTCCCTCTTGAATTCTCCAGGAGGGCAGTGCTCAGGGAAAGGATCTGTCAGCTTAAATGTTCTGTCGTGCCTTTGAATATATGGTATACAAGCTGTACTAATGGAAGATATCTTTACAATGCCATGAGTCAGATTGTTCCACCAATGAACTTTTACTCTTTCAGGATCCGCAAAAGGTAAAGTGATGATTATCAAGTATCCTTCTTCATCCTCATAAATGGTCTTTGCAGCTGTGACAGGCCCACAAACATTCCTCATTACCCCGGTGAACTCGCTCATCCAAGGTGGTTCAACAGGGTGGATGTCTGCATCTTGATGTCGATCCAAACTACAATCTTCATCGGCTCCTCCGTTCAAAAAAAGGTCTTTCCTTTTCTTACTGCAAGCTGATGATGACAGATCTATGCTTATTCCATTGCCATTAACGTGATTTGACGATGGCTGAGTGGATAGATTCAAACCAGAACCATTAAGCAACTTTTTCGTAGAAGGCTGTGGGTTAGGAACACTCTTTATCGATGGAATCGGTCTTTCTAGCTCAAAATCTGTGCTGGGAAGGTTCCTCCATGAACTGAAATCTTTCGCTTCAGGAGGAACAGAAAATTTCAAGTCTCGACCAGTCAATTCCATCCACTTCTTCTGATCTTCTTCATCTATACCCATAAGATTAGGAGAAGGAACCAGCTCAATACCGTGCACACACTGTGGGTTAGACAGGCCCCGGTAATGTTTTCGCTGCATTCTATGCGACCTCACAAAACCCTTTTCAACACTGAATGGAAATGGCCTCTCACCCTGGCGAGAGTGTCCATTCATGTAACTCCTCAATTGCATCTTACCAAGCGCGTTTTCAGGCCTCTCCTTAAACACCCACATATACATATTTTCCATATCGTGCTGAACTAGAAAGACTTCTTGCTGAAGATCCGACTTATCAAATCCAGTATAAACCCCACTACTACTATCCCTCACTATGTTACACTTGGATTTCTCCTTCAAAACAGGCTTGAAGTAGAAACTGAAGAAAAACCAAGCACCCCAAACACTGTCCAACCTCTTGGCACATTTTCGACCAAGTTTTGGAATATCAACAATAACCTTATCCGATTCATTACTGACTTGGTGCCCTAAACCAACCTCCAGCAACTCAAAAGGATCATTCCATGGTTGCGGTGGAGGACTACGCTCCGCAGACAAGGGAAGATTAATATCAGGTGGCTGCAGAACAATCTGCCTATTCATATCTCTGTCTGATGACTCGTTATTGCTATGCGAGTTGGCAATTGAAGAATCCATGGACAAGAATGTCGATGGGTGATAACTCTCCATGCTTAAGCTAGCCAATAAGTCATCTCCTCCCATGTCTCTTACAAAAATACACTGTAAAATCTTCAATAACGGGTTCTTCTATTCTGTACTGTACCCTAGAAAATTGTATCTGACAATCTAAGTATTGAAGAGAATTTTCCACAGCATAATCCCCACTTATACACAGAAGAAACCCAATCACAAATGCAACATAACTTATCCTCAAAATCACCAAACTAAACTATGGGTTTCAATCAAATCTTCAATTCAAAGCTTGTGACTGATAAAGTTCATAACTTTGCAACTGCTAACCTCAAAACATAAGCTAACTGTACAATTTATGAACTGGACGAAAGGGCCAACAAAAAATAATTGAAAAATAGCGAATTTTAAACGAAAATCAGGAGCTATATAAAAGAGACTAATAAAAGCAAATAGGTGATCTCCAGAGGATTATTACCTTTTGAAGATTAGCTAAGAATCCATAAAAAGAAATTGTGAGGAAGATCTTCACAGGAAAAATTCTCTCCAATCATCCAGACCAAAATAGAGACAAAGGAAAAAAAGGAGTATTGGAGATCGAGAGGGGAGAGTTGACGGTGACGGCAGCGGGGTTCCGTCAACAAAGCCGTCTATCTCACAACCAGACGGGTATTTTTAGGTGTGTTATTAATTATTGGATATTAAAGACGAATATTGAAGATTATTTTTCAGATTTCTTGGTAGGCTACAATTCTCTGAATTTAAGCCTGGTTTTAATATGACATTTAAGACCCCAAAAATAAAAAAATTAAGTTATGCATTGATTTTTTGGAATTTTACTCCTATATTTATAAATTGTAATACAAAAATTGTAATTACGAAATATGACTATTATATTTTCATTGAGGTTAATATGTTTTAATGCCAAAAAAAGAAACAGTAGCCATAAAAGTGTAATGTTTTTTCCGGTCCATGTGGCTGTGGAGAATTCTAAATTATAAGGGGGAAATCTAAATAAAACAAAACAATAATATAGCAGAAGGGAGGATGACGGCGTCTGTTTTTATGTAAGAGGTCACATGTAGCAGGCTGGGAGTTGATAAGCCCAGATTCTAAAAGTTAATGCTCCAACTTAAAATGGGCTTAGATACATGAGCCTTATCCTACAAAGTTAGAACTCCATCACTTTACTTCTGAGAGCAGAATCCTAGTCCACAACCCTCCTTGCTTTCTTGTTATTACTCCCTCCGTCCCATAATTATTGTCCAGTTTTACTAAAATGAAAGATTTTATTTTTGGTCAAACTTAATTATATTTTAACTTAAACAACTGGATATGCCCCTACATAAGTAATTGTTTAACCACTAAGATTTTATGGATAATGTTTTTTACTAAGGACAAATGTGTAACTTGATCCATAAAAAGTCAAATTGGACAATAATTTTGGGACAAAATTTTTTGGACAAAGTGAACAATAATTATGGAACAGAGGGAGTATTATTTTTTTAATAATTCTTCTTTTTCTTCTTCTTTTTTATAATTCGTATATTCTTGTTTGTATGTAGCTTCAGGGTTTAATAGATTTTTTTAAATATATACGTCTTTTTCACAAAACGAAGTATATTTGAATACTTTTTTACTAACATTACCTTTGCATTGGAAATAAAACCATGTTTATAACAAAGTTTTATTGGTTTATGATGAGTTGTATGGACAATAAATAAGAATAATTTTTGTATTTTAGCTATATTAATTAATATTTATTTGATTTTGATTAATTGTATATAAAGATATATATATATATATATATTTCAGAATGGAATGAGTATAATTTCATAATCTGTGTACGGATTACTAAAATTAGAGGACCCAAAAAATATAAAATGTGATAAATTTAGAAGAATTTACAACTGGGATCAATATAGATATACTGGAATCAATTAGTAACTTTAAACAAAATAGACAGTTGGAATTAAATGGTGAAAATAAAAGTGAAGGCACGCAACATAAATACAAGTAGTAGTATTAGCTGTCATTTGAATTTAAACTCTACCGGCAATTAAGCCATTTTTATCAGGGAAACTGATTATAATTAATCTTACAGTCTGGAATTAAACACGTATTCGATCGCAGCAAAACTAGAGATTATGATGGCGTCAAAAAACCCTATGGTAGTGGACACAAAGTCATCTTCTTCATCCAAATTAGATTAAAACCAATAACGTCAAAAAAAAAAAAAGAAAAAAAAAACCAATAATGTCAAAATCTTTGAGATTTTAATTTGATTGTGAACAATCTGAAATACGAATCGAGTACAATTCTATTACTGAACAATATCTTATTTCCATCTTATCTAGTGCGAAACTGAAGATGCATTTGTAGAAATTAACCTCAAAGGCTCAAACAACAAGAATATACACACACATATGTGCAAATCAGTGACAAAACGAGAATTTTCAAATCGCGGAGTCGAAAATAGGATTATTCAATCGTAATTAAAGGATCGAACTGAAAAAATTTTAAATAACGGATACCTTACTAAAAAAAATTTGGCCAAATCCGACCGGCCGGGGGTCGATTGAACACCCTGACCCTCCTTGAATCCGTCACAAACATCAGTACTTGCCCTCATGAAGCAATTACATTATGCAAGATAATCAAGGAAATTAAATCATCAGTATATTGAGAATGCATTTTTATCAGTTTTTAGTGATGAGAGATAAACATGCAGTCAAATTATTTCATGACAGCTGGTACAAGCATCGGCCTCAAATGAAATCGAGGCGCTTTGTAAATTTTCCAAGTCTCAACGATACAATAATCCCAATAAGGTGTATCTTTAATTAATGACTACTAATTGATTTAAGTTCAAACAACAGATTTATTTTGAAAACAAAAAAGAAGAGATGGAGATCAATTATGAGATGTACAAAGGAATGATTTCTTAAATTACCAAGACAAACAGCAAACAAACAATGCATGCATGGCAATTCGTGATTTTGTTATCCTAATTTCGCAACAACAAAGTAGTAATTAAACCCAGCAGCTGGATCAGCTGCCAACTGGACCTGACCAATGAAACCAAATGAGTAACTCAAAATTAAGCCTCAAAGTAATTAAATCCCTAGAGAAAGAGAAATTAAAATTGACCATGAAAATTACTGTCCAGCCTGCGCTACTGCTTTTTTGCTTTGGCTACATCTCCTAATTTTTACTCATCAATTCCCAAAGCCATTCAGATCATAGACTCAGAATCTAAATCTTACACCCCTATAGGTCTAAAACCCTAGGATTGAATTCTTACGAGAAGGGTTTCATGTCTTTTTTCTCATCATCTGATCATTTCCCCAAACTGCCCCAACTCCTTTCCTCTCATGGCATTTCCTACGATCAGTCACCATCTATCATTCCCGAGACATGACTGTTGTATTACTCGTATAGGGGTTTTAGTGTCAATTCACTTGCCATGCTGGCAAGCAGCCTAGCCGCCATGTTTTTCAGTGTTTTTTCAGCACCAAAAACAATACGCATGTCAATGAAAATCTAATGCCTATCATCTCTCTCTCGAGTTTTTTGTTGTTGTTGTTGTTGTTGTTTGACTCTCAAAATCGATCCAAGTAACTCTCAGTTCATTTATTTTAACGTTTGAGAGAGACTTTGAGTTAACTCTCTTTCTTGGTATCATATTCATACACTGTTTATATAAATAGGGTTCGTGAGAGCAGAAGAAAAACCATGCAGAAAACAAACTCTTCAAACCTTTCAGAAAAACAATAAGCCCCTAATCATACATTTCTGACTTAAGGGTTGTTTCTCTCTTGTGTTGGTTTTAGGGGAAATTCTGTTTGTAAAAATAAAGGAGGGAAGTCAAGAGAATCTGGAGATGTCGATTTCTGGAGGAGGAGGTGCCGGCCAAATGAGTGTTTCCAGATGGCTTCCGACAAAAGAGCAAATAGAAATGCTAGAGAATTTGTATAAGCAAGGATTAAAAACTCCACGTGCTGAAGAAATAGACCAGATTACCAATAGGCTAAGGAAATTTGGTCACGTTGAGGGAAAGAATGTGTTTTATTGGTTCCAGAATCACAAAGCTAGGCAAAGGCAGAAGCAAAGGGTTGATCATCATCATCAGCAGCATCATCATCATGTTTCCTATGCCAATCCTTTGCTTCCCAAGGCGTCTTCTTCTTCCTCTGCTAGTTGCCAACCTTTTACCAATGGTTAGTTTCTTTGTTTAGCCCTCCTCCATTATTAGTCAAATATAATAGCACTGATTTTATTAACAAGGAAAATGGTTGTAATTGTAATTTTTTAGTCACATTCTAACTAAATTTTCATAATGATCCATTTATAAATGGTTACATTTTTTTTTATTTATTTTTTTTGGTTTATTGCAGTTATATGCAACCCATTTTATCCCCCAAACCCAGAAATGGGAATGTGTCAGCCGCCGCCACAACATCAACCAAAGATGCTTTTGCCAAGAACAACCCTCAAGAGAAAACCAGAAGAAGTACCATTGATGATGAGGACCAATGTTATTAATAATAATAAGCCTGATTGTGGATTTAAGCCATTTATTATTGATTTCCAGCCAAATCTGCCGACTCAGAAACCCAATTTGCAGTACCAAATCACCAGCAAATTCAGCAGCACTAATGATCAAGAAGAAAACTGCATGATGAATAATCTCATTAGCCAAACAAACAAGGCGCCTGATTATGATCATGTCGATAACAAGGAGACTTTGGAGCTATTCCCAACTCATCCTTGTGGGAATTTATTACAACCTACATCATCAGCAGCAAATGCTGCTCTGGAGATCAATGCTGCTGCTTTTTCTAGTCCAGGCCCTTTAATCAACAAATGTTCTGTTGATCAATATCATCATCAGATTCTGGGGGTTTCAGAAGATCGTGCTAATTTCTTCGAGTTCCTACGTGGAAATGGCTCTTTTGGTCATTGTGACAGTTCAATTTAGCTCCTGATTTTGGCCTTTGGGGGGTTTTACTTGATGTTTTGGGATGATTAAGGGTTTGTTTTTGTTTTTCTGAATGACATATTTTGTTATATTCAGGAAAAAAAAAAAGAAAAAAATCCTTGGCTGAAATTTTATTCTCTTTTCTCCTTGGGATCATATTATTTGTGAAACATTAGTTTATATCAGTGGAATTTCAACTGCGACAACTTTTCTTTTTTGTTCTATTTGTACATACATGAAAGTGGAGTAATTAATGGTCCACCACTAAGATGTAAAAATTATTCCGGTCCGGCCAGTTTGGGTTCAGGCAGGCATACGACAAACGTGCATGGCTGAAGTGGTGATGTTTGTTATTTTGCATATGTTTTTTAAGCAGCTTGGACTGATATTTGACTGTTGACCTGAAAAAAGCGACATCAAACTTATCTAATTAACTTGAAAAGGCTTGATTAACTCATCAAACTTATCTAATTAACTTGAAAAGGTTTGATTAACTCATCATATGTGTATGTGTATGTATTGTTCAACTACTACTTTCGATAATGCTTTCTGACATACATAATCCAACATATGTAACAAGTACCGCACAAATGCAAAGGCGGCAATTGACTACTTGGAACGGTAGGTGACACTTTTCTAACGTTAGGAAAAATGGCATTCAAATGATTTCCTATTTGCAACTTGCTATAATAAACATTAAATTTGCTCCTTATCAATGGTAGGTTGGCCATTCCGATGGTGGACGACATACACAATAAACGAAGTGTTGAACTTCAATATGGTATTTTACCAGAAAAAAAAAATCTAATATGATATTTATAAGGCCATGTTTGAATTGTTGGTGTATGAAGACATATTCAGATATATAATACCTGCTTCATGTACCATTAGAATTATCATTATGACTATGAATTGTACCTGAATTTCGACCAAACTGTTAAAATTTGGTTGAAATTTTATGATGAACGATGATAAGATAGAGTCGGTGCTTTGGTAGTAATGGACAATGGAGAAAAGTTAAAAACATACGTTGGGTTCAAGACATCAAATTACATGTTGACAATAATAGAACAATCAAAAATACTTAGTTGGGAGTTGGGTCTTAAACAGTTGATACTGAAGTTAACAACATGACATAATACTCTAAGGATGAATTAATGATCATGAATTGGATTATTAATTAAGCTGGATCATAGCCGGTTGTAAAATAAACTTCATAGTGAAGATTGACCAGACTAAAAAAATTGTCACGTAAAGAAAAACTCTGATCATGCCTTGATATAATTTACATTGCGCGCTAACAAAACGTAATCCTGGAAATAAGAACATCTAGCTATCTCCCATATCTACAAAAACATATTTTGAACGTAACAAACAAAACAAACTCATAGTAAAATCATTCATCACATAATGAAATGATATCAGATTAGAGAATTGTATGCGACACTTTTGACTGACATCGACTACTAACCATCACCAAATGAAAAAGAAAAAAAAAAAAATCTCGAATGAATTAGAGCTGACGTTAGGTCAATTCTCAAAATTTTCAATCAAATGCAGTATGTAATTTGAATGAATGGGGGCACAGGGCACTAGTGTAGGTTTATGGTCATGAAAATTGTCAGGCCTCTCTCTGAGAAGGTTTGAGTTCATTTCTTTTCAGAGAAAAGGGCTATTGGTCCTACTAACGCGGCCCATTCGAATTGCCACAATGGAAACAGACTTCATGATTTTAGTACAAGCAGCCGCACTTTTGTCTCAGACCAAGTTTTTTTTCCCCTTCCGTTTCTGTGTAAAATATTACAAACATAGCACGAACATTGTGAAAAAATTAGAATGTGTATAGAAATACAAACATATTATAGTTTTAAAACAAATAGTGCGGTCTGGATCAGTTCGAGTGAATCGTGAAGATGCAGATGACCAGCGATACATAGTCCTTGAAAGTTAAATGCCAAATTCAAAATCAAAAGTCACTTAAATCTTTGGGGTAAAAAAAAAAAAAACCCAAAAATCAAATTCACTTATTCCCCTATCCAAAAAACCTAATTAAGGGGGAAAAAAAAAAGAAAAGGAAAAGAAAAGAAAGTGGAATGTCACTAATCATGGGATTCAGGGTCAAACTTGTCTTGGTTGATAATGTCAAAATGACAACTGTAAATCTTAGAAATCTGCTGCATAATGTAACCAACATTACTCCACCTTTTTTTTTTGTTAACCAAAGATAGATAAAATATGAATGTCTAACTTTATTGAATAAATAAAAACTAAAAATAAAGAGATACATAACCACAAAAGTGAATCTTACCATCCAAATTTTATTAAATACTCCCTCCGTCCCATAATTATTGTCCAATTTTACTAAATAAAATATTTTATTTTTGGTCAAACTTAACTATAGTTTACCTTAAACAACCGGATATACCCTTACATAAGTAATTGTTTAACCACTAAGATTTTATGCATAATGTCAAATTAGACAATAATTTTGGGACAAAATTTTTTGGGCAAAATGGACAATAATTATGGGACGGAGGGAGTAATAAAAAAGAATAGAGATTATGTAGATGTTATCATATAGATAGGAAATCCTCTACAAATTTATTTACAGTGGGAATAAATCAGCATTTTTTTTTTTGAAAAAGAATAAATCAGAATTTAGAAGCAGTAGACATACATAACGGACTGTCACGTATATATGCCATTTTTCACCCCACATAAATAGCTGTCATTGCGCCATATGCTATTTTTAAATCCATTAATTTCTGTATATTTGATGATAACAAAAAACGAACGACCAACCATTTTTTCTTTTAAATCCTACCATATTTATTTTCCCTTCAATTATTATTATTATTATTATTAAACTAATTTACTAAAATCTTTGTCCTATTGCCCATGTGAGGTATCCACAGAAGATGTGACCTCTCAAACCATTATAAACACAAATACGCATCACCCTTCCAAATGTTTTGCCTCAATATCCCCGATTTATATGGTTTAATTGATTCTTTAACCCTTTTTATTTATTCCAGATTCGTAAAATTTTCTTTCCCTGATCTACACTTTACATTTCTCCTGCAGGCTTTCCTTTCTAAAATCATTTTGTTCTGGTAAGTGGTTGATTTATAAAAATTTTATCCTGAAATTCTGATTCTGGAGTATCACTTTTGTCGAATTTTCCAATTTTTAATAATTTTTTTGGCGTCTTTTTTCTTCTCTTTTACGTGGCTTTGAGGCAATACTGCCACAAGTGCAAATAAAAGATTAAAATTTTTTTGATTTCCTTTCCTCGCGACTAGTCCTCTGTCTTCTAAACAAATCACGACCTTTCTCTTTCTATTCCTCTTCATCTCTTTGTTCTGAACTTTGTAGGATAGCGCATCCATTTTTGGCTCTTAATCTAGTAGCTTTTTATGCCCAAAGACAGCAACTTTCCACTAATTTGAGACATTATTCTCTCTGGGTTCTTCGTAATTTTCACTCTGGTTCTATGTTTTGGGGATGATTTGAAAAGAGTTTTTTTTTTTATTTTTTTACCACTATGTGATAGTGTCTGAACTTCAAATTGGAAATTTGTTTTGGTCAATTCGGAGATAGTTTTGTTTAAGTTGAGAGAAAAACTAAAAAAGATGGTATCTTTCAGTGGTTTGGCAATTGCTTTAAGCTTTCTGTTTGGTTGCATCTTCTTGGGTATTGTTGCGGAGGTCTACTACTTGTTATGGTATAAGAAGAGAATCAGCAACCGCCATCATCAAAACAAAGAGATTATGGACAATATTAGCAATGAGATTTCTTATCTCTTTTGTTGGAAAAGGCCAAATTCAATCAATAGCAGCAATAGTAGCACCCAAGAACTCACCGCCTCAGGGAGGAAAAACAACAACCATGATGTTGAAGAATCAGAGAATGACCTTGAATTAGGAGGTGGACTCAAAGCCCATCAATTTGGTGAGGAAAGTGTAGAATCAGAGCTCATGAAACTGCACAACCTCTGTGGCGGTGGCCCACCGAGATTTCTGTTCACAATTAAGGAAGAAACGAAGGAGGATTTGGAGTCTGAAGATGGTAAATCCAGGGCAAGCAGAAAGGGTTCAAGAACCAGAAGTTTAAGTGATATTCTTATCTCAATTGATACCCCTTTTCTTACTCCTTTGGCTTCACCCCCATTAAAGCCAACCCATCAATCGCTGGACATTTATAATCCTCTGTTTGAGACTTCAGCCTTACTGGCTGAGGCTGAATTGAGCAAATTGAGATCTTCCCCTCCACCAAAGTTCAAATTTTTAAGGGATGCTGAGGAGAAGCTGATTAGGAGATTGGTTGAAGAAGCTGAAAGAAAGGCGGCCTTAAAAGCAGCTTCAGAAGAGAAGAAGGTTGAGGGTTCTTTTATTGCTTTCATCAGTAAGAGCAAGGAAAGAGAAGCAAATCAACCACACTATACAAATGGGCTAAATCATACTCCAGCACAAGTTCTTCCTTTGGCAACTTCTCCTTCTTCAACAACATTTCCAGTATAGTTGAATTCCAAAAATCTGGTATGCAAATTAGATTTAGAATAGAACAGAATTAGACCGTTTGGTATTTTTTAGATTAAAAAAAAAGGGTTCAAAATATTTTTAACCTTTTTTTTTCCTGTAATTTTTTGTTTGCACTTTTCATATGTGAATCAGAATTACAGCAGTTACTTTGAAATTAGGGTTCTCTTTACCCCTTCTTTTGTTCTTCAAGTAATTTTGAAGAAAATTAGTGCCAAAGCAAAATATGATGGCATGATTATGGAGACTAGGAATAGTAGTATCTTGGGATTCTTCTGGGCAATCCCACCGCTTCGTCAAGTTGACGCCATGATTGTTGCATAGTTTAATGTAGTATGGTGCTGCTTGCTAGTATGCTCACTCCATCTAGAAATCAATCATATTTGAATTTTTTATTTTATTTTAAAATCTTGGAAGAATTAAAGTCATATGCATGAATGATTCTTCTTTCTAGCTGTGGTTACCCTTTTCTTCACTTAATTCGAAAAGGTTATAATTAGTTTTGGTGGTTGATGCACATGAGCTTAATCATACCAAATTATGATGCCCTGTTTTTAAACTACATGTACACTGCTCTACTTCACGTACTAGAGTATTATCAGTACTACTTTGCTACAGCTTGTAGTATTCTTCTCCACGGATTTAGTGATCCTAATACGAAACTGAAGATTTATCACACGTAATTAGTGGTTACTGTCACGCAAAAACACAAAACAGCTTGCACTGTGATTGATCTTTTCATCATAGAAATATTGACCATTGATATTGTTGGTAAAGATATATGGACCATTGACATCAGTTTGGATGATTAAATACTTATTAGATGTTATGTTATTTTCTATCTAGAAAATGCTCCCTTGAGTGTTTTCCCTTTGATTGCACTTTGAGGGTTAGAAGGGATAATCTCAGATGTTACGTTTTCCAACCCGTTTCTCTTGTCATACAAAGCTTGTAGTCTATTGTCAAGCTTGTATATTGTCGCATGAAGGAGACACTAGAATTTGTTAAGTAACAATGTGCCTCCTAAATAAGATTAGGATGAATTTTCGTAATTGGATTGATATGCTGAATATTATCCTGAAATTTCACTACATAATTGAGATATGATTTAGTTGATTTGGATTGAGTACCAATATTTGGTCCATTTGCAATTAAATGGTAATATTAATACCAAAAAAGTGGTTCCCTAATGTTTATGGAAGGATTAGTATAGATGGCGCAATCAATCAATCTGTGTTTAGTTCCCAAGTTCATCCCAATCAATCAATGTTGATACTGATATATGTATATATATTGGGGACACGAAATTAAATTTCGACTTTAAAGAGGCTTGTCGTGTTCATCAATTTGACATCAAACATAACAATACTATAATTGTTGTTTTTCTCTTTCTATTCCTTGTGTGTGACTGTGTGTGTGTGCGCTAGTTGTACACGGTTTAATTGGCAATGGCTAACAGCTACAAAAATTCTGTCTAAGCTGCTTGAAACAGAGCTCGTGTGACGTTGGTCCACTCAATTTGGGAATTTATCTCCATCGGCTCTTCCTAACCTAATTTGATTGATTGACGAACTGCTGAAATGGGAACAATTTTTGAAATCAAAAGGTCAAGTTAATGGCTCCTTGATTTATTGAATAAAGCTTTGATTTGATGATGGGGGCAGGCCTTTTTGTACATACTAAATGAAAATTACTAATTGGCTTTTCGATTGAAGGTGGAAAAAAAAGATGGGAAGGGCAGTGGGAAAACTTTTAAAACCGACGACCGCCTTAGAGTGTGTTCTTTTTTTTTTTTGCAGCAAAGGGAATGAATGGGAGGGATTCTTAATATATTCATTTAACACTAGAACTACTTAATTATGTGAATTATTCTAACTCTAGTTCATTTTAGTTGACCAAGTACACTGACAAGGTTTCATCTGCTTTGTGCATTCGATTGTTTGTTTGGTTGACAGAAATCAGATAAAATCTTAAAGATTAAGCCCACAATTGATTCACTATGTTTGACGGACTTTTTTAATTTTTTTGTTTGACGAGTAGTACTACTTGTAGATAGATTACACTAAGTTATGGATTCAGTATTATAATAACTAAAAATATTAATAATGACGAATTAAATAACGTTTGTACAAAATGACTGACCGAGATTGATGCTAATTCATTTGTCTTGGGGTTGGGGGAAAACAGAATCCCATTATCCTTTCAAATCTCGCTATGGACATAGAGCAACCTTAAAATCTTTTGGCCAGCTCTTCCACTAATCGAGGTGCCTATCATGAACGAAGGTGATTAGTCACTGTTGCCGAAGGTGAACACCCTGCAATATGCAAAAAGAATTTCTTTTTTTCTTTTTTTTTTTCCCTCTCTTCTTCTGGACAGCAACAAACTAAACGAGCGGATACTTCTACTTATTTTTCAGATGCTTCACACGATCTATATAAATATAAATACGCAGTTTGAAACTACATCAAAAGAATCTACTATGTATTTATTTGTATTAGCAAGTACAGTAAATGATTAATGATTATTTATTACCAGTTAGTAGTAGTACAACTTCTTCTTGCTTTGGCTTTTAGTGCAATTTCTTAACCAAGAAACGAAAAGGCATCTTGTAAAAAAGACTTTTACCTAATCAATAAGAAACGTCACTGTTGGTGTCACGCGAAGCGGCCGAAAGTTCCTCATCCTTAAAGTATGGTTCTTTACTTCCTACCTGGTTTTAAAAACTTTTGCGGGTTTTCATTTTATACTTCTTCCGTCCCATGATTTGATTATAATCGTGAAATTAATATTGATTCTCTTTACATAATTTGCATTATTTGATAGTGCTTCCTCATAATTATTCAAGATGTGTAGGAGGAAACTGGGAACTGGGAAGAGGGAGACTTGGGTTAGATAATACAGTAGGCCAGTGGTCCATTTGAACAATATTGTTTTGTTTTTTTGTGGTACCCTATCTCTCTATAGCGTCCTTCTTGATTCCAGTTTTTAACATTTTTTTGTGCAGTTTGGAAAAGGCTACTTAGAGAAATGGACCACAACTTTGGGTGCATATATCATATATTGGAGATTGAGAGAGATAGGATGGACTTCACAAGTTGAGCCATTGCTTCATTTAAAATTTCAACAATTTATGATCTGAAAATCCAGCCAACTCCCCAGAACTGACAATTTGCATTATCCTCCAATCTGGTGTTTCAAACAATAATAACGCTCCTAGCTAGCTTCATTTTAGCAAATTCGGGACAACAATATTGAATGAACTTTGTGAAGTAGGCCAGTATCCCCCTTTTTTTTTTTTTTTTTTTTTCCCTTTTCTTCTTTTAAACGGATGAGAGTATAGACAAGTATATATACTTTATAGTCCTCCAAGGATTCTGTAGCCTAAAATAACATTGACTCCGCTCATAATTATGAGAAAAACTTGTAAATAGCGTAGGAGGAAACACAACTTATAACCAGATGAAATTTCACTGCTTAAAATTGATATTCTCTCCGTCTCATAATTATTATTCATTTTGAGTTTTCATTTTTAGTTCAAATTTGACTTTTAGGACAGAGGGAGTACAAAATGTATATTTGCCAATTTCCATCACAAATTGGACTTTTATCCTTTTTAGGGTTTGATTCTTTTTTTTTTTCTTTTTTTTTTTGGTATGAAAACTCAGACACGGGTATGCCAATCAAGTTACATATTTTACAATTTATTTCTTTTCTTAAGGGAAAAAAGTATTGGGCACATAAGACGACACGGACAAATTTACCATATGAAATTTAAGAAACATATGTGATGCAGAAATGAGGGGAACCTTTTCGGGCATACGTTTTTTTTTTTTTTTTTGTTTAATCCATGTTGAGATGAGATGAGCATGTTCTGATCTTATTCGAGTGACGAGGAATGTTTTGGACTGGTTCAAATTTTGAACATGGAAGGGGCGTGGGATGAGAGTGTTGTGAGCTCACTACATATATTCTTTATATATCCTTTGCAAGACTTGGTAGATTAACAATTATTCTCTAAGATTAATTAATGTAATTTACTAACACCTCTCCCTTGACTAAAGTGGTTGGTAAAGTCAACTATCAGATTTTATCGGGAAAAAAATAGTAAATCAATCATATTTCTTTATTCCCTATTCCAATTTATAACTGAACATATTGTACAATTCCAATTGAGCAAATTGAATTATTAAAATGAGAGGTGGAGAGTAATCCTTTAAGAAAGTAAAATGTATTATACAAGTCATATAATTTATGTTATTGGATAAATTGCGCCTACTATATTTGTATATATCGAGAGGCACAGCCAATGATTAAACCATAATTTTTGAGAAGATATGGGAGATTTGTAAAAATAACTAAAAATATTATGCATTCAGATGCAAAATGAGTTAAATTTATACTTTTCTATTGAAAATTTGTATATCTCCATCAAGTAGGAATAACGAAAGAGGTGCAACCGTACTTGCCTGTCCCCTAATTCTTCCGTTACTATAGTCATTCACCATTTTCCAATTCCTGTCCTTGTAGTGGTTGTCTAGCCTTTCATGTTCAATCTGCGAAATTCACTTCCCGTTATACATGTTTTAGTTCAACTATCTTTTTGAGGATTTTCCGAATAACCTGAGGCCGGAACCGCTTTTTTTTTTTTTTTTTTTTTTCTATTTTTATATATATTGAGGAAGCTGAACTTAGGTAAAAAATAACTCATCGAAGGCGATTGTACTAGACCAATCTAGTATCATTTTCTGAGAAATAGTATTGGGAGGGGTTGACAAAATATACCACCCAAAGCGTACTAGAATGTTAATTTAGCTAAGGAGTCCGACGGTTGATTCCCGGGTCTCCTGATGAGAACCGCTTTTCATGCCTCCCAATTTTCAGTCACAAGTGTGTAATTTTTAAGTAGAAAAATCCACTTTATATACCCTAAGAAGTGTGTAATTTATATTGGATGTGGTTACATTAGCCCACATGGAAAAAGTAATCACGTGTGTGGGTGCAACCTAGAAAAGGCAAAGCCCAAAGAGCAGTGAAAAATAACAAGCCCATATGATTGGGCTTTTACTTTACGGCACTAAAACTAGCTCAGCTTAAACCAACGACGCCGTTCTATAATATATCCCTGTGACGAATCGCCGTTAAGGCCAATAGAAAGAGACAGGAAAATCCTCAAAGCCCAGACGCCGTCGCGGTGATCGGAGTTGCTCAAGGTACACCTCTTCCTCCTTCTTCTTATTCTCTTCTTGATATGGTTCAATTTAACCTTAACTGTATTTTCTCTTTCGCAATCAATTCGAATAAATTTATTGAGATACTGTACTTTCTTCTTCTTTTTCTTTTATTTATTTATTTATTTTGAGGGGAGCGGGATTAATTTTAGTACTTTGCAGTCTATAGTGATTTGTTGTTTAGAAAAATGAAAAGTTTCTCTTGGATTTTTGTTTGTTAATCTCCAATAAGACTCATTTCTGCGGTTGAACTTGTTTGCTGCCTGATTTTAGCTCGAAGCCATTGTACTATTATTCAGTAGAAGTTTGAGTCTTCGGGATTTCGGAGTTAAGTGTTAAGTTTATGATTTTATGGCCTGGTGGCCTTTTGTTTTATTTAACATGATTATATTTAAGTATAAGTGGGGGTTAGCGGCTCTGTTTTTGGTTGCGTTTATTTTGTATATTGGCATTAATCATATGGTATTAGAATAACTTTCCACATTATTTGCTCAGTGACGAAGGAAGTAGGTTATGGTATTGTCCACAGAAGCATTAATGTATCTAGTTATGATATAAACATTTTGCTCTGCACTAATGCCTAAGCCAGATGGAATCACCTTCTAGCTTTGATGCTTATTATGGGTTTATTATGTTACAAAGTTTTATGCGGTGGGTTGAGAAGATGTCAGCCTAATGAATTGCCAAATTCCTTCAGATGCCTTTGCCGTAGCTTAGTGGGTCTGGAAACGTGTTTCATTTAAAGTTCGTGTGCTGGAAAATTTCTATTTGATCTCTTTGATGACTAGTTTGTCACGGTCTTTCCATGTCTTACCACGAAATAGCATTTTAACAACTTGAAGTTGTCAGCACGAAGGGTCAAACAAACTATTTACTGGCTGTTGGAGCTAATAGTCTTGGCTTCTCATTTGCAGATGGCATTGGTAACAACTAAATTGTGTTAGGAAAAGGGAGAAGAAAAGAAGAAAAGAAAACTAATTGTGTGGGAGAACTATTTAATATAATTAGTTAGAGAGTTAAGTAACCGAACTATTTTAGTTTACCTCTCTATGGTTGTTGAGTTAATGTCCCTGGGTTCTCCCAGTTAGCTTAGTGTCCTTAGCTCCTTTGCTGGTTAGTTGATCTTCCCGGTCCTTACTGCACTTTAAGTCAAAATTTAGTCGATTTCGAAGCATTTTCTAAAAGAAGGCAGGTGCTCTAAGACAATTAACTTATTCGTTTAATAGGGTTTGCTAGGCTGCTTGCTGTTTATGCTTAGTTTCAGTGAGAAGCTAGGCTACGAGACAACCATTTATTCGTCTTTGGATATAGGTGGGCCACTCATGTTCTGCATTAAATAACTTAATCAGATTCTTATTCAGGGACCCTAGTTGAACCACTAGAACAGCTCCTGCAATGGCTAAATCTTATCTCAAAGTTTACCCTTTTTTCCATCTCTATGACGATGAATTCTTTTTCCTCTATTCCCTTTCTGTTTTAAGCTGAAGCTAGACATAGCCACAACCTTCTCTATATGCAGCAGCTGACGAAAATGTTGGTCCAAATGCTTAAATGTGAGTAATGGATGGTTAATCTGTTCTTATCTTTGAATTAATTTAACTCAATGGTTATATGTTCTTTGAACAACGAGTCTTAAGTGTTTATTCAAAATAAAATTTTAGCTCAAAGAGAATTCCTTGTTCTCTCTTGAGTTGTTATCGCTCAAATGTGCAATATGTTTGTAAATGGCTGGTCTTTCTGTAATGTACTACTGAAAACTGTCCTTTCTTTTATCACAGTTTCAAACTGTTCTTGTTTGATTCTCTGAACTAGGAAGCATGGGACAGAAAGCTGGTGCCACCTACATAAATCCAAAGAAATTTGGAGCTCTCCAAAAGCCTTGCTTGAAGGACACAATGGCGTTCCTCAATTGTTTGGCTCTGAACAACAGCAAAGATAACCATTGTGAGAGGCAAAAGAAACTGTTGAGCGACTGCATGGTTGCGCAGGTTGTATAGCTTGTATTCCTTAAAATCATCCAGTTCATACTTTTTATTTGTGTTCCTATTATGAAAACTCATCTGAGACTTTTGGCTTTTGCTCACAGACTGGGAGAAGCAAGAAACCTTGGGGCAGCATCAATTACCATCTACAGAGGTTGGCCAAGGGAGGAAGATGATTATTTTCTTTGCTTAGAAATCCTGTGGGTTTTCTTTGGTTCTCATGATTTTCTGGAATTCAATTTTGATGACCCCTGAGCGTTGTTTTTTTTTCTCTTTTTCTTTTTTGTTGATATGGCTGTTTATAAAAGGAGTCATTCGCATACTTTTGGTAGTTTGATATCTCTGCCATATCAATAGTTTGTACGTTAATTAAGAGTTTAAATTAGGAGAAACTTAAAGTTTTAGCCTTCAGGTGTTTTACAGATGTTGTGCTTTCATGCTTACAATATTTGTTGATGCGAAAACTGTGTGAATTGTATTCACCAAATTTGAAATCATAGATTCCAGGAATAACCTTTTTTTGTTACAAATAGAGAGGCATAAAGCCTAATGGCAACTCTATCCTCATTACATCATGAGTTAGCCACGACCGCACCCCCGATGGGGCCTTAAGCCATTGTAAGCCTCCGGCCCTTGTGTTGCTAAAAAAGTTAAATAGTTTGTTACTAAATTCGCCTCCCGGTATAACATGTTTTTATCTCAAAAGTCATCTTTGATTGCATTAACCAAAAACTCTAATAAAAAAAACCATCGCCCTAATAAAATTTACCCTAATCACACAGTTCAAACAAGACCCTAATAAAAATTCAACATTTCCGAGAATAAACTTTGGCCGACGCTCCATCCCAAACACTGATTACGAATTTGCAGACTTTCGATTTCATTAATACGAATTTGCACACTTAGGATTTCATTAACGGACTGAAATTTACCTTTTATGAGTGATGGGATGTAAATTGTGTGCTTAAGCATGCTTTGGATGAATAGCCCTTGTTAGGTTGCAAACAAGTCTGGAGTTTCCAAAACGCATTCCTAATTGCTCTTATTCGCAGGAATGAGATTTGCAACAAAGAGCTATCAACAAGCAAAAGAAATGAATTTCCGTACCTTCTGTGTCTTCTTCTTCTTCTTGATGCCTCAACCAACAATATCTCCAAATATCCAACCAAACCTTCAACCAAAACCTCTAAACCTGACTGCCGCCATCGAAGCCATTAAAAAATTTATGGTTTTTGATGGAAACGAGGTACTAAAGAATCCAGTCAATTTATCCCAAATTCAACCCAATCAATGTGTCGTGCTTCCATTGTATGACACCAATTTATTTTTCAATCACAACTTAGAGCTAGATGGTGTGAGGGAAGACGTGTACTACGAGCTCAAATTTGAAGATGGGAAGTTTATAACGCCCATGGGTGTAGGCAGTCCGCCCCAATCTGTTGTCTGGATAATCGACACGGGATCGCCGTTGACATGGACCATTTGCAAGCCATGCGATAGGTGTCCAGAATCACCACCATTTGACAGCTCTGTTTCACGGTCTTTCAAGAAGGTGGACTGTTACGGAAGAAATGAATGCATTGGTGATTTCCAGTGTGATGAATATCCCAGCCATGATTGCCGATATGACTTCGGGTACGCCGATGGTAGAGCTGTGGCTGGATTTATGGTTTACGACAGAGTGACTCATCCTTCTTCTCGAGATACGATCGTGGACAGATTAAAATTTGGGTGTACGAATAATTGGCCAAAAAGATTCAAAGTGGAGGGGCCAATCACTGGTTTGGTGGGACTGAATCAGGATCCAGAATCATTCATCCAGCAATTCAAAGCGGAATCATTTAGCTTTTGCTGTGCACCGGAGCATTCATTTCAACAGTCAAGATTCATCCTAAATGCCCCAACAGAGGAGACCAGCTCAGACACAGTGCGGATACCCATACGGGATAAAAAATACAGTTACCACTATGATCTCACACTTGCCGGGATTGCAGTTGGGGAGGATGATTATGTGGCAGTAGAACCTAAAAAAATTAATAACTCAATTTTAGCAACAATTGATACTGGGGCTAGAGTATCTTGGCTGCCTCAGGGATTGTACGGGAGATTTAGGGATACGTTTAAGAAACATATGCTCTCTTAAACGTTGCAATTCTCGGTGCCGGGGATTGATGAGTTTGATACGTGTTACGAGCGGGAGGTAGATCAGGCTCTGGTTCTCCCCCGGGTTGCCTTCATCTTTGTTGATGACAAGGTTGGACGCTCCATTCCCCTAGTGTTGGATACTGATCAAGTTGTGATGATCAAGGGGTTCGGGTTTAAGGCTCATACTAAATTCTGTCTGGCGTTTCATCCAACCCTGAAACATAAGGCCATCCTTGGAACTCATCAATTGAGGGGTACTCAGGTCACGGTGGATTTGAAGAGTGCGCATGTGCTCCTAGATTTTAACAGTTGTTAAAAGTGTGTGTGTACTCTCAGTCCAATCGTTTTCTACCACTCTCATCCATCTTCATTGATAGTATGTTACTACGATTTTCAATAAATATTACTGTCACTTTTACCCTATTAAAGCAGAAGACATGAAGTTTATGTGGCAACTACATATGCATCTATTTTGGCTCTAATGCACCATATTTCAGATTTCAAAAATCTTTTTGCCACGTGTAAGTCTCTTTTAATTAGAAACTATATAATTTTTTTTTAAAATAAAACACATGTTTTACTACAAATAAGGATTAGTTACATTTCAAACGAATGGATATATTAATTCAAATTTAAATGTCTAATCGTATAGTTTTGCAGGCTTAATATAAACAAAAAATAAAAATACCTAAACTCAGCAATTAAGAATAATACCTTATAAACTAATTATTTATTATTCTCTTATAACCTCAGATTTATAGGTATATTTTTTTAAGCCCTAAACCATAGCATAAATGATATATACGTCAAATTAATTCCTCAAAAAATAGTAATTCAATTAGATTTTAATAAAATAGTAATTTAGAGTGGGCGCCCGGACATCTGTCCGGGCCAAGAATCTAGTTACCCTTAAGTTAGATTTCCATCCTCCACTTCTAATAGATTAGATTTTTATACACTTCCAATAAGTTGTATAATATGATGATAATAAGCGGTGAAAGTTGTATAATATGACCAACCAATTTATGAGTGTCTTGTGGCAGTATCATGTTGTTGTTGTTGTTTTTTTTTTTTCTTCTTTTAAATAAATCATTAAAAATTAACGAAGTGATAGTTATAAATTAGATTTGGATTAGAATTCCTCCTCCACCCAACCACATTCTATATATACGGGAGAAGGGGTATTCCAATTTTCCAATTTCCGAGGAAACAACAACTTTAAATCGAACCCAAGGAGGAGTTGTGGTTGATCAGTGTACAGCAGCAAATTTAATGGCGAGAAAAGCGTGGATGATGGTGCTGCTGACTTTGGTTCTCATCCTAGTTTGGCCGCCTTCGGTAACAAGTAGTAGTAGTAGTAGTAATTTGCACATTCAACGAATTTCCACCAATCAGGGGGAGGCTGGTGAAGCAGGGTTGTCTCCCTTGCTCTATTATGTGTATACGATCCGGCTATCCGACAGCGACGTTGCCGGAATCAGGGACTGGCTCTGCCGGATTGATGCTAATTCCAGCAATAAATACCTAAGGCGCCATCGTTATGCCCCAAGGAAATGCTTAAAGCACCATCCTTGTCCGCCCGCCGCCGCGGCCAACAGCACCGCCAGCAACACCGCCTTCGTGGAGACTTGTGTGGCGGCGCTCTTCGATACACCATCATATTTGTGGTTGGACCGGATGAAGAGGAAGCACCTGGATTGCCATCATTACTTTATGAGCCTCAGCAAGATGATCAAGCTTTACAGGAACAGAGGCATGTGTATGGCTCGGGGTGATTTTCAGCTGGAATCCTACCTTCGAGCCTTGCAAAAGGTTCCCTTGCAAAACCAACTCGCGCTCTGCCCGCTGCATTCAGCTACTCTTTTTCTACGTTACTACTACCTTCCCTGTCCCGACGACCTGCCCAGGTCTCCTCATCCGCTGCCCGTATCACACCTTGATTCCGAGTTTTTTCATTATTAAATTTTACTACTATTTATTTAGTTATTTATTTATTATGTAGGAATTTTTTTATACATACCAGCAGGAAACCCCTTTATAGGTATGTATAATCATTTATTATTATTATTTTTTTTGTAAGGAAAATTGGAAATAATGCGCAAATATCATTTGTTCCTTCTATTTTGTTGGTCCTTTTAACATCTTTTTTTTTTTTCTTTTTTTCTTTTCATGGGAGGCGGCGGGAACTTGTATTTAGAGTTAATTGCAAAATCTCAAACACTGACTGTATTTAGAAGACTCTGTAACGATAGTGATACTAGTAATCATAATGATAAAAAAAAAATTTGTCATGTTGCTTGTTTGTTAATTATTTTGAGTCCAAAAGAGTAATAATAATAATTTAGCAGATATGAGAGAGATGGGAATTGAATAAATTAGTCGTCTACAACAAAACTAGTCCACAATGATTTTTGTCACTGGAATACCAAAATGATGATAGTATAGGCTTGGCCAACGTCTCTGTCTCTAAAAAGCAAATAATCACGTTCCACAGCCTCATAATGTTAGAACTTCCTAGTATGTCACTGCAATACCAAAATGATGATAGTATAGGCTTGGCCAACATCTCTGTCTCTAAAAAGCAAATAATCACGTTCCACAGCCTCATAATGTTAGAACTTCCTAGTAGTTTCCATAGTCAAAACATGGTGCTCCTGCTCTTACAGATAAATGTCATGTCAGTACTCATCATAATATAATAATCATAAACGCCCGTATCCTGTTTGCCAATTAGATTTAAGTAGGGATGATTAATGACGAGTCCATATCCATCACCGAGACTGGACCAGCCCATCAACCAAAAGGAGAGTCCAACCGGAACTCTTGAGACGGTTTAGGTTCCCGAAACCTAATAGGACTCAGGGATTTTCTAGGTATTCTCATACCTATAAATAGGGTTGCTCATTCCACAATACAGGTACGCAATCTATAGCTTAACATACTAGATACCTAAATCTTCCAGCAACCCTTTATTGACTTAAGTATCGGAGTGTTTACACTTGAGTGACCCCGAGGCCCTGTTTTATAGAAAACCCTAACCAGAGTTCTACCGTTAGACCGACGGCGCGAAACCAAGCTTCGTCAATTAAGAACCAAAATTGGTTCACAAAGTGCAGCTAGCTTAAACACTACCTTAATGCCTCAATTCTACTCATCTATACATGAAAGAAACTCTTTTACCAATTGTTATCCTCACTAAGAACATGTACAATTTTGAATCCAGACTGCAGGTTGGAAGTAAAATCGATTATAAGACTGCCAGTTATATGATGGTTCTCTTTCAAATGCTCAAACCAATTGCTTCTATTCCAGACTTCTCATCCTCATTGACCTCAATTACATGAGCCATACGCGCAGCAAGCACTATATGTTCACTCACCTGAATAAAAATGACAGAATATTAACAAACACTCGAGGAGAAAAACATTCAACTCAAAGATCCCTTGGCAGTGAGCAGTCATAGCACATGGAGAGTAGTAATGCTTTGAAAGAAAACAGCAAAGGGGACAACAGAGTAAATTGCATCAGGTTACGGGAAATATAAGATTTTAACAAGCAAAAATAGACTTCGAACTCACAGCTGCAGGCCGCCAAAACGTTTTCTCCGCAACAAGAAAGTCTGCATCATAAAGAGTTGTTGACCAATGCATTGATTTCAATATTGGTCCAAGCATATCAACCATATCATTGGTGTCACGAACTAAAAGTGTACCCCCAGGTCTCAGCAAGCGGTCAATCTCCACAAAAACATCAATGATGTCACACCTAAATGAAAACAGGAATATGAAATTCAAAAGTCATTCAACTTGTAAATTAAAGAATTAGACCATCAGTTGATAATTTTTTTAAAAAAAACAACAAACAGTTTACCTCTGACTTAAGTTTGAAAACAAAAATCTAGAATGCAACACATCAAATGTGCGTGGATAGCTGTTGAACGGCTCACACCAGTCATGATATACCCCTATGAGTCCCCTATCAAGGATCAGCGGGAGTGTATCCCGACCATGGACAGGGACAACATTGATCACCCAAAATGGTTGATCAACAAGAGCCGCAGCAAACCTATAACCAGTATTTGTGATCATTAAAGTAATAATGAGAAATTGGAAACCAAAAAAAAAATAATAAATAAAGTATAGGAATTTCCATACCCTCCAAACCCTGCATTCATGTCTATTATGTTTCTAACCCTCGACCAATTCATAGGGAGGTCAGCAAGGTAAACATCAGAAATGATAACAGACCACTGCTTGGTGTCACCTAGATAGGCTTCACTTTCTTCCCTAGATAAACTCGTAGGTACTTGGTCTAATCTCTCAGGCCAAGGTGCTGGCCAGTTGCTCACGTCATCATCCGATGGAATCGGCAGACATCCATCCAAAGGAGTATACCTGTTATCAAATGTTAGCGACTCTGTTTTTGGTTGCGTTTATTTTGTATATTGGCATTAATCATATGGTATTAGAATAACTTTCCACATTATTTGCTCAGTGACGAAGGAAGTAGGTTATGGTATTGTCCACAGAAGCATTAATGTATCTAGTTATGATATAAACATTTTGCTCTGCACTAATGCCTAAGCCAGATGGAATCACCTTCTAGCTTTGATGCTTATTGTGGGTTTATTATGTTACAAAGATTTATGCGGTGGGTTGAGAAGATGTCAGCCTAATGAATTGCCAAATTCCTTCAGATGCCTTTGCCGTAGCTTAGTGGGTCTGGAAACGTGTTTCATTTAAAGTTCGTGTGCTGGAAAATTTCTATTTGATCTCTTTGATGACTAGTTTGTCACGGTCTTTCCATGTCTTACTACGAAATAGCATTTTAACAACTTGAAGTTGTCAGCACGAAGGGTCAAACAAACTATTTACTGGCTGTTGGAGCTAATAGTCTTGGCTTCTCATTTGCAGATGGCATCGGTAACAACTAAATTGTGTTAGGAAAAGGGAGAAGAAAAGAAGAAAAGAAAACTAATTGTGTGGGAGAACTATTTAATATAATTAGTTAGAGAGTTAAGTAACCGAACTATTTTAGTTTACCTCTCTATTGTTGTTGAGTTAATGTCCCTGGGTTCTCCCAGTTAGCTTAGTGTCCTTAGCTCCTTTGCTGGTTAGTTGATCTTCCCGGTCCTTACTGCACTTCTTAATAAGTCAAAATTTAGTCGATTTCGAAGCATTTTCTAAAAGAAGGCAGGTGCTCTAAGACAATTAACTTATTCGTTTAATAGGGTTTGCTAGGCTGCTTGCTGTTTATGCTTAGTTTCAGTGAGAAGCTAGGCTACGAGACAACCATTTATTCGTCTTTGGATATAGGTGGGCCACTCATGTTCTGCATTAAATAACTTAATCAGATTCTTATTCAGGGACCCTAGTTGAACCACTAGAACAGCTCCTGCAATGGCTAAATCTTATCTCGAAGTTTACCCTTTTTTCCATCTCTATGACGATGAATTCTTTTTCCTCTATTCCCTTTCTGTTTTAAGCTGAAGCTAGACATAGCCACAACCTTCTCTATATGCAGCAGCTGACGAAAATGTTGGTCCAAATGCTTAAATGTGAGTAATGGATGGTTAATCTGTTCTTATCTTTGAATTAATTTAACTCAATGGTTATATGTTCTTTGAACAACGAGTCTTAAGTGTTTATTCAAAATAAAATTTTAGCTCAAAGAGAATTCCTTGTTCTCTCTTGAGTTGTTATCGCTCAAATGTGCAATATGTTTGTAAATGGCTGGTCTTTCTGTAATGTACTACTGAAAACTGTCCTTTCTTTTATCACAGTTTCAAACTGTTCTTGTTTGATTCTCTGAACTAGGAAGCATGGGACAGAAAGCTGGTGCCACCTACATAAATCCAAAGAAATTTGGAGCTCTCCAAAAGCCTTGCTTGAAGGACACAATGGCGTTCCTCAATTGTTTGGCTCTGAACAACAGCAAAGATAACCATTGTGAGAGGCAAAAGAAACTGTTGAGCGACTGCATGGTTGCGCAGGTTGTATAGCTTGTATTCCTTAAAATCATCCAGTTCATACTTTTTATTTGTGTTCCTATTATGAAAACTCATCTGAGACTTTTGGCTTTTGCTCACAGACTGGGAGAAGCAAGAAACCTTGGGGCAGCATCAATTACCATCTACAGAGGTTGGCCAAGGGAGGAAGATGATTATTTTCTTTGCTTAGAAATCCTGTGGGTTTTCTTTGGTTCTCATGATTTTCTGGAATTCAATTTTGATGACCCCTGAGCGTTGTTTTTTTTTCTCTTTTTCTTTTTTGTTGATATGGCTGTTTATAAAAGGAGTCATTCGCATACTTTTGGTAGTTTGATATCTCTGCCATATCAATAGTTTGTACGTTAATTAAGAGTTTAAATTAGGAGAAACTTAAAGTTTTAGCCTTCAGGTGTTTTACAGATGTTGTGCTTTCATGCTTACAATATTTGTTGATACGAAAACTGTGTGAATTGTATTCACCAAATTTGAAATCATAGATTCCAGGAATAACCTTTTTTTTGTTATAAATAGAGAGGCATAAAGCCTAATGGCAACTCTATCCTCATTACATCATGAGTTAGCCACGACCTCACCCCCGATGGGGCCTTAAGCCATTGTAAGCCTCCGGCCCTTGTGTTGCTAAAGAAGTTAAATAGTTTGTTACTAAATTCGCCTCCCGGTATAACATGTTTTTATCTCAAAAGTCATCTTTGATTGCATTAACCAAAAACTCTAATAAAAAAAACCATCGCCCTAATAAAATTCACCCTAATCACACAGTTCAAACAAGACCCTAATAAAAATTCAACATTTCCGGGAATAAACTTTGGCCGACGCTCCATCCCAAACACTGATTGCGAATTTGCAGTTTTTCGATTTCATTAATACGAATTTGCACACTTAGGATTTCATTAACGGACTGAAATTTACCTTTTATGAGTGATGGGATGTAAATTGTGTGCTTAAGCATGCTTTGGATGAATAGCCCTTGTTAGGTTGCAAACAAGTCTGGAGTTTCCAAAACGCATTCCTAATTGCTATTATTCGCAGGAATGAGATTTGCAACAAAGAGCTATCAACAAGCAAAAGAAATGAATTTCCGTACCTTCTGTGTCTTCTTCTTCTTCTTGATGCCTCAACCAACAATATCTCCAAATATCCAACCAAACCTTCAACCAAAACCTCTAAACCTGACTGCCGCCATCGAAGCCATTAAAAATTTATGGTTTTTGATGGAAACGAGGTACTAAAGAATCCAGTCAATTTATCCCAAATTCAACCCAATCAATGTGTCGTGCTTCCATTGTATGACACCAATTTATTTTTCAATCACAACTTAGAGCTAGATGGTGTGAGGGAAGACGTGTACTACGAGCTCAAATTTGAAGATGGGAAGTTTATAACGCCCATGGGTGTAGGCAGTCCGCCCCAATCTGTTGTCTGGATAATCGACACGGGATCGCCGTTGACATGGACCATTTGCAAGCCATGCGATAGGTGTCCAGAATCACCACCATTTGACAGCTCTGTTTCACGGTCTTTCAAGAAGGTGGACTGTTACGGAAGAAATGAATGCATTGGTGATTTCCAGTGTGATGAATATCCCAGCCATGATTGCCGATATGACTTCGGGTACGCCGATGGTAGAGCTGTGGCTGGATTTATGGTTTACGACAGAGTGACTCATCCTTCTTCTCGAGATACGATCGTGGACAGATTAAAATTTGGGTGTACGAATAATTGGCCAAAAAGATTCAAAGTGGAGGGGCCAATCACTGGTTTGGTGGGACTGAATCAGGATCCAGAATCATTCATCCAGCAATTCAAAGCGGAATCATTTAGCTTTTGCTGTGCACCGGAGCATTCATTTCAACAGTCAAGATTCATCCTAAATGCCCCAACAGAGGAGACCAGCTCAGACACAGTGCGGATACCCATACGGGATAAAAAATACAGTTACCACTATGATCTCACACTTGCCGGGATTGCAGTTGGGGAGGATGATTATGTGGCAGTAGAACCTAAAAAAATTAATAACTCAATTTTAGCAACAATTGATACTGGGGCTAGAGTATCTTGGCTGCCTCAGGGATTGTACGGGAGATTTAGGGATACGTTTAAGAAACATATGCTCTCTTAAACGTTGCAATTCTCGGTGCCGGGGATTGATGAGTTTGATACGTGTTACGAGCGGGAGGTAGATCAGGCTCTGGTTCTCCCCCGGGTTGTCTTCATCTTTGTTGATGACAAGGTTGGACGCTCCATTCCCCTAGTGTTGGATACTGATCAGGTTGTGATGATCAAGGGGTTCGGGTTTAAGGCTTATACTAAATTCTGTCTGGCGTTTCATCCAACCCTGAAACATAAGGCCATCCTTGGAACTCATCAATTGAGGGGTACTCAGGTCACGGTGGATTTGAAGAGTGCGGATGTGCTCCTAGATTTCAACAGTTGTTAAAAGTGTGTGTGTACTCTCAGTCCAATCGTTTTCTACCACTCTCATCATCTTCATTGATAGTATGTTACTACGACTTTCAATAAATATTACTATCCCTTTTACCCTATTAAAGCAGAAGACATGAAGCTTATGTGGCAACTACATATGCATCTATTTTGGCTCTAATGCACCATATTTCAGATTTCAGAAATCTTTTTGTCACGTGTAAGTCTCTTTTAATTAGAAACTATATAATTTTTTTTTTAAATAAAACACATGTTTTACTACAAATAAGGATTAGTTACATTTCAAACGAATGGATATATTAATTCAAATTTAAATGTCTAATCGTATAGTTTTGCAGGCTTAATATAAACAAAAAATAAAAATAACTAAACACAGCAATTAAGAATAATACCTTATAAACTAATTATTTATTATTTCCTTATAACCTCAGATTTATAGGTATATTTTTTTAAGCCCCAAACCATAGCATAAATGATATATACGTCAAATTAATTCCTCAAAAAATAGTAATTCAATTAGATTTTAATAAAATAATAATTTAGAGTGGGCGCCCGGACATCTGTCCGGGCAGAGCATCTAGTTACCCTTAAGTTAGATTTCCATCCTCCACTTCTAATAGATTAGATTTTTATACACTTCCAATAAGTTGTATAATATGATGATAATAAGCGGTGAAAGTTGTATAATATGACCAACCAATTTATGAGTGTCTTGTGGCAGTATCATGTTGTTGTTGTTGTTGTTTTTTTTTTCTTCTTTTAAATAAATCATTAAAAATTAACGAAGTGATAGTTATAAATTAGATTTGGATTAGAATTCCTCCTCCACCCAACCACATTCTATATATACGGGAGAAGGGGTATTCCAATTTTCCAATTTCCGAGGAAACAATAACTTTAAATCGAACCCCAGGAGGAGTTGTGGTTGATCAGTGTACAGCAGCAAATTTAATGGCGAGAAAAGCGTGGATGATGGTGCTGCTGACTTTGGTTCTCATCCTAGTTTGGCCGCCTTCGGTAACAAGTAGTAGTAGTAGTAGTAATTCGCACATTCAACGAACTTCCACCAATCAGGGGGAGGCTGGTGAAGCAGGGTTGTCTCCCTTGCTCTATCAATTGTTTACGATCCGGCTATCCGACAGCGACGTTGCCGGAATCAGGGACTGGCTCTGCCGGATTGATGCTAATTCCAGCAATAAATACCTAAGGCGCCATCGTTATGCCCCAAGGAAATGCTTAAAGCACCATCCTTGTCCGCCCGCCGCCGCGGCCAACAGCACCGCCAGCAACACCGCCTTCGTGGAGACTTGTGTGGCGGCGCTCTTCGATACACCATCATATTTGTGGTTGGACCGGATGAAGAGGAAGCACCTGGATTGCCATCATTACTTTATGAGCCTCAGCAAGATGATCAAGCTTTACAGGAACAGAGGCATGTGTATGGCTCGGGGTGATTTTCAGCTGGAATCCTACCTTCGAGCCTTGCAAAAGGTTCCCTTGCAAAACCAACTCGCGCTCTGCCCGCTGCATTCAGCTACTCTTTTTCTACGTTACTACTACCTTCCCTGTCCCGACGACCTGCCCAGGTCTCCTCATCCGCTGCCCGTATCACACCTTGATTCCGAGTTTTTTCATTATTAAATTTTACTACTATTTATTTAGTTATTTATTTATTATGTAGGAATTTTTTTATACATACCAGCAGGAAACCCCTTTATAGGTATGTATAATCATTTATTATTATTATTTTTTTTGTAAGGAAAATTGGAAATAATGCGCAAATATCATTTGTTCCTTCTATTTTGTTGGTCCTTTTAACATCTTTTTTTTTTTTCCTTTTTTCTTTTCATGGGAGGCGGCGGGAACTTGTATTTAGAGTTAATTGCAAAATCTCAAACACTGACTGTATTTAGAAGACTCTGTAACGATAGTGATACTAGTAATCATAATGATAAAAAAAAAATTTGTCATGTTGCTTGTTTGTTAATTATTTTGAGTCCAAAAGAGTAATAATAATAATTTAGCAGATATGAGAGAGATGGGAATTGAATAAATTAGTCGTCTACAACAAAACTAGTCCACAATGATTTTTGTCACTGGAATACCAAAATGATGATAGTATAGGCTTGGCCAACGTCTCTGTCTCTAAAAAGCAAATAATCACGTTCCACAGCCTCATAATGTTAGAACTTCCTAGTATGTCACTGCAATACCAAAATGATGATAGTATAGGCTTGGCCAACATCTCTGTCTCTAAAAAGCAAATAATCACGTTCCACAGCCTCATAATGTTAGAACTTCCTAGTAGTTTCCATAGTCAAAACATGGTGCTCCTGCTCTTACAGATAAATGTCATGTCAGTACTCATCATAATATAATAATCATAAACGCCCGTATCTTGTTTGCCAATTAGATTTAAGTAGGGATGATTAATGACGAGTCCATATCCATCACCGAGACTGGACCAGCCCATCAACCAAAAGGAGAGTCCAACCGGAACTCTTGAGACGGTTTAGGTTCCCGAAACCTAATAGGACTCAGGGATTTTCCAGGTATTCTCATACCTATAAATAGGGTTGCTCATGCCACAATACAGGTACGCAATCTATAGCTTAACATACTAGATACCTAAATCTTCCAACAACCCTTTATTGACTTAAGCATCGGAGTGTCTACACTCGAGAGACCCCAAAGCCCTGTTTTATAGGAAACCCTAACCAGTTTTATAGGAAACCCTAACCAGAGTTCCACCGTTAGATCGACGGCGCGAAACCAAGCTTCGTCAATTAAGAACCAAAATTGGTTCACAAAGTGCAGCTAGCTTAAACACTACCTTAATGCCTCAATTCTACTCATCTATACATGAAAGAAACTCTTTTACCAATTGTTATCCTCACTAAGAACATGTACAATTTTGAATCCAGACTGCAGGTTGGAAGTAAAATCGATTATAAGACTGCCAGTTATATGATGGTTCTCTTTCAAATGCTCAAACCAATTGCTTCTATTCCAGACTTCTCATCCTCATTGACCTCAATTACATGAGCCATACGCGCAGCAAGCACTATATGTTCACTCACCTGAATAAAAATGACAGAATATTAACAAACACTCGAGGAGAAAAACATTCAACTCAAAGATCCCTTGGCAGTGAGCAGTCATAGCACATGGAGAGTAGTAATGCTTTGAAAGAAAACAGCAAAGGGGACAACAGAGTAAATTGCATCAGGTTACAGGAAATATAAGATTTTAACAAGCAAAAATAGACTTGAACTCACAGCTGCAGGCCGCCAAAACGTTTTCTCCGCAACAAGAAAGTCTGCATCATAAAGAGTTGTTGACCAATGCATTGATTTCAATATTGGTCCAAGCATATCAACCATATCATTGGTGTCACGAACTAAAAGTGTACCCCCAGGTCTCAGCAAGCGGTCAATCTCCACAAAAACATCAATGATGTCACACCTAAATGAAAACAGGAATATGAAATTCAAAAGTCATTCAACTTGTAAATTAAAGAATTAGACCATCAGTTGATAATTTTTTTAAAAAAAACAACAAACAGTTTACCTCTGACTTAAGTTTGAAAACAAAAATCTAGAATGCAACACATCAAATGTGCGTGGATAGCTGTTGAACGGCTCACACCAGTCATGATATACCCCTATGAGTCCCCTATCAAGGATCAGCGGGAGTGTATCCCGACCATGGACAGGGACAACATTGATCACCCAAAATGGTTGATCAACAAGAGCCGCAGCAAACCTATAACCAGTATTTGTGATCATTAAAGTAATAATGAGAAATTGGAAACCAAAAAAAAAATAATAAATAAAGTATAGGAATTTCCATACCCTCCAAACCCTGCATTCATGTCTATTATGTTTCTAACCCTCGACCAATTCATAGGGAGGTCAGCAAGGTAAACATCAGAAATGATAACAGACCACTGCTTGGTGTCACCTAGATAGGCTTCACTTTCTTCCCTAGATAAACTCGTAGGTACTTGGTCTAATCTCTCAGGCCAAGGTGCTGGCCAGTTGCTCACGTCATCATCCGATGGAATCGGCAGACATCCATCCAAAGGAGTATACCTGTTATCAAATGTTAGATGAAATTGAGAATGCAAAACCAATTCCAGGGACAATAGAACTGAAATTGATCGCTTACAGTAAAAGTACAACCAACGGGAAGCTAACAAAAGACACAGAACCAAGAACACGAAAGCTGCCAAGGAATAAGATGTTTTTGAATAGTAGTTTTCATAATGTGGAAATCCAGTAAATGAAGATCATTTGCTGATAGCCATAATAGATAACCCATGGCATCCAAATTCAAATACAGTAAATGAATAACAACAGTCACAATTAACCCAAAAAAAGAATAATTCCAGTCAGCCAAAATATGTCCAACTATGGAAACATCCCTGACCCCACATTTGAGGCATAAGCAAAAGTGACAAACAGATTCAAGTCAAACTCAGAACTGCAAACTCAAGAACAGTGGTGACTGATAGTAGACAGCAATAAACAATCAAGATAGACCTCAGAAAGGATGATTGGAGTACATGCACAACTAACAATCATTCCAAGATATGATACCATCTGACATTTAATTTTGCAAATCACGACCAATTCCATGGAAGACACTAGAACTCAAATTGAATTAGTACTGAACCCTTGCCACAAGGAGACTCCGAACCAGAACTTTAGAAGTCCGTTAAAGATACCATGGAACTCTATTTTGCTTCCCACAGATGTGTGGATCATCTCTCTTCCAGTTTTGATAGCACAAATGTGACTCGGCCTTTTGATATACAACAACTCCAATGCCAGCTGAATCAATAAACATTCTGTTCACCATCTTCCAGCACATTGATTCTGTGAGTGCAACCATTGCTGCATAGAGAGTAAGAACTTATTATGTGATATGCAAATCTTGGAACCACAACAACAACACACCTCATTATCTGAAACATGTCATCTATAAGTGATTTCACAACCTTCTATAGAACATAACTCATTTCATCTTCATTGAACATCTCAATTATTGATTAGACTTTCTTTTTTTTTTTTTTGCAAGATTGCAAGAACTAAATGGAAGTCCTCAGCTGATAAATAAGACCTAACATCAGTACCACCAACCATGAACCAAAAAGATCGGTGGTTGCATTCTCAAAATTAAACCCTATATAGTATGATATTCCGACTGATTGCTGGTTGTACATTGACTCTTAGTTTATCCATTCAACCTTGAAAAGGAGACAAATGGATTGTTACCTTTCCAGATGTTTCGATCCCTCTCTTGCTTGCTGTACACTTGTTGGGCTGCCCATATGAAAAAGCCTCCAGTCCTAAGAATTCTGTTCACCTCCAACAGAGGTTTTCCACCTGCAAATTCAGATCAAAGACAAACAAGTCATTTCCCCAAAGAGAAAAAACAAATTAACCTAGGTAGGAGGGAAAGTAGTGATATTAAATACCATTTTCAAACCACTGAATCCTACATCTTGCACAGTGAATCAAATCATAAGCATTATCAGGAAATGCCAACTTTTCAGTCCCAATGTTGACAAGATGGCGGGAATTCCTCTCTCAAGAGCATACTGTACTTGGACTTCGTCCATTGGGCCAATTGACATAGTTAAAACATCTCTGGTCAGCAAATAACCTCCAAAACTAGCAATGCCACAGCCAACATCTAAAACGACCCTAGTTTGATTCCCCAACCCAATAATTGGTACAGCCTGGAGAAAGCAGGAAAGCAGTGAGCAACAAAAAGTATGTTATGCAATCAACTAATAAATTATTCCCTAATCTCGCCTACCTCTCTTCTTACTCCATTCCCCTTCTATTCCTCTCTAACTTCTATCTCCCATCTCTTCAACAAATTAACAGCTACATGCCTGTACTATATATGGGGTCGGCTATATGGAATACATATCGCCATCATGCTCAGCCAACACACCCCCAGGATTTCACGATAGGGTATTGCAAACTTCGAATGAAATGCAGGGTCTTTCAAGCTCCCCGGATGCAAAGCATAAGACACAATGCTACAACATATATTGTGCACAAAATCGGCAAATTATCATGTATGGCAAATTATCGGTTGCCCACAGATTAACATTAAACACAAGTATCATTACTAAACACTCTGAAAAATATTAATATGTGAGCAAGAAAATCAACGCCTACATGTCAACATATCATACGCTAAATTCCTACATACTGATCTCTATAACGTAAATCCAAACTAGTATTCATGTAGAGCAGCCAAACAGTCAAATAACATTCAGTTGAATAACAACCCATCCAGGCATGAACACGAATTGAAAAATTCAGTGTTAAAACGTACCTTTTCTATCGTCTCAAGGTATTGTTGGGTATCGTTGTCATGGAAAAGAATATAGTCCCCAGAGAGTAGCACCTTGCCCCCATTCTTGCCTGTAAGCCTTGGCGGTGCAACATTACTATACCAAATCTGGAAATCAAAAAAATGCATAAGTACAATATCGATAAATTCTCACTGCCAAATAATCTAACAACATAAAGCTTACCATTTCTTTGCTAAGCGGCCATGCCACTGGGAATTGGTAGTGTCGGGGTAACGGCACCAAACACCGCCGAAGGGGTAGCGGACACTTTCTCTCCCGACTAATATGGTCGAAACAGGGGAGGTAGTTAACTTCCGGACACAAACTCCACCCTATTGTTGTGCTGGTTGGACTGACAACCTGAATAGGCGGCGGCGGCGGCGGCGGAGGAGGAGGTGGCGGGGTTGAAGGTGCGGAAGGGGGAAGGAGCGGTGAAAGTGGGTGCGGAGGGTCCACCCGAGAACGGAGATGGGAGGGCAGCAGGGCTATCACAATCCCCAAGAGCACAACTGCCAAAATCACAAAAACAACTTCCTTGGCTTGGTAATGAGCCATTTTTCGGAGTAGGGATATTTTCTAGTTAGCAGGAGGAAGAAAGAACTATGGTGAGGGAATAAGTAAGAGTGCTCATAGTTTGTCGTTGTCGGTGAGTCTATTGGGTGCCCTGTTTTCTATTGTTGGGAGCTGATTGGAGATTTGAGAATTTGTTTGGCAGATTTGTTCGGGATTGGCAATTGGGAATAACATTAAATATGTCCTCGGCGGAAAAAAATAAATAAATGACAGATATAAAAATATACTAGTAGCAATTTGGTTACATAATTTATTATTTAATTCAAACAAACATTTTTCTCCCCCAGATACACCAATTTTTTCACGGAATGATGCCAGATTATGCATATTATTTTCTTCTTTTATTTTCTTAATTGGTCAACTTTCATTTTCTTTTTTTTTAGTCATAAATCATAATATTGACGTTTGCCAATATTTTATACTCCCTCCTATCTTGAAATTATTGTCCAATTTAAATTTTCATTGTTTTAATTAAAAGCTACAAAGGTATCTGAGCTCTCAAATCATCGTCCTGAAATTATTGTCCAATTTAAATTTTCATTGTTTTAATCAAAAGCTACTCTCAAATCATCGCGATGCTACCCTTTTTCATGAGGTTTAACTTTAATCGCACAATCAATAGTTCGCAAAATAAATTAAAAAAAAAGGTAAAAATATAGCAATAAAATATTCAAGGTTCAAAAACTGCTGGCATAACCCAGCAAATGCAAATAACAAAATATTTTATGGCCGCACATGGCAGCCATCAAGTACTGAAAAAAATAAAATAAAGAAATACTAGGACAAGAAAAGGATTTCAATCACTTCTTAGTCGACTTCCTCAATTTTGGGGCCAGCTGCACTTCCATGGGCCGAAGGAACATCATCATCCATGGGAGCACCACCCCCCATATGACTACCAGCACCTTGGTACATCTGGGCAATGATTGGGTTGCAAATCTCCTCAAGCTCCTTCATCTTGTCTTCAAACTCATCGGCCTCAGCAAGCTGGTTGCTGTCAAGCCATGAGATGGCAGCATCGATGGAGTCCTCGATCTTCTTCTTGTCAGCTGCACTGAGCTTGGAGCCAATCTTTTCATCCTTCACAGTATTCCTCATGTTGTAAGCATAGTTTTCCAGGGAATTCTTGGCTTCAACCTTCTTTTTGTGTTCCTCATCCTCAGCCTTGTATTTCTCAGCGTCCTGAACCATCTTTTCAATTTCATCCTTTGTTAACCTTCCCTTGTCGTTGCTGATCGTAATCTTGTTCTTCTGCCCGGTTGTCTTGTCCTCAGCTGACACATTTAGGATACCATTGGCGTCAATGTCAAAGCAGACAGTGATCTGAGGGACACCCCTGGGTGCAGGCGGGATACCAGACAACTCAAATTTGCCCAACAAATTGTTGTCCCGGGTTCTAGTTCTTTCACCTTCATAAACCTGAATCAACACACCAGGCTGGTTATCCGAGTATGTGGAGAAAACTTGCTCTTTCTTGGTGGGGACAGTTGTGTTTCTCGGGATCAAAACAGTCATGACACCTCCGGCAGTTTCCAGACCAAGGGAGAGAGGGGTGACATCCAATAGCAACAAGTCCTGAACTTTCTTGTCACCCTCACCACTGAGAATGGCAGCTTGTACAGCAGCACCATAGGCGACAGCCTCATCAGGGTTGATGCTCTTGCACAACTCCTTCCCATTGAAGAAGTCCTGCAACAACTGCTGCACCTTGGGGATACGGGTTGACCCACCAACAAGCACAACATCATGCACAGTGCTTTTATCCATCTTAGCATCCCTCAAACATTTTTCAACTGGCTCCATACACTTTCTGAAAAGATCCATATTCAACTCCTCAAATCTAGCTCGGGTGATTGTGGAGTAAAAGTCAATACCCTCGAAGAGAGAATCAATTTCAATTGTAGTCTGAGCAGTGGAAGACAGAGTCCTCTTTGCCCTTTCACAAGCAGTTCTCAATCGCCTCAAAGCTCTAGGGTTTCCACTTATGTCCTTCTTGTTCTTCCTCTTGAACTCCTGCACGAAGTGGTTCACCATCCTGTTATCAAAATCTTCACCTCCCAAATGTGTGTCACCAGCAGTGGCCTTGACCTCAAAGATACCTTCCTCTATGGTCAAAAGAGAAACATCAAAGGTACCTCCACCCAAATCAAAAATCAGCACATTCTTCTCGCCAACACTGGTTGCTTTCTTATCAAGCCCATAAGCAATGGCTGCTGCTGTGGGCTCATTAATGATACGCATAACATTCAGGCCAGAAATAACTCCTGCATCTTTTGTTGCCTGACGCTGTGAGTCATTGAAGTAAGCTGGGACAGTAACAACGGCATTTTTTATTGTGGAGCCAAGGTAAGCCTCAGCAATCTCCTTCATCTTGGTGAGAACCATAGATGAGATTTCCTCGGCAGCAAACTGTTTTTCCTCGCCCTTGTAACTGACACTTATCATGGGTTTGTCACCAGGTCCAGCAAAAACCTTAAATGGCCACAACTTGATGTCACTCTGTACAGAGGCATCACTGAATCTCCTTCCAATAAGACGCTTAGCATCTGCCGAAAGGAAATTTTAAATAATATAATTAAACAGTTCACACCACAGACATAGACATAGATGTAAAAGAAAAACATGGGCAGACTGAACCAACATATTAGGGGTGAATGCATAATAAACACCAAAATATTAGAGTAAATTAGTAACCAACCAAATCTAACACTCAATTTGAACTTAAGTACATTTAAAACTTTATGCTCCTCTAAATAGAAAAACGAGCTGTTAATACCAAAACTATAATCAATAATAGAATAATCTTTCTCAAGCAAATTGAAGGCTCGTTAAAAACTAAAAAAATTCTTAAAGGTCTTAAAAGCAAGGGTATAATAAACTATAAAAAGACCCAATTCAAATAGTTCAAGTACAACAAATAATAATATCAATCAAGCCCAACATGCAAACATACGCAATAAAAAAGCACCGGTCGATCAAAACACAATCCGCGTCCCAATTTTATTCGGAACGAAGCAGAAAATCAAATAGAAATCTCGGGTGGCAAAACACTGAAACTAAACTAATGATCAACCAGGTATTACTACACATTATCACTGAGACAGAAATCAAGCTAAACAAATGAAATACAGCACAATCGAAAATACGTGTATCATAGAGAAAAATTCTCATGAAAAAAAGGAGATTCAGGTATATCCATTACCGAAGACAGTGTTGATAGGATTCATGGCGACCTGATTCTTAGCGGCGTCACCGATGAGACGCTCAGTGTCGGTGAAACCAACATAAGAAGGGGTCGTCCTGTTTCCCTGATCATTGGCGATGATCTCCACTCGGTCGTGCTGCCACACACCGACGCACGAATAGGTCGTCCCGAGATCAATTCCGATCGCCGGACCTTCGCCTTTGCTTGCCATTACTTAGTATACTATAGCTCCTTTGGCCGCTTGAAAAAAGAATTAGGGTTTGAAAAAAAAAAAGTTGCTAATCTAACGTAATTGACGCGAGAGAAAATAGTGTGGAGGCGGAAGGAGAAGGAAGTTATGGTATATATAGTGAAGCGCCACCCTTTTCGGAGGCCGAGGTTTTTGGATTCTGGAATGTTCTTTAGGTCGGTGATGTTTTTAAATTTGTTTTTCTTTTTCAGTCTTGTTTATTTATTCAAGTATTTTTTTATTGGAAATATTAATGTATACATCCCAATGTTTATACCCTACTAGCGAATTTATCCCAAAGTTTTAGAATTGGTTAATTATGTCCCAAGATTATCAAAATTGAGCAGATCAATCACATGACCTGCAAACCAACAAAAGTGACTTGTTATAACATGTAAAATCATTTAGATCTCATATTTAACATTTTAACTTCTGTTTTTTTGAATTTTTTAAATTTTTTTTTAGTTTATTGAAACAAAAACGACATTTATAAATGGAGAAACAAAAAACTTTAATTTATTTTTAATAAATCTAATGTATTTTATAATCAGATTCATCTTAATTTTTCGATAAAACTTCAAGAAACTTTTCAAAAAAATTTCTTTATTTTGAGTAAAAAAAGAATGATTATGCTTTCACACACACACACACACAAATATATATATATATATATATATATATCGTGTATTCAAAAATTAATTAATTTTGAGTTTATCTAAAATTATAAATTATTTTATTTGTGATGCATAAATTATTTTGATTAATTAAGTAAATTTTTTCGAGTTTTTTTAATATAGAAATTTTGTTTGTTTTTTAATAAACTAAAAAATGACCAAAAAATTTTTAAAAAAAAAGAGAAAAAAAAAAGAATAAATATGAGATCTAATAGATTTTTACCTATAATATCAGGTCCTTTTATATGTTTTGCAGGTTATGGGATGTATCTGCTCAATTTTGATAACCTTGGGACGTAATTGATTAATTTTAAAACGTTGGGATGAATTAGTACACTGGTGTGAACGTTGAGATGTATCCACTCATTCACCCTTTTTTATTTACTAAGGCGACTTGGTAAACCTAACTTTTAAGTCGGTCTGGGCCATAATGGATTTTTTTCGTGTGGACTTCCACTTTGGTGGTCGGAGGAAAATATTTTCGAGTATTTTTCCAGTTAAATGGGAAAGCATAATGTTACGTGTGTGACTTATGTAGTGTTGTCGCTTGTGACGATGAATTTATCCCATTATGAATTCTACAATGGGTTACTTTGGCATAGCAAAATTTCCTTATCTATCAAATATGGTCGTGAAAAATGATTTTTTAAATTTTAGGTAAACAATAATTTTACATTTTTCAATATTAAAAGCATATATTAGGTTCAAAATTATTATTCAGTTTAGATTTTTTAGTTTTAGCACAAATTGCACTAAAAATGAAAATTTTGGACTAAGGGAGTACTTTAAAACAATCTAAGGACTATGGTGTTGCGAATTTAGACCGCCCTGTTTGTGTTGGTTTTGGTCTGTTGGGCTTGGCTGAATTGAATGACAAAGAAAAGTGGTCGAAAAGAAGATAATGGGTTGATCTGTTGTTATTGGACCTCTATCCTTATCCACACATTCTTACTGAAAATTTAATTCCTTATTTCCATTTGTGAATACCATGAGGTAGTCTTATATATCCCCAACTAGATGTTTTGTGTTGATTGTTGCTCCGTTTTCAAATTTGTATTTTGATTGCAAACTTTTAAAATAGGACGAAAGAAATATGTAATAAATTGTATTAATCACGGTCATGTCAATAACACCGGTGGTAATTCTTGAAAATGAAATACGGTTCGGAATAGAAATATGTCATGGCTCAAAACTAAGCTTGAAAAGTGAAAAAAAATCAACTAAACGTGGAGGAATAACTTTGATAAGAAAACAAAAGGCAATTTGTAATTTTTTTTTCCATATTGCAGGGTGTCTATCGTCGGCAATAGTGAGTAATCCCATTCGCTGATGATAGACATTTCGATGGAAAGGAGAGCCGGCCAAAAGATTTAAGGAGTCTGAATTTGCAAATCTTAAGATGGTAGTTTTGTATTCAATAGGTGATTGGGTGGGATTAGGAATGTGTATTAAAACAGTGAATTTGTGTTTTCGGCAGCACCCAATAAAGTGGAACTGGGCTTGGTTATCACTTGCCCATTAAGCACTAGACTAATTGCTAAAAAGCGTGCTTTTGAAAATACTTCTATTTATACTTCATTTTAAATATTTTTTTTAATTCAAATTATATTATAAAAAATTAAGATCTAAAATAGATATTATAATTTTAAAACGGAGAGAGTATTTTTGTTCAGTAATAACAAGAAAGTAAGTAAATATACGCAGATAGAAATTGTTTAGTGATGCACTGGAAAGAACACAAACACGTTACTTATGTTGCACATTTTTATGTTACTATGATAATAGAAGTGGCAAGTAGACGACTAAGGATTCAGATCAATACGAGTTTATAACCTCAACAAGATCATGCTCTACGGTATAATCTTTGTAAGTATAGAGATCGCTTGGCAATTATGTAGCACCCAACGGATTTATCAGGACCCAGGGTTAGTAAAAACTTGTGTGATTCACCGTTGAGGTTAATAATTTAGTTTATAATTAAAAAAAACAGTATAGTTGATTTTTTTGATCACGATGAAAAAAAATCAGCATCCTATCACTTTTCCCATATATAAAAAATTTTAACATGATTAATTTTAACATGCGTGTAAAATTTTGTCAAGCAGATTTTGTGACTTTTGAAACATTATTATGCACTTATAATTAATTATTAATTGGTTGTATATAAGATTATTAATAGTTTCAATTAAGTCAACTAGATTGGAAGGTCATTTGCGGGAAGCAAATTTTTGCCATCAAGCATTGAAATAACACTGATTCTTTTCAAGTTAAAAAATATGGCTCACTGATTCAGAAAATCCATCAAGAGAGAACTAAACAGAACTAAAACGAGTACAGATCTCCAGCTAGCATATTCTCCCATCAGGACCATTCCTGTTTTAGGGTACAAAACCAAAAGAGAAATCAGAGAGACACAGAGAAAAGCAAAAAAGATGGATCTAGAAAAAGCAAAAGCTACTGGCTGGCTGGCTGGCTGGCTGGCTGCCTGGCCGGAGGATATATAGATACTGCAGATTAAAAACACTAAGAAAGATAAACAAAAAATTTCACGATAATTCATGGTTTTTTGGTTTTGGTTTTATGGCCTCTTTGTTGTCTGCCTTCAGTGGGGAGGCGTAATATGCATAAACACATTACCAATACCGCCAAACATGCATGCATGGATTCTTACTTTTATCTGTCTGTTTATAGTTGCACTTGTATTAATTAATTAATTAACACAAACAATAGCCTTGGATTTTCGAGCCCTTTAAATTTTATCTCACTTACATATGGTTCTTCTGCTACCTACACTTTTTTTTTTTTTTTTTAAATGTCTTAATCTCCGTCCCTTTCTGTTTTGATACATTTTTTTTTCCCATTATATCTTCCTCTGTTGATCGACTGTTTACTTTTCTCGTTCCAAGTTGTGATGAGAAGGGTTTTTATTGTTTTTCTTTTTTCTTTCTTTGAAAAACTCAAATATGCATGATTCTATCTCAAATCAGTTAGCAGCGATTAGAAGAGTAACACACGAAACTTATATGTTACGTTGATTTCAAGGATTTTAATTTATTCATGTAAGATAAGCGAACTTGAGGAGGTTTCTTTCTTTTTTTTTTTTTTACTTAACTGTATCCAATCATCAATGAGGTTAAATTTCTGAACCTATTAAGGAGCTACTAAGAGGCTAGAGCTTTCTCAATGTAGAAGAGTAATATAAAAAATGAAAAGTGAATAAATAAAGAAAAGAGGGGGTCAAAAACTTTTCAAACCTTATGAACATATAAGAAAACAACCCCAAAATTGTATGGTCAAAGTAAAGAAATGATTAGCGTAATCTTACTCTTTTCCATCATTATATCCTCTTTGGCTTTCACTCGTTTTCCAAAGTTTAGAAAATTCATTGGTCATTGAAAAAGTAAAAGTTAAACACCGGCCCTCATCTTGTTTGTTATATGTACCTTTGTTCTTTTTCAACTGCCAACTCCAAACTCAGACTTGATTTTCTTTTTCTTTTTTTTTTTTGTTTTTGGCACGTACAATATTGTTGTAATACACTTGCATTTATCCTCCACAAAATTTTGTTCATTAATGCACAACGTACCATGCAAATGGATCATATCAGGATGGGAAAATGGGACCAAAACATATAACATATATCACTTTTATTTTTTTTTCCTGTGGAAGAAAAAAAAAAAAAAAAGGGATGCATGGCTAGCTAGTCCCACTTCTACCTCACACACCCTTTATTCTGTCGTTTTAGAAGGGGAGGGGGGACCTAGTCATCCAACAAGAAAACAGCAAAATTCAGTATACAAATTCATTTCACAAAGACAACAAATTCGTACTATGATGATAGGGTTTGAATTAAAGGAAGAAGATTCAAGTGTATGAGAGAGAGAGAGAGAGAGAGAGAGAGAGAGAGATGGTTGTCGTTTTAACCTAGGAGTCTTTCTTCTTCTTCTTTAACGGAATAACGTAAGAATATCTAAATCTATCTTTTATTGATTGGGCTGTGGGTTGGTTGGTTATAATTGCATGGTTTTGAGTGGGATTTTGGCGTCTTCTTTTTGTTTTTCCCCCCAATCTCAACCTCAATCTCATCAATTTCACAACCGACAAAAATTTAGTAGTACTCATTGTGCTACGCTGATGCAAAGATGCACCTGGCCACCAAGCTAGCTAGCTAGTTGCACGTTTTGATATTATTATGATCGTCCAGCAAAAAAAAAAAAAAAATTCTGACTAGTGACTATTACAATCACTCCAAATCAATATTGCTTTCAAGCCAAAAATTTTTCTAGGGCAAATCTCAACTCCATCATTAGGGAAAAGGATCGAAATAGAAACAAATAAACAGTCCCAGTTCCACACAGTGTGCAGATCAAGAAAGAAAAAAAAAAAAAGGTCACCAGAGAACTAATTATTAAACGCGCCATGATAAGGAGAGAGCTGACGTCGAAAGATAAAAATCCAGTGTCCTTATTAACTCGGCCCTTATGAGAAATCAATCATACCTTATACACAAAATTCGCGGCGGATCGGGTAGTTAATTCCGGCTACACACATATACTAGCACATGCGTTAACATATACTTCCTTCCCCGATCCTGAAATTATTGTCCAGTTTGAGATTTTACTTTTAGTGCAATTTAAACTGGAAAATGAAAACCCAAACTGGACAATAATTACGGGACGGAGGGAGTACAAAAACTTCCCATTTTCACTTTCCATCTTGAAAAAAAAAAATGGCGACAAATTCAACAAGATAATATGGATCGAATTAAGATATCGACGGGAAGAAGATAGTTCTTGCCTAATTATTAGTTCGAACATGATGGTAGTTCTTAGTTTGTGATAGGTCCTGGATTTTGTGTGAAACAGCATGAGATATTAACATTAATGCATCAGATGAATTATGTCATTTCTTCTGATTTTCAGATATGGCGTGAGTGGCATGATCCATTCATCGCGGAATAAAACAAGTCTGGCTAGAAATGCAAATCAGCTGAAGAATTTAATCATGCATGTCTTTCCCTAATTAATATAACCAAATTCTTGAGCTCACGAAGTTATATGAGTAGAAAATATAGAACTAGGGTTTGGGGGAAGTCCCATATTATGAACTACTTCAAATGCATGAGGAAGAAAACCAGACCGAACTTCCGTCAGACAACAATCTCAAACAAGCATTAATTTCTTCAAGAAACATACGCGTCCTAGCCGGAAGCTAGCTCGATACATATAGCTAATGAGAAGCCAAATAAAACCATGTTACAAACTAATCACTAACTAGGAGAATCAACATATATAGAGGATATTGTATGGTTAAAAACCTTAGTAAACAGCCCAAACTATATAAATTACAGAAAAAAAAAAAAAACCACCTACCATGCATGTCCAGTTCTTCGTAAATTGAAGCTGCAGGCCCTTTGGTGAAAAACCCCTTAATAGAAGTCAGAAACTAATATCTGTAGATTTCCCTCTTGGCAAGGTTTTGAAGGAGAGAAGCTCATAATATTGCATATAGTCAAACAGTGCAGCAATGTTGATGACTGACCCCAAAGCATTTCAACAAACATCTTCTCTTATTAATTTGTCAGCTTAATTCGATGTTGCAAACCAAATAATATGAGAGCTAGCTTGAAACTATCAGTCTTCTCGAAGAAAATTATTATAGAAGATGGCTTGTAGAAGATGATGAGTTGAGCCCAGAAAAACCTGTCCAAGGAGTAGTAGTACTTATTCCTCCCCATGATGAGAACTGGTTGTTTCCCTGATCAGAATTATTCAACAAAAACTGCTTTGTTAGATTGAGGCCACCAGCACCACCAGCACCAGCTGGATTATTTTCTTCATTTTTCACTGATGATGATGATGATCCATTGATATTATTGTGACTAATTCCCAAAGAAGAAGAAGAACCAATTTGTTGTTGTTGTTGATCTCCTTGATGAAGCATAGAAGATGATGAAGCTAATTCCACCCCTTGAATTTGATCACCAGCTTGATGATGATGATGATGAATTAGTGGAGGAAACAAACTTGGTTGTGCCTCAAATCCACCACCAACATTAGGCAAAATTCCACCAACTCCCAAATTATTGTTATTGCTACCTATGTTGAACCCCATGTTTACAAGCAATGAACCTCCATTAGTAGTATTAGTACTACCAGTTGTGGAAGCCATCAGTTGTGCCTGAAATCCCCCTCCAATTGTTGTGCCATAATGATTGAGGTTCTGAAAAGCAGCCATAAAATTAGGCAATTGATGATGATGTTGACCAGTCAACATATCAGGGCTGGATCTTGAAGGGCTAGCATCAGTACTAGTGGTGTTGACCATTATGTTCTGTTGTTGCCTTTGTTGTTGTTCAGCCGTCATATTATTCAGAGCTGAAGATTTTGAACCGTTTGAAGTACTGTTGCTCTTGGTTTTCTTGTTCCTCCGGCAGCCGCCTCCGACCGGAACATTTCTTAGGGCACCACCCTTTGTCCAGTACCTTCTACATGTCTTGCAAAAGTGCCTTGGTTGTGAAAGGCTGTAGTTGTTGAAGTAGCAAAACTTTGTGTTTGTCGAATCACATCTTGGGCACTTTATTCCTGCCTCCGGAAGAGGTAGCTTTGCGAGCCGGGCTCGATCCACCATTGATCCAGGCCTAATAGAGCCACTCCCGCCGGCACTTCCGCCACCGCCTACCACCCCGAGTGGCGGGGGAGGCGGTGGTGGGGCCGTTTGAAGTAGTACTTGGCTATTATGATGATGATGGTGATCAACTGTAGTAGTGCTTCCTCCTTGTTGTTGATGATGGTCTTGTTGGAACTGGAAAAAACCAAAAGAAAAGTGGAACTCATATTAATCCAAGTAGCAGCTACTAGTAGTAGAAGTACAGTATATTCAAGAAAAGTTTTGTTTTTGCTAAAGGAAAATTCGGATTTTTGTTTTGGAATATGAATATAATCCCTTTTGTTATTCAGCTTTATTTCTGATATGAACAAAGATATTGTTACAAAGGGGGAAGGTGGAATTTCGATTAAACACATACCTGGTGCAAATTGGGATGATCTAAATAGACTGGAAAAGATGAGAAAACCATAATTTCTTTTCTTTCTTTCTTGTGTGTGTGATGATCCTTTATGTATCTTTTGATAAAGGTTGGTCGGTATTTTTTGGAAATATATGAGTGGAGAATATAAGCTTATTAGAGCGCGCACACACACACACAGTAGTACTATAGAGAAAGAAGGTAGAATACACAGAGGGAAAAGAGAAAAGAGAGGAACTAAAGAAGATGAATGGAAAGGAAGAAAGGAGAAAGGAAAGCAAGCTATAGAAGAGAAGGGGAGCTAGCTTTTTAATTAGTTTAGTTTTTAATGTTAAATACTAATATTCTTCTTCTTTTCTTTTTGTATTTATTAGTATTATTTCTAGGGTTCTGATCATCATAAAATCAGTGGGGTGTTGGAAGTTTACTTATAGGCTAAGGTTGTGATTTCTATTCTCTCTTCTTTCTTGTTAGTGGTCTAGGGAAAAGGGAGGAGTGTGACTTGTCTCCAATATTATTTACTACTATTATTATCCCATGCATGCATAATATTGGCTGGAGATGAATTCAGATTTGAGACCATTTTGTAGAGAGAATTGGCTCTTAATCCTTTCTGGGGGTTATCATGGTGGCTGGTGGGATCCCATCTAAATTCCAAATGGGAGCATATAGCAAAGAAAACATGAACAGGTCATTCTAGTTCAACATCAGATTCCCAAGTAGCTAGAAGTCTACTTTATTATTGATTAGAAACAAACACTTAAATGCATATGTTAATACTTAGCAATCAATAAACCTGATTTGCTTTTTTCTTGGGTTAACAATAAACCTCATCTTTCTTACTCATTATGTATCAACTGTTGTGTTTGTAAGCTTATGAAATGATGTTGTTTCACCAGACTATCGAAAGTTTACGTATGCTAGTTTCGAGAAAGAGAGTGCAATTAAAATACACATTATATTAGTTTTGGCGCACTCTTAGCGAATGGGAATTGTTGGGATTATAGGTGATTTCAAACCTTATAACCATTTCACAAGAAGAGTATAATCGATACATAATAAGCAAGATAAAGAATTCTTTATCTACGAATATATTATTAAATTACACTCCTTCTGTCCCATAATTATTATTCAGTTTGAATTTTCACTTTTAATTTGTAATATTCTCATAATGTTCTTCATAGTGCTGCTACATTTTGGAGTATATTAGTATTGTTTTGCTAATCTCCAGCGTATATATCCACACTTTTTCATTCTTCAAGTGATTCTTTTCATACTGTGTAATTGCTTGCTGCGGCTTAGTTAGTGTGCCTTTTTCTAGAGAAACATATTCCTGATTTGTTGTTGCATGTGTTTAATGGGATTGGGACGGGAGACCCTTTACATTATTTATTAATCTTTCTAGATCGAAACTTTTAATTTATCTGACATTTTTTTTTAAGTGAAGCAATGTAATTATGTAAAGTTAACTACAATTTTACTATTATAGTTTTTCACTTCTAATATTTCTTATGTATTAACTAATTACTGATTTTAAAGGATTCAAGAGGTGGAAAGTAAAATGAGAAATAGAATATGAAAGAGGATTAATGTATAAGTGAATGTTCTTCACTCTTCATCACTTTTTAACATAATAATGAAAATTTGTATTCAACGAGTGAGATTAGTCACTATAATTGATGATGAATACTTTGCAAATATACATATATATTAAAAAAATTAGTGTAAATAGATTTAACACAAGAAAAAATATATTTATGAAAATATAAAGCACCAAATTCTTGAAAAGTAAGTCAATTGTGAATATAAAGTTTCATTGAGCTTAAGCCAGCACGAATGTTCATGTATTTTCTAGCTAGTGTGTTCGTCATCTGTAGCGATTAGTCTACATCCATCTCCATTCGAATTGTTTGGTATCCACACCGATTCTTACCGACTTTTTCATATGTAACTTGGAGAATTTAAATTCCTTCTCCTTCGCTTTGGTTTGAACCAAGAAAAGGTAAACCCCTAATGATATCCACGAAAATCAAGAAAAAGCTAAGCAAAAATGAATAAGTTGGTATATGCACTTTGTAACTCCTTGATTTGGGGTTTAGCTAGAGAGACCAATATACGGAGTCCGTATTACGGACTTACCTATTTGTTGTTTATCACAGACATCTGATTAATGAAATGCTGTCATTTGTTAATTATGAGCTGCAAGTAAAAAACGAGATCATTTCAGCAAGTGAAAAAATGGATCAAATTTGTCTCATACATGGTCAAAATTAATTCTTTTTATCGTGATTAACCTAGATGGTAAAACAAAAGCTTGGAGCTAGCTAGCTAGTTTGCTTTATAAAATTTTGTCAGATTAATACTCTTGTTTATAATGAATGCCCTTTTGGAATTGTACTGGTTATTGTTAATTTAGGTACTGTTTTAATTAGATCAAATAATCGTTTTGATAAACATGTATTGTATTAATTAAATTCACCAGTACAATTCCACTCTTCTTTTGATATCAGCTCTCTTTGTCTCACTTCCCTTTTTGACTGATAGATTTCTAGTGTTTTTCAGGATGACGCATTGTCTTTACAAAAACAAGTTCTTTTACTTTAGACAGTAGTACCTTTTTTTTTTCAATTACTACTATTAATATTATTTTTACTTCATCAAGTGACTGTACCTATGAATTACCCCTTTTGATTACTTGTGCAAATAAGTTCGTCCAAAACGAAAATTGAGACAAACTTTCCAGCAAAACAAGTTTCACAGTAATTAATTGAAATTAAGCCCTTTATTTATTTTTATTTTTATTTATTTGTTTAATCTAAAGGTAGATTGGTGTGTATAACAGTTTTATAGACATTAAGTTGTGCATGGATGTGACTGAATCCTAATCTTGTGGAATTCCTTTAATTGATAGCTCTTCTCGGAGTGCCTATTAATATAAGCAATCCACAAGGATATTTGTTAATTTAACGAGTAGGGTGAGCTATAAAAGGTTGGTGAATTTTTAATCTTTTGTGAAATTAATTTATTCTATATACTACATGCATGTGTCTTTTCTTTTTCCCCATCCGAATAAACAAATTAAGAGAAAGTAAAGCGTGTAATCCAAATGAATTCCCCATGCATGCAAAATCATCACTTTCCATGCATCAATTTGTTTTATTTTGCTGATTGAATGAAAGCTATAAACTTGTAATAATACCCTTGGCAAAACCATGGACTTTATGAAGGAGGTGGCAAAATTTTCCAAAATTCAATTAAAAGAGATAAGTAAATTTTATAATTTTGTACTTCAAATTATAACTAGGTATTAGAAAAATCAAAATACAACAACAAACAATAACTCCAACAACAACAACAAAAGACTGCGTTAAAGGTTGTAGCATTTTTCTTTCTTTTAATATCGCCGGAATATTCTTACTCGGCAGATGAATTCATATTTTTTATGGAAAAGAAAAATCAGTGAATTGTTTATTTGTAACTACTGAACTTCCCTTTTAGAAAAGGATGAATTCTTTTTTTTTTTAATATGTAAATCAAGAAGACAGAAGAACGCGTAAGATAGGGCCAAGCACTAATGAAAGGCAATATACCAGTCAATTCCAAAGGAGGCCCCAAACAGCAAAAGGGAAGTCCTTACGGCCATACCCACAATTCAATCAATCTATCATTTTCATTAGATTCTCACTGTCTCTTCATCTTCTTGTTAATGCTGCATGCCACGTTTGAACCCTTTAATTAAGATTAATTCTGTAAATTAAATTTCTAATTCAGCTCAAACTACCAAAGGGCTTTCACTCATCCCATCCATGAATATAATATAATAATAATATATATAAAGAGCCAATATAAATATTTATTACCAGCTTATATATCATTCCCTCTGTTTCAAAACTTTAATGTAACTTTATTGGTTTAACATGAATTAGTCGTACCTAATACTTATATATATATATATGTAATATACGACATAATTAATTTAAATTAATTTTAGTGTTAAATTGTAATTTACAACAAGGAACAAGGGAATCTATATAATCCAACAAACAAATTCTTTTCTTTCATTTCCCAGATAGACAAAGCGACACATTTTACGTCAATTTACAGTGAATATATCATATATGGTGTGTTTATATGTTGTATAAAGAATGTAGGGGAACAAAAGATCCGGTCCTTTATATAGTGTCTCGTAAGCACTCATATAATATATAAAATATTACACCCAAAAGTTACGGGCGAAGAAGGAGAATAACACTTCCATAAAATTGATGATTTCAATAACTTTACTCTTAATTTTGTTTTGATTAATATTTAGAAGGGTTTAAAGAAACCAAGCCACTAAAAAAATGCGGACACTTATCTAACAACCATTGGAAGACCTAACCTGAATATTATTTAAATTCATGAATTGGATTTACATTGCTTACTTTTGTGGTAGAAAAATACGGCAATAGGCAATAATTAGGGTTACCAAAAGTGTTCCATTATTTCTCAAATCCCTGATCTAACGCCGTACGAAACTGAAGGTTGTTGGCAAGATTAATGCTCTTGAACATATTAATGAAGAAAACAATTAAATTACACGCATGGGAGAATTTTGTAAGAATTTGACAAAACTATTTTGGATCAAAAAAATTGTATGCTAGATGTAAACGGTACATAAATTCTCAAATTTCGATGGACATTTTGTTAAATTTTCTTTAAAAAAAACATAATACTTTCTAAAATTTGTCTACGATGTTTATTTTAGAATAAAATGTGCACTGAATACAACATGAATCAATCAATTTCTTTTATGATTATATTCACACGGTGCTGCATAATAAGGTAGAAAAACTACATCAATTTTTCTGTCAAAGTAGTCCAACTATTATCATAGAAATGTTTATATTACGAGTCCACTACATTTAAAAAACCATTTAACATATATATCCTACTATATTAGAAACAAAAACCTCCCTTTCAAACACCTCATATGATTGCCACGTGGCATGTAGAAAGTACTAAATTCCCCTTTTGTCTAACCATAACAAAATTACTAAATCTCCCTTTGCACTTTACGTGACATGTTTTTTTTTTTAATTTTTTCTTTATGTTTCATTCAACTAGAGTGGTTTTTTAAATTGAATTGATCAATTAGGTTTTTTGTTACAAAGTGTCAATTTTGTTTTAAGCGTATACCCTTCGGATGAAGCTTATTACAAAACTATTAAAAATCTTCAAAACTAAGTATTGATTTGGTACGACCAATGGAGAACATCAATAAATCATCTTACTAATATTTAAATTTATTAGGATGCTTTTATATTTTATCTAACATTTACTTCAACACATATATTCGATTAAGGCTATTTATATTTAATAAGTAACACTTA